AATGACATTTCAGTAAGAAACATGTGGGGCAATTAGAAAGAAGAAATACCATTCAGAGTGTAGAAGTCTTATGTTTGAACTTAGAGACTGTATAGGCTTAACCTCGACGCGAGCTTTTCATACATAATTTATTTTATTTAAGAAATTTTAGTTTATTTGACTGGCAATTAGAGGCTTTAATAGGTTTCTACTGGGTTTTAGTCAGTCATACGTTAATGGACGTTTATTTTACTCGTAAGAGAGAATAAAAAGAAGTTCGAGAAAAAAAGCTTTACTTGCTTCTCCGGAAAAACTCTCAGGGTGGGTTACAGTGTCACTTGATTTTAATTAAGTTCCAACCCAGCGTGAATCCTCAGCAGTAAGTCGAAAAGAATGAATAACATTGAAAAATTGAAATATTTGAGGTTTGAATTTTTGGTCGCTGAAGTAAGTTTTTCAGTCATAAAATGTGTCTTCTACCTCACGTACACTTGAAACCATAGTAATGGCACCGCAAAGAAAACCCCGTTTTAACTTTGCCTGCGGACAGAGCGCCTCCTCATTGTCTATCAAATCTTTCCGGCTATTAACATGATAGAAGAGTAGAAAATTGCTCAGGTTTTCAGTCAGTCAGCCAGCTAGTTTATTGAGCACTGAGTTTCATGATTAAACTGAATTTAAAATTCTATAATAGATCTTCCAGGGCCAATATTTCATACTTTTTTTCCATGTCAAAGTAAGCATTACTATTTTAACTACATTTTCAAGAAAATGGTTTGCAAAATATTGAAACGAGCGCGGGTTATTTGCCAACGTATTTTCGAACTGAATTCTACAGTCTGCTAAAGTGTGAATAGCCAATTTAAGTATACTGACGCGCTGGATAGCGTCGAAAGCGCGCTCTGATTGGCTACTCAAACTTAGAATATCCTTTGATCAAAATTTTTAACTCCGAAGAATCGAGACTGAAATAGCCAACTCATATCCATATCATCTTGTTCTATGTAATTCCGCTATTTGTGGAAACCCCTTCAGGCGGCTGGTATGTCTGCTGATAATGTCCGCGTCTGAGTGATTGTCCGAAAAATGAATATTTGGCCTGAGAAGCGAAGCTTACAGGGTGAGTGCGAAATTTTGAGGACAATTTCTCAGCCAAGAACATGAAAAACGGAAAGCCAGAAGGCTTACTTTCCAGAGCAGCATTTGAGATCAGCTTTTTCATTTCGCTCTCACTGGACCTCACAAAACTGGTAGGTTTTTCTCCTGAGTAAAATCATAAAGAAGAAAAAGTGAAACTCTTGAGCTGGCTTACTTCTGGATTTATTTCCAATTAATGCGAGGGTTATAATTAAATACTCAAACAACCCTTCACCTTAAGGTCGGTGACTAGCGGCGGATATTTACCTCCCTGTCTCGCGGCTCGCAATACATCCACCATTAAACACGTCCACTTCGATGAGTAGATGTTTATTAGCATGCCATCGTGGTTCTTGAATTTCGGAATAGCGTAAACATCTTCTGGTCTCAGTTTCACGCTGCGATTTTTGCTCTCTGTCTGCGTATAAAACTAGACTGTGAATGGGGATAGATAAAAAGTAGAAAAGAACGAAGACGAAAGTAAAAAAAAAGACCTGGTTGTAAGCGCAATAAATTTAAGAAATTCGACGAGGAAAGGCGACTGAAGAATCTCACTGCGCTAATAACATTTTTCCACAGTTTTTTTTTTAACTGTTGCGGCGGACTTCGGCGAAAAGTAGGGAGTGCTCGATGTGTAGTAGAACAGGTGTAATTTTTTTTCCCGTCTTCAAGCGTTTGTGAAGGCGAGCGCGAGGCGAGTTCCTGTATCCGTTGGCTTGAGAAACGCCAAAAAAGAAAAAAACAATGTTTGTCATGTAGGCTGTCATTTTGATTAGATATGAGCGCGTGAAATTTTGCGCAATAACGATGCGTTCTTCTGTACAGCAGAATTACTCCCGCACAAGGGTTGGTAACTGAGCTCAAAACAACACATGCGTTAGGAAAACGACGTCATTAGTACGCCCACTTGTAGGGTTTTATGAAGACGTCAGCTGTCAATAATTTGGCAGACAACACTCGCTGTATTTTGCCGAATTCTCGTTTAGGGTAAGTGAAGTAACGGAATCTGGGTTAAGTTTTTTTTATCACAACGCTAGATCTTCGCTTTGAAATTCCATCCCTTTTGAAGTCGAGTATTGAATGGTAAATATCTGAGGATTTTTCAAGGTAAGTTTGAAGGAAACTGTAAGGTTATCAGTGGATACAGAAAGTGAGTCTTTAAGGTGAAAGCAATAAAATGTCGTGTTATCTAGAGAGCGACAACCCTTATTGATAAATTTGTTTTTTTATTTTAAATGTTTGCCTTTATAATTGCCATCGATAAAAGAAGCGAGATATTCAGATGAAATGAAGCTATTTCTCTTTTTTTTTATTTTGTGAAAAAAAGTGTGTGTACGAGAAGGGTGTTGCAATACAAATGTTATTGAAATGGAAAATGATAAAACTGACTGTTTAAATAAAATTTCCCGCGACGTTTTGATCGGCTTAGTTTATGGTAAATCCAGGCGCAAAGCACTTCAGTTTAAGGTAATGTTTCACTTTATTCATACTGTTAAAATCTGCTTTGAAAGGAATTCAATTTGCCGAGAAAGTCGAACTTCGAAAGTATGATCACGACGAAATCTTTTCTACTTGTGTATCCAAAGTTCTTATTTAACAAATCAAGCCAGAATTTAAGAAAAACAAACAAACAAACAAACAAACGAAAACCGTATAGGGTATGCTCATGTGTAGCTTTATTTAGTCTTGCGTTTTCTACAATTCGAATGGCTGGTGATTTTTTTTCATATATGAACGAGCGTCTCGTGAAAAAACACGACAGAGTGCAAAACCTTTTTAGTCTCGTTGTCGGGTCGCTTTTGAGAGTTTCTAGAAGGAATGGTTATAGAAACGTGAAGAGTGATGAGTTAATTGCATAGGAAGAGGGTTCTTAGTACGCCTACAGTCTTAGACAGTTGTTAAGACCTGTCCCGACAGTGGGAATTTTGTATGCTGTAAGTAGTGGTTTTAAAAATTAGGATGAGCCCGCAAAACGAGTCTGATGTGAAAAATGGCCAAAGTCATGTCCGTGCTGAGAGCTACATTTCAGTTTAATGCTCAAAATTATGCTGGCACAATTTTATCAATATGGTTCTCAGTACGTCTATGGTCATCAACAGTCGCAGACTGTTGTATAAAGACCTCTCCTGAGGGTGTAGACTTTGTAGCAGTGGCGTTGAAAATTTGGATAATTCTGGAACACGAGTCTAATTAGAAAAATTTCCTAAAACATGCCGTTGCTAAGGGTACATTTCAGTTTCGTACACGTACTTCTCCCACGAGGAAATCAGTTAGATGTTCTCTTGCCCTTATTTCAGAAACAATTTTTTTATTGTATAGATCGTTTTACTTTGGCTTGTTCAATTTAAATGGACTTGGTCCCAATTTTATTGCTGTTGCTTTAGTCATGGTGGTTATGTTGCAGACTCACAAAAGTTTTAACGGCTATCTTAGAATTTCCTTGAACGCAGCTAAGAGTTTTCTTCTACAGCTGGTGACAGTTTTGGTAGCAGTCAGCCATTGTTCATAAAAGTAAGGACATCGTCCTAAGGTGTTGATTGTGTTATCACTTTGATGCACAAAGAGTTTTGTGTGTTTTTATTCTGTAAGCTTGTGACGAAAATTCAAACTTTGAACTGTTCGAAAACAACTCTGGGCTATTTTTGAAGAAAGTTTGTTTAGTTTTCCACAGTTGTACAGTCAGGAATTGTTTCAGGCAGTCATGTAAGGACTGTTTCTTCTTTCAGGCTTCTTTAACCAAATTAAAATGTGCGTATGCCAGTGCGTAGATAATTTCTGCATTAGATTTTGTCACCTGAGTTCAACCATATAAGATTCATTTTAAATAATACACATAAAAACAGTTTACGATTCTGAGTAGAAAAGAAAATGCAGTTTTCAGGAACTACCGTGCAGAAACAAGGAAATTTAAAACAGAAAAAGGAAAGTAAGTTAAATAAGACAGAAAAATAGCCATATTAACGCTTTTTAAATTCAGTTGACTGAGCATCTTACATCTCGTTTCAATCGCATTATTTAACGATCATTCAGAAATTGGTGTCTTAGACAGTCGCTTCTTTGAATTAAAAGAGGTGTCAATTTGCGATACAAACATAACCGACATCGTTTGTGTTTTTGTATGTTACCAAGCTACACGACCCTTTTGGAGCAAGTTATCTTTTATTTCTTTTAATCTTCGAAATGTGGTAACAGTGAAGTAAGGTTCTTTTGAAAAAATTAACTGTTGCGTTTGAACTAGGGCGTTTTTTGTCTTATCAGGCACTAAGAACGTTCGTTTCATACTCATTTCAATTGATTTTTATTGAATTGAAGGCGTTTGGCCGGACAAACGGTTGGCGTGCTTCACACCTGAGTCAGTTATCATGCACGAACACAAATTCCCGACAGTACCATTTAATATAAATTACGCACAAAATTTCTCCAGTCGGGAGCGTTAAAAAATCAGCGCGCAACAAGATTTTCAGTGGTCAGCACGTTATTATTGACGCTGAAGGCGATTAGCGGGAGGAAGCGTGTCCGGATAAGGGATTAATCGACCAATTGGTAAGCTTCAAAAGCTCTTCAGAACTTCTTGTATCAGTCGGCGGCGTAAGTTGGTAGTGTAACTAAGCTAATCCTGAGAATTTGCTGTTATTTCAAAACAGTATTCCCAAGCTGATGTTTTGTACAATTCTCACTTCCTGTTTGCCTCACATTTCATTACAGTTGTAAAAGATGAAATTGAGTGCTGATGCTTTAGAGTGCTGTCTACTGCCTCAAAAGCTATTTTTTTGCCCGAAAAATAGATATTAGCACCTTCAAATATGTCCATGTGTTGTTTGACTTACGCTTGGACAATCTTTTTCCCTTGTTTTCAGATTTCGTTGCCAGTATACGGTAAGAATATGGAAACTAATGGATGTTGCAAATTGCGTAAGCGGCGAGTGTTGGTAACAGGTGGTGCAGGCTACTTGGGGTCAACAATGGTGCCCATGCTGCTCCAACGTGGTCATCACGTGGTTGTCTTCGACAAGTTCATGTGGGGAGCTTTCCCCCTTTTGCCTCATGCAGCGAACCCACATTTGGAGATTGTCAGGGGAGACATTCTGGACAGGAACCTCTTGACGAAACACATGGAGGACTGTGACGTTATAATCCATCTCGCCGCCATTGTTGGATACCCTGCCTGTGAAAAATTTCATGATGAGGCCATCCAGGTAAGTGATCTGGAACGAGAATTTTTCCATGAGATTCAAATTTAATTTGGAGTTTCTTGGGCTTCTCCTCACTTCGTTTATAGGTTGATTTAAAAAAGAAAACTGGCACCATTTCCCCCATTAATCAAGTGCAAAACTAAAAGCAGACATGACTAGACTAGGCTAGGCTAAACAAATCGAGGCTTGGGCGACTAGACTAGACTAGTTTTGATGAGATTAGACCGGGTTAGACTGGACTAGGCCTGACTAACAGGCAAGAATTAGATTAGACTAGTCTGAACGAGATTAGGCTAGGCTAGATTAAACTGCCTAGACAAGTTTAAGCAAGACTTCTCTGGACTGGATTAGACTTAGTAGTTTGGTAGTATCAACTCTGTAGATAACGTAAAGCGCACGTTTCGAGTGTTAGCCCTTCCGCCAGAGCTTCGTTAGCCATTCGCTCCGACGAAGGGCTAACACTCGAAACGTCAGCTTTCAAAATCTTTACGGCGGCTAATTTACGTTATTAAGTCAGTTGTTAATACCAAATTACCCTGTTATACTCTCTCACCGACGCACACCACAGTTTCTTTTGAAACTTATCCCCTTTATAGATTAGACTTCCCCAATTGCGATGATACTCCTGACAGCGATTGTAACCATGTTATTGTAGGTGAACGTAGAGGGCACAAGGAACATCGTAGAAAATCTAGGGGACGATCAGCATTTGATCTATGCTTCCACTGGGTCATGCTACGGAGCTGTTCAGAATGGCGTATGTGACGAAGAAACACTGATCTCCCCCTTAACCTTGTACGGACGAACAAAAGCTGAAGGAGAGAAACTGGTGTTGGACGCCGGAGGGGTTGCGCTTCGCTTGGCCACTGTGTTCGGTGTGTCCCCCCGTCTCAGGCTCGACCTTCTGGTAAACGATCTTACTGACAAGGCTCTAAGGCTCCGACACTTCGATCTGTATCAGGGTGGGTTTCGCCGCACTTTCCTTCACGTAAAAGATGCTGCCAGAGCATTTGTGTTCGCGGTGGAAAACTATAAGAAAATGGCAGGGCAGGCTTTCAACGTTGGAGACGAAAACATGAACTTGTCCAAGTCTGATGTGGCCTGCATCATCCAAGAGTGTGTACCTGGCTGCCTCATAACGCAATCTAACAACGGAGAGGACAAGGACAAAAGAGATTATGAAGTGTCCTACAAGAAGGTCAGATCTCTGGGTTACCACGCCACGATATCAGTGGAGGAAGGTGTCAAGGAACTAATGAAATTCTTACCATGTCTTAGTGAAGACGAAATCGAAAAAGCGAGGAATATATAGTGATAAAAGATAATGGTTAGAATCACCTCTTAATAATTTAACTGCCTAGGTGTGATTTCCAACTCTCAGTTCTGTGTTTAGTCTTTCCCTTTTAAGTTCGTCACAAGAACAGGGTATATTATTTCTGGCTTACTAGTAGTATGGAAAAACACGATTAGAGTTTTCTTATAGGAAATTAAGGATCTTTTTTCAAACGAGGTGTTGATTTCAATAATGTTGTATTTATTTCATTAAGAAAAATATTATACGAAGTGAAATTAGTAAGTGAATTTAGTGAGCATTTCGCAATGAGGATGTTACTTTTAGCATTTTAATTGCTCAATAACTAAATTTGTTTACAAGACTAGTGACTTTCCTAGAGCACCCTCTCGACTGTTGGTTGAGTATAACCACGCCCTCGAGATATTCTGTATGAGAGCAGTTTGCGCTGGTCATAGACAAGCGCCATCTCGACAATATGGGTCATTTTATATTAGAGATAGTATATTAGCAAAAACAAATAGTCAATACATGTATAAAGCGGGATATATAGGCGTTGGCAGTATCTAATCAAGATCTGCTTTAACTTAATCAGCAAGGGCGAACTGCGCCTCACTTATACTCCAAGGAATCTCAGGTCTCAAAATCACTTGTGTTCTGTCATAAGATCATGTTAGTGTTTTTAATTTAGTTATTTAGATCTAAATGAGCTTCATGGATAGAAGGAAAATGCGCACCACTCGTTGCCATTCGTGCGCTTAGAAAACGCTAACCAATCACAAACCAGATAGATCAGTTCGGATCGCGCCCTTAGTGGCCGTCTTCTCTGTTTTTGTCAGCGACTGTTGGTCTTCCTTTTATCTCAGTATTATCCCGTTGGGTTTTGATTCAAGAATTTCTAATTAATTTTTTAGCTCTCTCTCTTTCCTGTTAAGTTAACATATTGATATGCACAGGAAAGAATTAACCACTGACAGTGCGTGGGATAAGCGAAACAGCTAAACAAGTAACGTTTCCTATTGTTTTCCTTGTTCTCAAATATTTAGTTTGTAAATATTATCCCAGTCAAGATATGTTTGGGTTACACGGTTGTATTCTCACTGAGCTACTCAAAGTTAAATATGACAAAGTTGCATCGCAGAACAAGATTCAGCACGGTGAAATTTTCTTTTATAATGTTTCAGTTTCCAAGGTTTCATTGAGTGGGACCAACAGATTTTGAAGTGAATTATGAATGAAGTTTACATTCACGAAGAAAACCTGTCGTACCAGTCAGTCTACTAGTCCATTCAACGCGTCTTCAGCAAACTTTTAAATATTTTAGTATGTGTTCGTCGACTTGACATTGGTTTGTCATGAATTTAACATGAATGACAAAGCAACTTGATGTAAATGTTCAGAGTATCATTCATCGGCACAACATATTAAAAAACTACTAAATTATCCTTAACTCAAACTCAGAAGCAATTAAAAGTTGAAATTAAACTTGCAATAGATGTCTATCACATTGTGACACGGATTTTCTCAAACTTCGCTTTCCTGTTCATGGGGATCGCTCGCTTGTCCATTATCCTTGAGAAATTTGACATTAGAACAAACATTCTCCATAATTTCCCGAGTTCTCTTCAGGATTTTGCCGTCAGTTTTCAGTTCACCCCTAGCTATCATGAATACATTGTTATTTTCCGCCATTTAGAGTTTCAAGTATTTTTTCAGTAGTCGGCTTACGATCATGTCACCTCTTGCCATCCAAAAAATACATAAACAAAACAACACAAACCTGATCGCTAGTTTTAATCGGCCAAACACTGATGAAGTAAATATTCCTGGTTGTTCAGAAGACATCACGGGTAATAGAGCGTATTTACTGAATTTATTACTGGAAATACAATATTTCTGTCGTCGAAGAACTTGAAAGCCTCTCTCATCAGCTTATGGTAATTTTGGGTTTCGTTGGGGATGCAGAAGGGAAGCTCCAGGTAACCAGATTTGATATGCAATCTTGAAAAGGAACTATCTCTAAGATAAATCAAGAAATACTTCACGTTTAGAAAGAAGGGTAACTACCGATTGATCCTTAAAACCTGCCTCGTTTAGGAGAGATATATTTTGTACCGACTTCAATATTGCATGACCATGAGCTTGCGTGACAAACCGAAGGCCAAAAGTAAACACCACGAGAGGTTCTGCTGACGCTTCCAGCAAAATAGCGCAGCTTGCCTTATATTGTGGTGAAAGTTATTCTATGTAAGGAAGAATCAAAGACTCAAGGAGTGCTTTTAATGCCAGAAGTTATGATTACTTTATTTCATGTTATTTCACAAACTGAGACAGGCGTGACGGACTGCACGATGCTTTCATTCAAACCGGTTTTTTTACACGTGATTGGGTCGTGCTACTCACAACAATAAACGGTACGTAAGCTCGTAAAGCCACTGATCGAGCGTAGTTGTGAAGGTCTGTCACAGGGTCTGGTACTACTCGCTCACATAGCTAATAATTTTAACTTGCGCTACAAAATGCTTTGTGGAGTGAATCGACTGAGGTTTGTATAGAATGTTTTTATGTTAGGGTTTCAAAATTGTGATAAAAATGTTTCTTCGGCTAGCAAACTTTATTTTCATAAGTTACACAATCGATTGAGTGCTCAGTAAGCACGGTTACGTATGAGTTTGAAACCAACAGCTTTTTCTTTAAAGCTGCTGAATATTTTCCGTAGTTATAACTCTGTAAAACAAGCTTAAAGCTATTATCAAGTGGTTTTGTTTTGCTGGTCTGACGGCCAGCCCGCCGTAATAGAATTTTACCCTACACCCGAAAACTAATAAGCTTTTAAACTTACATGTTAATGCAACTTTTGTAGTACACTTTAAATGAAATGCGTTTACTCCGTCAAGATCTCCTTTCTTTCTAAATTCAACACATAGCGCTTTTATTAAAAAACCGCTTGCAAATCAGCAAAAATTTAGCTCGGTATGACCTAACAGGCAATCAGGGATTTAATTTTATGACGAATTTTTCAGACGAAAAAATTCACTCGAAAATTAACTTGTTTTTTCTGCCTATGGAAAAAGAGTCCTCGAATATGGTTAAAATTGCGAGGAATTGTTTCTTCGCAAGCCTGATATGCCTATAATGAGGAGTATATGTTGTTAAGGATGATGTTTGATGTCACTGGGATGTGATCGAAGTCAAAACATCTTGAAATTTAAAAGGTGATTGACGGAAGTATTTTATTTTCAGTTTCGAGTTTATTAAAACCTGTGAAAAATTCATGCGTGGGGCTGAAAATTGTGTTTCGTACGTCATAGTTTAAGGAAATAAGATCAATATCTTTTTATTTTGCCACTGTGATTATTTTTAACCATTCTGGAAATTTCAAAGTTGTAAATCACATTTCAACTTGTAGAAACTTCTGTCCACTTGAAAAGTTAGTGAAACCCTGGACAACTTTACAAGTTGATGAATGTTAAGAAATAATATTCAAATCGATGTCTGTTGTACAATCTTTGATAGAAAGAAAAATATAAAGATTTCAAATTGTTTTTATTTTGCTTTGTTCATAAATTGAATAGCAAAGGTGAAGTTTAAAATTTTCTGGAGAACTATTGTGGTAAAATATTGTAATTAGTTGTGAATTTCTACCAACACCTTCCTTGGTGTCTGCAATAAACAATCCTTCATTAAACTCTGAAGAATCAAACTGACTTTGTTTGTAATTTTGAAATAAATTTGAAAATTGAGTAAACTTTGTCAGACCAGATGTTCACACTATTGTGAAATCTGCACTTTACCCACGTAGCCTGGTGAGAGAAATTCTGGCACCAGTAGATGTTTGTAGAAAAATTAATTAAAGAGGCACCAGGACTCTGTTGCTTTAAATCATTGTTAAAATGTGATTTCCTTGCTAATAGCTTTAGTTGTTGCTAGCCATAACTTTTTTCAAAGGATGGGCAATGGTTAATCTCAGCAGTAAATACAGCCAGTGAATAGCATTCTTTTTTATTTTTTAACAATTGTTTGGATTCATTTGACAATGATGTAGGCTGCAAACATGATTATGTAATAATTTTAAAATAACTGGGTCAAGGGATAGACTAAGGAATTGTAAGGATGAAGTACAATACTTTGTCAACTGTGGATCAATTTACATGTAATGCACATCATCCAAAGTCCATATTTTTTATCAGACATTCAAAACAAGGTACCATCATTAGCTGCCAAAGATTGGGAAATTCTCCAGCTAATATTTTACAGCCCAGCCCCTTTTTTTTTTTTTTCAAAATTCTCCCACCACCCACTTTTCTTGCAAATGATAGCTCTTTCAAAATCTTCAAACAAAACAGATTTATAAGCTCTTTGGCAGAAAGAGAACCTTGCTTCTGAAATTAACTTGTTTTTCATCTCCAAATGAAAGTAAAAAAATATGAGAGACAATAAGCTTCCATGAACATTAAACAGACCAAAAATGAACTTATTAATTTGGTGCAAAAACTTAACGTTTAAACAGTTTATCTTGTTTTTATTTTAGTTTGGAAAGAATTTCTGCCCGGTGCATTTTGTCCAGGCATCTGTCAAGTGCACAGACCAAAGCAGCCCTAAAACCATTTTACTTTGCAGTTCATCCTGATCTTTTTGGCCAGTATCCAATGCAGAGGGTAAGAGAAACTATTCAGCAACACTTAACTCTTAAAGTTAACTTGTAACAAAATTTTTTAGAATATTTGAAATGGTTGATGACTAGAGGTTTTAAGCTCAAAGGGGATCCTATGTTAAGTTAGGGTGAACGCAGGTAGTGTTGTCATGGCAAGTATCACAAGGTGAGGTTATTTTGTTATCACACCCTTGGTCAGATACATGATTTCATGTGATGACCTAGTGATCAGTTGGCTCAAGTTTAGGATGTTACAGATACAGTAGGTTTTGTCACAGCATGATAATATTGTAAGCACAGGAAAAGCTGTTATCACACACAACTGTGTCTCTTCTAAGATTAGGCTTTGACCCTTTTTCTATCAAGATCTGATTATTAATTTTCCCCTCCAGCTGCTAAACATTTCCATGTAAATTCTCCAACTATGCCCCCTGACACAAATATTAAAACACAGTTTGTTTTTTGGCACAGAGAGAAGTTTATTAGGAATACAAACAAAAAGAAAAAAAAGCTAATGATATATAATAAACCTCTCTGCCACCCTATGACATCACACAAAATCACCCAGGATGGGAGGGTGGGTGGGAAGAAAAATGAAACAGTACAATACAAAATCTCTGGCGTATGCTTAAAGTGAAAACTGATGTGAAATGAAACACAAAACTCTTAGAGCCTGATACCAGAGGGTGTGTATTGCACAATTAATCTCTCTGAACACAGGCTTGTCCAAAGGGGGTAAATTGGTTACAAGTATTTGGTGTTCGATGAAGACAACAACTTCTACCTGATCGATTATTAAGTATTCTCATGACCTGTTTGCTAGATAATGTTTGGATGTTATATAGGAAGAAGTTACATTTTAATCACTTCTGTATTTAAGGTGGGGATCTTTTAATGCCTCAACTTCTCACTGGGCTAAGTCATTCCCTTCACAGCTTCCTTCCATGTTTATGTAAATTAACCAACAGATTTTGGTGTCGCACAAGTGTAGACTTTGTTAAGTTTGTCAATTTTCAACACTTATCAGTTGTGTGGTGTATTAAAATTTTAAAGAAAAGTTGCTGCAGGTACAGTTATTTGTTAGTTGAAGGAGGGGATATCCTCAGGCCAGTTGTTTAATGGCAGAAAGATTTTCATACAAATTATACTTTTTTGGTTTATTTTCAGTCAATAAATGAAGATTCCTTGAAGAGGTTGAACTCATACCTGGAAGATCTGCAGAAGAAAAATCCTGTGAATCCCACACACTTGATGTTCTATTTAAAAAATGATACAGCAACACCACCACTTGAAGAGGGTAAGGCATATTAAAACTTAGAGGTCTGTGATGATGATGTAAAACAGCATTATATGTTTCTGTTATAGAGTTTCTCCTCCATTGTGAAATGTTATAATTTTTGACTTAATATTTTGGTCATTGCACAGTTAATTCATACTATCCTATAGTTAGTCCAATGGTGTAGGGGATTCCTCAGGGGTGCCCATGACCCCTCCCCCTTCCCCTTGTAAGCATTTTTTAGTCCTATAAATTAAAACACAGCATGGAAGTCAACATGATGATCTGTTTTAAAAGTAACCTCTGTTTTACACAGTGTGACCGCCCTTTGAAAAATCCTGGCTATGCCCCTGAAGTCCTCTATTGTTTCATTTTGTGTTCCTTCTTTTATTTGTGTATTACCTCTCAAATCAGGAAAATGTTATAATGTTATCCCATGCAAGGGCAGTAGAGTCCTTATAGCCCAAGGGCAGCACAGTCAAATGTTGTTTAAAGAAGATTGCCAATGTGAGGGTGTTGCCTAGAGTTGTTATACAAGTCCAACATCTTATACTAAGATTTTGGAATTTATAATTATTGATAAATTATTAATTGTTTGACATGTGATTGTTAGGGCTGGATCTCTTCAAGACGGTAAGAGTTTCACTTTTCTCTCGTGATGTCCAGTTCACCATTAGTCACATTTTGAAGACCTGTGGTATGTTGGAGGATTTGGTTACTCTGCACCAGAACAGTGAAAAACCTAAGGTGTCAGTTGCACTTCCCTATGATGCACCACATCACTGGCTTAACGTTTATAAACAGTTCAGTGACAGGCAGAGCCCTTTGGACCTTGCTCAATTGCAGAGAAACTCACGACTCTCTTTGAGAGACTTCCTTGACAAGAACATCCAAGATGCCAGGGGAAAACAAGAAAGTAGTAAATCTGTCATAGAGGAGAGTAAACTGCTTTCTGATAAGATATGTAAAGAACTCATGTTGAACAAGCTGGAGTCAATCAGTGGCTGGAGTCATGCATCCTATCATGGCTCCCTTAAAAACTTTTGGAACCTTTGCTTGTCCAAGAAGTCTGAACTTCAGAATCTCAAGGGACATACAATAATTTTTACAGACTGGACAGGAGTTGATCCTCTTGGGCGTGTCATGTTGAATACTCAAGATGTTCCAGAATTTTGGCTCTCGGTAAGTTAAAGAAGTAGCAGCACAACTTTTATGGCCTTGTGGCAGCAACCACCCAAGCTTATTCTACTCTTTTAGGTTGAAGACATATTTGAAGTCATGCTAGATTGCATGCCTGTCAAAAAGATTGATGAAACCTTTAGTGGTTTTGAATGCTTGTCGAAAGAGGTGTTCATTGGTCTGGACATGGTTTTTAAATGCAAAACTATTGGGTAGCAATTTAATTTGAGTGAAAAAACAAGATTGAGTGAAAACACTTTTTTTTTAATTCACCCCCTTTTGGCTGCTCACAGAACCCACAGCTCTTGAGTCTTGAGCATGAAACTCACATGGACAAATTCAATCTGATGCTCTCATGTTGAAACTATCACTTCCTTTTCAGAACTTAACATCCTTGGAAGACTATGACGTTCTTGTTGATCAGGTACCTATGTGGGAGAGAAAACTATCCTCATTACTTGGAGACATGAACATCAAATACAATGAAGATTCACCTTCTGTCTCAGTTGTGGAATATCTAAACTACCTTTACCGAGTGGTTTCCTTGCTGAAAAAAGGATTACTTGGAGCTGATGCTTCAACAACCATTCAGCCAGGGGAATTTAAAGTGTGTACTGCAAGAATCCTGAGGTTTGTTAGTTTTTGTGTCACCAGGTCATTACGAGAAAAATTGAAAAGTTTTTGTGCACAAATTGTCAGTGGGGAAAGAGATTATAAATTTGAACAAGGATCAGATTACTGGCAACTCATCCATTTCCAACAGACATGGAACATGTCAAACAATTCAAGCATTTCTATCAAGAATTTGTCGATTTGGGTTGACAATGAAAAAGGAATGCCAGGCAAACCTTACCATGGGCCTGTCACTGGCATCCCATGGAAAAAAAGGTTATGTCACATTATTTGAGTCTTATCTTGAGCCTGACAAAACTACAGTGCTTAGTGCTTAAAAGTAAGCCAACTCCCTCAAAACTCAACCATTGATCCTCTGAGTTGAGAATGGAGACAATTGAGTCAAGTTTCAAGATGTTCAAAACTCGTTTTGAACTTCCTGAAATGAGGAAACAAAGGTGTTAGTTGGATTAGTCTGAAGCATTGATAGGAAAGGCAATGATTTTAAATCTGTAGAAGGAAAAAGGATGAATATAATACAATCAAGCTAGAAAATAATTTTAAAATGGATAATTTTTTAGCAAACTAAGTGATTAAAAATTGTTACATTTTTTTTAGCCCTTCAGATGCACTCAGCTTGTCACTTAGTGGTGAGTTCCAAATACCAACTTCAATTCCAACAGAGTTAATTGTGGATTTTTTGGGAAAGCACAAACAGAAGGCTATGGACCTCCATGAAGAGAACAAAAAGTATGGAAACTTATTTATCATTAAAACCTGACTGCAGTATTTATTACAAGTCAAATGACTATCAAATTAAAAAAAAAATGTTATTCTTTGGTATAAAGTCTACTTTGTCTTTGCCAGCAATCTATGAGCCTTATACCTCTACTTAATCAAAAATATACATACAGTAGACCCTAACTAACTCAAATTTCCAAGGGAAACAAAAAAGGTTCCAGTTTGTTGCATTCAAGGTAGCTGATAGTAAATGACTGGGAAAAAAGTCACCAGGATGTTTGAGGCTGTGTTTGAGTTAGCGGGGTTCTACTGTTGCCTACATTTGTACATGTGATAAGTGCTTTTAATCTGCACGAGAAAGAGTGACATTAAATTATTGGTGTGCTGGGGTCAGGGGGGCAGTTGTAATCCTATTTGCTGTATGCTGAAAAGAAAAGGATAAAGTCTTGCAATGTGTGCCACTTTACAGGGCTCAAAACATGGCTTTGAATTTTTCATCTTAAACTACATGCTAAAGTTGTAAATTTGCTGATGTTTATTATGTATCGTTTTTGTTTCCAGGAACATATTAACAGAGGAGCAAGCAGTCCAGTCATGTAAAGAGAAATTTCAGTTCTCCTCTCTGTCTAAAGACAGCTCTGTTTCACCAATGCAGATGAGTGACTGCTGTGAGAGACTTCTTGAGGAAGATTACCCTGATCTTAAAAATACAACCCTCATTGTTTCTAAATATTACCATGTTAATGAAGATGGTCAAATCAGTATTCCATGGAACTGGAAGTGAATCTCTTACTTGGATGGGAGACATATTTGTTTTCATTTGGCCCTTTTTCTCTCAGGAGTGTCCAAAATGGAAATTGCTACATACGATTATTATAAATATGTTATTCTCGAGACAGGCAATAACTAGAGAATTTGTAATTCAGTCAATTAAGTAACCCCTAATTGACAGATCTCTTTATTCTCACCTCTTGTCTTCTTGATATTGTAGTGATATGGCTGGGAGAAATTCACTCTTGGTAACTCATGGTGGTTGAAGTTTTAATTTAAACTAGCAGATAAAATTATAAGGGCTGAAATAATGATAAATTTATGGCTGATAGATGGATCTTGGGAGTGAAAGGGTAAATGCAGGACAATTTCTGACTCTATTTTCATTTGTATAAAAATAAATAAACTAATGTATTAAATAATGACTGATAAGTCATATCATTTTTAAGGGCCTATATACACACATAAAACACCTTAGACAGTGTACTAAGTGAATGATGTGGGTTTGATAGTAAGTAATGAATCAATGGATGGAGAAATGTTACTTATTAAAATAAATTCTGTAAATATTGATGGGAAAATGTATTAAATTTAAATGATAATATCCTCCTTGTAAGTTAAGGGAATTTTCAATCACACAAAAGGATGGAGTTTTAACTTAAGGATTCACAATTGAGTCTTACTTGTGGTGAATATTTGCGGTAGATTTTATTTATTATGAATCCAGTGAATACTGAACTGATAAGTATTCTAGAAGTATGCTCTGTAAGTTAATGTTAGACATTTTAAGTTATATAACTTTTTGATAATTATTATTAGATGTGAAAGAGTAGTTTTGATAAGTGGTTCATATGCACTTTTTTTTAAGGTTTGGATGCAGTAAATATCGGAAAATGCTAAGTAAGAATTGATTAACATTCAAATTACCTCCTCAAGACCCTAACAATTCTGGAACATATATTTTTAAAACTGATCTCAGTTAATTTACACATGTCATGTCCTATTTTTATAATTGTCATACTGTGACAGTATTGGAGGATGAACAATTTAAACCAGCATTTGCTTAGTTTAAAATTTCTTTTTGGTTTTTTTCCTTTGTGTGTGAACCAAATCATCTTAGGACCCCCTGGGAGCCCACAGAGAGCAGCTGCATCTATTTTGGTTTAATTTGATTTCAGGGCCCTTTCCTGCTGAGTTTTAATTATTTCTTGGGTTCTATAATATCACCTGTAGTCATAGCTTTCATTTGATGGAGGTACAAAGTTTATTTTCATTTCAGTTTCCTGGAGTAAACAGTTGTTGTTCAAACATGGAGAAATCTTATTTTATTAATAACAATATATTACTATAAATTATCATTATTTATTCTAATAGTTAAAATAGGATTACTGATACTTATTTAATGGTTATGTGCCAATCAATTCTGTAAGCTTCAACATTCCCCTTGTGCCATGGGCAACCCACAGGCATTTGACCATCATCTGTGCCCAGGGGGTGGAATATTTGAACCTTGCCTTGAGAGGTTGGGGAATTTGAACCAGAGGTGTCAAGTCTTTTGAGCAGAATCTAAGTTTTACATATTTAAATACAAAGGTGTGTATGGCAAATAGTTCACTCTCATGGGCAAATGGTTCAAAAGAAAAGGTTTACAAGGTCTAGGTTTTAGAGCTTGGTTAATGTTTAGAGTCACAGTTGCTGATTTTGCCTTTTAACAACCAAAAAAAAAATTGGGCCGAGCATTTGACCACAATTGTGAAGACAACTAAAATTTCTCTCAACAGGAAATCTCCTCACAAAGTTGCTCACCTCAAAAAAGACACTTTCTGATTGCTCACTAAAATTTCTCTCAACAGGAAATCTCCTCACAAAGTTGCTCACCTCAAAAAGACTTTCTGATTGCTCATTAAACCCTTAAATCTTTCCCTTGGGGATATAACATGTTATTTTATTCATGGTTTATCTTTTTAATAAGTACTTTAAATGTATAAAATGAAGGTTCAATAAAGAGTTCCTAATTCTTTTTTTGTTAGAAGTCATTTGTCTTTTTCTTTGTGATCTATTTACATTTATTTATATTGTGATATATTGGCAGGGAGGGAATCTAGAGGCATGTTCCTGGGGAAAGTTTGAATTTCTAAACCCTTTAACCCCTAAGAGTGACCAGCATCTAATTTCTCCTTACAATATCACCACTGAATCACACATTAATGTCAGGAGAATAAAGGAAATGATCACCAACCAAAAAAAAAAAACTCTTGATTGTTGGAGAAATTCTCCCTGTCAGCATCTTAGTAAATGCAGAGAGAACAGTACAGAGAATATAAATGCAGATGTTAGAGTCTAAGGGATCAACACTTGTTAATTTAAAGTTCACTATAGAGCCTTAGTATTATATAGCAAAAGGCAGAGAACTGAACTTTGCAGAAAAATATTTATTAAGAATACAAAAACGTTAATTAAAATTTGCAAGTGTACTATATTAATTATATTCCACCTCTTCTTAATTATTGACATTAAAATATGATCATTCAGCAAGTAGTAAATCCAGCTCAAAACTGTCCCTCTCATCTATTAATTCTCAATTTCACTGTAGACAATTTATAGCCCATTGACTGAAAATATTGATTCACTGTTTTGCCTAACAAAAGTTGTACTGCAGTAATAGGGAAGTTGATGGAAAGAGTCATCGCTGACTAATTTCCAGAAATCAAATACATTGATCTCAAAAATTCCCTGAATATCCAAGGTATAATCCAGTCTCCTTTGCAACTGTTCTTTGGAATGCCATGCAGTGCCTGGCTCAAAGAATGGTTGCAAAGGAGACAAAGTTAAGATCTTTCATTTACTATCCAAACTAAGGGGAGAGGTAAATAATGCCATGATATAAGGACCATCATGAGCTTTACATTTCCCTTCTTGTTTTTTAGGAATACAGCATTGTGATGCAATTGCTATGACAAGACTGAAACCTCCTCTAGACTGGAAATCCTACTGACTTGTGTTTTACAACAGCTCTGGTGTGCAAAAAGACATGACATTTCATCTGTTAAAATAAAGTTATATTAAGTGACAGTTATTTCTAAAATTCTGCAGAATTTGGCTTAAATCTTCCAGTTATTTAATGTAATGTCTACAAAAAGACAATTGCATTCAAGCATCAACTACTCATTTGAATTGATAGTTGATCAAGCTCTAAAATTCACATGTAGAAACTTACAATTATAATAAACTTGTTCATTTTATGTCAAAGGTGATTCAGGCATTGCAAGGTCAATAGAAGCGCATTTGATGTATCCAAAGCCAAAATGCTCAGACAGTAGCCTTTGAACACATATAAACATCTTGATTGTGTAGGTGGCTCAAGTCAGGGTACAGGGCTTCCTTATCCTTTCCTGTCCATGCACGGCCATCTCTGAGTGCTTCATTTAGACTGTCAATCCATGTTGCACGGTCCATTTTGGTATCAGCAGCCAACAGGTACCTTATATTTGGTAGTTAACAAACAGAAATTGCTGAACTAGTTCCCTTTCAATTTTGACGCTAAAACACTGTCATCATTACAGCTTCACAAATGTTGAAGATATACAAGAGTCTTATGATAGTAATATACAGGTCTTTCAAGAGGATTTGAGGTAGAAGGCACCTACCCATTTAAAACAAGAGTCTTTAAAAAATAAAGGAGGAATGAAGAGTAAAGCATGAAGAGAGTAAAGTAAAAGCAACTAAAATAATTTCCCAAATCAAGCAGGAGCAATCAATTGTTATTACATATAAATTTGAATTCCATAATTTTTAGTTTGACAACTTTTCACTAGTTTGCTAATGTTGGCACTGTATAGCATACAAGTGAAATAAAGTTGAACCTATTATTAACTTTACCGACGATGATTATATCATGACTATACTATAACTTACTTGACTTCAGTACCACAAGACCTCCTGAGCTTCAGTTCCATAGTGTTTGGACGAGCACACAGGTCTCTCGCCACTCTTGTGACTTCTTCACTGATACAATCTGCCAAATTGATGCAGCCCATTGGGGACTTTAACAGAAAGAAACACGACTGTTAGATAATGTAAATTGAGCCAAAGAGTCCAAGCCTTGTAAGAAAAATCAGGAAAATTGGTAGGTCAGAGTATCTCAATTTTCTTGGCTTGTTGTGTTACTTATAAATTTAAATCAAACACTTCCAGGACTTTTGCAGAGGTTCTGTATGACATGATTCAAAGGTTAGTCCCAAACACAGTATTTCTTGCTTAGATTTTTGTTGCCTAGGAAATAATTTTCATTCCTTTCCCATGACTTCTGAAGACCCAAACTAACATTCTGTGACCTCTCAGGACTAAAAAATGATGTAATTTTTAATTTCAAAATTTCAAAATAATTGGGGATTCACTTTAAAAAATACCTTGGTTTCCTCATCTCCTGGATATCTCCAATAGGACATCACAGCTCCTTGTAGCACACACCATCTTCTCTGCCAGGCTCCATAGCCCCCAATGTCCTCTAAGATAGTCTGATGAAAAAAGGGAGACAATTTGATGGTGAGAACCTGTAATGATAGATGTTCAAAACTCTCCATGACCCTAAAAGGTAAAGCCTGTACTGGAGCCTATTGACCCACCCATAGAGCTTATCCCAGTTTCCATGTAGCATGTAGTAGCTAAGAGTATTACCACTCCCTCATGGATAGGATGATTGTCCACTGCAAGGTTACCCACCAGCATTTTAAGGGGCTTCCTGGAAAATTCAGTAGAACCCATTTATACTTTTTGATGGAGAGAGACACAGTGAGAGTGAAGTGTCTTGTCCAAGAACACAACACATTGATGCAGCCAGGTTTTGAACCTGGACCTCTCAATCCTGAGTCCAGTGCACTGACCATTAGATTACTGCATCTCCTACATCCATGCTCCAAAGTGACATGATAAAATGTACAACATCAATGCTCTCTACAAAAGATTTTCAGCAAGAGGAACACCTTTCTTCCTGACATCTTTTCTATGGCTGACAACATGTGCTTTTCCCACAAAGTGAGGGATATTGTTCATCCCCATTGCCTGCAATCTTGGTACCTTGTATATATATTACCTATTAAAACACTGATTTTTAGCAGTCTCCACCATAAGTACACATAGGCCCCTACCAGAAATCCATTGACACTGCTGCTGTATTGAGGAGAGCAGTCAACTTTCATTTCCAAGAAGTTTGCCAAAGGACAAGTGTCAGGCACCTGATGATAAAATAAAGGCAAGTTCTCAATAGTGCAAACTAGTGTGGCATTTTTAAAAACTCCATATACATAATCAAAAGATGGGTTTGATCAGATGCATTTTTCATTTTGAGAGCTACAAAATCCATCAAAAACCATATATAGTAATAATAAAACATTATTGCATTGCTGCAGTTCTTTCTGCTTCTTATGAGTCAGTAGGGAGTCCCCTAGAGCAAAGGGGTTCTTAAATGGACTCAGATCTGACTGCTGCAAAGGCTCTTGTTGCTGCCATCATAGTCAACATTCTTCCTTCCCTAACTTCTATTATATTGACAAAGAAATATATTAACACACCTTATCAAGAGAAAATCGTTTTGATTTGATGATTGGCAGGTTGACATGTGTCACTCCAACAGGCACAAAGCTACTAGTTCTGAACACTGTTTGTGGTGACGCTGAAACTTGAGTCGCTGAAAATATATTTCAGGATTTCTATCAGTTATTAATGAGCTTTTAATAATTACCTGAATTACTTACTAAAAGTACTTACCTGGTGAAGGAGTGTCAGATGCACGTCGCTGAATGGAAAAAGCAGACAAACAAAGGAATCTCAGTGAGTAAGCATGTGAATGACGAAGGCTGAATGTTACACCCCAGAACTATTTGCAAAACTAATTATTACTCAGGGCTGTAACCTGTGTTTCTTGTTTCACTCATTGTTATGGGTGAAGATGTTAATTGTTGTTGTTAAGTTACACTTGCCCACATATCTTGGATGTAAGAGGCTGCTTCAAAACTGACTGAAAGGCCTGAATTACCAATTAAATGTTTGACACCTGTACCTAAGAGATCCCTCATTCTTATTTTCTGCATGCAAAACAACTTTGAAGATTAATCATATAGTATACATAAAGATCATTCTTATTCTTACACCAGCAAGCTTCCCTTTCACCACTTTAGGTGATTGGAAGATCTTGTGTTTGGTAGGAGTGGATACAGGTGCAGACATTAGTGTCTTTTTCACATTCTGAAGAAAAAAAAACACTCAATTAAAATTATTCTAAATAATACTTAACTTTTGAATCTTATGATCAAAAATCTGGATGTATATATGAAATTTTGCATTTACAATGCACTAGAAAAATATTCTCTATCTTCCTTGGTATATGAAAACAGTGGGAATTGAGCCTGATAGTTGAGTTTGCAGATCTCATTTTGTGAGTTGTAGGATTGTTATTTTGTGGACCAAAGTTAAGAGTATTAAAAAGTTAAAACTTACCATGCAGAAAAGCTTCACAGCTATAGTAAAATCTGGTTTAAGGTCCTTCCTGTGACAGCAAATAGAATAACACAAGATCTCAGGCACACTCTTGAAAATTTCCCAATTCATTAATGGCATGAAACTTAGAGGGTTATAGGGGTCTGGTCAATCTTAGTGCCTGGGCTCAAGGTTACGCACATCTATACAAGTTGCCTAGTAAAAAACCACTGTAACCTGCAGTTCCTCATGGTGCTGGTTAAGATTAAACAGCCTTGCAGTGATCAAAACACCATTTAACATGAAAATTCACTTACCAAGTAAACTTGTCAGGGAACATCAGAAAGTTTCCTTCAGTGGCATCATTTGTTGATAAAACTCTAGAACAGTAAAACTCATGTGGCCCATGTTGGACGATGCAGACAAAGTAAAACACACCAAGATCTGACAAACAAACATCAAACAAAATCAGCTTTCTTATTTACAGAAACACATATTTGACCAGTTCCAAATGTCAACATCCAGGGAAGCTTGTAAATTGCACTGTAATTCACAAATTTCCATTGATTCCTTCCTGAACAAACTGTATATGTAAATTTAGCAAGATCTTTAAGGTCAATTCCCCTACTGGTACTTTAATTCTTCATATTGTACTCTATACACAAATGTACAACTTAACCCTTTCACTCCCACAAGTGACCAAGATAGAATTTCTCCTTACAATATCAATACAATATCAAGCAGGCAGGTGATGAGAATAGAGAAGAATGTCACCAAGGGATTATTAGTTGATCCAATGCCAAATTCTCTGAACTAACATCATAAGAATTGTATGGCAGATAGTAAGGAGAATTATTAATTAGATCTTGGAAGTGAAAGGGTTAATGTTCTCCCCACTCCTACTACCAACAGGAGATCAGCATTTAGAAGGTTACACATACTACAGTTGAAGATCAGCAAAAGGGGATATAATTGTTACCTTACCATTTCTGATGCCCACTCTCAGCATGTCCATAAATTCTTGATGAAGAGTAATTTTGATATCTATGAAATAAATAATTTTTTAAATCGTCTCAATAGAGAATTTCAATTGTGCCTAAAGAGAAAAATGTTCATGTCATCAGTTAAACCAAGGTCAAATAACTATTAGACAGTCACCTGACAGGGATAAGGTTGCTGTACATGCTGGCATCTCAGAACCAACATTTGTTGCTTTAAATTCCTGCGCACCTTCAGCACCACCAGTTTTCAATTTGTTGACCTCATCTAGACATGCTGTTCTGTGCTCAGCTTACAATAAAATTTGTTAGAATTAGAAAGTGAGTAATTTTGCAACTATACTATTGATAATTAAATTATAATAATAGTATATCATAATAAAGAATGATATGTCAAAATAAACTTATAAGAAATAAAGTATTTTTTACACACTTTCTGATAGTCTGGGATTAAATATTTAATGCTGTGTTTAGAGGAAGAATATAAATTCTGATTACTCAATGCTCCTACAATTGAGATACAGATGAGTATATCAGTTACTCTATATTTAGTCAAAGACAATTGCATACAAGTATGTAGAGAATTTCAGCGATGAAATGCGATAACATTGTTCACAAGTGCACCTACTTGCAAGTAATAACACTTTTTCTGCTTCAATTTCTTCCCGGGAACCTTTAAAGGTGATGTCATTGACAACACACAAATTCAGAGCTTGACTTGCCTGAAGGACAATGTTCTGTTGGTATGCTGCCTCCTCAAGGAGGACCTATGAAGACAGATTTAACCATTAATCTAAGAACTTTATTTATAACAAATTTAAAATAAATATTGGTTTATTGTCTTTCCTTCCCTTTTCTTGTACTGTATTTCTTCCCATGTCTACTGACCTCTTCAAAAAATTTTTTCAAGTCAGCAGACACATTCACTCCTGAAGGCAGATTCTCTTTGAGAATATATTGATATAGTGACAAGAAACTCCTTTTCTATGACTTGTGGGAATGAAAGGGCAAGGGGCACAGAGAGGATGTGAATTTTAAAAAATCAGTGGTAAATGCTGAATTGTAAATTAAGTGGACTTCATGCATGTACTCTTTTTCAAGCATACTTTAATCTCATCTTGTATTCTCTTTGGTCTCTGTGGTACTGGCTGTTTAGGCGTGTGTACTGTCTTGGTAGCATATTGTTCACTAGTCTGGCTGTTGTATCCAGATTGGTAGGTGCCTCTTTCCTCTCTATCAGACTCCATGGAAGATGTTGAAGCAGTTTCTTTCCTCTTCCTCTCTTCTCTCTTTTGTTCTTTCTCAAGCTTACAAAAAGGAACAAAATAAGGTAACACAAGGTTAATACATACAGGTGAAGCCAAAGCTCAGCACTCTATAAAATGTGTCAATAGTAAGTTCCCATGATGGGATAAATGTCTTGAAGGCCAAGAGGTTTATTCAACGTAACAAATACATGGCCTAGTATGACAGGCTAAAACCTGGAAATGTGGTAAAGAGTTAAGGGCTAAGTTTCTCAGAACCTAATAAAAATGAGACATGTACATGTAATATGGAATAATTATTGAAAAAATATTATGTGATGAGTGTTGCTACAGTATTAAAATCTGGATCAGCTTAGAGTGCTTATCACATGTGCAAAGCATATCACCAAATTAGAAAAATAAAAATAACTGCTTATGACATTATAATGCAAAGTTCAATAAATATCAAAGATTAATGGATCACAGTTTTAGATACAGAAATGATGAAAAGAAAAAACAACTTCAGCCACCGTACCTGTTTACACTTCTCTTCATAGCTCATTTGAAAAATGCCCTCCCTCTCTTTCTCAAGTTCATCGAACTGACCAAAGTCAAAGGTGAATGTCATTTCATGAATGTTTACATCATTAAGGTTGATAGTTTCATTTGGATCAAAGTGGGACTCTTTGGTAGGTCTTTTAGGAACTTTAAATGCAAACTCCTCTCTTTTAGTAGATTTTCTTGGCTTCTTTGAAGAGCCTTGGGCCTGTTTCTCCCACACAACAGGTGTTACCGCCTGTTTGGAATCCTGGTCAGCTACTTTGGCAGCACTTGGAGGTTTCTCTATTTTGGATTCTTTCACTGCATTGACTCTGGTTTTTTCCCTTTTGTTCTCAATCCCTTTTTCTTCTGAGTTATCACAGGAAACTGCTTTGACAGTAACAATGCTTCCAGTGATTTCCCTGTTTGCAACAACAACTTTTGGGCTTTTCTCTTCAACCACACAGGCCTGGATGACATGTGGTTGTTCTTCTGTCAGTTGCTTTCCATGATTCAGCTTCACTCTTTCATCACTGCCAACTGAAGTGGCAACAATAGTCACTTTGTCATCTGAAGTTTCTTCCCTTCTATTTTCTTTCACTTGCTTATTGTCAGCACATCTTTCCTGTGCTTCATTGCCTGCTTCATTCAAGTTAATCACTTTTTTTCGTGGTTTTGGCATAGGTAGATCACCATCAGCTTTGTTGACACCATTTAAATCATCAACACTTCCTTTCCTTTCCCGTTTGACCGGAACAGGGGGAAAGTTTCCATTGCCTTCCTCATCAGTGGATGAACTTCTTTGACTTGTTTTAGCACTCTTTTTTTCATCTGCACCTTTGCTGATTTTTGCCATATCACTCTTATTGTCATTCCTAATCTGGCTTTGATCCTGACAAGTTGTAGGAGGTTCTGGAGCTTTCCGTTTGATCAAAGAGTTGCTATTTTGATCTCTGCCTTTGTTTCCTTTAGTATTCTTTGGTGGAGATGGAGCTTTTCTCTTAGCTACTTGCAACTGTTCTTCAGAACTTTCATCAGAAATGTCCTCAGTGACTGCCACTCTTGGGGGCTTAGGGGGAGGTATAAATTTCTCTTTTTCAATATTCACTCTGCTTTTTGTTGACACACCATTCTCAAACACACTCCGTGCCTCAGCCAGTTTACTAGGGGTATGTGATGCCTGAGGCTCAAGATATTTCTTGTCCTTTATATTCTCCTGAAAACAAAAGACATTCAAACATCAAATTAGCATAAATAAGTTACAGGTAAATTTTGCCCCCCATATTGTAGGTGCTCAATGTGTTCAGTCTCACAAAATGTAAAATACTTCCCAGATATGTTTTAAATGCCAAGTAAACAAGGATATTTATGTTATTGATTATAATAACGAATCACCTTCTGTTGATCCTTTGCAGCATTGGCTTGGAATGCTTCAGATCGTGATGCTACACTAGGGCTGCTGACATTGCAATTGTTCACTCCAGTTCCTTGGGTTACAGCTTTCCAATGTTTCTTTGGCCTTGCACCATTTTCTTGATCTTTCTGTTGCATCTTCATCAGCCTTTCTTTTCTTGCCTAATTGAAAGAAAGATTGGCCGTTTTTATGCTAGAGACATTAAAGTCGTCTCGAGACGACTTTAACGTCTTAGACAACATTAAAGTCTCTAGCATAAATGCATCTATTACAATGTTGCATCTAAAAGGATAATTTTTTTTTTAATGGTGAAGGAAGGTCCTTCTCTTAGAAATTTTTCCTTCCTCAAAATGAGCATCGAGTTTACAAGGAAGAAGTTCCAAATTGGTCACTCCTTAACATAAAGGTTGAGGGCTTTAACTACATGTAACACTTGACAATGTGCATGCTAATAGACTACAATATTTGAGATTTGACTTTAATCTTCTTCATCATTCTAAACAGCATATGACAGTCTGCGGCCTTTCCCTGCATCTAGACAGCTCAGAGAGCCACAAAACTCTAGACAAAGTTGTGCAGTCCTGCTAAGCACTTTTCTCTCAACCAATTAGTTCTTGCTTTTTCTTGTTACCCTGTTTCCACCAATAGCGTAGCTCCATTTTTTGCATTTAAAACTCATAACCAACAACTCCTCCATTTTTTTTGGATGAAGGGCTAACACTTGAACATCAGCATTAGAAATTCTTTATGGTGGCCAATTTACATTTTCAACTCAGTTGATAAAATCAGCTTATCCTATAATATTTGAAGTTGATGGTCGTCACTGTGCACTGGTACAGTGTAGATATTCTTCAGTTGATTTTGCAGGCAATTTACCTGAACTGATGGGCTATTAACATCAATGTCCTTGGAATTTTGCAAAATAGCACTTTTGCCACTGTCCTCACTGCCAATTCTGCGTCTTTTGATGTCATCAGTATCCACCTCAGCCGAGCAGCTGTCAGTGTTGTCTTCTGACAAGGGACGCCGAGTTCTATCATGAATGGGCGAATTTCTCTTAGCTCTGCATGCTTCAAGTTCTTCACGCTTTTTGACAAGTTGGTTTTTCCTTGCCTGAGTCCTTGCCAATAATTTCTGTTAAAAACAAATAAATTATCAACCGTAAGAATTTATTTTTTGAAAAGGGTTTGATAGATAGAAGGAAATTGGGAAGAATGTCACGACGAATGAAAATAACTTACACGTAATATAATAACAAGCTATTAGCCTTTACTTATTAAAAAAAAACATTTTGTAAAACAGGATTAAACTTCCGTAAAGAGCTGTTGTTAGGTTACTTTTTTCAAATGATTTGACAGTTACATTTCAGATAAGCATCGGTAATTTTTCTGTTGTACTGGAACGAATGGAATGTACTAGTGATTTCTCGCAGATCACGTAGGGAAGAACGTTAAGTTAAAAAAATATCTGTTTTAGAAACATAGAGGACAACTCAATAATCAAAGAATTTTTATCACCAAAAACAAATGCTACGTTTTATCTATAATTTTTCTTCTGTTGAACTGAAAGTTAGAGACTAATTTTAAGCTTTATTACAGTACAACAGCGACGTGGTAAGATTCAAAGCATCTGTTCGCCTGTTTAGGCGAAAAATTAAACTCTTGCACCCAATTTCAATCTATTTAAGTTTCAACTAACCAACGACAAGTACATTATTATCATTCACAGAAACAAAACATTGGACATGAACAAGACCCCAGCTGCGTACCCTTGAAGTATTTTTAACGACAAGTTTCGCTTGAGTTTCTCGATTTACGACTGTTCCTCAAAACGCAAGCAAACAAAGAGTTGAAGAAATTACCTGAGTAAATGGGTCCATTTTAAGTATGGAACTTTATATCATTAGGGTGTTGAAGAACGCTGAATATTCCTTTGTGTGAAAATATCGCCTTGAAAAATTCCACCTTCGAACCGTTCACTTGCGAAGTCGATTTGAAAGTAAGCGCTCGAAACAATATTCCTGTCACGTGACTCATAATGCGACCCAGTCCACAACGGCTTAGAATGGTTACTTAGACACCGATCGCGGCGAACAAATAGTTTACTTGAGATATTGTTTTTCTTTCTTTCCGGCACTGAAAAAAGACTGAAATATTGTGATTAAGAAAATTTGTCCTAATTTCACCCATCTGCCGTCATGCACTTTGCACAGGTTTGAATCTTTGAGGGATAGTAAAACAGGCTATCGTTTGGGATTAATTTGTTATCAGGAAGGGGAGGGTAAAACGCGGAGTCTGTTCATTCTATGGCTCACCGGTACACAAAATGCAGAATCAAAATGTAGTTGCCTCTAAGTTTTCTTTCTTGCTAGAAAAACAGATGCGGTGAGGGAGCTGTTCTCCAAACATACACTTGGCGAGGAAAAAAGGGAAGAGTCAAAGGGAAAGCTTCTCTATACTGTTTGGAATCTTTTCCAAAATGAATGTTCGGCAGTTAATAACCATGTCTCTCTCCGAGTGTCATCTCATACAACCGAGGACTAGTAAATGTAGAAAAACGAGGTTTAGGTCCTGGCACAGAGCAAAAAGAACAGCCAGCGAGATGGCAGATAACATTTCACCATACGTCTCCATACGTCTACTTTCTACTTTTTAGGACCTGGGTACAAGATTATTCATACCGGGAAGCCTTTGCTGGGGACTGAGGCAAACTTTATTCTCGTCACAGAACTTTAAAATATATAACTTATTTAAACTGTAACAGTGGACTAAGAGTCACATCTTAAACTCACAAAATAGTTAAAATAACATTCTTTAACATATATTGATTAAGCAATTACAATTAAACTGCAGATGACTTTCAAAATTATGGCTTTGTTCCTCTCTGCAAAATGTTTAAGTGATATTTTATCAAAAATATTGTTGACAGATGTTCATTTCTCAGGTTGGTGTGTCAAAATGCACCACAAGATGTTATGGGAAGGTAATTTTCATCACCATTATAACCATTACAGGAGCCTGTTATAGCCTATACATCTTCAAAAATTAGCCTGTGTAATTCCTGTCATCATAGGTAATTCATTTTGATCTTCTTCCCATTCAACCATTATTTTTGCTTTTAAAAAAGGAGGTTTTCTGCAAACAACCAAATGATATTCAATCATGAAAAAATTGTATAATGTTTCAACAACTCTGTGTAATCATTTTGTTGGCCAGAGTACAGGTAAGTGTGAGTTTATCTGTGTGAAATTTAAGATACAGTTGATTAAAATAAATTCTAAGATGCAGAGGGTGTTGATTATAACATGTCAGAATGAGTGTTCAATTTCTATACAATATTCCTCAAAAGAGACTCGAAACTCATACTAAACACTCAATCTGAATCTTTCAAAGCAAATTGATTCACCATATAAACACTTTCTGCAAACTGCATTTGATAAAAATAAAATGCAACTTAACTTTTCATGCTCTCTATTCAATATTGAAACTCACAAAATCTGACTTGCGTGCATTTAAAAATGCTGACAGGACTCATTGACACATCTTTCAACAAATTTATGCCATTACCAATATCTAACCAGACAAACCAAATTTATAATTTTAAGGTTTCCTTCCCTTCAACCTCTTCCCTTTTAACATGTAACTTCTCCCTATAATATCCCTGCATCATCCAGAAAACAGGTAACAAGAAGACTCAAAGTTATTACTTAGAGGTTGTTATCTTAATCCAACACCCAATTCTTGTAAGTTATGGACCAAGAAATTTGTAGTGGCAAGTGGAGATAATTAATAAGCAGATCTTCCGAGTTAAATTTGAAAGTTAATCCAAAATATATGTTGCTGAAGTTCCTTTACAGGCCCACAAGGTCACTTTCTAGACAAAGCTGAGAAGTGTGGACTAGAGGAATAGGAAGAACTGCTTCCATTACGGCTCTCTGAATCATTCTGATCTACATGTTTGAACCCAACATGCAGTGTATCATCAGTTGAAGAATTCCTTCTTTCAAGCCCTAACATTTGGCGGCTCACAAGCTTTGCGTAGAGTCCATTTTGGTGGACTAGCTCTTCATGCTTTCCTTGAGCAATAACTTGACCCTGATCAATAACAACAATTTTGTCAGCTTTCTCGATAGTACTCAAACGATGGGCCACTATCAATACTGTGTGGCCAGTCAAATTCTTGTAAATTGCATCCTGGACAAGATGCTCACTTTCTGCATCTAAAGCACTTGTAGCTTCATCCAGCAAGAGGATTCGAGGATTACGAGCTAATGCTCTAGCAATAGCAACTCTTTGCTTTTGACCACCCGATAACTGCAAGCCCTTTTCACCAGTTTCTGTATCATATCCCTCTGGCAAATCATTGATAAAAGCATGTGCATTGGAAAGTTTGGACACATTTTCGACTAAGCTTTGGTCAATCTCAACATCATTACCAAGACCATATGTAATGTTTTCCTTGACTGACCTAGCAAACAGTACAGGTTCCTGACCAACCAGAGCCACTTTGTTGTGCAAATATTTGTGATCAAAATTCTTCACTGGGATTGAATCAATCAAAACTTCACCTGAAGTTGGCTCATAAAAGTGTTCCAGAAGACTGATGCAGGTGCTCTTTCCACCGCCACTAGGACCAACTAAAGCAATCACTTCACCTGGTTTGACGCTAAACGACACTTTATCCAAGACTGTAATATCTGGTCTTGTGGGGTATGCAAAGGAAACATTCTGAAATTCAACTTCACCTGAAACTTCATTAGGAGTCACAATGCCACTGTTCTGAATTTTGGGTTCTCGGTCAATGAGTTCAAATACTTTCTGAGAGGCACCAACAGCCTCCATAAGACCTGTATATATCTCTCCTACTTCATCTATATAAAAGCTAAGCTGAAGTAGATACAAAATGAAAGATACTAAATATCCACCACTTAGTTCTCCCTTCATTACTAAATGACCTCCATAGAGTAGAACAATGACGTCGATGGCAAGGGAAAGGATTTCAGTGCACCATCGATATCCTCCATACAAATAGGACTCCTTGACTTTAAGTTTATATATTGCATCTTGTTTGTTCCTATATTGCTCATATTCACCATCCTCATTTGCAAAACTGCGAACAGTCTTCATAGAAGATACAACTTCTGCTGCAATTTCATTTGCCTTAGCAGTTTCTTCTTGAACTTCTGTTGCCAACTTCTTATAGTAGTCTCCATAAATGTCTGAGATAAATGCAACCAAGGGCAAGCCAACCAGAGTTACAGTAGTTAACTTCCAAGAGAGTTTGAACATAAAAACACATGTACCAATGGACTGGACACAGTTACGCAGAAACACATTGATGTTTAATCCAACTTGATCGGACATCTTTGTAGTGTCTGAGCTCAGACGTGAGATAATATCTCCTGTCTTTGTACTATCAAAGAATCCAATTTCTTGTTTCACAATAGAGCCAAATAAAACATTATTGATTCTCCTGGTAAATCTTGCTGCAATCAAGTTGAACAGCCCACCACGCAAGCCTGCTGAAATTGCTGTGCCAAGTGATATAAGGGTCATAATGAGAATAGCATTCATAAACTTGGTCTTGTCCTTATCAATGGCAATGGCATCTATGACCTGTCCTGTATAATATGGAATGAATATTTCACCAGTTGCTGCAAGTAAGAGGAAAACAGATGCGAAAGAAATGTAGGGGATGTCTGGCTTGCAATAAGACATCAGTCTCCAAGCAGAAATATTGTTTTTCTTCCCATTGGTGTCACTCTCTTCTGAATCTTGAAAGTCGTGAAAAGTGAGGAGACCCTCTCTTCCTTGTATCGAACCAGTTTCTTGTTCTGAAGATAAGGCCGTAATTTTGACTTTAGAGAGGAAATACCAAAGACCATTAGCAATCACTGTGCCAACTACAGTCCATCCCAGGAATGACAAAAACCAAATCTTCGATGTTCTGTCCAAGTTACATTCCGTGCTCACAAGGAATTTGGTTACAACGAAGACAACAACTCCAACACTGTAATAAAGCCAAGGTTTCTTAAATGCAGTAATTCTAGAAACTGCTTCCATTTTGCGTTTAGAAAACAGTACTCCAAAGACGGCACCAAGTAAAGTACAACAGCGTACCAAAGACAAAATCCACAAATCAAAAACCGATGAACAAAATTTGAATTCTTCCATTTGCGAATGGGTATTAAAACTAGAAAAGTACTTTCCATGAATTAGCAACACACCAGATATTAAGGCGTCCATAACTGCTCCCAAAAAGCAGGAAAAGAGCACTTTGGTCAACACATGTCCACGCGAGCAATTCGCCATAATTTTTCATAAATAGGTGCAGGTGAACAAAGTGATTAAACTTGGTTTTGGCAAAGTTTGTTGGAAAATTCACTTCACGAACGTCTCCGTTGAGTGTTAACAACGTTGTTGATACGTAATCTTACTTACTCCCGGCGAAAAAATCAGACGTAAACCCGGCAAAAGGTACAACGCTTGCCTCGTGTCTTCGCGACTTTGCCGCGAAACATTCGTATTCTTTCGGAAATACTCGGAGAGATCTGAGTACTAGGAGGTGTCCCCCAGTAATCGCGGTCACGTGCTACTTCCTTGCACGCTCTAGAGTACGATCGGCAGAATTTGGCGAAGATGGTTAGTTTCGTCAGCGATTTTTTGCTTTAATTATGGAACACACTCTCAAATTAAACGTGCGTATTAAATTTGATTCTTTTTGTAGCCGGTGACTGCAGCAGCTTCGCAAGAGGACCAGGAAAAACTCTTGGATGAGGCCATCCAAGTTGTGAAGTCTCAGTCATTTCAGATGAAACGATGTTTGGTAGGTGTCGATCCTTATCGGAAATGCCACCTTTCTTTTGTTTTTGTTTTTTTTTCCTCTTTTACCAATTTTGAACTCACAAATGCAGGACAAGGGAAAGCTTATGGATGGCTTGAAACACGCATCAAATATGCTAAGCGAATTGCGAACGTCGATGCTGTCACCAAAGAGTTACTACGAATTGTGTATCCTTTTTGTGCTGGGTACTGACAAGCTTCCTACGTAAACTGATGCGAGATTTAACATGTCAACATTTGGCCTTATTTCTAAACGATTCATATTTTACTAATTTATGTCCGGATTAAATGTCTGTTATTAATTGAAGTTTTTCTAATCGTTCGCGGGAATTTTATGAGTTGATGTGTTAATTTGATCAGTTCTTCAATTGTTATCTTGGTCTCCTCGAACCTTTGGATGTTAAGTGTTTCCCGTGAGCAAGGTGTCTCTCTTTTTAAATAAGTCTGTTGTAGAAGCCTTCGCTGTGTTTACTTGTTAGAAAGATTTTTTTCTCTCATCGTCAGATTTACATGATGTTGTCTTAATATTAACTATTGATCACAGCTGTATTTGGTAGACTACTGTTGGAGAAAGCATTGTATTATTTTCACTTTTGGGAAGTTGTTGGATTTGTAGAAATTTTTTAAAATTATTTCTGTGCATTTCTTTTTCCACCCAGTTGGTTGTCTTGATTGATCTTGAGCAGATTAGAATGGTGATAATTTTTTAATTTAGCTTTCAGAAATATTATTTAAATTGATGGTTCATGTGATTTTTGCATGGATTTTATTCTCAAATGGTTTGGGAAGTGCCTTTCTAATGTGCCTCCTTGCAGCCTTTTTGATTGCCTGGCATGACACTTCTTGCAAGTATCTTCTAAGACATGGCCTGTCTTAAAGGAATTACAGGTGTCTGTGGGCTTCTAAATTACTTTGGTCTCTTCTCCCCTTAACAGTTTTACTGCTCTTGAAACTGCTCTGTGAAGAGCAACTAGGTGAAATCCTTAACAAATATCAAGATATGGCAATATCTGATGAGCTGCGGCATCTTGAACTTTTCCTTGTGGACGAGTTCCAGAAGGGCCGCAAAGTGGCAGATCTCTATGAACTTGTTCAATATGCTGGAAACATTGTCCCAAGATTGTAAGTATTTCAAAACTGCAATAATGCTTTGTACAGCACATGGGACTGATATATCTCATGCATTGGTTTTTTTCCAGTCCAGTAAGCCATTGAGGTAGATTTGAAAATGGTAATTGAACTGCATGGAGTGCAATTTGGTCTGAAATCATATGCATGATTTCTAAATTGAAGAAGTGTGCAGCACAAGTTTGATTTGAAATCATAAGTATGATTTCAGACAAAAATTGCACAATTGTACATCCATTTTGAAAATACAAAATTAAGTTGCTCAAATCCAGGATTTTTTTAGTCTGTACAAATGATTTATTGATCCAGTATAGAGCTGGTTTGTAAAAAGGGTTGCAAGAGTTGTCTTTTATTTCCTTCTAATATGACTGGTTACTTTAAACAAGGCTTGAAACCTGATTGGTTGTTGTTCTTAAACAAAGGTTTTGTCATTGGCTGGGAAAAAAGATGTGATTTAGAGCAAAAAATTGGTGCAATTGATGAATAAATTGCACCTCTGAGAGCCAATCAGATTGTAAGGATCACCAGCAATTTCAAAATGGATATAATAAAGATCACTATTATTTTTAACCTTGAGGAAATTGTCAAATTTGAAGCATATAAATTAGTGATGTGACAACCTATAATATGAATTTTATGGTCAAAAATGAATGTCAGGTCAGGTTTACTTTGTTCTTCCCTTTCCTCCAGTTACTTTATTGTGCTGAAAATCAAATACGTTTACAACTATTTTATGATGAAATAATTGTCAACTACAACATGTCTCTTGTTGGATATTTTCACTTATTCTGTGCAATTTATTGTCCTTAATGTTCTCTGAAAAAAAAAATTAACAACAATCCTGTGCTGCACAAACTGATATAATAATGAGAATTTTCATGTATCTGGGAATAAAAAGGTTTTAATCATAACTCTGTTTGCCTTAGTAACTTTCTTTTCTGATATTTTTTTTGTGTAAGGTATTTGCTAATAACTGTTGGAGCAGTTTACATCAAGGCAAATGAAGCATCTCGCAGGGATATTTTGAAGGACTTGGTTGAAATGTGTAGAGGTGTTCAGCACCCTCTGAGAGGCTTGTTTCTTCGTAACTACTTGTTACAATCAACAAGGAACATGTTGCCAGATACTGGAGAAGAGGAACCAGTGTAAGATATAAATGTTCTTTGTTAACCCTGTAACCCTAAAGAGTGATGTGCATTTAATTTCTCACAACTGTATCACCTCTGAATCAAACATCAAGGTTTTGAGAATAAATTAAATAAATGTGAACTCAAGAAGTTCTCGATTGTTAGAAAAATTCTAGTTACATTGGAAATATTTAGAGAACAGCATAGAGAACTTGCATACTGATATTAGGGTGTAAAGGTTAGATTATAAAAAATATAGGGAGAATTCACGAACCTACATGTATCACGTCTGGTTGGTTGAAGCTTTGGGAGAACAGAAATGTTGCAGCAACAAAGTACTTGCCCCCTACTTTTGACTGTGGCAGAGGTTGGATTCCCCTCCTTCACATGTGGTTTGAGTTTGGTTGGGTTTCTTTTCCTTGTCAGGAGGGTATTTCAATCAATCAATCAGTCAAATCCTTTATTTTAAAATGAAAATTGTTGAAGCTATAAAGCTTGCAGGTCATTTTTCTAACAGTCTAAAACCTGAGATTTAAAGCTATCTTGAAAAAGGTAAAATTAACTAAATTTCATGCAAATTACAGTATTTTGATTTCTTTTGGTTCTCTGTTTTTTCCATCCCCAAAAAAGAGATATTTGTATTCCAAGTTGACCTAGAAAGAGGGGATAAGGAGAAGCACTTTATGGATGTACAGATTAAGATTGTACAATTTATTCTGACTAACATATCCTGAAAGGGTTTTGTCATGCTATGTGCAAATTTAGCTTTTTCATACTTGAGTCATGCTTAGCTTAGGAAAGAAAAGTGAAAAAGATAGATGCCAGTACAGTCTACAGGAAGTAAGGAAAACAAGTAGTAGAACTTTGACTTTGCCAAGGAATGGTTAAAAAAAAACTGCTAACAAGAAAAGGGTTTGGTAAAACTGACCTTAAGGTAAAGGGAATGTATGTAGTTAGAGTTTCAATTTAAATGATGCAAGGTTAGACTGTTTATAGCTTATTTTTTGGTTGCAGAGCTGACTCTGAGCACCAAGATGGCACTGTAAAGGACTCCATATCCTTTGTGCTTCTAAACTTTGCTGAGATGAATAAACTTTGGGTTCGGATACAACACCAAGGCCACACCCGTGATCGAGAGAAGAGAGAGAGAGAGCGGCAAGAGCTGCGCATTCTTGTGGGAACTAACCTTGTCAGACTGAGTCAACTTGATGGAGTTAATGTTGACACTTACAAAAAAGTAAGGTTATCTAATTACTGCTGCTGCTAACTCATTTAACTCCCAAGATCTGACTGCTAATCCCTTAAGCCCTAACATCAGTATTCAGAGATTAGCACATTTTTGTACATGAGCAGCACCTTTAGTGAGGTGATAACATGGTGACTTGGAATAGGCCATGACAGACTACATTTATAATCTATTTTCTCATTCAGACAGAGAAGAAGTACCTTGTACTTCCTTATATCACAGATCTCTTATGTATTTATTGATTGACTATTAGGATACTCCAATGTCATTTTTACATTTATGCTCTGTAGAAATCAACAAATTAACCTTGTAACTGTTACCTCTTTAGAATGTCCTTCCAGGAGTATTTGAGCAGATAGTGAGTTGCAGAGATCCAATCGCTCAGGAATACCTCATGGAGTGTGTTATTCAAGTGTTTCCGGATGAATTCCACCTGAGGACATTAAGCAGTTTCCTCCATGCTTGTGCTGATCTTCATGAAAGAGTGAACATCAAGAACATCATCATATCACTCATTGATAGACTTGCTTTATTTGCAAACAGAGAAGATGGCGGAATACCAAGTGATATAAGATTGTTTGATGTGATGTCTGAACAGGTCTCTTCAGTTGTTCAGGTAAATGATGTGATAAATAGAGATTGGTCCATGGAAAGTGCATGCAAATGATTTTTATCCATGAGTTGTGATGCATCAAAAAAAGGAATGAGTGAATGCAGCAAACAAATAGTTTTTTGATGCATCGCAACAAGTGAATAAAAACCATTCAAGCACTTTCCATGGCATGATATTTTTATTTCATTTAAACTGAGATTTTTTCACTTTTCAATTCAAAGATTGGAAGTGAACAACTGTGAAAATACATCATTCGTCCAATCAGAGACAAAAACAAAGTATAAATCTCAGTATGTATGAAATAAATTAAGATGAAAGTGACCTTAACACAGCCTTGCTATTCTCTCAAAAAAATCTATAATATCTGTCAGCATTTAAAAAGCAATCTAGACTTTGTAGAATAAGGTTCTTAGCCATATTTTAACTGTCTAAATAGACTCCTGTTAAAAAGTAGTTTTGAAAGTTGGAACTTAAATTCAAGTAGTAATTTTTTTTTAATCTGTAGAGAAGTTATGGATACATACTGTGTAGCATTAGGTCATGTGCCAAACCATAAATAACACTCTTTTTAAGTTATCATAGATTACCGTAAAAACCTGCATATAAGCTGCACCTTTTTTCCAAAATTCTTCACTAGAAATTGGGATGCAGCTTACCTGCAGGAACATTTGAAAAAGGTGTCGTAAATGCTGACGCCAATGTCCATTTTTGTGTTCGATCTAATGCCTGGTTACTAAGCTTTGAATGTTCCACTCACATTCTTGTTGTAATGCAAAAATCTATGGAAAAACTGTGTTGAATGAAGAAATTCCTGTCAACAAATATCAGAAAAAGATCAATATGTCAAAGTTGGTAGAAACGATGTTCATTATAATGAAGTTATAAAATTGTGGGTAAGACTTTGAAGTATTTTTTGTTGCAATGTCAATTGTGATTTTACGCTCGATGAACAGTGGATGAAGAAGACTTCTCAAGACTCAACTTTGGATTTCTTTTGATTTCTTTCAAAAAAACTTTTTTCTCCAAAATTTGAGCTGCTAAATTCAGGGTGCGGCTTATGTACAAGTTTTTACAGTATTAGACTATTGCTAGTACTAGCAATAGTACTAGCAATAGTCTAAATAGAATATTAAGTAATAATAGTATATTACTGGAACTAGAAACTAAGTAACATTTTATAGATGTATAATTTCTGCATGTTACTCCATAACTTTTATTTTTAGGCACGCGGTGAGATGCCAACAGAAGACATTGTTTCTCTTCAAGTATCCCTGATTAACCTTGCCTTAAAGTGTTACCCTGAGAGAGTGGACTATGTCGACAAAGTTCTACAGTACACCTCTGAGATTTTCAGCAAACTTGATATCTCTCAGTAAGCCACAAAAGCATGTTCTGTTATGTAGACTATTTTATACCTACATAAGTAATTAAAAGTTCACCAGGCAAGTAAGGATTTTGATTAGAAAAAGAAAAATAGTCTCTTTTTTAAAATCTCAGTCATACCCATCACAGCTCCATCCTAAAATGTATGTTGCTACAACATTTCCGCCACTTTATTTGGATCCTTTTAAAAAGCAATCATCCCTGCTGTATGATTATCTCGCTTAATATGACTATTTTTTGATTAATATGACTTTTTTTTTTTTTAAGAAAGTCTTGTAAAGGTGAGTTTTGTAATTGGACTGAAATGCAGCTGGTGTTGGGGCCTTCTTTTTTTAATTTTTGTGAAAGTTATTTTTCTACTGCAATGTTTTCATTTAAGTTTGCTCTTGATAACAAATCTGCTCTGTTACATTTTATACATGTACATCTTGTGACAGCCATGTGAGAAGTTTTTTCTTTTTCTTATTTCCAGTATGGACAAGAACAATGCAGTTTCAAAGGAACTGACAAGACTTCTGAAGATCCCTGTTGATTCCTACAGCAACATTCTCACACTTCTTCAGCTGGAATACTTTGCTCCATTGTTTAAATACTTTGATTTCAGCTCAAGGAAAGAGATGTCACTTTATGTGATTACCAATGCTGTAGAAAGTGCAATCACAATCCCCACCCAAGAGCAGGTGAGTGAAAAACTGTCAGTTATGATAGAAGTACGACTTCTGTGTATAGTTGTCTACTAGTGAGCATACTAGATTCCAGATTTGGGAAGTGCTAGTTTAAGTCCAGGCTATTGTGTGCACTCCTAGAAAAGACATTTTCTTCATACAATGCCTCTCTTTGTGTGGGTTATAAATGGGTACAGTCTCCTTGTGAGGGAAAACTGATCAAGTTGATGCTAGACAGTAGGTTGTGATGTATTAGGGTCAAATTACACAGGATTGGTAATACTTTGCATGACGTTTTTCTATGGAAACTGAAACAAGAGTAGTCAAGTAAACTTCTGTGAATTTCCTTTGGATCTGGGCCCAGTTGTTTAAAGATTGATTAGCGCTAACCCAAGGTTAAATTTTGATCTGGATTTCTTTATTCCTTTATTCAAATGCCTTTTTGGGATAGTTTCTGGTGTTTTTTATAGAGCATCAAATAATCATATTCTAGACAAAAAGAATCTGACTGAATTTTCTTTTAAAGCTATCAGATCTGAAATCAGATTTCACACTAACCCTGGGTTATCTTAACCTAGCTTTGAACAACCCGGCCCTGGTCGTCTTTTTAAATGGATGTCACGTTCTGTTGTCTTTGTTTTCTGTTTTCCTATACATATATTCTGGTTGTATTCAGGAAATTCTGATGAATTTATAAATTCTCAAAACTGACATGAAAGGAATCTAATACATTGAGTTTGGAGAATTCATGTTTGTATCTCTCTAACTCAGGTTGACTCCGTGCTGAACCTTGTCTCCACATTGGTTTGTGACCAAGAAGACCAACCCTCTGAACAAGTGAGTACCTCACTACAGGGAACCTCTCATGTAAACAATGCAGTGTCTTAATAAAAAGTGAATTGGACTCTAGTTCAAAGTTTGGGTTTCAAACCCTAAGCGGAATTGTTTATAATATTTTTCTCTTTTTGGGTGAGACAGTGAACTTAAACAATACCTTTCTCCATCTGGGAAAAGAAATTGGTAGAGGGGAATCTTTAAGGGAAATCTGATGAAATGTGGTGGGTACTTTTCAATGGACTGGCATCCCAGCCCAGAGGAGAGGTAAAATATTTATGTGTCATGCTACAGAAACTGGAGTGGGTTGTGGCAACTTTCTGAGTTATTTTTATATATGGACTTGACTTGTTAGATGGATAGCTGCCATGTTTTTCACTGGTATTTTAATAGTATTTTTGTTGGAAATATTTAGTGCAGTTGGGATGGACAATTTGATAAAAGGCAATGACCTTTAATTTGTTTTTATGTCTCATCTCATGCAGGATGATCCTGAGGATTTTATTGAGGAACAGAGTCTAATGGGAAAATTTGTGACACTGTTGAGAGGTGACAGTCCTGACCAACAGTATCTGGTGAGTTTTTTGTTCTTTGTTCCTGACACTTAAATGTTATGTGCATTTATAGGGTATTTAATCACACAATGCAGGACATGTCACACAGAGACGGCAAAGAACTTTTCTTGTCTGGGGGGGGTAATTGACACTTGGATGGTAACTTGTAGGTCCAGGACAAAAAGTGCCCAAAAATTTTCAGTTTTTTCATCATATGAAAGCAGCACTCACTGTCACTTGTAATTAATAGAAGTTTAGTGTCAGCTTTTAGCTTTCACCTGCTGTCAGCAATTTCCTGATTTGTTTTGTCTGCAATTGTGCTAGATTCTCAATGCAGCAAGGAAGCATTTTGGAAGCGGTGGAGAGAAGAGGATTAAGTTCACTCTACCTCCAATTGTCTTCTCAGCATTTCAGCTTGCCTACCAGTACAGAGATGCACAAGACGAGGTAAATCTCTTCTGCTTTTTTAAGTTTTTCACTGGTCTACAGAAGTAGCAAATATATTGATTTGAAAAGAGTCGAGGTAGCTGGCTGCAAAGGGAAGACCTACGGCAATATGTAGTTCCTTGAATTGAGAAATTTTGCTCAAACCATTTTTCTGTGAAGGAAAACATTGCAGCTTTGTGTGAAGTGTGCGCTTTGCTGTCTATTTACTTATTTATTTATTTATCTGCGTGTGTTTCTAGGACGATAAATGGGACAAAAAGTGCCAGAAGATTTTTCAATTTTGCCATCAGACGATAGCAGCCCTTGCCAAAGCAGAATACGCTGAGTTGTCTCTCAGGCTCTTCCTCCAAGGTGCACTTGTAGCTGACCAAGCGGGCTTTTCTAATGCTGAAACAGTCGCTTATGAATTCATGAGCCAGGTTCGTTCATTTTTTCGTTATTTATGATCCTGTAGTTACAAAGATATTGGTGTCTTTTCTACCGTTTCTTTTCGAGAGATTGGCGACCTCTTTTCGCCCTCGTCCCGTACATGGAGGATGTAAAGGAATACGAAAGCATAAGGGAACATAATCAAAGAGGTTTTGCGACACTAGCAGCCACTGGAAAGAGAATAAGACTTCTTGCGCACTTTGAAATTTTAATTTGAAATGCGTTAGAAATGAGACCTGAGGGACGGGCCAGGGAAAATATCAATATTTCATAACTCCCAATTGCCGTCCGTGTCTTAAAAACTTTTGTGCTCAAGTTCCCTTCTATGGAAAATTGTGCGAGGGAAGGCTTGAGAGATCAGTGCCGAAAACTGCGCCGAAATCAGAAATGACTCTCTGTAAGAGGTGGTGTTTAATTAATGTTGAGTGGCCATTGCATATTTTTCTTTGGGCGTTCCTTGCACAAACTCTGAACGATTATTGTGAGTATCGAATTTTAGATGATTAGATTTCATTTCTCAGCCCGTTGACTTTTCGTTCCTCACCTTTTTCCGTCTATATTTTCAGGCTTTCGCAATATACGAGGATGAAATTAGTGATTCAAAAGCCCAGCTGGCCGCCATTACATTGCTAATCAGTACATTCGAAAAGATGAGCTGTTTCGGCGAGGAAAACCATGAACCCCTGCGCACTCAGTGTGCTCTAGCTGCCTCCAAACTGCTCAAGAAACCGGATCAGTGCAGAGCAGTTGTGGTGTGTTCACACTTGTTCTGGTCTGGAAAAAGCCGCGAAGCTGACGGGGGAGAGGTAAGGGTATTTGTCGCGCTCTAACACGATTCGTGTTCACTTTATGCGAATGAAACCGGGATAAGATCCGCTGCAGTAGGACTCCTGGTTTAAGAGTTAGGACTTGTTTCGTGTGATTGTTACCATGATCCTGATTTGGGACTTTTGAAATAGCGTTTTTTGTTTCTTTTTCAGTGTCGAGACAGCAAGCGAGTCACAGAGTGTCTGAAGAAAGCTGTTCGAATCGCCAATCAATGCATGGACAGCACCATTCAGGTGCAGCTGTTTGTGGAAGTACTCAATCGCTACCTCTACTATTTTGAACAGAAAGCAGACACGGTAATATACCAATCAAATTTTTAGCTCATGTTTAAAAACGCTTTTATAGTTACGAAAGACTCATTCGCTTCCATGGATGGCAGCTATTGTAAGGACAGACGTGCGAACTAATAAACAATTGAAGCAATTCATGCACTCGATTTGATTCAGACCAATAGGCGCAAGTGAGGAAAATGCGCACAAATGTTAGATTGAGCGTTCTCCCCGCGTACCTGTGCGTCATATCTCTGGCGTGCGTGTCACTCCCTACTTAAGCTAGGGGGAAACGCACACGGACCTAAAATGAAAGAAGGTGTGCTACTTCGAAGGGGTGTATAAAAGAACTAGCTAAGCTATTTCAAAGAAATAGTGGGGAGGTCCCTTGATTTGATCCTCAGCATTTTCCCGATCAACTATGGATGATAAGTAGGGAAGGAACGAATTGCAACATGAGAAAAATCTGTAGGTTTCTGGGTTTACGTCTGACTACACAAAGCAAAGTTATAAACTTAAAAAGGTTCAGAACGCAACGATCATGTTTTCTACGTGCCCCCCTTAACAGGATTGTTATAAGTCATTACAAAATACAAGGATTTTATTTGAGGGAACTGGGAAAGAAGAGAAGTCGCGTAACTAGATTTAAAATGAAAGATGTCGCGCGACAGTAATATCAAGGGTTGTCATCGTGACGTATTCTTTCTTTCTCCAAATATCAGGTAACGGTTACGGTGATAAATCAGTTGCTGGAGAAAATACGTGAGGACCTTCCTGGTTTAGAAGGAACAGACGAAACGGAGCTGATAAGAAAGCACTTTGAAAGCACCGTGACCCATGTGCAGATCAAGAAAGAATCACAAGACGAAGACTCGCCTTCATACGAAGAGATAAAGATATGAAATTTATTGCCCAGTAGATAATTTTTAGTTAAATAAGTAGTATAACAGGTAAAATTGAAAGATTGCTGCCAGACAAACTGACAACATGATTGATTATAATGGATCCCTTATTTAGGGGAGGCCCGAAGGACCATCATAAATGTTCCATGAATACAGGCGTCCCTTTATTGGACCAAAGTTAGTGTTCCTAGAGAGGTGCCACTATGTGCCGTGCAGGAATGTGGATGAAAATGAAAACGAGGTTGCCCAAGATCTATTCCTTTTCACTTATGAAAGCCGCGATGATTGGTTTGAAATGAGACGTGAAGCCTTCTATGTCACTTTAATTGACTCACGTAAACGAAATCAAATCTTGCTGCAATGTTCATTCAATACCATTGCGAAGAATTCATGGAAGAGAAGTCTGAAGAGTTCGTCGGACCAGAACTTACCTGGTTCCCAATCTCCTTGGTTAAATCTTTGCCAAATATCGTGTGGTCAAGGAAATATGTAGAAGAAAAACACAATACCTAGTTAGGTTCATTTAAGAATTTTACCGGACTAGTTCTATTGCAGTGCAACCTTGTTGCAACCGTTTAATTCACGCTCAATCGAGGTTCTGTACGTTTTCCACCCAGAAGATGTTGCGTTAAGTAAGGGGGTTAGTGGCTGGGAGAACCACCTACTGATTAGTATTTTCGCGTTTGTCACTATGTGATATTTTGTCATGCGACGTAAAAAAGGGATTAACTACCTATGTTTATGAATATTTGCTTATGTTCATCGGCTGGTCCAAATCTTGATGTAAGTCTATGCGGTAATTGTGGATTGAAGTTGGGAATTAGAATGGAATGACGATGTTAGTCGGGTTCCACGCTCGAATTTCTCTTCATCTGATCTTGTCACGCACAGCTTGCTGCGGGGCGACTATGAAGGGGATTATGGATTTCGTAGTCAAGAGAAGTACTTTTAGTTTATCTGTAAAGAGTCAAAGAAAACCAAATTTGTGTATGTTAAGGTGGCTATTCTGAACTTGATTTAAAGATTGTAAACAGGATTTGTTTTTCATGGTTCAGGCAAAGAGCTTTTTTCTGTTTATCTTATGAAATTTCAACCATATTGGCGTGGAATCCTGGGCAGCGTTCTCTGTTCTATTTACACCTACTTTCATAATAAGACCACGGTTAAATCCATTTTTTGTGAACTTCAGTTCTAACAGCTTGAGGTTAAAGATCATTTTCATTAACATGGCCTCACAGCAAACATCGTTTTAAAATGAATTTGATTTCATGGACATTTTTGAAGACAGCAAGAGATCCTGACAGAAAACTGTGATAATATTCCTGGGACTCAATTGCATCCAAGCTCGCTTTTTTCATGATATTGCTTTAAGGTAAAGTTAGTGATTTTTTTTCCTATTGATCCGTTAATTGTAGCATAATATCGATGTAAAGTCCAAAATTCTTCAAATAAATATGGATTTTTAATTATTTTTGCGGCTTTTCATTCTAAGAAGCTTTGCATCCTTTACCCAGGTAGCTAAGAGCGAATTTTATTCGTAGAAAAGTCAAAACGCGGAAGAATTACGCGGAAAAAATTCACTATCAGTGGCATTAACTTCCGTGTGAATTTTTTTTCAGTGGGGTTGGACAATGCGGTTATAATACGTGATTGAACACAGCGAAGTCCAATTTGGCAAAAGGGAATTTGATTGGTGGAATACAATTCAAGCACGTGAAAAATTGCCTAATGTTCATGTAGTGCAAGGATTGTGTATGTTCTGATTGGAATTTGGACGTTTTTTTTCATGTTACGTAATGGAATATTAGTTGTTTGGTGTGTGAGTTGTGAGTAAAGGAGCGGAAAAAACCTTTTTTAACCTAGTGATGATACAAATGATGCGAACCTTTCATATTCCGATAGATCTCAACTTAATCGACGAGGCTCTCGCGAAGGCCACTACCATGGCACTTACCAAATGAGCCCCCTGATTACATGACATCATTTACAAGAAGACAATACTCAAGTGATTGGTGCAAGATGTCAAAATGCTGTGATATGATTGGTGCGTGATACATACCCCAATGCAGCGATCTGATTGGTGCGAGCAACATACCACTCTACACGCCAACACAGAGATTTTTTTTTTTGCAAAAAAAAAAAAAACTCAAAAAGAGGCTAAATAATCAGAAACAAATAGACAAAAGTTAAATGCTACTGAACTCATCTTAATGAAAAGTTCCAGTGAAAAGCAGAAAGACATTACTGTCTCAAATTTACTGACTGGCTTCGCTTATTTCTTTTCAATGATTTTAAATTTCCCTCCAGTTCTTACAGAAGAAAGTGATTTCACATTCAGTTGTACTAACTGCGCTTTTGCCGATTGTTCTCCTGATAAAGAAGTGTCAGGTAGCGTGAATTACATGGTGAGCTGAAAGTAAGGGAGGTCATCGGTTCCACCGGTGATTGGAAAAGACAACGGAAAGAGAACAAAATGTACATACCGAAGTTTTCCCAAGCTTGACTAAGTACACTTGAGTGTGGAGCTTTTCTTTTTTTCTCTTTCCTTTCGATTTCAATTTTTCATTCCTAAAACCTTAACACTTGCATACTGTATTGCATGAAAATTGTCCGGAAGTTTTAGCTTGCAGATAAAGGATAAACTCTGTCTCGCGGAAACATTTTTGAAGTACAGGACATGAGCAAGGTCGTACACGCCGTGTCTTCTGTTGTTCTTTGAGTTACAACCTTGACTTGCTTGGGACATTTCACTAAAAAAATCTGAGAAGGTACCACCTGCTAAAAGCACGGACATCAACAAAAGATTCTTGGTCGCCTGCCTTCTTCCTTGGAGAGTTATTATTATTATTTTTTTTCTGGCGTTTTGTCATCATATTTCTCATCTTCCACGGGAGTTGTTTTGCATATCAAGGATAATCAACAAATTCGGAAAAAAACGTCGAATTTTTTTTGTTACTTGATCTTAAACACCACCTACCCCTTCCTCTGTTTTATACTCATCAAAAACCTGTCTAATGTTGCAGACCAAGATTCTCGATAACATTTTTCAGTTTCCCTATTTTTAGTGTAAGGGAATATTTAAAATGTGGAGTAAATGGAACCATCAAGGTTCTGAAATAGCAGAATCCCTTGAAGCTTAATTGCAAAGGCCGTTAACAATAAATAAGTAACAACTGTAATGATGCTTGAATAATTTAGCAAAATGTACGGATCATGATCAGCCCCTTCAGTAACCCATTCGAAACTCGTTTATTGTGCATATTGATTCTATAATAAATTTAAATGAGCATTTTAGAAATCGAGAATACTGTGATAAAGCTTTTACAATATCGTGGTGTTCAAAATTGTGAAAGTAATTCTCTAATTTTTTTCAAGTAAACAATCAATTTTCATCGAGTTCCTCACTAAAATCCTAAAAGATATTGTCTCGTCAAACTTTAATTATTTTGGACATGACAATTTGAAATTTCCGGCTTCACAATGCGTCACAAATTATTGCTCGATAATTTTTTGCCTTTTTAAACATTTTGTCATCTTCAAAAAATTTCGAATAGTTCTAGTTTGTTCTTGTACTAAGCGGAATTTTTTCCGCAGGAATATATTTATAACGGTAAGAAAATACGCTTGTGGAAGTGTAATTCGTTTTGAAGAGACGAAATATTGTGACGAATCGGTGAGAATTGTTTTTCAACCGGGTCGAATTTTACACAAAACCAAATGCCTTTTACTATTCGAGATCGACAGCAATGTTCTGTTTTTGTAAAATGAGGCATGTTTTTGAACAAGGCTGTCTAATGCCTAATATTTCCTCAACTGGAGGTAACATGTAAATAGTACGTTGTAAACAATTTTTGCACCTGCAAATTGAAACGACTTCAATCGATAAGCCTTTGAAAGGTTTTGGAAATTAAGAAAAAGAAGTGACAATTTTTTTTATTATTATGAGTTGCGACAGCAAGGGATGGCATTGTTCCAAGCGCACTGAAATTATTGCTCTTTAATTTTAGCTTTCATTTTTTTCGGCAGCACAAGATTGAAAGGTTTTATTTAACTTATATTACGACCAAGAAATGTTCATGTTAATGAGGAAAACTAAATAAAGCGAATGGGTTTTTTGACGTTTAAAATTGTAACCTAGAGCAATTTTTCTTTAACTGCAATTCTAAAACATTTTTATTTAATGGGAGTATTGTTTCCTCTCCTTAGAGCACGTTTTATTTTTTTTTGCACAAAGTCGTTGAGGACACAGCACAATTATTTTGAAATTTATTACGGCTGAGTTTTGCTTTCATTGTTTGTCATGTTCTACTTTGAAAAACATCGAACTGTTCGTTTTTTTCACTGCCCTCCTGCTGTTTTACAACCCTCCTAATCAGTCCGTGAAACTGAAAACCAAGGCATATTAGTCCAAAAGCTGTCTGCAGCAGGTAGGACTGTAGAATAAAAACAACAGAAATAAACTTATTTCATGACGGCGATGTTTTCATCAAGACAGCTGGCTAAAGGCTATTGGCAGAGGATGCTTATTTGAATAGATCAGCGGACAAGGAAAGCAGATTGTTTTAATTTGACTCTTGATTGGTAGAACGCGCTGGAAAGCTGGCTTTTTTAAAAGCTACTTCAGCTTATGGAAATTAAACAGACGTGCGGTCTGTAGGAAGGAAAAAGCCGTGGAAAGTCTCAAAACGTGAGGAAAAAAAATGGGTTGCAGCCCTTCGCACGCTGTGATCATAAATTCGTCACCGACGCACGAAACGATATGTTTACAACCCAGGATATACATGGTTTCCGAATCCACTCTCTGTCTTTTACAAGACGTAGGAGAGTTGAAGGTCTACAACATCGACGAAAGAAATCCTCAAACCGCTATTGAACGCTTTCGAGGCGCTCAAGAACAACTCCAAAATCCATTGATGTTTCATCCTCATCTTCGCTCGCGGCATAAGCGGATAAGCGAAGGTGGCGATTTGCAATCGGCTGGTTCGACGAGCCTTGCAGGCGATCCGCTCAGTGAGGAAAATACATTGGTTGGAGAAATCGCTCCACACGACGAAGGTAGTGAGGTCTGCAGTGAATCCATCGATAAAATGTGCGACAATACAAACCCACGGATACAAACAGACTCTCCTGGATCTCCAAATGCACATTCTGTAACTGTTGAAGTTTACAGTTACAAACAAAACTCAGATGGACTGGATGAACAAAGCCAAGCGATGAACGGTATTGAAACAATGGAAAATATGGCGAAAGAGCCGAGCATTGCTGTGAAACCTGGAACTTCGGGTGCTTTGATAGAAATAGGTCGTATGTCTGATGAGCGAGGCAACATTGACGAAAGTTTTGACAGTGTGGAAAATCACGAAAGGGCGATCGTCGCGGTAAATAATGACGTTTTGGTTGCTGTAGCAGCAAACGAGAAAACTAAGACAAATTCCGAGCAAGGTGTTATTAGCGAGAGCTTTGAAAACGCAGAAAATCTTGACAAGAACATCATCGCTGGAAACAGTGGTGCTGCAGTTACTGTAGAAGCCATTGAAAGAAGACAAACATTTCCTGAACAAGGTGGTATTAGCGAGAGGCGTGCACCGCACGAGGATGTTGTAGACATGGGTAATTCGGTCAACGAGCCGACATTAATCGCTTGGACAGAAGTTGCCGATCAGTCGGCGCTGATCACGGGAAATGAAAAGTGATAGACAAAAGAAAAAAGCAAATTCGGAAAGCCAAAGAGTCGAAACGTCTCGTAGTTTTACGGCGGGTAATTGAACATCGTATACATGTGTATATTTCGTGTAGTGTTTTGTCCTAGGTAAGATTTAAATTGAAAAGGAAAAAAGGGGAAAAAGCGAGCATGTAAATGAAAAAAACTTGTCGCTTTTTATACCTACAATTGTGAATGTTTAAAGTTTCTCATTTCAGTCGAATGCCCAGAAACAAAAGTGGAAACATGAAAATTATATGATATGCACCCTCATGTTGTCATGTTCTTGAAGATGATCCTCAGGCAGAACAAAATATTTTCAATCGCCATGCCTACCAATTAGCTTTACATAAAAAAATTCGATCGTTTTTAATAATTCGTCAGTGTGTGATTACAGGAACATCAACCGAACGCTTAAAAAAAAATAGTTTACATGCAGCAAGCACAGATGAAATCATGTTTTGATTCGCGATTATCCTCATCGTTGATAAAAAAAAGTATTCAGTAACTGATTCTGCGTGTGGCATTACCGACATTAGCTTCTGTTTCTCTCTCTTTTTAACGCAAATTTTATCACGGCATGAGAAATGGACATGCACTCAAGTTTAGCTCCATAGCAAAGCGTTGTTCTGCTTTCTATGTCGTTTTCGCGTTTTATTTCGAAAAGTGTGTACAATTTATGTCATTTCCTTCACGGCGAGAATGCATATTACGTAATTTCCAAAGCAACCTCTTAAAACATGTCTCAAAAACTGTTATTTTTACTTTCGATTTGCAACTTTGTTCATCGCTCTAGTTTATGAATGTTTACTTTGGGGTGAAACAATACAGTTACGAGGAGTTATTTAGTTGTTTCCTCAGAATTTTGAATACAGGATGCGGTTTTTAGCAAATGAATGGGCAGCTGCACTCTCTCCCTTGTTATTTGCATTTGGTCTGGAAAGGTTGTTAAACTATGATTCAGCTTTTTCTTTGTTCAGTTTTTTTTTTTGAACGGAGCAACTGCGTTTCAGCAGTGCAAGGAAGTAGTAGATACTTTGGGCTGAGCGTAATTCATTTTTTGCGGGACCTTCTTCTTCTATTTCTAGAAAACCCAACACAAATACAATATATGTATGTTCACATAGATACGTGTTTATATTAGTCACCAGCCAGGAGGTCTGTATTAGGAAAAACTGTGCCCGAAGTCTGCGCTCAGTACAAATGTCCAAATTCAGTCATCGGACTTGAAAAGATTTATCAGTAATGTTTTCGTAATAGAACTCAAAACTTCGCTCATCGCTTTACAACCAACAAATTGTTTAGGAGAATTTAGATATTAAATGAATGAAAGTTCCATGGATTAATCCAATTGTAAACAAATACCTCTCGTTTTAACTTTCTGAGTTACTATTTGTGATTATCAATATCAATAACAAACGGTTTTAAGGTCGCGTTTCAACCCATTGAATGACAAATTTTGCGACCACAAATCCTTTTGCGAAACCATTTTTTGCTGGCCACCAAAGTGATTTGAGAGAGAGAGAGAGAGAGAGAGAGAGAAATGGCAACGAAGCAAAGGAAAGCTAAGGATGTACTTGGCGACTCACAAAAGCGTTACTGTGCCCGTGGGCAGAGACAGGAAAATCCGGACCGCGCTGAGAACCAATCAGATTTCAGACCTCATTACAGTAATTTATGAGAAAAATAAACAAACGTAACAGAGCAGGAATTACTGATGCTAATAGGCGGCATACTTCTCTTAGAAATTTACGCACGTCAGCGAAAACTAACACCAAAAGTAAATGCAACTCAAGAAAGAATGATAACTTGCGAAATGATGGCTGTCAATTAAGTGGACCATATGTTTCCTCGAACTCTGAAATTGTATGCGGTGATGAAAGTACTAAAGCGTTCAACTTTCTCAGAAAAGAGTCAGTATGCTGGCTTGTATGTCACCTTTGAAAGCTACCTCCAAGGAATAGAATCCTGTATTTTATTTCCACCACAATCAACGCAAAGGGAAATGCAATGGTATCATTCAAAATGACTTTAAAAACAACATCGCTTTAAAATGGGCCGCGACACATCTTCGACATCTTACGCAATTGCTTCCCCTTTAAGCCCTCAAGTATTGCCGGATTATGGGAACGAAATAAAGCTATTGATCTATCTCCCTGTCATTGCGTCAAATCGAGAGCAAAGAGATTTGCAGGTGATATTTTCTATTACAGTGAAATGAAATTACATCGTTGATAAACACTCTTGATAGCCTAAGGGGTATTTCTGCTTCTAAAGGGATTCACTTTCTTTGCACGAAAACATCACGTTTGCGATGATGTCTTAGAGTGCAGTGGAAAAATTTTCTGTAGTATTGAAAAGATTGCCTTGAAAAAATAACACTCATGAAAAGACTCCATTTGCGATTTATCTACCACAATACAAACTATTTAGCCTAATAAACCGACGCATTCTATGCAAAACCCACGATATGCAACCTGTGACACTCAGGTGAAATGTGTCGGTGACGAAGCTACACTGTTGATGGAATGGGTTTGTCTTTATTTGTATCTCTCCCGAGAACTTTTCAGTGCCAGTGTTTCGTGTTGCTGAAGGAAGTTTTGAGTGCTCTTTTGATGTTTCAAAATACCTTGAATTTCCTGGGTGATTAAATCCTTAAAATACAAAGGGGAACACTAAATCATTATTCTCTGTCGAATCTTTGTTGAGATCACATCTATTCGAGAGGTTTACCATGATGCTTACAAGACTGAAAAATGGAAAATATTAAGTTTGTTTTCGTTTGACCAACTACGAGCAGAATGTTTAAATGGATGGTCGCAGTAAAGTGACCACACATTAGTTACATAGCCTCATGGCTGTCTTATTACTAAACCGCTAGCCCGATGGGACGCAGGCTCAGGGGGCCAAGCCTCAACCAAATGGAAGAATTGAGGCTACGCATGAATTGTGGAAAAAGGGAGTGGTGGCTTGTGGGAGGGAGGGGGTGTTTTTTCCAAAGTGTAAGATGCGAAATGCTTTTTAAAAATCACTTCCCGCTGAATTTCCGACCGAAATAATTAGATTTGAAAAGTTCCATTTTCAGTCATGAAACTTTTTCAGGATTTCTTCAGGTTGACAAAAGTGTTTTATTTTAGTGCAATACTTGTAAAAGATGATGTCATAAGTTATACTGTTGGAGGTGATTCCGATTACAACATGAAGCAACTTGGAGCAAGGAGAATCCCTACTCCCACTGGGTGGAATATTTGTTTCATACTAAGCCCTCCTCCCCGCCCCCCAGAACTTCATCAGGGCTCCAGGGAAATTACTAGCGGTCATTCTTACCCCATGGTCGGTTGTTCAAGCCAAAAGCAAAGCTAAACCGGCTTGGCTTGATTTTTTTATAAGGAGTATTTTGGGGTTAACGTTTGGTAGGGTTTTATCTCAGTATAATGAAGGACTCAATAACACAAAATATAACCTGTGGTCATGACCGCTTGTCAAGCCATGAGCACGGGTCAAACATGAATACAAGCCATGGAAAAGTTGTACTGATCGTGTTAGAACAGCTCGGCCCTGGGTGGGAAGGGCTCTTTGAGAGAGAACGGAAGAGATAGAAAGGCACCGCTTAAAGCAAAAGTGTAAGACAGAATGGTAAATTGTGAGTTCGGTCGTCGATTGAAGAGAGAAGTTTCAAAACATTTGCTACAAACAATGGACAAAGAACGTCTTCAGCTCTGTAAGTTGCTATAATTTCTGCATTAAAACACTCCACGCAATAACTTATGTATTACTGTTACACAAAATTTTGTCGTTCGTCGGGGTTTTTATAGGTAAATGAACGTTTAATCGTTCGTCTCAGTGACAGCGAACCATCACATACGAATAACAATAGACCAAGGTGTTACAATTAGCGACACGTGAACTTTCGACCTCGTCGATTGACGAAGACAAGCAGCACAGCAGTCGAAACTTCACGATCAATACATGATTGATTAGCCTGACCCTTCAATCGTGAGACAAACGATTTAACGCTCATTCATCTCATATATAACCGTTTCTCTTGTAAGTATGAGCTGTAGCTATTTTGAAACTTGTACGGAGCAAAGACAAAACCTAGGCCTGTTTTCAGGTCTCTCAATCGATTAAGATGCTGAATTTTGCTTTAACTTTGAAAATGGCTAAATGAATGATTTTGCTCATGAAGATTTTAAATATGCTATTCTACCTATAAGTATTGAGTCTTTTTTATGTTTTTTCTACAACACTATCAATAAATTAATATAAAAATGCGAAACTCATTCATGTATTTACATTAGCCTCCGCTTAGCTAAAGTTGCAGAGCTGGGATACGCAGAATGCTTTTGCATTAAAACGCATATCGATTAAAGTTGTGTAGAGCTGGCACCAAACTTTTCTTAGCCAGCTTTTGAGAAATTAAAGGAAAAGTTTCTAACGGCCTAAAACGTAGGAAAACGCAAATGACCAGGTCACTATTGGTTTTCAGTTTTGAATCTTTGATTTTTCTAGTCCAGTTATGAAGTCTAAAAAACATGAGCAAAACCAGTGCAATCACAGAATAGTTTCGACACTAAGAAGAAAATTGGTCTTACGAAGCCTCCAAAAAACTAATACGGAGGTCTCGTGCTGTCAGGGTGATTGAACTAGTGTTCGAACGATTATACAACCTCACTATCATGGTATATGTATGGTACGCATGAATATTATTTACATATAAGAAACTGTCATTTGATAATCAACTGAGTGTTTCTCCTGATAAAAGTCACAGTAATATGTACTTGAAACCTTACCTGACGTAAGGGTGTGGCTTGAAGGGGGGGGGGGTTGCGGCCAAGGGTGTATTTGACCCCCCGTTTGTTACGAAAGCGTGATAAAAGGTATAGTAAAGCTTTGCGCTTAGCCTCGATTTAAAACAGAGATTTTATGCATCTCGGATACTGTTCATCTGAAATCTGCCGATAAATACTTCGTCTTTATCTGCATATCAATTATCTATGTCTGCAGTGTATAAAAGTGCGCTGATTGGAGATAATTTCTTATGGAGTTGATATTTTGCGCTTAGGATCTTTCGAGTCGCTGGTGCGACGTTTCTTGAACTTGGATGCCGTTGCTCTAATCTGAAAAATAAATGTTAAGGCTCTGGTGAGAACAGTAATGAGTACCACAAAGGCTAAAAGAAAGCTTAAATCAAAACCAGTGTTTTTTCTTTTATTGTGCTGCCTGAGGGAGGGGTGTCTCTGGACAATATGAAAGTAAATGTAGTTGTCTAGTCTCGTGCCCAGACCTTCCAAGGCTAAGCGGTTCATATGGTAGGATCTGGGTACGATGTCATTTTTTTTTAATAGCACTGTTCCAAACATCATTCTTGTAGGAAGTGTCTTTCCCCTTAATTCTTACTCGTAAGTAGTCACAACTTACCTGTTTAAGATGTTCTGCATTACAGAAGGACCTTTTCGAAAGATTGATCTGCTCAGCCTTTAAAAAAGAAAAAAAAAACCAAACACGTTGACTCAAAGTTGATCGTAGTTGTGTTATTTAGTTCATTTGGTTGTTAAAAGCTCGGATCTCAAGTTTCCAGTCAAGTACCATTTAATTTTTTGATGTAGATTTAGTGTTTAAATCTTAATCAAAACAAAGTTCGTAAGACTTTAAAGCGATGTTCTGGAAGACAATTGGCCTTTGTATTGATAAATGCATATCGTTTTAAAGTATATGCCAAAAGATCAAGCAACATCGCGCAAAAGAAATTGCATTTCAGTTTTAATTTAGGTTTACAATTATTCGATTACCGTTTGTTGTCAGCGGACTTTATCCAGTAACTTTTTGTTAAAATTTTTATAACAGTTTTTAAAGTTAAGTCGTATTCAAGTGTTAATTTGAGCTACCTTAGTCATCTGTACTGATTTTTCATTAGCTTCTACGGACTCTCCCGTATCAGGCTGAAGAGAGAAGCAATGTTAGCGCAATAATATTTCGAAAGCAATTGCCCAATATTAGCCATTAGCATTAAAACCAAATGCAGTTGGGTGAGTTAGTAACTGTCACAGGTTTTGAACTGTTAAAACAGATGAGCAGCTCAGAGACACCTCGGAAACATTACTGGAACATTGTAACAGCAAAAAAGAGTACGAAGAAAATAATCAAAATGTTAAAAAATCCAATGAAGATTGTACCATATCAGAGAATAGCTAGCTTCTTGCACATTTTACGTTTAATGTTAGCTGTCTGGTTATCTTTAGTGCTTTAAACATTATGTCCCAAAAAATCACAAGGACAGAAGGAAAACAAACTACTCCAAAACACGTTGTGAAAAGGAAAGATGACTGGACGTGCGACCTTCTTTTAGTGGTATCAAAGCTCATTAGTATTACCACACGGAAATGAGAAATTACAGGCACACTGAAGTGTGACAAACTTCACCAAAGAAGCGCACATTATGGGAAATATGATTTTATGGATTTTAGGTTTCGTATTCTTTAACATACATTTTTAGATGTCAGGATTAAAAATAACTCCCAACGTTCAGTGGGAGACTGGTAACTGACCCTCGTGAGAGTCTCGTCCAATTATAATGCGCGATATTACTTACCTTCCAAAAATTCTTGAAAATCTCCAAGAAGTTCCCCCAGATACCGAAAAATAGAGGCGGAGTAACCTGAAAAACAAGAAAAAAACGAAGCAAAAACACTATTAAGACACATTAAAGAGGTATGTCATGGTTTGTTCGTCTTGAAAAACTTAGCCCACATTTTAACAAGTTTGTCATTCAAAAGCTGTCTAATTTTTCTTAATCTTTTGCCATCCTTTGTTTGCTTCACATCATTGTTGCCTCTTTTGTGTTTGCCCTTCTCATCGAGTGAATATTTTGAGGTATGACTCACGATGGAGGTAAATAATAACAACAACGTAGAAAACAATTAAAACAAAAGGCAGATTTACCTCTTCTCCTTCTCCGGTGTACTGAAAATAATCAACAACTTCCTTGAAATCTTCCAATGTGGCTTGAAGCTTGTTTTGTATACGTTCAAGTTCTTTTTCGCCTGGTTGTTAGATTAGAGATTTTAGTCATAAATGCCTGACTTATCCAAATGAGTGAGATTTCATTGAAACCTGACATCAGGTAAAAAGGAGTTTTCGTCAGCGTTACCACCAACTTAGAGTTATCAGTCAGATACGTATGACTGATATGATCTCATCATTATTGCCTGGGGGGGGGGGAGGTCAGAGGATCTTTGGGGAATGACATGGTTTTCAGGGGAGACGGGAAGGGGATCAGTCACTGCCAACAGAGTATAGATGGGTACAGATGGAGGCTATAGAAAATTAACTGCCAATTAGGAAGGGGGGAAGGGGAAGGGGGGGGGGAAGGGGAAGGGGGGGGGGGGAAGGGGAAGGGGAAGGGGAAGGGGAGGGGGAAGGGGGAAGGGGGGGAAGGGGAATTATAAGAAAATTATAGAACCCTGTGAGAAGATCGGGTAAATTTACCCTGACAAAACCAAAATCTTCCGACCCCCCTTCAGGCGATCAATAATGACCGGTTCTAAAAAAAGACATTTTACTGATGTCGTTAATTCTATTTTCGTTTCTATTCTCACCGGTGTGAAGATATTCTTTGACAAAACTTTCAAACGGCTCGCGGTGCACATTATTGCCACCTCCAAGTACCATCTCAGACTGCAAACAAAAAAATCTCCTTAGAAACCGTCATAAGGTTTTGGAGTAAATCCTAAGTTCGTCTATCCGTGATAATATCACTGTAATTTAAAGGATATGGATTGAAAAAATGGAAGAAAATAACCAAATGGAAGAACCTCTTAATTCAGGGTGATCAGCATCTAGTTTCTCCCAACTGTATTTACCCACTGGGTCAGACGCTAAGGTCATGGGAATAGTAGAAATGATCGCAAACTCACGAAGCTCTCGATTGTGAAACAAATTGTCCTTGTCAGTACCATGGGAAATGTATATAGAGAGCAGTATGGCGAACTTACATACTGATGTCAGGATGTAAAGAGTTAAGGGAATTCGTGTTAAGACGTTGCATAAGAGAGTCAGAGGCAATCATAGGGATAGGCATCATAAAAGACTAAAGAAAAAAGCCGTATCTAGAAACGCTTGCAATCTGGCACCAGTCAAACAATTCCTGGAAAGTACCGGGGACGATCCTCCCAGTTAATTTTGTAGCTTTAATTACTTTTGCGCACAGCTTTGATTTCAAGTTTATAATAGTGATGCAATGTTCGACACAACAAATTCATTTACGAATTAATAGCTACGAACTTAAGATAAATTTAGTATAAGTTACTTACTTTGGCTTTACAGGTTGCTAGAGATATCTTAGCTTCTGCAAGTTCTAAGAAAAAGCGAAACGAAATGATAAGATAAGTATCATTGCTGACAGACAACTCGCCTGGATTTTCTGTAGTTTTAAATGAAAACTCTGAAAGAACATTGTGTTACCTGATTTGATATCCTTAAACGAAACCTGAGGGAGCGAAAGAGAAATTTTTAGAGATAAAGAACTTTTCCATCACTGAGTTAGTTCGTACTTTGAATTTCCTGGTCTACAAAGTTCTAGTTTGGACCTCGATCTCAAGCAAACCAGGAAATTGAAGAGTCAGGTCCATAAAGCATACTTTTTTAGAGTGCATAGTATTCAACTTTTACAGCGGTGTCTTTTCTTAAACCAGGAGATAAAATGGACAGGGGAAAAGGGTGTGAAGACCTGAAGGGTAGAATACAATCGAAAAGCACGTATCTTGGCGCAGAAACTGGGTTAAAACGCTTGCATTAACAAATCAGCTGCTTCCATCATCAACAACGACCCAATTTACCTGAGCAGCAGCGAGGATGGCGTAGGGGTCTGGTAAAGTATAATCCCCTGTCTCGCCGCCGTGTTTCTTGTCGCAATAAAGTTGAGCGATGTATTTCATAAGATTTGTTCCATTGTCCTAAAAAAAAACCGAATACAGTCAGTCATCCGCATATAAAATTTCCACTAAGCATTTTGTGAGCTGGTTTGACGTCTTAGGATGTGAGGCAGAGGAATCAAAACGTTGAGATGATCTTCGTGCAATCTTAACATTGAAAAATGTTTTGGGGAATCCTTAAGTCGTAAAGGAGTGAAGATACAATGGGTGGAACTTTCTCAATTGCATTTACTGAAATTCTCACACGTCCTAGAACTAATACTTCGGTTCTGTCTGTTATAATTTCTTGATTGAATTGGTATTTAGTTAGGACATGATTAGGTGAAAAAAAGACATTATTTTCAATACAACTATTTGTCACAACTCATGTCCTTTCACCTGTGTTTTGACATCTTTGATTTTGTTCAGCACACTCAATTGGAATCCATCTGCCTGTCCTCTGTTTGTTCCGCCATTCATGAAGTTTCCCAGAGTCAGGATTAAGGACAGAACGAATGAGATGTCTTCACTGAAACCAATGACAAGGTGCGTCGTTAGAAGGAAAAAAAAGTTGGGAAAAATGGGAAATTTCATGACGGTGACTTGCACATAAAATTGCGGTTTTAAAGCTAACAGAATATAGCCTGTTACTAGCTCACTCGTTCATTTACCGCCGGTGTTAAAACAATGCAACGTATTTTGAGGGCGGGACTTACTTTGTACGTAGTGAACTGCTGGCCTCGCAAATTGCGGATAATCTTCTGTCTAATAAAAGGGAAATGCATATATTGTCAGTATATACATGTTTTTATACGTCTTTCATAAAGATCAAATCTTTCAAGAAATAAGCTCACCAATGGCAGTTAAGGTCTCTGTAAATTTATTCCTGTACAACCAGCATTCGAGGCGCTCTGCAAAGTGGTCCATCTTGTGCATTTGAAACAAGAACTCCTCTGGTTTGTCGAGGGGAACTAAAACAAAAAACAAAAAAACGTATATGAGAAAGGCAATTTCATCTCTGAAACACAAATAGAGACAGTTATCGGTTCAAGTTAAGAAATTGCTTTTTCGTCAAAATGGAAGACATTGTTAAAATGTATCGCTGAAGAAAAGCTTACTGTTTGGATTCTCTTGCTGATATTTTGTGATCAGTTCGATTTCTTCAGCCTTGGGGCGAATGTCATACAACGCTTTTAGTCTGTGAACAGAAAAAAAAAGGATAAGGGTATCAGAGTACAACACCGTCAATGTAAAAGTTCACGTTATGAAACGCCTCGGTTCAAAAAATTGTCACCTTGAGTCTAAAACTGAGACGCTAGGCATGGGGTGTGAGTTAATAGCTGGTGTGGCAGCCAGGGGTGAAGTGTTAGAGTGGAGATTATCATTAGAGAAAGCCAGGCTACCAACATTGTATAACAGGAGACTACAAGGTATGTGTATTTTAATGTATAAGGTTAAACATAATTTGTGCTCCTGGACTATTTGTAACATGTTTTTTTACCAAAGCCACACTTACAGTTTACGGCAGAGAGATGCGGAAAACATTCAATTCGATATCTAGACCTAAGACTCTGGAGCAAGTTATCACATAAAGAAAGATAGGCCGCCAGTCTCAAGCAGTTCAAGACCCAGATACGCAGGCTTGATTTCAGAAACACCTCAGATGGATGTAGAGGCTGCAATCTTTGCAATACATAATTTTTATTTTTCTTAACGGATTTTTCTGTATATCATTTGTAAATTTCATTCAGAATTATGTTATTTATTATCTGTTTCTTTTTCGATTTTTTATTCATTTTAGATAGTTCTATTTAGGTGTCCCCTATTAGCGTTGGGGATTCCTCACTGCTAGATGTAATTGACACAGTAATTATTATTAGTTACGAAGAGTGCGAGTTTAGTGTTTATTTTGAATGTAAAGATTTGAAACAACAGAAAACGCGTAGAATATTAGCCTTACCCATCCATGTCGATGACAGAGGTGTCCATTTTGTACACTGCTTCTTTAATGTCCTCCAACTGACAGCTCAGGCTGCTCATGATGATACCAATCGTCTGTGATCGGCCATTATCAAGTAGCTTGGCGGCCTAGGCACAAAAAACTTAGATAAGACACGTGTAACTGAACTGAACATACACGTTACAACCAAAAGACAATCAAACTAAGAGACTCCATCGGACAAATTGGCCTTTTCACAGAAAGAGCCTCACTCAGGTTATTTCAGACTTTGCGTATCTCTTGGTCATTTTAGACGTGACTAGCGTGTTGCTTGAATGTTTTGGCATAAAAATGGAATATCCTCGTTCTCATGATAGCGAACGTATTTTTTCTTTCCGATTTGGGGATGTGCTTGTAATAAATGGTCGGCTACTTTGACCTGATTTAAGTAAAGATATTTGCAGAATTGATTAAGTTAACGTTGTTGAAGTGAGTTGGGAACCACTTACTTGCTGTCCTTTAGAGTGTGCGAAATGGCTGTCGTCTTTGAGAGAGATCCGTCGTGGATCACCTTTGGATATCTTGCTGACTTTACGCCCAAATAACCTACAAGATAAAAAAAGATTAGCATTTTCCATAGGATTATACCTGATAAACCGTTGTTAATTGTACTCGTATTTTTATCCTTGCCACTGATTAAAAGTTTGGATTCAGAGATGTTTCTAAATCACCTACTTTTGGAATTCTTTTCTATTGAAGTCCATCTCTTTTACATGTTTCCAAATATTTTTCTTGGATTTATTATTGTTCACGTCACCAGCGTCTTGTTCATCTAGAAAAAAAGAAAAAAAAAACATGAACAAGGAGGTCGTAGTTTGCATCATAACAAGTTGATTTGGTCTGATCTTGGTAATAAGTAACTTTTATAGGGTCTTGCGAATTGCAGTTTTTTTTCTCATCCTCCAAGTTGTACAAGACTTGCTCAAACTCGCAAATTTAAATGGAAATAAAACCTGTTTGCCGATCAATCGTTTATTTCTTTATTGCAGAACTGTGGTAATATCACATTTTTCTTAAAACCAACCTGATATCAAAATCCTTGTCCAAAACAGCGGTTTCATTTCCACGTCAGGTTTGACGACAGCTTTCTTTGGCTTGACCCCCCCTGTTAGCCTATGGCCTCCAGGTCCTATTGGAGGAGGTGGAGGGGGTGGACAAGCACCAGGAACAGGGGGAGGTGGTGGGGGAGGACTTGCAGACCCAGGGGCGGGGGGTGGAGGTGGTGGCGGAGGTGGGGCGGGGGCGGATATACTGGACATTGAGCTGGACCTGGACAGGTCAGAGGAAGCCTCACTTTCCATTGTACCCTCAGAAGGCGTCATGTCTTTCGCTTGTTCAAATTCTTGCTTCATTTCGTTTATTTTCTCTTGGTATTTTGATATCTCCAGTTGGTGCTCAGCTTTGATTCGCTCAATTTCTTCCCTCAGAAAGTCAACAGTTTCTTTTTCTTTTGGTGCTTGAGAATCAGTTCCTGTAGAAGGCAACTGCTTGGTTGGAAGACTCTCAATTTTTCCCTCATCATGGAAGCCATTTACCATTTTGATGGGCGAGATTTTTCGGACCCTTGAGGTTGCAGTTTCTCCAGCACCTTTTGGAGTTATAAAAGGCGATGTCTTTATGGATGGGGTAGTTATATCAACTTTCTCGGTCTTAGTTTTGTCATCAGTTGTTGTCTCTTGAGGGGACATGTGTGCAGTCTTCCTTCCCTGAACAATTATTGGAGCTTTAGCCACGAACATCTGTGTGGCGGCTTTCACTTCTTGAGCTTTTTCTTCTTGGACGGCTCTTTTGATGGGGATAATCCCACCATTTTGGTGCTCAGTGGATTTTATGTCATCATTCACAGAACCGGTTTGAATTTTTTGAACTTGTGGAGCCCTATGCATGGTTACCAAACCAGTTTGAACCTGTTGAACTTGTGGAGCCTTGTAAATGGTGCGCGGAAGGGAAGAATGTTTGGTTTGCAGTTTGAAATTTTCTAGTTTATGTTGATCATTGCTGTTGTTTTTTTCACCGTTTCCTGAATTAGCATTTTCACTGTTGTCTGCTTTCTTTTCTTTCTCGTCTTCCCAGCTATCATCCTCAACATTTTGGGAGCTAAACGCTTGATCCCTTTCAAGGAGGGCAGCTAATCCTCTGGAGAGCGATTTTGTGGCATTCACCTTCCTCTCCTCATTTGCCCCTTCAGAAGTTGCATTTTTCGCCACGCGTGAAGCTGTGTTGATTTCCATTCGTCTGGACGGCAACGTTCCTGGTCGATTTCCCGTTTTTTTCAAATTAGGTGTTACCCATGCGGGCTTCGCTTCATCTTGGGGCGTTTTGGTGAGGCGCTGTGGAGAAGAATTGTTGCTCGTTTGGTGAACTTTTCTTTCAGGAAAAAACTCTTACTTCTTCAAATTAAAGTGTCAACATTTAAGCTGAATTTTTGGTAAATGATGATTCTATTCCCGCCATGCGTTTCTATGACAGCATCACATGCTCCTCTACTTAAACATTGTGACATCCTATTGATACGACTGAACTCAGCTAAACTCAAGGCATTGTACACTTGAAAACATTCCAAGTGTTTCTGGAGTCCTTCTTGGTTTAAACAATGTATTTTCGGTGAGAATCCAATTGATGTCATCAGCAAAAGCGGTTTATCCCAAGAATCCCCTTTCAGCGTTTGGCGGACGCTTTGAAGTCCACCGAAAATTACCGAAGCTCGATCCTTCTTTAAAAAAAAAACTTTTGTAATTCTGACCAAACTCTCTAGTTTTGAATTAAGCAAGAGAGAAGATAAAAACACGGAAATAGAAAACACATCAAGTTTTAAATGTAAGCAAAAAGAAAGAAAGATCTTCAGTCAAAATTCATCTCTATATTTCTCAATTGTCACTGATACTGAAATGAAAATGGAAGAAAATTTTAATATATAAACGATGTCTATAAACTACAATTGTAACTCATACCTGTGTTCTTAAATTAGCAGTAGTCGCCATGTTGCTCGGCGTCTGTGAAGTTTCACTCCAATAAAATAACTGTGAACCGTCCTCGTAAAGTCGAGATCTGCCAATGCTTTTAATGATTCCTTCTTTGAGGACGCTCTGAAGAAGCTCTGTCGCTTTTTCTCGAGTTGGAAACCTTTCTGGTGATTTTTCTGTCAATTTGTCAACTAAGAGTGATCCTTCAAACACTTTCTCGTAGGTTTTTCCTCCCCACGTCTTGGTGAAAACCTTAAGCAAAGAATCTTAAATGTAAATTTCTTAAATGATTCATTTTGCGGCGGAAAAAACTATGTTAGCCCGAAATTTCATAATTCTAATAATAAACTATTAACTTAATTAACTAATTTTTTTAAATAGGTTTAAGAAAACAGACCTTTGGTTAACTTGTAAATCTTTTGAATTTAATAAAAGTTTTGAATCGGTACCCATTGGAATTTAAAAAATTGCAAATGTTCTTTAATTTCTCTTAAGGTTGCGCACAATCAAGACTTGTATGTAAGATTAACCGATAAGTGACTATTTCTAACGCAATAGTCCTGCACCTCATTGCTGGTATTTTTATCGCAGCGCTAGAAGGCTTCATCTCCTGAATAGCGGCTTTGTAATGACGAAGTGACTCTAATCTGCTTTTTGCTGTTTTGTTGTCGTTGTTGTTATTGTTGTCATGTTTGCCGAACTACAATACATTTGGTTCCTTTGAGCCATGCAACATCAATTACACCATAGATAAGAATAATTAGTCAAGAATTAGATCGACAGCGACAACGGTAACTAAAATAAAGACGGAAACTAATTGTATTGCATAGATACTTAGTATACTTTTTACAGCTAAGGGACATTTCGTGTCAATTATTTGGCCTACGTAAATCCGCTTAAATAATGGCGCTCTGGTAATCGACCATAACCACATTTTGTAGTAAATTTTGTAAGAATTTGATGCAAAACGTTGTACAATTACGGAAGCTTACGATGGTAATAATATTCGTGGAAAAAATTAACACGCTTCTGGATGGCTGAAAACGAGTGCATTCTCATGCAACACGATTGCAACTACAAATAGTATGCATGCACTGTCAAAATTTCTCCTGTCTTGACTTTCTGTAATGCCTTTTTCATGTAATTATTAATACAGGCTCATGCAATTATGTTGTATTTAAAAAATTTACTCGCGCTTATTAAAACCAAATTGCACTCGAAATCGTGTTATTGCCATTACTACATGTGAGGGACCAAATTATGTTCAGGATAGGATAAGTTTTAATCAGCTTGGTAGGTAAGTACAAAGCTGCATAACGAGATAAACATAATAAAGAGATAAACAAAATAACAAGGAATAAAAAATTCTAGCTTTTTGCTCCCTTGCGCCAATTTTTCTTCTCGGGCGGGATTAAACACACCTTGTGTTTGGTGATAATAGTAAAAAAATATGTGGTTCTGAGTGATATTTTTTGAGTGTTATTATTTACACTAACTTAAATGTTTCTTTGTTTATCTCATGGTATGCCTACTTATTGAAAATAATCAAAGCTGTTAGGGAAGAACCACTTAAAATTGATAGAATTCTTAAATTTGATTCGAGCACTTGTCCGAAAAGTGGATGCTTTTGAAATGGTTTACATATCACCGGCATAAAATTCTGAAGAGCTGGGACTTTGGGCACCATTACAATCGGAACTCATATAATAAACAAAGACTCAACCATTTTTAAACTATCCTCTCAAAGCGCTGTCTGTGAATTTAAAGAGAGTCAAGAAAAAATATCCAACATAAAAACGAAACAATGTGGTTGGTCTGTTTGAAGCAGCGATGACCAAAGCGTAGCGGATTTCCGCTGTCTATCGTAAAGCTTCCATTTTATTGAGACATGATATACAATGATGCACTGAACTAGCTGATAAAGAGGCCGACAGTTTGGTTCAATGTACGGAAATCTACAACATCTAGCAGTAAAACTGGAAATTCCTTAAGAGGAATGCGCAGCTACGTTTTTTTTTTTTTTTTTTTTTTCAAATTCTTATAACATTCTTACGAATAAAATTTTATAAGCGATATAGGCGAGTAAATTATGGAATTCTTTGTAAACAAAAAAACCACTTATTCCCAACAGGTCCTCCACCTTTGGTTATCCCGTGTATATTGGTTATCCCAAGCCTATGGATGCTTTCCTGACCTAATCAACATCATCATAGGCCTAAATGACATATTTGAAATTTATTACGATTTGTATGCTGTAAGGCGTATTTAACTACAAGAACTGACATCATTACTTATCTCGGGATTTCTCTCCAAAATCTCTCAAAGCCAATTTTGCGAACTGATGATCATATAAATCTCGGTTGGCTCGTGATTGCAGAGAATTTGGTTTTACTTAAAGGCAAGAATTCCAAGTAGATTACTTTCTTCCTTCTTGTCTGTTAAGAAGTATCTAAATGATAATAAGATTTCTCATTTCGATCACTGCTTGAAGTACTCTGGTTAATTCGTTTTCCTACCAAAACATGACATGAAATTGAAAATCTGAATAACATGACAATTGCACTGTCGTTTGGAGCTAAAAAGAAGCTTAAATGAGCGAGACATCATATATGCGAAACAAAGAAACAGAATTTAAACTTCAGTGTGAGTAAACATAGGATTAGAAAACTAATCCTTTCTAAGTTCGTGTGATTTTCGCCTTAATTCGTCCTCCAGTCTCTGCTTCGAGATTTACTGGTGGGAAGAATTCTGCATTATTTCGTGTCGAACTTAGTTTGACGTAGGAAACCCTTTGAAATCTGGCTGATACCGTGTCATCTGCGTGGTTTCGTTCGAAGGAAGTTGCATGTTTACGTTCAGCTAAGCAGTTTCAAAACTGGAAACTAAAAACGCGGTATGAATGTGGGCAAATAAATCAGATATCAGAAACGAGCACTCGCGAACATTAACGTAGATAATAGGAGGCAATAAAAACAGCAGTTGTCACTAATGAGGTTGTTGTCAATTACAGATAAGAGACTTTTCAACATGTACACCGGTCTAACAAAAGAAGAAGAACAAGATGAAAAAACTCAACTCAACAGACCTACTTGTTCACGGCCATTAGGCTTATCATTCATTTACATAATCTGCCGGACAAAGCACCTTGCAAAAAAAAAAAATCTTGATGAAGATTGAAACAGGACGATTTGTCGGGAGGAAATATCGCGGTTTCATGAGTCAAAAAAAAAAAAAAAAAAACTTAAAAAAATGCAAGATGTTTTTGCTATCTTCTCCCTCTTGGCCTCAATAAACTCAGGCTAATTGCAGATTGTCATCGATGGGGTAAGAAATATCTTAGAATTAGAGTGGATATCTTAAGAATTCAATGTTACAGCGGTTGGTTGTTGATCGGTTTAACAACGTTGAAATAAAAATAGAATCGAATATTACGCCAATTAGGTGGTGTAGACAAATACAGGAAGTCACATTTATCGTAGGAACACGCGATCTTTGAACATGGTTACGAAAATGCAACCAAACCTGCGTTACATTTTGGCCAAAAATTAAAGACTGTCTGGCATTCTGTTAACTCATATCTAACATAATTCAAATGAGTGACATGGAATAAAGTACTGACCCATAAAGAACTTCTGAAGAAGGCCGTGACTCAATAGGTGCTCATTTAGTTTAAAGAGAAGTGGTACAGTTCAAAGCTTGGTGATGTAAAAACTTAAAGAACAAACAAAGGATAACATTGGATAATTAAAAAAGAAAAGTATGCAAAGCTTTCATTTAAACAACAAACCTCCGTTACTGCATCAAAATTCCACGACGTAACTAATGGAGTGGCTTTCAATGCAAAAGCCGCAAGGATAAATAATATTACATCGAAACAGTTGTATATTAAAATACCTTATATTGTCCCCTATAAATCTGTTCCACTACAGTGAAGTCCTTTGACGATGAATTGCTTTGTTAAACATGGAACGCAGAAGCGCTTCGAATAGTAGTTGCAGTGTGCACCGTACGTGTGTTAGATATGAAATACTTGTACTTTCATCGACAATTGAAGGAGGAGTTGATACTTGTACCCCGATTACATGACGTGACCTTTTTTACGTAGATCCTCCTTAAAATTCCTAATCTTAAGCTCTATTTCAAAACAAAAACACACTTCTAACTGCCCTCATTTCCTCTCAAGTCACGGCTAATTTTTATCTTCGCCGCAAAAGTAAACAAGAGTTCCCTTATTTAGTTTGTGTTTATTGATTAGACGCCAGACTGATGTGCAAGCTAACTGAAGTACATTATCAACTTGATTAATTGAAAGCAATATTCAGAAGTCAAGATACATTTTTTGTCTGTTTGACAAAATAAGCTATTACCAGACATTTAGTAGCGCTCAACACGAATTACGTGTGAAACAGTATTATTAGTAGATGGCGGTGATATTTTTGATAGGGCCGGAAAAAAACTACCCAAATAGTTGAAATTCATAAAATTCTTAAGCTCGTCAACTAAAAAGGTCATGTTCGAGTACACACAGCACTGAGCGACAGGCGTGGGCGTCTTCTGAAAATAAAACTCAATTGTGCAATATTGAAACATGAATGAAGCATTGAAACTTGTACTGAAACAACTTGAGTGGAAATCTCTCGGCCAAACTGGTTGAATTTTTTTACAACGGACCACTGCAATAATTGTTAATGTCGCGCGCAACATTCACAAGAAAACTCAGACAGAAAATTAAGATTACACAAGCTCAAGTTTTTTCACTAAGGTTTACGTATTTTTGATAAGGGTTAACAGTAAAACAAACCACCTGAGTATCAGGTAAGTTCTATTTCAAGCGTTGTTCTGAACAGATAAAGTAGTTGTGAATGAACAACTTAGAAAATGCAGAATATGGCAAGGACCAACCGTGGACAATCAAATAAGACGTTGAACTGCGTGGTTAGCTGTTATCAAATCTCCAAGACATTTTTTTTTACGTAGAGGAACACCGGAGGAAATATGTGGGGAGACACTCACTTCGTCACATCTGCCACATCAAACAGAATTATCTAAAGAAAGCACGTTAGTTTCGGAAGGATAGGATGAGCGAGAGCTGCAGAGAAACCACAGACAGGCACGTTGGTCTGCACGTACTTAATCAGGTAAAGAAAAGCTGTGTTGAAGGCAAATAAACGGCGTGTTCTTTAAAGGCATTTTGGTTGAGAATTCGTCACGAATCAAATCCGCTATGGCGGTAAGCTATTAATTCCTGTAAAAGATTAATATCTCAGTGCTGCTTTCTTGTTAAGGGAGAATTGGAGAGCAAACTGGCTATAAACTGAAAGAAGACAACGAAGGGTCATGTTCAAATAACAAAGTTTGCCATGATTCCCAAGAATGTCTATAACAATGTTTCAAAATGTCGTGACTAAACCTCGGTACTACATAAATATGATAAATTTTTTTAATTTTAATATCTCACTTAATCTGGTTCACTCAGCTGAAGGTGTGCTGTGACGAAAAAAAAATTCATCTTACCTGAGTGCACAGTCCAGCGCCTTAATTGGCCTGGATGGTGTTCTCCTTCTAAATTTTTAAAAGTGATTTCGCTGTGCATCAAGTTAGTAAATGATAAAACTTAAGCCAAGCGAAAGGTTGATGTCAGTTAGAGAACAACTGATTTTAAAAAAAAAATCAGGTATAAAAACAGCATGTGACATTCTTGATAATCACTAGTGACAAAAGAACGGTGTACTTTAAAGGTGACATATCACATTTCGATTCTTGGTTTATAATCTTAAGCTCCCTAAGTGGATTCTAATCTTCCATAAGCCATAATCTCCACCTTACTGAGTGGATTATCCTTCATGTTAAATGCTCGACAAGATTGATGAATATTTTTACAGCCGTTGCCTTGAAATGTGGGCAGCAAACTAATGTAAAGATTACTGTTTCATATCGATGACGTAAATTTTCTGTAAACAGGAAATATCATCAATTTTTGGCATGATTGAACGAGAGCGTTGCACAGATCCCTCTATTTGGAATTATCATCCTGCCAAAGAAAAAGTCATTGCTCATTCAGATCCATTATATTTGAGCCCGGTATGCATGTAATTGCGTTGTTTGATATGAGCTAAAGATTGGGAGTATGTCAACAGAAGTATCAGACGGTAGCACCATTCTCGCCTCACTCGAGGCTAAGAAGGATTGACTTCGTAAAGCTCAGCTTTACCTTATCAGTTTGGTTTGGCTATCTCTTTTCTCTTCAATTCATTTGCCCGATTTTAAGGTGGCTGCAATTCTACTTGATTAGGATAAAAAAGGTACAACACCTGGCCTTTCTATACACTAACACCTCAGCTAACTGACAAAGGCAATAAACCATGTCTCAGTCCCACACCTGACCAAAAGTATCTTTCTCCTTGAGTTATCAAAAGAAGGACATCAAATAGGAGATTTTCCTTATCTATCCACAAATTCTCAGGGCTAGAGTTGTAAGAAATATATCAGTGCAGAAAGCTTAAATTTACTTAGCTAAGTAAAATTATGTTATCCCTAGACCCACTAAACCACTTTACTCAGAGGAGAACTTAAATTTGTTTTAATAGATTCCTGGGGCAAAGTTTTTGTTATTACTATCGTTCGAGCATTCTGAATACTTCAGTAAAACATAGCAGGTTCCATTGGAAATTTTCTATTCGTCTGTCCTTTGGATGCAGTTTAATGATGTTGACCTAGCAGGGGGTACTTTGATCGGACGTCAGACCTCGGGAGAGGGCAGCTGATTTGTTTTCAAACAAAGTTTCAATTACAAATCTCAGTTGCCTAAGGCAATTAGCCATCCCTTCTCAAAGTGAGCTTTTGGAAGAAATGAAATCTCCTTATCTAATTCGGTAAGAAAACAAATGCTGCCTTGCAGCAAAAAGTTATATTTACCCTAAGAAGAATGCTCCTTATAGACACACGGTCACGCAATAGTTTCGTGACAGGCGCACTTCAGCAATCCGTGACAAGTAACCGTCCTAATACAGCAAACATTTCTATACAGAAATAAATGCTCTATTCACTGAACGTTTGCGTGTTTAAGATCGCAAGGACACTCTGCTAGTATTTTAAATGAAACTGAAGTCATATGGAGCTCTTCTGTAAACTATGGGGTAATTTTAAAAGTCCGCTTTAAAAAAGCAATGTCAACGGAACAAAGAGTTCTCCAGCGGGGTTTCTTCATATTATCAAAGTGTCCCCGAACTGGTCTCTATTAATTCCAGCAACGCTTACGCTAAGTCTTAAACAAACTATACTTTAGATAAGCCTAAAAAAAAAGAAAGGCTTTGCGCCCAAGGCTAAAATCTCAGATCATTTACAGAGCAACGAGAAATATTTTCTCGAGTTCTCCATCAATCACAAACCGAAAATTATTCAGGAAAGGCGCTCGCAGTGGAGATTGTTTCCCAGGACAGGTTGGCAGGTGTTTCAGTCGTAGTCGAAAAAAGCATACCTGTCATTTCACCTACAAAGTTTATCGTTCAGAAACTTGGGTTAAAAAACTATGTTTTTCTCACCTTGGTTGAATCGAATGCACTCCGCAACACCTCAGCATCCTCCTCTTCCAGAATGCTATCAAGCTGGCTTTGCATGTGAGCGGGAGTTATGTGTAAAACACAGAGATTCTAGAAAAATCGTCAAGTCATGAAAACTATTCAGTGTAGTTATTTATGGCCCGGGGACATTGAAGAGGTCAAAAAGCTGTGTTTTGTCTCTTCTGCATTCGATCTTGGAATATTTCTCACAATAATTGATCGATCGATAAACGATTGACCTTGACTAGCCGCCGTTCGCATTGCCGCTTAACGTTCAAATTGTCCAAGAAGAAATTATGAAACATCTGTTGTAGGTACCCTAATTAGCACTTGTTTTATTGGTGGACTCCACGAAGTCCAACTGAGATTTTTTTTTGTTTGAATGAGACTGGCTATATTTTGGAAAAACAATTGGGAGACTTAATTAGATATGCAATTTGATACAAGGGTTTGCAGTTGCTCAAGTAAGATTAAAACATGTACCCTTAAACTTCTAAGGATCTATAAATGTTCAATAAAATATGTTAAGAATTAAGATATACATGGCTTTAAAATCGAACGCACCGAAAATAGCTTCTGCTTTTTGCTTACGATTAGTTCATCACTGGCATGGAAATTTTCAGGTTTTCATTTCGTAATTTCGTTCAACTTTTCTGAGACTGATTCGTATCTGATATAAATCTCTCGGTAATGAATTTTGCTCCTTGTTGCCTTGTAAAGCCATCGCATAGCGAAAACAGTTTTGTGACTGCAAATGAATTAAGAAGTTTCGATATTTGAAATTCCTGACGCTATTCAGTATCTAGATTTCATTGATACACTTTGCTGGGTTTTCTCTTGAAGTGAAAACAAAGTACGCTTAATCTTGTATTTTGGCGCTCAATCATTCCACACGAATATTAATGCTAGCGAGTCACATGAAGGTGACGAAAAGCTGAACGAAACTGTGATTAATTTAACTGTGTAGAAAGTTCTTGTAATAACTTCCTCCGAGGCCACGAGGCTACAAAGGATGACAAACCACACACTAAGTCTTCTCCATTACTTCCTCGATGAAAAACACAAGGGATAATCAAAAACGTTTGCTTTAATTTGAGGAAAACTTTATTTCTAATTCTTAACTGCCCACATACACATTTAATATGTTGCTTTATAACGTAGAGGAATGACAAGCAGTCAGTGATGCCTGAATCATTTGGAAGCCCCTAATTATAAAGTTGTTCGCAAGAAAAAAACAACTGAAAAATATTTGTAAACGAATTTAAACCACAAATTGAAGTTTGACATGGACGAACATATAACTTCAAGGCCAATTTTATGATTTTACATGATTTTAAACAAAAGATATCACAATGAAATCAAATAATTGATAGGAGGAATCCTCATTTCCTAGAAAGGACACGCCATGTGATTTTCCAGCATGTTCTTTCACATAGGCATCATTTTTCTTGCACTGCTATTAGGATAGTTGTCGAAGATTCGACTCTGATAGGAATTTAGTTTTGTAAAACCTGGCTTACATGACAGGCAAATAGCTTTCTTGTCACTGCCCTAGTTGAATATAACAAGGTAATTAATTATTATTAACTGAGTTGCTAACGTAAATTGGCCACCGTAATTAGAGTTTCAAAGCTGACGTTTCGCGTGTTAGCCCTTCTTTAGAACAAAGGGCTCACAACTCCGACGTCGAAACGTCAGCTTTAAAACAAAACTCTTTGCAGTGGCCTATTCACGTTCTCAACTCAGTCGATAATACTTTATGACCTTGTTATACTCTCCCATCGACGCAGCACCACACTTCCTTCAGAAGCTTACGCCCTTAAATTAGATGAATAACAACAGCTTTCGTCTAAATGACGAAATTCTTTAGCCTAGTGTTCGAAGTAAATATAGGAATCATCCATCCGTTAATTCGGTGCTATCTGGGTGACCCTAAATCCCTCCCTCTTGAAATACACAAATCTGCATAAATACTAAATCTAATTCCATCTAAACCTACTCTTTATCATTTTTCATAATAAATCTTATTTATTTATCTTATTTATTTATATTTATTTCCAATCTGTATCTTTTGTTAAGCTGGGCTTATCTAAATATACAAATGTATTTTTATCATCATCATTATTATCACTTTGAATATAATAGGCTTCGCACATGCACAGCACTTAATACACATGCGTTACTGACCAAGCATGAGGTCAAGATGGCTGGATATTGGCTGAGTTTTCTTTTTTGCGTTTTTATAGACTGAGACAAAGTCGAGGTCCATAAAAATGGAGAAAAGAAACAACGAGGCAAATATCCAGCTCACTTTACCGAACAAGCTTGGTCGATAAAGGATTTCTCATTTAGCAAAACGATTTCGCATTATTAAGAATCAAGAATGACTTGATCATTATGAAAGCCGGGTGGGAATGTCAACTGTGTTTGTAGGACAATAAACCCACGAGAGTCATTTCTTTTTACTTTGCTTTGACTGTCCGCGGTCGCTTTTTTCCGCTGCATGGCCGGTTCAAAGATTACGAATTTTGCAAGTCCTCTCCAAGCAATTTTTTTTTTTGCGCGGGATCAAAGTGGACAATCCCGAGTGGGCAAAATGAGCCCGTCTTGCCCGCTCGGGTAGCCAATTAAAATACAGGATTCGCTTCATATTACAAACGGGCGCTGCCAGCGATATAGTAAAGAGGGATAGGAGGAATAGATGAGCAAGTGAGAGCTAAGGTCATTAACACTGTTTACTTGCACTAAAATTCGATCGGTACGCTTAGAAAAGAAGGAAATTCCATATGGGCTTTATTTATACAATGTTATACATATTTGAGATAAAATGCGGTGGCGCCGGATTATGTTTACGAGGGATTGGTGTGTTTATTTTAGTCCTGAAATCTCTCCATACAAATACATAAACAAAATAGAAATGTTAAAAATTCAATGCTTGGGAAACCACATGAAAAAGCAAAATTTCTGAAATTTGTACACTTCCTTTTTAAAAAACCCAAACTACTGGTTTGATGTGAGTTTTATTCATGCACAAATTATAATTTTCTGACACACACCTTTTTCCCATGATTTGAAATTAGCGAAAATACATATCTTAGCTTTTTTTGCTAGTTGACCTTTTAAGATTTTGTTTTTCTTGGCGACTTCGAGAACGATTTTTGTTCCAGCTTCACATACACATGTGATGGTCTTTCTAAGGGTGAGGTTCCATGAAAAATGGAAGTCAGCGAGCAATAGAAAGGTTCCTCTCGGAGGCTCTGAGCGCTTTTACTGTTTAAGCTCTGTCGACTCTTTGCACTCGAATACGGAACGGAGGAAGATAAGGGCTCTACTGTTTCGTAATTGCTGATGGCCCCCTCGAAAACCGTAGCGTACTCGTCGTGTTTGCCTAAGATGCAGGGCTCCATAGCTTCGTAATTCGGTTCAACCTCCTCTTGAAACAGCCTGCATTCCTCTTGCTTGTGTACCAGGGAGGGCATCATTGGCTCGTAGAAATCTTCACAAAGATTCTTTGGAACGACCTCGCCTTCGTCTGAAGCCTTTTTAACTGGCTGGAATTTTTTCATTCCCTTTAGGTAATCTTCACTTTCCTTGTATAGCCGTACAACTCGCCCCATATTTTCAAAACGACTCGAGGGAAGAAGGTCATTATCAGCAGTTGTCATCTGGTTTTCAAGCCTATCCAACTCTTCCCGTAGATATTGCCAATATCGAACAATGTATTTTGAATCGCAATTAAGCTTTCTGATAGGATGTAAGGTCAGCGGCAGATCAAGGGGGAGTTTTAGAATCGTTAACTGATCCTGGTTTACTTTTGTAGTTGCGATAACAATGGTCTCCTCGACAACTTCTTCGAAATAAAATTCCCCTCTTAAGGTTGCTACAACATCAGAGTAGGATACCACGTTCTCAACAAATCTCACAGCCACTGGAAAAGCAATATTATCTGCTACATATCTTAGAGTGTAGCTTCTTGGGTCAAAGTCGTGTAATAACTCAAGAGGTACTCCCCAATGAAGTGGAAGCCTAATTTCCTTCCCTGGTTCACGAAGTATTTTGCATTTTAAAGTTTCCGCTTCAGTGCTCCTCGTAGATTCGAAAAAAATGGGTTCTAAAATATCTCCATCGTCGAGTTTCAGCTCAGGAACATCTCTCAAGACGCGAAGAAACCTAGCTGTGCGGATCAGATGAGGATCGAAGTCTTTTGCAAGGCGTGTACGAGTCCTAGGCACAATTTCAACGCGCGCCGAGTTGTCAACGGGCAGGAAATAGTGCTTGCCTTTTGAATCTCTCATTCGGATTCGCCTCAGCTGCACGGTTTTGTGTACTGTCAACAATTCGTCCACTGATACGGAAAAAACTCCATTATCGACTCCCTCCAACACTTGAGCAATGTACGGAGGCTGATATCGAATTATGAAGTTGGTCAGAGTTTCCTCCAATGAATCTGGCTTGTGAAGGGCAGCTGTAAATAGAGAAATAGAAGCATTACTTGGCCCTTCTAAGTATTTTTCTGATTTCAAGTTCTCATGTTTGTCAATTAAAACAATTCTTACCTTCTTTACGGCGGGCCATGTTTAAAACTAGGTGTCAAGGTCTGTTTACTTTCTCCGATAAATGTAAAGACTTTTCAGGTGGGTAGGTGTTTGTAAATACACAGTCCTTGTCATTGCGGGATGATCTTGCACATGATGAGCCGTATGAAACACTGATAAACGAAATAATCGTTTCAGCTTTTAACTAGAAGTATAGGTCGAGATGCGCTGTAACATATCATGTCATGATCGAAAGATTACTTCCTTAAACCTAGCTTACACATTAAAATTCAATTTTTTGGAAGCTTAATTCCCAGTCCTTCATCTTTCATTTTGTATTGATTTAATTTATTCCAAAAAAGGATGAAAAAAAGGATGAGATAAGTAAGCTTATCAAGCTTGGCTGATGCACAGAGGGGGAGGGGGAGGGGTAAGGGGGCAAGGGGAGGAGGGGGGGGGGGGGTAGGGGTAGGGGGTAGGGGGAGGAGGGGATGGGGGTAAGGGGGCGGTGAGGGAAAGAGTGTTCGGCGCCACCTGAAATTCTTTCTCACTTTTAAAGTGGCTCTGAACTCTTCGGTAGAATCTCTTTTCGATTTTCCTTGAGTTAAATTTCTATCGGGATGAACCTTAGTCCGCCTTATTCCAAACAAAACTAATGAATAGTATCGCCACTATAATTCCCTTGTCAAAGTGCTACTGGTTAGAAAGATCCCCAAGATGAAGTTTCTATTTTCTTGTACCTCTAGCTAGTAGGATCTGAAGATGCTTATAAAATACTACCGGCGAGAGGTACAGCTTGCATACTTAGTCGACTTTGCTCAGTTTTTATTACGGTTTGCTCCACATCTGACTTTTCTGCACTCCAAACTAGTCTTACACTCCTAGGAATCACTTTTTTTTACAGGAGTATGTTTACATTTATTTTGTTATTTGGTCTTTTACCTCTAGCTGGTAGGATCTGAAGGGGCTTAGAAAAATTAATACAACTGGCTAGAGGTACAGCCTGCATACTTAGACGACTTTGCCCAATTTTTATCACGGTTTGCTCCACATCTGACTTTTCTGCACTCCAAATTAGTCTTATACTCCCTGGAATCACTTTTTACAGGAGTACGTTTACATTTATTTTTTTTATCTGGTCTTGTACCTCTAGCTAGTAGGAGCTCAAGAGGCTTATAAAATACAACCAGCTAGAGGTACAGCTTGCATATTTAGTCGACTTTGCCCAATTTTTATGATGGTTTGCTTTACATTTTACTTTTTCTGTGCTCCAAATTAGTCTTATGCTCCTTTGAATCACTTTTTCAAGAATACATTCCCATATATATACTTTTATTTGGTCTTGTACCTCTAGCTGGTAGGATCTGAAAGAGCTTACTACCAGCTAGAGGTACAGCTTGCATATTTCAATTACTTATTTATTTATTTAATTGCTTTCACCATGATCATGATGCTAAAATAACACTGGGAAAAAGAAATACTTTTGACAAGGTCAAAAGAACAAGAGACGAAAGGTGCAGGACATGACAGAGTGAGGCTCCGAATGAAGTGTGCCCAGAGTTTGCTACAGTTTGATCCACATTGACTTTTCTGCACTACAACTTAAACTTACACTCCTTGGAATCACTTTTTTCAAGAATACATTTACAGTTATTTTTGTTATTTGATACCTCTAGCTGGTAGGAATCCTTAGGAGGCTCAAAAAAAAAACTAGAGGCTATTTTTGCAGTTAAATATATATATATAATTTATATAACTAAATAAATGAAATTTACCTGTGCTTGTGTTATTTATTGTATTTTTTAACAAAAATTGTTATTATTAAAAAGAAATCAAACCTTTCTTAATTGAACACCAACTAGAAACCCTTTGCTAATTGCCTAATAATGCCTGCTTTAGTTTCAGCTGAAAAGTAAAATGTGGAGGAAACTGCAGTAAAAATTGGACAAAGTTAACTAAATATGCAAACTATACCTCGAGCTGGTAGCTTTTCTAAGCCTCCTGAGATCCTACCAGCCAGAGGTATGAGACCAAATGAAAAAATAATTAGAAGTATTCTTAAAAAAAAATGATTCCAAGGAGTGTAAGATTACAATTTATAAAATAATTCAAATAGTACGCGTGCTCTGATTGGCTATAAAACCATTTTACATGAGCGTATGTAAACACGGTTTTCATACTGAATCTTCTTGTGGAGTTCTCCCTGCTATTTATTTTGCAGTAACTCAGTTTCTTTAAGTTTGTTTTGAGTACAGTAATGGAAGAAGAAGATTTTCCTAATTTTTCTTTGGAGTTTAATTTTCCCAGTATTCAAGAAACGGCTGAAAAGCCAAATGAACAACAACAACAAGCACGTTGCTTTTCTTTGTTGCAAGAAGAGGCTCTTTCATTAGTTATTTTATAAAAGAAATGTAAAATGGTTTCCGTGTTTACAAAGCCTGATGTAAACACTTGGGAGGTTGGGAGAACACTCGATAAGCTGGAAACCACTCCACTTCGCGTCATGGAAATACAAGACATTTACATTTCTTCATTGGAGTGCAGAAAAGAAAAATGCCGAGCAAACCATGATAAAAATTGGGCAAAGTCGCCTAAGTAGGCAAGCTGTATCTCTAGTTGGTAGTATTTTACAAGCCTTTTGAGATCCTACACAGTGGAGGCACAAGACCAAACAGAACTAAATAGATGTATATGTATTCTTGAAAAAAGAAATTCGAAGGAGTGTAAGACTAATTTGGAGTACAGCAAAGTAAAATTTGAAGCAAACCATCATAAAAATTGGGCAAAGTCGACTAAATATGCAAGCTGTACCTCTAGCCAGTTGTATTTTATAAGCCTCTTGAGCTCCTACCAGCTAGAGGTACAAGACCAGATAAAAAAATAAATGTAAACGTACTCCTGTGAAAAGTGATTTCTAGGAGTGTAAGACTAGTTTGGAGTGCAGAAAAGTCAGATGTGGAGCAAACCGTAATAAAAACTGGGCAAAGTCGACTAAGTATGCAAGCTGTACCTCTCGCCGGTAGTATTTTATAAGCACCTTCAGATCCTACCGGCTAGAGGTACAAGACAATAGAAACTTCATCTTGAGGATCTTTCTAACCAGTAGCACTATGACAAGGGCATTATAGTGGCGATACTATTCACAAGTTTCGTTTACCTTTGCAAGTGTTGGTCTTGGCGGCTACATTGTTAAGCTAAACGTCTGCTGAACAAGAAACTTAAGATCGACGAGGGTGAAGGAAAGAGCCACACAAAATTTGGCGAAATTTCCTTGATTTAAACTCGACAATGTATTCTTCAAATGTAAAGCGTCTAATAATGTTCATTTCTGGTTCAATCACGTCGCTTGACCGTTGGTAAGTCGCAATCAGTGTTATTAAAATAGTCCGCCATAATGGAATAGCCGACAATTTCCGATAATCACCCGACTCTGAAACTCGTCACTAGTGCTCCTCGGGCGTACCTTTAGGCTCAACACTGACTGATCCAAGATGGAGGGTGAAGTTTCTCTGCTAAGAGCTTTTCCTCTCGCTCAAGACGTTTCTTTAGGTAATTATACAAAGGCTTGCATGTTAAAATCTTAAGGCAGCAGATTTTCAAGGTTTGATAAAGTGTACCTAGTCACATTGCAGGGCCAGTATTTAATTTGCATGCAACTTGAAAAGATCATTTATGACACTGAAATGACATTAGAATTGCTTTTTAAGTAAATGTCTTTCATACAATGAGAAAAATTGTGAATGTGGATCTCAGTCACAAAATAAAGAAGATCTTATGTAAGTTCTCGTTGTCCCACACTTTTGACCAAATGTGTGCAACTTTCTTTAACCTTCTAAACCGAAGGCCCAGCATCAACATTTATATTCTTCACACTGTTCTCTCCTTTTTCCATGGTGGTGAAAATGAGAATTTGTTTGACAATCAGGAGCTTCTCAAATAGGTGATCATTTTCTTTATTCTCCTGACCTTTATGTTTGATTCAAGGGTGATACTATTTGGATAAATTAGAAGCCAGTCCCTCTTGAGAGTTAATCTTCTGCTAAATGTTGCGTGAAATGTTTTTCTTTAATTGAAATTTATTGATTTTATTACCATGACTAAACTAGTAAATCATCAAGAAATTTTACTCATCTTATTTCACTTTATTTACTTTATCTGCACTAGATCAATGTAATTAGTCCCTTGACAGAGAGAGGTTAGTGAAGACGATGGCTCCGAAGGTATCTTTGGGAATATAACCATGACAACTTTACTATTCTTATGTTGTTGGGATGTAGGGTTATGCATGAAATGTGTGGCAATTCATATCTGATTTTGGGAAATTTAGGCTGTGTTCACTGTCGCAAATGTGGGAGGTCCTGGGGCCCAACAGTTACGGTGCTGGAATCTGCATTGAAAGGCCTGGATAATGTTGTGTTGTGTTCTGGGCAACCAATCAATTGTCACAGTAACTATCTCCATGAAGGAGTTTGATTGGCTTGTACCTGCAAAACTGTCAGTCAAACCTGATAAACTGCTCAGGGGTAACCTGCAATGGACCAATATTCCATCCAAGGGGGCAATTCATTTCCAGAAACAGTGAAAGAAAAGTTTTTTTTTTGCCCATCTTCTTTGAATTGGGTACTTTTTGAAAGTGTGGAATTATGATAGAGGTGAGGCTTTTATTGACTGCAGCAGTGAAGTTCATGCACTTTTCAAGAGAGTTGAATTTCGTATTTATATCAAACAGATGAGAGGTGTATATTATTTTCATAATATATGGCATGTGTTTTGATACATGTCATACATTAAAATAACAATTGGAGCTAACTATCCACCACTTTCTTGGACATTACTGGTTAAGTAGACAACACACAGCAACCATGAAAGAAGTTAGTTAGTTAACATGCTAAAAAAAAAGGTTAGAAACATGACGGTGAAGAATACTTGCTAATCACTTCTGAACTAGCCAATCAGTGCAAGCTTAAAACACCATTCACTTGTGTGGTATATACTAATAGGTGGTATTTGTTGGCAGAGATAAATACTACCATATTGGGCACATCAGTAGGTTTAGGGTGGTAGACAATAGCCATACAATCAATACCTTCACTATTTTTCTTAAAATCTTGCTCTCCAGCTATACTACATGTAACATGGAGGTATACTTATGACCAATTAGCAGTCAACTGAAATAGCACAAATTATCATCATACAATGGCATTTAAACAATCCCCTATGAACATATGGTGATGTTTATTTTGCAACTACACTTGATGCTCGTTGAAATTGAAATAAACTGTCATATACTAGATGCAATGGTTAGCATTGTTTCTCCTAAAAGTTTTTTGAAGTGGAGTGTATAGTTAACTGAGATGGAATTTGTCTCATTGTCCCAGTGGTAAGCATACAAACTTTATAACAAACTTTATCCAAGATGCAGCTAGCTAAAATTGCAAAGGTAAGGATTAATTTAAAAGGAATCTTGAGAGGAAGTTGAGAGGTAAACACTATTTAAAAACTCCCTATAAAAAAGAAAAGAAAAAAGAAATGAAATTTCTAATTACAGCACCAGTAAAATTTCTCAAGTTAAAATATTCTGAATCAATTAAGATGTAACAGATGATGCCTAAATTTGGATTAAAAAGCTGGAGGTTATCGGCTTCCATGAAATCTCTTGGTGAGTCACTCCAGATTCTGATCATGCAAATGAAAAAGGAATGTTTGTAACTATTTACTCTTGCAGGATTGACATAAAGTTTGTAAGAATGATTGGCTCTTGTGGACCTAACTGACACAAATATAAAAAATTTGTCAAATGTGATTCCAGGGCAGTGGAATGCTGGCAAAGAAAATTTTTCAGTGAGCTCAATATCAGCAAGTTGTGAGAAGCTTCCAATTGTTAACTCTTTAACTCCCAAGATCTCATTACTAATTCTCCTTACTGTCTGCCCTACAGTTCTTGTGATGTTAGTTTGGAGAATTTGGTATTGGATCAACTTATAATCCCATAATTGATATTATTCTTTATTCTCATCACTTGTCTGCATGATATTGTATTGATGACATAAGGAGAAATTCTGTCTTGGTGACTCATTGGAGGTAAAGAGTTCAGCTGGTGTTTTTTTCTTCACAGTTGGTCCTGTCATGATGTTGTTAAGGGCATCAATTTTCCCATTTTTCCCATCCAGTCTCCTAAACACTGATTTTTCATTCAAAGTGATTTATTTGTCACACTTCAACAATACTTTACAGAATCAAGAAGTAATAATTATGAACAATATACAAAACTGATCTTATGTTGTCATCTTCATATTGATATGATATCAATAGTAATCTGTTAATCTCCTGATTTCTATTTTCTATTTCATTTTTTTTTGACAAAAGTTCAAGTAATAAACTTGTGCCTAAGTGTTGTGATCTAAATATGGACTAAAATGGAAATTTTGTCTGCGTTTTAACACAGAGATGCCCTCTTTGCATTTTCAGCTAGTTCCTTGTTCTGACTCAGACAAAGTGAACAAAATAAATGTTACACTTGGGCTGATCTCCATGGAGCAGATCTTTACCACAACACTAAGGCCATTCCAATATAGCAGGGAAATTGACGGCATGCCCACGTTTATCAAGTAAACATTCATACCTCTTAGTTCCATTTGCCAGTCTCTCGGCCTTAACTATTTATATGAACCAGAAATTAGATACCAATTCCTATAGTTCTTTGGTGTTATATTCACCATGTTCTCTAATAATTCCTCTTCAGTATAAAGATATTTACATCTCATGCTGGCTTTAGAAGCTACGAGTTTTTAAGATAAGTGCGAGAATACCAATTTATAACCTATTATATTAACCAACTGCATTTGGAAGAGCAGAAATAACAAGCGATTTGAGTTCAAATACCTCACGATATTGTACAGTTGATTGAAAAGTTGGTTTTCTGCAAAAAAAACCTGTTTGACAGATTGGCTACGCTTCCATGCGCATTTTAAAAGGACTAAAAATTGGACGACATCATAGCATTTGGGTAATCTATAACTTATCAAGCATTTCGGCCTGTAGTATTGCTGAGTATTTTTACTCCTTGTTTGTATGTTGACGCGATACTCTATGGGTTCGTCACAATACGGCACAACCTGTGAAATACTCGGCGATTCTACAAACCAGAAACTAATAAGATATCTGTATTTCTTGTACAATGATGAACAAATGTCTCGTAGAATATATTTCAAGGGTTCTTAATAACAAGCTGCATTCTGCTTTGTGCTTGAGCTACTCAGTGAAAAGAGGAGCAATTAGTAGTTAATTCATTTTAGGCCTCCATCCCTGTATAAAATGAAGAAGTTTATTCCTTTGAAATAATTTAGTTACTCCAAGGTCTATCAGTTCTTGTTCACTTAGATTCTTCAGAAGACTCCCATCAACGGTTTGGTTTTCAAAAGCTTTAACGTGCTCTCCCAGGTTAAGCTTTTTGAGGCATTCTCCCACTTCTGAAACAGAAAGACTTGATAGATCATAGGGGTACCCCTGGGATAAATGAGAAGCCACAGGGGAAGGTGAAGTGGAAAGACTTTTCTCAGGTGATTGTCGTTGTGGGGGTGGACGCAGCCTTTGGGTTGGGATGTTGGCATAAGTGGTAGAGGGCAATCGGGAGGCGGGTGGAGACGTAGGTGACTTGGCAATGGCCTTCTTGAGAATGGCTGAAACTCGTGTCTTGAGATTAAGTTTTTCAGGTTCTTCATGGGAACTACGTTTTTCTTTTCCTCTGTCACTAGGCATTTCTGCCCCTGGTAGATCTGTCTGTGGATAGACATCCTCTTCGTCATCTGAGCTCCCAAAGACCGGGTCAAAATCTTCATACTCGCCATCGTCATCCTCACTGTCATCGTCACCATCTTTGTTAAAAGATAATGGTTTCTCAGAACTGTAAGATCTGGAGCACATGGAAGGGAAAACACCATCGGTTTTCTCGTTTTGATGGGCTGATCTCAGGTTTGGTTTAGGAGATGGTTTTGGTGGTCTGGGGGGAGGTAGGTCTACATCTTCATAATCTTCATCGGAATCTGTCGGTTCACTTCGTTTGGAGACTGACCGAGGAGGAAGTGGTGGACCTATCTCAACATAATCATAGACAACATCAACGGTAGGTTCCTCAGAATATTCTAGCAATTTCGAACTATTCAAAAGGTCGATTTTGGAAAGTTCTGTTCCATCGTGGATTTCTTTACAGAATCTTGCGTACGTTGAATCACCTTTTACGGCCCCGAGAGCAGGATTCACTTTCACATCCAAATCAGAAGGAATCATTAAAACGGTGACAGTTTCGTCGTCACGACTTGTAGCAATAACTGTAATTTCCTCTCGAATTTCTTTTAAGAGAACCGAACCGAGCGATTGCAATTCAATGTTAGTGTTCGTAGCATCTTGTATTATAGTGTCACTGGAGGTAAACTTCACGCGAACAGGAAGTGTAAACGAACTCAGAACTTCTTGCAAATGATACTCTTCCGGGCTGGCTAAGGGCTCGAAGGCAGCTTTGAATTCTAATGGAAGCATCACAGAGTCTTGAGTCTTATTATAAAACTCACATTCAAGATACTTAACCCGATTTTCCTCTTCAGTTTTCTTGAGTTTTAATATGTCCCCAGCTCGTATTCGAAGCGAAGGCGGACCGTTATGTACCACACGAATAAATTTAAAATCTGGGGCTGTAAAAGAGCTGGTAATATCTTCCACACTGTAATATTTGTCTTGACAAAATTTTGGAAGAATCTCAACTTTATGTGGACATGTTACCGGTAGGAAATACTGTTTGTTTTCGGCAGCCCTCACTAACACCTTATCGCTCCGTTTGGTGATATGTAGGGTGAGAATCTGCTCTGCTGATAGCGTTCTCGCATCGTCGTCATTGTAGACCCCGCTTTCGACTTTGATCAGTTGCGGAAGCGGGTATTCATCGACAAATTCTTTTAGAGTACAAGATTTGTCACTCCAGACGATATGGCTGAACATCATGGACAGGAGCAGACTGCAGGGTTCCTGATTTAAACCATTGCCACAGAAACAGAAAGATCCATAGGAGAGTTATATCCGCCTCTGACATATGACGCTTTCCGCTGCCACAAAATCGGCACGCAAAATGAACACGAAAGATAGGCAAACTTCCTTATGGTGTTAAGGCTTAGGCTCCTTGTTGCGATCGTGGCACGGCAGGACGACTAACTATCAAACGCCTTCAGTGATTATGCTATTTATGCTAATTTTTTCTCTGAAATCATGCCAAAAAAATGTCACGAGGTGTTTGTCGTTCACGCTCATGTTCGTGTCACGTCTGTGTTTGTGGCTCTAAATGCAACCCACTTCTTTGTCAAGTTCTGTACTTAGACGAAAGGAAAAAGGCAATGAAGATTATTACATCAGAGGGGGGGAAGGGGAGGGGGGAAGGGTTACCGTTATAAAAGCACAAAACTCTTTCCGTGGTTCGAGTCTGTAATCTAGAAGCTACTGGGCATGAAGGATTGATTTAAATGAAAACGATCTTGAAAATTCAAGCTTGGTTTGTCACGCAAGCGCGTTGAATTATTATCAAATTAATAGCTAGAAAACGGTATCTACTGATCTATTATTGACGAGATGTAAATCCATTCTACCGGATGATAGTATATTAATTAGCAAATGAGTATAGCACCTCCTATTTACACATCGCATAAGGTAATCTAAGCAGTAGTTAGAGCGACGCATGAACCATGTGCTCTATCAGTTTCAGGATCGTTAAACTGGGGTGGAAAAGCTGAAATACGCTAAAAATATGTTTTCAAACTGCCAAACGTAGACGTTAATCATTCGGTTTAATTGTTTGCTTGTCTCAGCTTAGCATCCACGACATGAGATTATCTAAACGTGAGTTATGGTTCATTGGTTAACTGCCAGCGCTGTCTCTTCTTAGCGAAGTAATTTTCTGGGGGAGGTTTATGATAGCGGAAATATCGAAACTTCGCATAGTTTTGAGGCGCCCTTTGTTTTAGTTATAATTTTTGAGTTTTCAAACGTATCTCAATTTTAGTTTTAAACAATCTTGTTGAGCTGTTAGAAACTTTTATCACGGAACTGATATGTCTGATAACTACATTTGATAGAGAGGAAGCAAACTATGCCCCCCCCCCCTCCTCAAAACTAATAACAATAAAAATAGAGTCAGTGTCACGGGATCACTTTAAGAAGGTTGAAACGGTATGCTAACTATCGCAGGATTGTTAGTTGGAAGAAGTGTTGTTGATGAAGAGGAGTCTCGAGATGCCGTGGAGTCAAAATAACAACGACTTCGATGGCTTGTTTCTCTGCGAGTTTCTAACAGAATGTCATCTTCCTGAAACAGTTGAAATCGTGGAAGGATATGAATCAAACGAATCAATCCAACGATCGTGGTCTCAAGGCGAAATTGTGCACCTTCACGCCATGAAAGATCTACCTCAAGCACTTGCTCGCGATCAGAAGGGGAATTTCTACAAGATTCCCCTAAATTATCCTGACAAAATATTTGAAAGTATTCCAAACAGATGCAACCACGAGTATGAAACCGTCCAAGACCTTATTGACGACTTTCCGAAATATGTTCGCTCGCTCTACAATATACCTCAAAGTAACATCAACGCCGGCGACATACTTTCGCTTCAAGAAGCTTCACCAAGTACTCAAGGCCACACGGAACTTAAATGCAAGGTGGTTGGGACAAAAAGGCCGATATTCCTCTCTTGTGAACAGCGAGGACATTTCGAAACCCTTGAGGACTTTCATCCTTCTTCTTTAAGAGACGTCACAGATCGACATATTCTGCCAACTCGAGTGCGTGTTCGTGCAGGTTCCATCGGGAAGTTTATCGGAGAAAAGCGCATCGAGAAGAGCCTTACGATTGTTATCAAGGAGATAGTAAAGGAAAAGGTTTTAATAGCTTACACCTTAATCGGAAAGCATTTGAGGGTTTTAACAATTCCAATTAGCTTGGAAGTTCTAGTCAGACGAATCGAGTCAAACATAGATCCAAAGGTGCTCGCTGAAATTTGTCAGCTGATCGACAACAAAATAAATATTGAGTCAGTGATCACAGGCCGAGACGAAGATGCATCGTGGCTTTTTGAGATCGGTCAGTGCGTTGAAACCTGTAGTGTATCGTCGGATGATGAAACTTATGACGAAATAGCTCCTCCTGTTCCATCACGAACACCAACAAAGACAATTTCAGGTCAAAAAACAACGGTGGACAAATCACAATTTGAGGATCGATATACAGCACCACCCAAGCCTTTTGTCAACAAGGCAGCCGTTGGATCGGCTGCCCCTCCAGTCGCCAAGAAGCCGCCCAAAGCAAAACCATCGCAAGGGAAATCTTTAGTCCTAAACAATGAAGAGGAAGAGGCTCTATACGATGATAATTATGAATGCCTTTCATTCAACAAGTCCAAATCTACAAAAGCATATCCTAAGGATCAAAAGAAGAGCCTGAACCTGGTTTTACCTCCAGTTGCCACAAGGCCAAATGTGACTCAAAATAAGAGACCTCTCAGCAAGGAGGAACGGCCCCCAACATATCTTTCCCCTGGTCAGTCTGCTTCTTCTTCCAAACCGCAACTTGCCGAAAAGCCTACGGTAAAACCTGCTTTAAAAATTGGAGAGGTACAGCCTCCAAGCTCTCACCACCCTGTTTCACCAACTGTGGCGTCCGCTGGACTAAATAATGAGAAAAGTGCACCGACCACCCCTACCAAGTCGACTTCGCACAAGGCGGAATCATCAGTTGATTTCAACCCTTCCAGAACAGTTTCCAGTGTCAGGAACCCAAGAGATAATGGTGGAGCTCGAGATACATTGAGCCAAGAACTTCGGAATGAGCTCTCGGTGAACGAAGTCTGTGAATGGCTAACCAAGCTAGGTTTGGGCCAGTACGTTGAGACTTTTGAACAAGAATCAGTCGACGGAAAACTTTTGCTAGATGTGGATGAAGACATGATGAAAGATCTTGGGATCTCCAATGCATTGCATCGAAGAAAGCTCACCAAATTTATCCGAGACGGTTGGATTCCTAAAACCTCTTGAGGACGATAGTCACGAATGCCTGAAATTGACGAAGTAATTAGAACTAAAATCAAATTCTAGGGCATTGTCTTTAAACATGTGACGCAGACTTGATCAAAACTGGATGCAAAAATTACTCAAGTTCGCTTGTTATTGTCTCTTTGGGAAAATACGAAAACTACAAATGTAAATAAGAGAGAAAAGTTCTTTAACAGAGTTAAGGCTTTTTCGACAGTTGCATTAAAAATGCCGGCTCGGGGGCTTCATCGAGACAGGTGAGCCATAAGATTGAAAATCTATAATTCAGCCGCTAATCTTTCGATTTTCCTAGCGACGAAGCAAAAAGTCGAAAAAAGCCACCTCAACCGTGAATACAGTTTTCTACTATTTCAAGCGGTTACTTTTCGAGATCTTTTGTATTTGATAGAGGGCGTAATTCCGACCTAAAACCATATCAGACCCAGGAAGTAATTCCTTGCTTCGTTGCTTTGCTCTGCTTTCTTTTTATCTAGAGTTTGTGGATCGAGAAAAACCTAACATGCCGGGGCTTATTTCTACGATCAGGAAGACGAGTTCTGAACCGGAAATAGTAAACAAACTTTTGACTTAATTCTTTTTTTTAGTCTCGAAAATCCTAAATGGGTATCGTGACTTTTTACATGGATAAAACTGTATTCGTCTTACGCTGTAGACGTGTTATTTTTGTTTAAAACTTTTGATAAACGTTTCAAATAGTCGAGTCGCTCCTTCCTGACCGAATTGTTTGTACAAAGCATTATTTGAGAGACACGAAGAACTTAAGAATACTATTTCCCCCAAATGGAACTCAATAAAGGTGAAATATGGTGAAGTTATCAGGCTAGTAATCTGTTGTACACAACATCAAGATATGTTTGCGAATGCACTGTTGTAGATCGTTCGATATAATTGTGTGAGAGGAAACGCAGTGCGCATAAGTGCGCAGTGCGCAAATGTTTACCAGACCGTTTTTAACAAAAGTCGCTGGCTTTTTTTGTATTGAGGTCATGATCAAGACAATTGAAAGATGACAATTTTCAAAACAACAGTAGGCACGCGTTAATATAAGCTATAGTCTAAAATTTTCGATGAACATCGGTGCGGTCTCAGCCTTGACAACTTTAATTGGCTCTATGGATTGCCTTCGGTCTCAGCAAAAATGATCTGTCAATTCAGCAATTAAACTTAGACCTTTCAAAACAACAAGGAATACTGGGATCTCATTCCAAGCTGAAACGCTGCTGAATGCCTCAAAGGTCAAATAAACAGTTGTCAAACCGAGTAAAAACCTTACTCGGCTCTCTGAATTTCCTTTAATCAACTTTCATCAACCGTCGAAAGGCTTTCTTGCCTGACAAACATAATCTTTCGCATTGTCAACTTAACAACCTAGATCTTTCAAAGACACACTATGACCTTAATCAAAGCTTAATTGCTGTTGATTGCGTAATCGGTTGGTTTAACTGTTGTCAAATCAAGTAATCACTTCACTCTGATTATCCAGTAGAGTTCCTTAGGCGAGGGGTAGCTTGGAAATGCTATACTTAGCGTGGGAAGGGGAGGGAGGGGTCTGCTACATGTTTCCAGGCTCCGCATTCTTTCTGCATTTTACTCAAGACAGATCAGCTGACGCTAAACCTCTCTTAGAACGGCGGATTTTAAGGCCTGTTGCACGGGGTTTGCCATCGGAAGAGTGGCGAATTTTTGCAGCGCAATCAACTGCCCTAAGCATTTCGAGCTCAAGTGGCTGACGCATAGATGATTCTCAAATCCTTCCCTGCGGCAAAATTTATTATTTTAGAAAGCACTTTGAATGAGATTTAAATCGTCGTTATCATTTCATTCATAGTTGAAGCTATGTCGTTTTTTGGACGCCGTGTAACATGATTATAAAGGTTAACTTCTCGAGAGATGTTTACCAAACTAACCTTATATCAATTTTATATCAAGTTATGAATGAGATGAAATTTACTGCACAAATAAATATCACTTACAGTCGATTATTGTTGTTTGACATGATTGAGTAATTCATGTCAAAAGTCAACCATAACAAATGGCTCTTCAATTAGGGGCAGCCCATAAAATATGCCGGTCAAAATGCACGAATTTTGCCCTTTACAAGCACTGAGAAAATTGTAAGCGTCTAATTCTTGCTGTTGGCGTACAAGTAGAATATTCATGCTAATTATGATTTGGCTCAAATGAATCACGCGATCCAGCTTCGAATCGGAAAGATTGCTCCAATCATCAAGAGGCACCAAGAAAAATTCTCATGTGCACATGCTCAGGGATATTGATCATACAGCATTTCATTTCTATATGTTTTCTCACAATTTTTTATCTTTTTTGGCCATTTTATAAGGTTGGTTTTTTTTCTTAGTTCCAAAGCCATATCACATTTGATAAGGCTGGCAATTCGCTGGCCTGTTATGAAAGGATCTTTAACCTTCAGCTGGATCCTTGAGCCACTGCGCAGTAACTACGTTTTATACATCGGTTGGCAAGAATTAACTATACACTCTGAGCAAAAACGTCATAACCGGTATGGGGTCAATTTGCTGTTTGTGGCCATTTAACGGAGATAGCCCGACAGATTTCCAACAGAAATATCTACTCTACGCATTTCGTTAGGGCAATAAAATGTATGAGTTTTCAAAACTTGAAGTTTGCATCAGCGGCGAAGGTTTTAAATAAGTCAATTCATGATGCAATGTGGTCCGATCAGTGTAGCTGTGGTCTCCAACCTGCAATGAATTTGAGGAGTTTCAAACGATGGAAGCGATCTATTCCAATCGACTCCATGGCTTCTTCATCCAAGCAGACGAGGATGTTTCCATCGACTTGGCGTTCACTGAAAATATCCTCAAATTTCTTCATATTCAAAGCGTTTAGACACTTCAACACATCAGCGACACTTAGAGCACTTAGGTCTTGTGGAATGACAAAGTCTGAGTTTCGGTCATCATTGACAGCCGTCTTTGGTTTCTTTTCAAGTGAAGGTGTTGCTGAATCAGAATGGACGCCTGAAGTGCTCTTAGCTTTCATCGAATCCGTTGGAGAGAGGTTGCTACCATCTCGAGGCCGTCTAGGAGAAGGTTGAGGTCTTCCCCTGGGTAATGGATCAGAATGCAAATCGCTGATCTTATCTTGTGATGGATTTCCTTTCTTAAGTACTGAGGAGTACAGAGGTTCTTCAATGTGCTTCAGCCGTGGGGGAATGGGTGGTGATTCCTTCTCCTTTTCGATACTTTCTGGTTCTAGTAGACCTGTCGGACCTGTAGCTGATTTTGGTTCATCTTTTCTAATAGAGCAATTGCCCCTTCTCTCCAAGGGCTCGGTTTTGGAATCAATTTTACTTGCATTGACTTTTGACACCTCGACGCCAACCTCCTTTTTGTTCGTTACTGCTTCACGCCCTCTTGTGGGACCGACAACTGATTTCGTTTGCATCTTTACATTTTCGTAAAAGTCATCCTTTTCAGGAGGTTCTGGTAGAATAATTTTCTTTAGACTGGTGCCTACGAATGGGATCTTGCTGTCAAGGACGTAATGTCTTCCTTTTGGATCTTCTCTCTCTTTCAAAAGAGGATCACGAGAGGAGAGATGAAATCCATCTCCACAACTTCTTTGTGAAGAAGGAAGGGATGGGAGTGCATCGTCACTTCCTCGTTTTCCTTCTGAGCGATTTGAAAGGTTTAGGTTTGAAGGAGCATCATACTCCATCTCCTCGGATTCATAAAAGGGCGCTTTCGAAGTCGTTGAAGTTAACCTCGCTGGCAAATGATTCATGTTCAATGACTTGCTAGCATGGCTGTCAAAATTTAATTCTTGGACGTCATAAGGGCTACTTTCAGTTTCATTGCTTTCTGTTTTCCTTCCAAATGTTTTCATCCTTGGGCATGTCTTATAGGTAGGCGAAAGTTTCGGAATCTGTAACGAAACCACTTCGACGTGACCTTGAAAGCCATGATCTTCCCCGCTTTGAGCCTGCAAGTGTAATAGGTTATTTAAATTCTGTTTCGATACTCGCTCAATGTTCCAGTCACTTGCTCTTCTTGTCAATGACGGCGGGTGTTTTTTCACTTTTTGAGGCAGTGTACGAAACTTTAACTCGTCATAAAGGTTGTCTTCGCTTGGTAGTTCCAAATTGCTAACAATTCTTGAAAATGTCCAGTTTCCTTTTCTTGGTAGCCTCTCGCTTTGGCTTCTAATTACTCTTTTGGAGGGCGCTGGGGAGTATGTATTGTGGCGTGCACCCAGCCCCGCTAACTGCGTGATTTTCCTCGCTTCATCACCACATTTATTGTTATTTTCAAATCCAACTCTCATTTTTGATTGAGACGATCCTTGTGGATCTCTGAAGCCAGACATATCTTCGTACTCGTTCTCCTCTACTGCGATCAATTCACTGTCGTAATTTCCAGTTTCGTTCCTTTCGCTCGATATGAAATCTAGTTTGTTACCTGGTGCTCCAGTTTTAGATTCCATTCTCAAAGGCGCAACATTAATTGGTAGAGTTTTGGGAAATGAAAACTTTGAAGGTATACCATCCACCTCCATTGAAGCTAGCACAATAGAATCTGCTAAAATTCCCTTTAATTTAAGAACGCTATTGGACAGATGACGTAGGCTCTTAACTATTCTTGTTGTTGGCCTCTCTCTGGGGTTTCCTTCTCCCTTATTTAAATTCTTGTCCGTACTATAGTCGATAAAATTCATCACCACATAGACAGGAAGCTTGTACTTCTTCACAAACTTGCTAAGAGGCAACTCCTCACCGTTCCAAAGTGGTAGAAATTTTGCTTGACAACTAGCAGGGACTTTAATTAGAGGTTTTCCCTTATCACTGACAATTTTGAAGGCCAGAAAGGTCTCACGAGAATTTTTCCTCTCTATCCTCAGCTTGTCCCCTTGCCTGATGATACTTTCGAAGTTTGGATCAGTCTCGACGACACGAACAAACTTTACCATGGAACTCTCTAGGATCAGGTCTGCAAGGGTGAGATTTTGTTCAAATGTAGCCTCTGCGACGCGCTCCACGCCAAATGGATCCTGAAGCGGGATGTGAATGTCTTCGCCATCTTTATCTTCAAATATTGCCGTTTCGACACTTTCTAAAGATAACAAATTACACTCAGTGCCAGCACCGATAGTTTTACTCTGGTATTCGTCAAAATATCCTTCTTGAAAGGTGACTGTTTGTGGAAGTGGAAACTTTCCCACGAAATCTTTCAGTGAAAAAGAGTTGGCGCTCAGCGAAACGAGTTCACTCCGTTGCTGGTCCGACATAGCAAACTAAGCCCTTAGTTGAAACGAAATGCAGAGTCTGTCGTCCTTGCTCAGCCAACGTGGCATCGGTGACATGGAAAGACAAGTATTGAATCCCTTCAAACAGTTTTAAAAAATCTGTCGATTGAACTTCCGATTAAATTGAAACTTGTTACTTGTCTCGGTCAATCTAATTTCCAACCCTTTATGACACATATACAGACTTCTTTGCTGTTGCAAAGTTATACAACCAATTGATGTCGTTTAGAAACTGAAATATAATAAACAGCTTTTTCGAACCTCTTCAGCTTGACATCAGTATGATAATACACTTTTGAGACCCGAGATACGTTGGCTATCTTTCCTTCATTGAATTATGGTAATAAACTGGTTTTTTTTCATGCTTTTCTACTAAATATTTATTTTACCCTACTTTGTTCCCCTATAGATCTTACAATTGCATTTTTCGCCGCACTTCTAAATATATATTTTATTTTTTAATATGATTCAACGAAACACGAAACTGAATGTTTACGAACAGGCTTTGCTTTCTGCGTAGAAGCATTTACAAAACTTTAACCTTCATGGCCCAGACAGCGTGGTTGGCAATTAATTTCATGATATCGGTGGATTTTGACGGTAGGATCCCGTGGGGTCCCGTCATTTTAGAGACCAAACGTAGGGTTCCAGGGATCAAAGCCCCTGGGAACAAGGTCCCCGGGAACAAGGCCCCGAGATACTTTTTACGACTAAATTAGTTAATTATTTCGGTTCACCAACTTGGTCGTCGTCTTAAATTAGCTTATTTTTCTTTAGTTTTTTACGCGAAATGAGATAAGACTGTCGGTTTGGTTTCACACCTCTATCAATTACCAAAACTGGCAAAAAATGCGAACATTTCACATGCCCTTATTCAGGTTACTCCAAAATTGTTTTGTGAAACCTTCGATTGTCAACTGAAATTCTTTGCAGGACTCGAATATTTCACCAATGGAAATATTCGCACACAAGCACACACTCACACCTCAAGCGCTAACTTATAATAAATCACAAAATACTTGTTTAAAACGTGATACTTTTCCAGAAGAGGGTCAATATCAATTTCAAAGGTCAATTTCCCACAGAAGTTTTTTGATCCAACATCCTTTTCTACTGATACAAGTAAAGAATGCCGTTCTGTCAGAATTTAATCCATTTGACAAATATTAAACTTCCTGAAGATCAATTTCTTTGTTAATTTTTGTCTCGAAAAGGAAGTTCAACCACGGTAAGATTGACACTAATCTTAAAATCAGGATGTCTTATCCTTTTGGCACTCCGACAGTCTAGGGAGCAATTTCCTTAGTTCAGTTTCCTACCTATCTTCGTAGGCTTTCGCTAAGAATTAGATTTCACCAAGAGGCCATTTCCGTTGTAAAGGCTCCAAACTCCCAGTATCTGTCCGCTTGAAAGAGTATCAAAATTGCAGTTACAAGCGTTATGAATGATTGCTCTTGGTCGTCATTAGTTTACCGCGTGAAACGAGCGGGCATTACTTGGAAAAACAATGAAAATGTTTCGATTCTAGAACGATTTCGGCTACAAGTATTGGATTTCCAGTAAGCAGTACGTTCGTTATACTATGTGCAGCATCACTGTATTCTTAATAAAGCGGCGAAGCTTACACAGTTCAGTCTCGTTATCGAACAACGAACCCCTTCATGACTGAAATTCTATAAACTGCTTACGCGTCGGTTACTTCACACGAAGTTGCCTGATGCTGGTGACAGCTCTTTCGTTTCATTAATAGCGCCGTTTCGCCCGCGTCAAATGTCTGAATACTAGAAAAGCTGATTTCCTACTCGTGGTGATCATTTAAGAATCCAAGGGTTTCCCGATAAAATATTCTCATCAAACAATTTGGTGGGGTTTTGAAAACAGTGCTAAGAATTGGCATGCATAAACGAAAGCACGAGATGGAAAGCGAATTACTAAAACATTCAAAAATGGTTCACTCTAAGTAATGTTATAAACATGCACTTTGTTGTTAAGACGATTACCTAAAATTGCCATCAGAATCTTGCGTCATTGATCAAAAAAAATATTTATTCTTGACTTTTCCAAATAAACAGATTGGAAACGTCTTTCGAAAAACAGTTAATTACGTTAATATTTAAAGTATACGTATTACAAAGTACTCGATGGCCTGTGTCATTATGCTTTGAAGAAAACAATACAACTCGTTCCGCGTCATAAATCAGAATTACACATCACCTATTTACAAATCTCGTGCGTTTTAAGTCTTAAAGTGCGCTGACCTTACTAATAGCCTAATATAACCTAGCTTCCCGCTATTGTTGTCCTTAAAAATATGCTTGAGCGAGTCGCATATACTAATTTTTCAACTATTGATTGTGCACACAACGGCTCAAAAACGACTATTTACGATGGTGAGCTACTCAATAAGAACTTTTCTTTTTAAAGAAAGCTCTCCCCGACACGTGTGCCTAGTTTCAGTTTCATTGTATTCTTGATAGCTTATGAACCTTGCATCCGCTTCACTTAATGAAATTGCCACTTAAAAGGACATAAAGCAAAATAAATTCATCAACAACAAATATGCAAAATACAATCTTGCGCCATTTTGACATCGTCGTCCGATATTAGCGGCTCTATAGCGATGAACATCATAGGAATTCCTAACTGTTATAAGCACGTCTTGCTCATAGTGAAAGCTCGCAGACATAAAATCTAGTTCCCCGAATTTCCGAACATACCTTTGTCGACAAATTAAAAAAAAAAGAGATAATTTACGGACATAAAGATATTCGTCATGGGGTTATAATTCAGATTAAAAAGACCGACGAAGCATGTGCATCCAGTATCTGTTCATTTAATTACATACAGTTGAATGGGGAGATGGTTGCTCGCTTAATAAAGGTTTTATTGGATAGAGGTATTATAATAAACGATAAAACACGCCATTTTATGCCCTAATTGATTACTTAAAGTATAAAACCTCGCTCAAAACTGCGATTTAAAGTTTCTTGAGATTTTTCTTAGTTTTAATTGTTGTTCCGCTGTAAGTGACCGTTCAATGCGCGTGGAAGACAACACTCGCAGGCCTTTGGGACATACTTAAGGGTCTCCGCTTAGTACAGGGTGACCGCTGAATACGATATCGCCTAATACAGGTTCGATTGTAGTTCTTTCCATAACTACTTAAGAGCTTATTTACCTGACGAAAATAAGCTAATGGCAACAAATATTTTTAAACATCTAAAAATTGTTTCTTCTTTCAATCGATAATCCTTATATTCCTCGATTGCGTTGTGATGTCGAAACGAAATATGCATCCTAGCTGCGAAATGTGCTTCTCGGAGGGGAATCTTTAGAGGATGTAATTAACATATAAATAAATACAACACAACGCATTAGGGATTGTACTGATTGAGTCATGGCCAAAATAAGGTACAGACCCGAGATTTGGGATTAATTCACGGTATCTTCCATTTTTGGCTTCAAACATTTGGTATGTGCTTTACTTTAACGTCACAACGGCAGAGGCTGTCAAAATTTGTCAATCAGTGCAAGCTATTCCTTGTTCCTGTTCGCACCCAGACACTGTAATATGATGCGTTTGACGTTGGTCGGTTTGTCATCGACTTAAGTCTTACGAAAGGAGCATAAAAAGTGTAAAATTAATATTGTTACGAGCAGCGAGCGAGAACACCCACTCGTGGTAACTTACATTAACCCTATAGAGAGCATAAATAAAGAATAAAACAAAACAATTTAGCTTGGAAAAAATTGAAAAGGTGTTGTCAATAGACTATAATCTGCTCTTGGTGTTGTACATGAAATGTGATGCGATGTTTGTCACACAATTTGAAATACTAACTGTCCGTTTGTGAGTCACAGCATCTCTCGGAATTTCGAAAACCTTCCCCGCGGCTACTTCCTCCAGGGAAAGTCCCTGGATACTGACGGCAAACATCATAATGGTATCGGAATTTGAAAAACCCACAGAATATAAGAGATTCTTCAACATCCTTAAAGAACAAGGTTATTTTGTACTGCGCATCAACAAACTGAATCATTCTCAAGGAATTTTGAAAAGTTTAAGAAAACTAAAAAGCTTGCATTAACAAAACGCGTGACAACTGGTCACACATAACTAGTGAATAACATGATCTAGAGTGTCCCACTCCAGTATTATAGGAGTACTAGTTCACAGGGAGGAAAAGATGAGCATCAAACTTCAAACCAATGTTTTACTCCAGTGGCTGAATGGGTCGGATATATCGAATATCTTGGAGAACTGGATAAAACTATTTATGGGCATGGGCCCATTCCCCTTCTTGGCGTGTCATTAACGATAAAACCACAAAGATGACCTTTCAGTTCACCTGACTTCCTTTTATTATGCGACGGACCTGCAATTATTCGTTGACATTCGACACGCCTCAACTAGAACATTACAATTCCTTCTTTGCGATTAGAAGAAAAAGTTCCGATGGACTCCGTCAGTAAAGTTGTTCCCGTCGATCTATCGACGTATCTTCGATGCTATGGCTCGACTCTCCCCAAGGTAGTCAAGATCACAGAGGGTTTTTATGGAGAAGACACTTTAGAGGCTGACCAAATACTCGTTATCTACAAAGTCGAGAAGCAGAAAATGCTAATAGGCCTTGATCACTACAAACAAGAGGTTTGTATACCACGAAATTCGAAACGGAAAGTTTTGCTTCTTCCACCCGGGAGTGAAGAAGAATACAACTCATTACAAGAATTATTCGATGTTCATCGGACGCCGTATTTCCGCGTTTTAGAAGACATTCCTTCGCATGGAATTTCTTCAGAAACAACGCTGATACTGTTAGGCGGCCGACCTATTCGTAACAACTCCGTGAAATGTGAACTGATTGGTTTGCATAACTCCAAGGAAATTTTTCTACCAATTCAACTAAGAGGTAAATTTCAGCCGCTCTTGGATGCGAGGGAGTACTACCTGGAAGAGGTTCTTGAGCAGTTTCAGGTTCCTGTCAACATTCGATTTGTTTATCAATCACAAGCGAATACTGATCCAGGCGGTGGACTCTTGACAAATCCGGGGAATGTGTGTCTAACCAAAGAAACCGAAGTAGAAATGGTGTTTGCAGCTTTGCCTGATGATCAATTGTCCCTGTATGTTTTCCCAAGAACACTAGAAATTTATGTTAGTTGTGGTTTCAGACTCACGGCAGACACAAGCAAAAAGATCAAAGCATGCAGACAGAGTCTTGCAGAGAACGAAAAATCATTAAAACGACTTGACAGAATAATTGCTAGTTCTGCATTTTTAAGCGCCTTCCCAGTTAGGTTCTTTGAATTGGAATCGCTCCAACCCCCGTCAGTAGCACTGATTCCCAAGAAGACGAAAACAACCGGCGTAAAACCTGAAGAGACAGCCATGACGAAAGAACCAGAGCGTGACCGTTCACAATCAGAGTGCATCTCAGAATCTTTGTGTCAAGATGAAGACGACTATGAAAACATAGAAACTGAATGGAATGCTGTTAAGAGTGTTGATTCGGAAACTTTAGAAAAGGTCGCAGATGAGGCTCCACCTCTTCCCCCAAAGACTCTCCGCCAAGCAAAACCACCGTTGATAAACTCGGACGTCACACAAATTCAAAGCCCTGAAACTAACTGGAAACCGGTTCCCAAATCAAGGAAGCGTCTCAATGCCATGTCGTTGCGGTGTCAGGGTGACTCCAACGACGAACCTGCGTCTTCACAAACTCAAGACTCAAGCTCAGGTCATGATTTAACCGGTAGGTCTGTATCTTCGCAGTCCAGCAGTTCCTCTGGAAATGATGACTATGAGCGCGGCCCTGACTTGCCACCCAAGCCCCTTTTTCTAAGAGCTTTGGAGACAAGTGAAGAAAGAAATGCTGCTTTAGGCGAAAGTCCACCACCTATACCTCCAAGACCGGTTAATTCAGCATTGGCTGAAGGTTTGGCCTACTTAGTGGTTGACGTCACGGACTGGAAAGCAGTTGAAGAGAGAGCTCTGTACACCGATCCCATGGATGATGGGAAAAGTTTTGTACCAGGTGGTATTTGTCAACTGAACGACGACGACAACACCTATGTTGATATGAAATGTAAGGATTCAGGATTGACTGAAAAGTACCCAAACGAGGCTTCTTCTGACTCTGATCAGGATGGAACGGACATTTATGAAGAAGTGGAAAGAAATGCTGAGTGCACATCAGTTGAAGAAAAGGTCACAAAAATAGTGGAGGACTATTCTGTTTACACGAATGCAAGAGATGATGGACAGGTCTTCAGACTCCATGATGCCGAACATTTGACTTGTCCACTGAATGACGAACCAACGTACCTTGAAATGAAACCGGACCGTCAAAACCTGGAAGACCGGAAAACATACCATGAGGTTGCAGATTGCACTGATTCCAATGCAGCCTGTCTTTTAAACCACGGCGAGAATCCTGAACTCGGAGATGGTGGTAGAAGAGATAAAGCCAAGGCACCAACAAGTTTCGACAATCACAGTAAGGTAAAAGAGGCATCTTACCAGGAGATGGAAGGGCCCCAAGAAACTTCAGAAAAGAAGAAAACGGCAGCGATTGAGACGGCAACAAATATTTCTGGTACACAACCAAGACCTGTTGTCACCAAAACACGTCATCACACAGCGATTGCTACCAATCAGAGGGATGAGAGGAATTTCATCATTTCCAGCCCAAACGAAGATGATTTTATGGATTTTAAGGATATCCAACGGCATTTCAAACTTATGAATGAACTAAGGAAAGTTAATGCTAGGGTAGCCGATTTAGAAAAACAAGTCGCAACAAAAGACGAGCTGAAACTAGTAGAAGCCCATAAGCAGCAATTACCAGCTGGTAACGCCTCACAACTTAAGCGCGATGAAGATTCGAAAAAAACGAAGAGCAACACCCATGACAAAAATCACAATGACCTCGACTCCTCCAAACCATTTTGTGAACATTCACAAAGAAAAGCCAAATTACACAAAAAAGAAAATTCTATAGGGAAAATGCAGACTAAACAAACAGGACTGCCCTCAACCCTAAACCTGAACTTTGGTCCTCTGAGGGCGAAGCTTGATCGAGGAGATTATCCCATTAGTCCCCAAGGGCAGGGAATAATTGACAAGTTCCCCACCCATGACTCCAACGACGAAGAAGATCAGGTCTACGAAGAAATTCCTGAGAACATGAGCTGTGGGAATTCAAAGCGTAATCAAGATGATTGTTCCAATACTCTCCCACGCCACGTCGAAAAAGAAAAACCCTTTAATTCAGATTCGGACGATGACGACGATTACGAAGAATGTTGCGACCGACATTTTATCAATCAAGAACCAAAAATGTTGCACAAAAACTTTGATGAAGAAGAATTTGCATACTGTGATATGAATGATATACCCTATCAGTCAAAACAGGTCGAAAAAGAAACTGAACCCTATAGTTCAGATTTGGACGATGACGACGATTACGAAGAATGTTGCGACAGACATTATATCAATCACGAACCACAAATGTCGCTCAAAAACTTTGATGAGGACGAATTTGCATACTGTGATATAAATGATGAACCCTATCAGTATGTGGAAACTAATCGAGTCAGTGAGAGAGTGGACGATGAAGACAGACTTGGTGCAATCTCCTCCAAAACTGTAGAGGTGACAAAAGGCGACCGAGTATCGCGTTATCTGCAGCTTGACAACCCTAGCGAGGAGGAAGATTCTGTTTATGTTAATGTCGAAGATGAAGAAAGTGATTCAGACCAACTCAAACGGAATGTGCTTCAAATAACGGACAAAAGAAAGAGAGAGGCCACGTCTGAAAAAATTTCTGGCGAACAAGAAACCCGTAACTTACATGAACTACTTGTATCAGAACTCCCAAGTGTGTGATATCCTCTCGCTGGGTAACCGTCCCCTGGAGTATGCAGAGCAGGTTATATAACTCTTTGACATTTAATTACTAAGCGAGAAGATATTGAGTAAATACTCAGTATTAAATAATTTGTTATGATGTGATCGAAGTGAAATCTTTCGAAGTACATGAACAACCACGTCAAGATACTACAAACTTTTACGAACACCTTAACTTTTCGATCGGTATTCATAAAGTTTGCTGTGTTTGGCTCTGATGGGGGGTGGGGATGTGCAAAAGTGACGGTAGAAGACTAGCAAACTATTTTGTATTAGTAATAGATTCTTTTTAACTAGAGTGCTTTCTTTTCGATTTCATATATAATACATATGTGTTATTAACCAAAAAGCGTGACGTCGAGATGGCCGAATATTAGCAAAGTTCTATTTAAGCGTTGTTAGGGACCGAGACCGATTCGAAGTCTGCAAAAACGTACAGAAAAAGCGAGGCTAATTTCCAGCCATCTTAGTCGAACAAGCTTGGTCAATAAAGAATTTATTACATAGCAAAAAAATCGATTTCACGGAAGTCAAGAATAACTTCTTTATTTCAAGAGCCGGAAAAAATAGACTTGCGTTAGAAGGGCAATAAAATAATAGCATTTGTTTTGACTGTCTGCAGCTGCGTTTTGCGACTCCATCGCCGACATTGTCAAAAAATCATGAACTTTGTAAGTCCGCTCCAATGCGCGGCGCAATCTTCTCCTTGCGCGGGATCAAGAGCGACGGTATACCGAAATGATACCGAAACGATTCGAAGCTTTGTTGAGCTCTCTCCAAATCACTTTTTAGGATTAAACTACTATTTCTAAAGACGTTTTATATCTTTCAATGTGATGATTTCGTTGTGGAACGATTGTGATTGGATTTCTTTGCTCTGTAGAAAAACTGTGGACTTCTTGAGAAAATGAAATGGAGCGGCGTTTCCTCTCGGTGAAGAAACTCATCAGATAATTTAAGAATTTTAAAATAAACAAACAAATGTACTACGTTTCAGAGCACGCGTGGATCTTAGCCAACATAATTTTAAATGCGTTGAACCCGCCGAACTTTCTCCCGCAACACGAAGCCGCAGAAGCCTTCACTTGGGCTTAGCTCTTACGTTCGTAAAAAAGTAAGGAAGTCCTCCCGAAGCGAGAAGACCGACGGTATACCGAAACGATTCGAAGTTTTGTCGAGCTCTCTCCAAAGCACTTTTTAAAATTAAACAACTAATTCTAGAGACGTTTTATATCTTTTACTGTGATGAATTTGTGGGATTCGTTTTGTGGTTTATACTGGCTTATAGCCAGTAACGCACTCTGCTGTACTGAGTGACTAAGTTATTTTGGAACGCTTCGTAAGCTTTTGGAGCAATCTCACAAAGTAAGACCGAAATCACCTCGAGATTTACTTAAATTCTTTAAATAGATCTTCACCTTTAAGATATAAATTAAAATTTTTAACGCGTTAAACTGAACTTTCTCCTGTAATGATCCTTGTAACAAAGACAAAAAGATAAGATAATGAAATGTCATCATTGTGAACTTCTATTTGTTTTTGAACGTGTCAACATCTTTGACAATTTTAAACTGGAAGTATTTGATTTCTTTAAATATCTTTTTTAGCTTCGTATTTCCCTTGACCTGAGGACTAAAAGGGGCCATTTCCTGCTTTCACAGGAATATTGTCAATATATCTTTTACATTTCTCGCTGTAACTCGCGGTCAGAAGGGACATTAGAAGAAACAGCTACGGAAACGTTTCAGTTTCACGGAATTATAAGGGATCTAGAGTTTTAAATATCACGTCAGACTCAAACCAATGACTTTAGACGTAGCCTCGTGACCTCATAAATCTACTATCGCGAGCCGAAGGATCAATTCACAAAGCCAAATACGGTAATTTCAGGACCACAGGAAACCTCATTGCTTTGTTTAAGTGTATATATCAGTCAGCAATCTGTCTTTGTAATTAAACTTGGACAAGTGTCAAGACTTCTTTTCTATCCGTTATCCGGAGTTTGACTCGACGTCTACCAAATGAACCCATTCGAACACCGAAAGAGGTATACGCCTTCGTTTCGACTGAACACAAGTTATTTACAATGGAGTTCGATGGGCCAGCAAATGCTGTAAACCTTAAAACATTTCTTCAGTGTTATGGCTCTGCTCTTCCCATAGCAGTCAATATCGTAGAAGGATATTTTGGGCCTGATGTTGACGAAACGCTTGAAGTAGACCACGTACTCGTTATATACAAAGTCGAGAGGGAAAAAATGATTGTTGCGATCGATAAGTTCAATCGAGAGCTTTGTGTGCCGAAGAATTCAAAAACCAAGATTCAGCTTATTCCTTCAGGGTGCCACAAAAAATACTGTTCAATAAGAGAGTTATGCACTGGATATCAAACGAAGAATTTCCGTGTTCTGGAGGACATTCCTTCGGTTGGAATCAATTCAGAAACAACACTGATAATTTTAAAGAGCGACAAATTTCATAGTAACCTCGTGAAATGCCTAATAAGTCGCATGGATAGTTTTGAAGAGGTTTTGCTGCCACTGGAACTATCAGGGACATTTCAGCCGCTCTTAGGCGCAAGAGAATACCAGCTAGAGGAGGTTATGGCCAACTATCCACTTCCAGTGAGTGTTCGATTTGTTTCTCTAGAAGACGAATACTTCGAAGCTTGCACCCGACATTTATCAAACTTGGAAAACATCGATTTAAGGGGCGAAAGAGAAGTTGAAATGGTGTTTGCAGCTTCGATTGATAACCTTTATTCGCTAAGCGTGTTCCCAACAACATTAGACATTAAAGTTGGTTGCGGGTTTAGAGTCACGGAAGAAACAAGTGAAAAGATCAAACATTGCAGACAGCATCTTGCGGTGTCTGAGAAAGCGTTGGATCGACTCGACAGACTTAAAGCCAACTCTTTTTATTTCACAACATATCCCGTCATACATTTCAATCTCGAGCTACTTCAATCTCCTTCGCTTTCAAAACCCGAAAAAACTGAAAACAAAACGTTAGTGAACAAAACAAATGAAAGAACTGAAGGTCTTTGTGTAAACACCAAACTGGAAACAGAGCGTGAATACGGAAGGTCAGGGTCCTCGTCACAGTCCTCCTCTGAAGCTGAAAGAGACTATGAAAACTTTGAAATTGACAAAAAATTGAACAACGAAATGTCAAAGGCGGACGAGGAAGCCCATGATGCCGTCTTCAATCTTCATCATAAGATGTCTCACAACGCAAGATCAACGCCACACGACGTCACGCAACACACGACGTCATACAACGCGCGACACCACGCAGCACACGACGTCACGGAGGAAAGCCATCCTCTAACTCGTCGTCGTCCAATTCCCACGCCTAGAAAGCGCGTTGGCACAGGAAATGAGGTGCCGGGAGGTAATAACAACAATGTTGTGGATCCATCACCGAAAACGCAAATCTACCATTTCTCTGACTCGGAATGGTCACTGTTGTGTAGAAGTTCCTCAGAAGATGATTCCGACGATGCTTGCCCCGAGCTACCACCAAAACATGAATTTCTAAGAAAAACATCATCACCACCACCACCACCACCACCATTGCCCCCAAGGACTCCTCCGTGTGGTGAGGGTTTGGCATACTTAGTAACTGACGTTACTGACTGGAAAGGAGTTGAGCAAAGACACCTGAGGACAAAGAAGCGGAGTGCGGCCATTAAGCGGGATGCATTGGACGCGAGCAATGATGATTACTACATTGATGTTATCGCCGATGACGTGTATACAGAAGTCAAAGATGATGGACGTGTTTTTAGATTAGTTGATCTAGAACCTAATGATCAATCCTTTAATTATTCACTGGAAACAGAAGAAGTATACATTTTTATGGAAGACCAGCGAGGTAAAGAAACGGATGGAATACAGCCCAACGTAGAGAACTTTCAAGAAGAGTATTATCTCGAGCCTGTTGATATGAGGGTTCCTGAGGATGCACCTATCGCAACACAAGAAACGGAAAGAGCTGGTGATACCGTGACACAATTCGAAAAAAGAAGATTGGATTGTGTCACAATTAACGGTGACATTGAAAAACGAGGATCTTCACGAACAGATATGCGAAAGAAAAACAGCTTTCCTCAGAAGGCGGAAGGCACTGACAAAACTGACAAAAATTCGTGGTCTAAACACTCACAACCTTGCGGTTTCCCAGCTGCGGAGCAGACAGAGATACCGCGTCGCACACAAACTGAAGAAAACATAATCATCTCCCCTCGGAGAGAAGACGATTTTGTGGACTTTGCAGAGATAAAAAAATATTTGGATCGCTTAAAAGGGCTGCGTGAAAAGGACACGTTTGAACAGCAGAATTGAACCTTGATTTGACTTTCTGGATGACTCCTTATTCGAAGTTACAAAATGTTAAGAGCACCAGCGATTTCTTGGTCCACCAAACTCCAGACTTTATCTGAGAGATAACAATTAATAAATCAATCAATGGATTCCTTTGTTTGAAAATTTCGAAAACTAATTCTGTGATCATTCGTTTGACGCCTGCTGGGTGTTTGTAAGAGTATTTCTTGTAATCATTACTTTGTTTAAATATAAACACACTTACGAAGGATATCGAAATTCTAAAATACTACCGTTTCTGAGAATCGTACTCACTTCCGGTCATTGAAAGATTAATATCTTAAATTACTGTGTTGATGAAGGCAGCGCTGCTGAATTACAGTGAACAAATACTATGAGATTTTAATCAATCATTTTATAAATGTTAAGCGTGTTGCCATCCACATCCGAGCAGGGGGATCATGTGTACATGGCTGAACTACGAGCAGAAGTAACTTAATATAACGATAAAAAGGACTGATTACAGTAAATATTAATTAAAAATATAATATTAGGAATATAAAATATAAAAGTTAACAAATATCTAGACACATATCTACACGAAAGCTTCTCCCATATCACGTTAAAGTGTCAAATAGTTAATAATAAATAGATAAATAAATGAATTAAAAAATAAAACAAAATAATACTAGAAAAATTGTTTTGTGGAGAAAGAAATTTTTAAATGATATGGTGTCCAACGTTCCTTAATGGTCAGCTAAGGACCGGAAAAGGTGCGTTCAAGTGTTGGGATACACCAAGCACGTTCTCTGCGATCTGATAGATTTAGATATGAAAGATAAATCACACACGGAAAACGTTCTTTCCATTGTTAGCCCGCTTCTTGCCTTTTCGATCATATTACAGTCACGCAACCCTCCTCATCTAAATTCCTTTGGAAATGAATTTCAATAATTCGATCAACAAAAAAAGTTCACCGATAATACTTTATGTATTCTTCAAAAGAATATTTTTAGTATTCTTGTAACAGTTGTTCGCTACGTTTATCAAACTATAGAACTGTTCATATCGCAGTATGTTGTCATTGACGGAAATCTGTTTCAGCGTATTACTCTGATTTCGAAGGTCATTCATTCGGTGAAGGTGATGAAAAAGTTGCTCATCTAGTTCTGATTGACTGTCATGAGTTAAATGTCGATGCATATCGGCGCGTGATTAAACAAGCAAACAATAGGGTGAACAAAGTTCACATCAACAAATCGGTCTTGAAATAATTTGAAGTTCTGTGAATTTAAATACCATTTTTGTTTTGTTTCGATTGTACCAGAATTACAATATTAGTTCAATTCCTCCCTCCTTTAACATTGAAAGTGCACAATAAAAGGTGAACAGCCATAAATTGTGGCTTATGCCCGTTCTTCCCGGCCAGTTTGCCAAACGACTAAAGAGGGTTATGTTCTCTTACAATTATGATTGAATGTAACGCACCCCCTACCGTGTAGTTCCTGAAGGGGGAAACCGAAAAAGGCGTTAAAGCTTTCGTTAAAATGTTACTGAATATCTGGAACCTTTTATTGCTTTTCTTTTGGCAATTATATTTCAATAATGCTGTGTCTGAAAAAGTTTTAAAAAGATTAAAAAAAAGGGGAAGTAAAAATTCTTAGGGCTTCTCGAAAGAGGGATCCTTCTTGCTAACAACTATACAATTGTGTTTCGTTGTCTCTAATACTTTGGTCGCGTCTGAAGAGACAGATACCTACTTTTACTTCGATTAGGTGTCCCTTTTGGTATTTATAAAGCTAAACTGGTCACCAAAGGAGGCCCAGTGATTAATAATACGAGTACTCGGAGAGAAATAAAAACACGTGGACCAGAAAAACAAATCGATTTAAATTTGAATAATTCAATTAATAATAATGTTCACAACAAACATAAATAGGATCAAAAAGAACTTCCCTTTAGCACGAACTTCGATCAAAACTTACAAAATCCGTGATAAACGAGGCTTTTTTAGTGCTCTGCAATCCCACTGATGGTGAAAGGACATGGCCGGGAAAGGACTTAAAAAAATTAAAAGCAAAATGTCTTCCTTCCTTTGTTTGAAAGTTTTGAAAACAAATTCTGTGATCATTCGCTTGACGCCTGCTGGGTGTTTGTAAGAGTATTTCTTGTAATCATTACTTTGTTTAAATATAAAAACACTTACGAAGGATAACGCAGTCCTAAAATACTACCGTTTCTGAGAATCGTACTCACTTCCGGTCATTGTTTCTACGCTAATTATCTCATCACTGCGATTTCCTGAACACACCTAAACCGAAGCAAAAATCCTGTTAAGACTTGGATTAGTAAGAAACTTATAATAAAACAAGATTTATGTCTCCAATTACTGTGTTGATGAAGACAGCGCTGCTGAATTACAGTGAACAAACACTATGAGATTTTAACAAGAACGCTTGATGATAATACCGCGATTGTACTCCCTAATGACTAATCATGAGAGCTGTGACACGGGTTCGAAAAGCAGTGAAGTAAAGCGGAAGAAAAAAGGTCGATTCACGAAACCTTTGTCATCTATGCAGTGTAGTTTTTAGACAGTTATCTCTTGGCTTGCCGGAAAGGTGTAACAATAAAGGACAGACTGCATACACAGATCTTATGATCTTCAGTGTTGAGGGTTGCTGGGCTACATAAGAAGAATCATCGCGCATCTCGGAATTTAAGATCAGTCAGATATCGGTAGAAACTTTATTCCGTGAAAGGGCGAAACAAAACAACAAGGGATGCTATCAGCGAATATTGTTATTGTTAGACTAAATATATTTCCATCCACTGGATCTTTCCGAGAAGACGACCCCTGACCTCAATGAATGGGTTGTTAATAAAGTCATACTCTAAATAAAGTCGATGAAGTGTGATTTGACCGCAATACTAATAACAAGTCATTATGCATCGGGTAATTTAGTTTGTTTTGGCAAATACGTTTAGCATAACTCGAAACGCTTGATAATCAGGATGGAAAAACCATCACTATCACTGCCATTGAGCAGCGAGGCGCATGTTATGTCTCTTGAAGAATTCATCGCACGAAATGTGCGTGAGCTTCCACAGATGGTCCAGGTCGACAAAGGATTTTGTGGAACCTCCGCGAATCAAAGCATTAAAACTGGAGACGTACTGATCATCTACAAAGTGGAAAGAGAGAGGAACGTAAAAGCAAAGCATTTAAGTAGTGGGAGAACGCTCTGCTTGCCAAGAATAAGTGATTTGAAGTTAGAGTTGGTGTCAGAACATTCCCAAGATGAGTTCACCACTTTGGACGCGATTGCAAAACTTCCTTCTGCGGCGTTCATTCGAATTGTCGAGAACGTTCCTTTGTTCGGCCTCCTCGCTGGAGATATATTGCAAATCAGTCGAGACCCCCCGTATTTAAACCTTAGTACTGTACGATGTTTCATCGTAAACTTAAAAGATCCCGTACAAGTGGATTTACCTCTGACCCTGGAAGGAAGGTTTCAGGTCCTCGCTAATCATGGAATATTTACTACAGACGAGGTTCTACAGAACTGCACACTTCCAGTTAATGTCCGTGTCGTGTCTTATGGAAATAAAGCTATGGTTGACGGCTCTTCAGAACACCCTCGAGCAAAGCAGAGGTCAATATTCGGAAAGATTCTCGTGGAGTGCGAGATTGAAGAAGAAGTAGTTTATGCCATTTCGACTCGCGAACAGAATATTCTTTTAATGTTCCCATCGACACTAGAGATGAATGTTGCCCAGTGTATGTCTCGAGAGAGGTTTACTTCTCGCTGGGGAGCTGAATTCGAGAAGCTGCTAGAAGCATTACCGAATGAAACAGATCTACATGAGTTATCAAACACAAACTGTATTTCCTTTACGAGTGATCCCGTGAAGAGGTGCTCTTTGGAGTCGTTACAGCATTTTTGTTTCCCTTTCGATTGCGCACAAGGAATAGAAACAACAGAAAGGCAAGTTTCACGAGTCGGCTACGAGTTTGCCCTTGATCCTTCCTCTATGAAAGAAGAAACTGCAACGAAGGAGAAAGGCTTTCAGAAGTTTCAGCCAGAGAGCTTCTCGGAAATGAAAGCACCTCCCCTTCCGCCAAAGGCGGCCTTGATTGCAACACGATCCCATGCTTCTTCCCAGGAGGACTTAACAAAGAATTTTGACAACAAACAAGAAACTGAAATGGAAGAAAATTCTTTCGAAACAATAGACAAGCAGGTAGTATTATCTGAACAAAGTCTGACGAATGACTTAAATGATAGTTTACCACCGAGCCAGAGCTGTGTTAAGCTACTAGAGGACATGTCACAACCGCAGGAAGGGTCAAAACACAGCGACGTAGGCGACGCAAACTGTAAAATGCAAATTTCAGGAGACATTCCCTATGAAAGTGAAGAACCTCTGTTCTTGGCATCCTTCACAAAAAGAAAAGCTTACGAACCATCCGTCGACAGAAATGCAAATGTGCCTTCAGATGAAGGTTTACCAGTTGAAAGAAAACGCGAGCAATTCTCAGTGCGCGTTTTACGACCGGCGCAAACAGGATCTGATTTACCACGCCGCGAACACGGAGCACTTCCTGAGGCAACAGACGACCCCCTAAGTTCGAGAGAAAAGGAGGCCGATCTGGATTTGAACTTTGAATCTAGCGAGGCAAATACAAATAAAAAGCATAATATGCAGAAAGATGAGGAAGCCTCCTCTGAACAAAGTGACGAGGAAAACAACAATTTCGATGACCTCGACCCGGATTGTTCCAAAAAGATGTTCTTTGAACACACAGAAAACGATAACGAAATTTCATTACCGAGTCTTGGAGCAAAAAGCAAAGAAGAACACCGCATGAATGGAGAGAGCACAAAGAGAAAGTTCTTTCAGTCGCTGACGTTAATGCCAAGAATGTTCCGCCAGGATCCTAGCAGGGCGGGAAGAAAGAAAGAACAGGCTCCGAAGGAAAAAAGCAACTCGGTGAGAATTCCACCGAGAAAAGCTACTTCTTGCGACGACATTTTGATATCTAGTCCACGCGATGATGACTTCGAGTCCATGACTAACATTAAAAAGTATTTGGAGACACAGGCAAAATTAGACAGAGCCCTCGTCCAGATAAATCGCCTGCAAAATCAAAGATCAAAGAACTTGGCCACAGGGACCAAACCCAAGAATAGCAACAAGTCGGTGAACGCCCAGGAAACGGGATTGAGAGAATTCGAAAGCGGAGGATCTTCGGAAACAGAAAATGAGGTTGAGGAACAAAATCCTCGAAACGTGTTCCCAGAGCAAACGGGGAAAGAAAGAGCACCACACACACCAGCAAATACATCTGAACAGAGCTCGCCTGCGCCAGAAACCTTCGCCTTAAGACAAGCTACCCCAACTTGGCTGAACCAAAATCCAAGAGAACAAGAAATAAGTGAAAATTGTGAAGGGGAAACCTACGGAAGAAGACCAGAAATACCATGCGACAGATCTCCACATTTTGCGATTGAACCAACTGACGCAGAACCCGTAATGCCACTCGACCGTGCTTCACAGCGCGAAAATGGGCGAAGTCATGGCAGCAGCAGACGAGAAAACGACGAAAATGGGCCAAATCCTGGAGATTCCAACGAAACGTGTTGGTCCTACAGAACTCACTTCACTAGCACCTTCGGCGTGGAATTGAATGAATGCGAGATGAAAAGTGAGCTTAAAAAGACCATTCAGCAAACGAAGTGGACCACGGATGAATTAATGGAATTGATCGAAATTCTGAGAAGGAAGCTCCTGGAAGTTAATCGCGTGCCGTACGTTAATCTAGCACCATCACAGGAGAGGCAGAGGAGTCTTTCCGAGGACCTTGTCAACGCACATTGCCCAAGCTCTTTTCCTGCCCCGAATGAGATTACGAGAAAGGATAAACCTCCCTACGTCAATATCAGTCAAGCAAGCGGGGAACCTAATATGCCTTCGCATCAAAATCTCGTGCAAGATTCCAGGGACCCATTCACCGTGAAAGATTTAAAAAGATTACCTAATCGCTCACACGGAAAACCACCGATACCAACGCCAAGGAGCACGCTATCGTCTATATAGCTGTGATACACACAGTTGACGTAACATTCTCTTGAGTCGTCCAGTAAGAGTCAAGAGGGTGGGCCTTATGTCTTTGTAATGCCGTTAAAATAGTAGTGTGGAAGTGTAAATACACCACGACGCAGATAAACTTAAATTGGACCATCATTTCTGGTCGGTGATCGGGTCAAAGCTTATCCATCGAATTATCAGCAGAGGCGGACGAAACTGTTGGCAAAATGCCTCACATTACTTTGATTACAAAGAAGACCGATTTAGTGCGACAGACATCTTATATACATGTCTTCTAGGACTTGACAGCCATTGTTCCAGATGGCTGCAGCTCGCAAAATTTACATTAACAAATCACCAAAGCAAATTGTCGAACGGTACAAAGACATTTGAAGGGTGTACGTTAAAATTGATAACATTTAGTATATTTTTATTTACATGCCCATCATAGCCTTTGTTCTACTTGGCTCTTATTTCCTTTAATTTACTCCTCTAAAATGGCCCATCAAATCGTTTGAAAAACGCAAACGAGCCACACACTAAAATTTCTATGATCTTAGAGAACGACTTCCATCATGAATTCTTAATGTTAGAGTTTAGGATGCGCCGCGAGTTTTAATATTCACACCGCGACAGTCGTGCCAGGATTTGATACTCGAAGATTTTTTTTTAACTAGCTTTTCGATGACCGTTTCTAGGGTCATCATTGTCACGCAGTAACTGAAAAAAACGTTGCGTGAAAGTCCAAGTAACGACATTTAGATCACAAGCTCGGCCGTGAGAAGGTTAGAAATAATAAACTCAATTAGCTGTTCAAAGCGAGATAATCAAGAGATAACCAGGAACACTTTTTTTTAATTAATCAAGAACATTAAGCTGAACAGTGTTGAGAAGATTACAATTAAAAGAGAAATCTAGTCTTTACTTTAGTCTCCTTGCCTCTTCAGCCTGAAAGATGAGAACGGGAATTTCACACGTAAATCTCAACTCAAAAATCTTGAGTTCCCCATCAAAACTTTCTACGAGACGTTTGGCAGAACTCTGCTCGCACGCTTTAAGACATAGTAACCGTTGGGTAGAGTTTTTCAAAAGAAGTATCAAGCGCTTTAAGTCTTCTTAGTCCTCATGCACTTTGTGGTTCAAGGCGTGGCCAGGCAAACTATGGCTGTCACAATTCAATTTCGTTTTTGTGTTCAGGCTAATAACACTTACAGAGAAAACCTACCGATAAATCACAACAACTCTCCCTAGGTTAAAACTGCTTTTACAGAGGTTGAAAACAACGATGGATTATACCCGCGCCTGAGGTCTTTCGTCTATCAATTCCTATTCAGTACTGAACTTACAGCACATCGGAAACCATTGGAATAAAGTATCAGTTCATAAGGACTTCCATCTGCACCAGCCGTGCGTTCGTGTCTCCAGGAAGACGGTACGGAATTAATCCCGCAAAGGTGATCAGGGCTCGCGCTTGGCGCCTCAAAATATCGCGAAACTGAAAGAGATCAGAAAACTTTACCATTGACCAAGAGCTTAAACAGGATGCAATCTCCCACTGAACACTTACAAGTCAAGTTTATGTGTAACAGTATATAGAGGTAGTACTTTAAGGATCGTGCACATTGGTCACACACACGAGAGGATCGAGTGATCCAGGTTTGAACCCATAATTCCTTTCTAGCCAGGAGTGTAAATGGGCATCAATCAGATGTCAAGGCAACCTGCAAATCTGTCCAGGGAGGGGAGTAATGAGCAATGAGCTCATTCTTCCCATCTCATTACGCAAATGAAACTAAATATATCACTGGCTGAGTGAACCAGTTCTTGCTGAGCCAGCAATGCAAATTATTGTAGTGAAGCAGCCTTACCCTCTCTTGTCCACCATCATCTCTCAGATTTCTCTGACTACCAGTCAGAGGACTCTGACCACTCCCTCTGAATAAATAAATAAATAAATAAATAAATAAGTAAATAAATAAACGTACGAGTAAATATTACAAAAAAACATCAACACAATTAAGCAGTAGCACATCCATAGAACGGATCTTCGTTCTCTGATTACAAGTTGCACTGAAATTTGCAGAGTTGAATTCCGATGGGATGTAGACTGAAGAATCAGGAGAAAATTCTCTTAGCAAAGATCAAAACGAACCAAAATTCAAACTCCCCGAAACACTTGGTTCAGGAATTGTGCCTGCGCCACCGTGGAGACGAGCAAATGGTCTGCCTACTCTACTACCCTAACTGACATATGAAAAGGGATGAGGATGGACCAAAAAGGATCTCATCGAGTCAGGAAACAATAACACCAAATACTAAGTGGAATTATCACAAGTGAAATCACTTACCTAGCGTTACGATACTTTGTGTACAGGATGTTCATGGTTGCTAGAAGCACATCTGGTAAGTTTCGTCGTATCTGCTCGAACAACAGATGAACACAATTATTACTTCACACGTCAAGGAAAAATCACGAATAAGCAAATATCATTGCAAATGAAAAATCAACTCTAAACAGTTCACCAGGACAGAAATGACTCAGTTTAAGAAAAGTAATTTCAATCTTTTATCCAACATATGATTAAAAGATAATGGATGCCTAGGAACTGGAGGAATGTTCATAGACAACAACTTTAGACAACTTTGGTAGGAGTAATTTACTGAAGAAAATACATTCAAATGTGGAAGTTGTGATCCTAAACAGTTTTTTTCTTCTTCATTTCCCTACTTCATCATTGTACTGCCTGAAAGCTGTCACTCTTTCCTCTACTGCTTCAATCCCCAAGGGAACTAGTCTTAGCTTCTGCATGACCTGTGAGAAAGACATTAAGCTAAACTGTAAATGGTTTGAACTCAGGAATAGCAGTTGCTAGTGTAGTCTGAACACCAACGAGGCAAGGCTGTCCTTGAAACCCTCTGTTGTTGGTAACAGGGGCTGTAGACTTAACAACCTGAATGGAGGTCATCATTAGTGTTATTTGACTTGGATGGTTGCCTCTTACGCTTAACTCTAATGGTGACTTCAGCTAAAGTTGTCCAACATAACTCACTGCCACTGATATCAGTCAGTCCTTTCCAGGATTACTCTCAACCAGAAAATTAGAAAAAATGCCAATTGTATGGTTGTAGCAAGTAGAAATCATTACCATCTATTCACTGAGTAATTCCCCTTCAGCTACTTTTGGAGAATTTCCAATTTTCAAAAAGGAAAAAAAATAGAAGGATCAAGAAACAGCCAATTTGTTTCAGGTGAACAAATTACAGAGAAATAAGAAAAAAGTGGGTAAAAAAAAGTGCACTGACTTGAAAAAGATTCCCTTTTGGCACACAATCTATGTAAGATATTGATGGCCTTAGCTTGTTGTTTATTTGTTCTGTAACAGATTTCTAAGAGCAGGAGATGTACAAAAACCCTGCCAATATCTGTTCAAATACAAAACTCACATCTAAAGCAGTGTCATGTTGGCCAGCATGGTAGAGATCAAAGAACTGCATAAGATCCAACAAGAGGAAAAATGTGCCTATTCTACTTTGGCTTGCTGAATGACCCGATGTTCTGTATCTATAGGCAAAAATAGAACAAAGTATTGACTCATAAGGCATGAAATGTGGCAATTTTAAATCACAAATACGACATTTATTAAATAACTTATGTTGGCTCGGATTAGTGCTAATGAGCTCTGCTCTTATGTTTAAGTGGCACTGACCATCTGATTGCACTGCTTTAAGCTACACAAACAACAGATCAGGTCATGCAAATGAATACATGTTTACAAATAAAATCCCAAAGGTAAATTTGATTCATCTCATGAGGTGTAACAATGTCAGAACCTTGCTATTTCTATAGAAACAAATTCATACTCTGTAATACCTACATATTTGATTGTACACTGTGCACACTGACTTGAAAAATGACATGTGTACCAGAAAGCACACCAGACCTAGTTTCTTTTACAAACAAACGTACCTCTGTGCTAAGTCAAAAGCCAATGTATGTAGTCTGTCCCGTTGAGATTGAACACCACTGGATGCTGAGATCACCTAAAAAGAAATGAGGAAATATATATTTCTTTGTGATAAGTAGATACTTACATGGTAGGTACTCACTCTGACATTAATACCTTTTCAATTGCTGATCATAGTAACCTTTCTGTTGGTGGAGAGTGAAAATGCAGCTAACTTTAAGTTTTCAACATAAAAAATTTAAAAGGGTGGACAGGAACAGAAACAACTGCTTACAATACTAACATAGGGATAAAAATTTTGAACAAATATTCCCAAAGCCAGCTATTTTTCATCGTTCCTCTGCTAATTCAAGTCTCTGTATTAAAGGTGAATCAATTGTTTTGCAAAGTATAGTGTACAGTCACTATATTTTCAGCCTTTGGCACCAGAGTGGAGTGAATTGTTCCAACAAACATCTATGGCTTCCCTGGATTATATCAAAGTCTTAATTTCACACCATTACCTGACTAAGAAGTTTGTTCAGGATCTCCAGGGCTCCATCATGATTCTGTTGTATAGAAAAAAATAAAAAAAACAAAGAATCATGAACTTATAGGTAAATTCATGTCCACAAATAAACATGTAGGAAGTATTGGTCCTTTGTAAAAGAAATATCTGTGTAAAGTAAGTGCACATGTACCTTGGCTAAATCAAAGAGTTTGACAGCCTCCTCAGACAAACCCTTTTCGGCAGAATCCTTTGCCACAACTTCAATGATTTTTGTAGTATCTCTGTGAAACTTGTCAATACAACCAGGCTAAAAGTATATCAAAAGAAACAATAGGTATTAACTAGAGATGTAAAAGAATCTTAGTTAAATAATTGCACAGAGAAGATATTGCATTTCCTTTTAGTACCTCTCTTAATATTGATCTCTTACCTTCCTCTTTCCATCTGGTTCTAGCTTTCCAAGTAGCATTTCAAACTGTTAAAAAACAGAAATAATAATCAGTTGATATATAGACTGATATATCAAACAATCAATTGGGCATTTAGTCCACTCCCTCAGTAGGACTTTTAGTCATTTAGCCAACTCATTAAGTAATTTAAGGCACAAGGTCTTAGTTCCAGATTAAAATAATCTTCTGCCTGCAGTAGTGTTATGAGAATTTATCATACTTGTGAACAGAAGATGATAGCAATAAAAGTAAAACAAATAAAACACACACTTACATTCAAAATATATTACAAACATGACCCCTTATTAAGAGTCAAACAGTCAGTCAGCCAGTCTGTCTGTCTACTTATCTATCAAATGAATAAAGGGGGTAAGTTCCTATAGAAACTGTGGTGCTGCATTGGTGGGAGAGTATAGCAGGTAATTTAGTGTTAACAACTGAGTTGAAAACGTAAATTGGCCACCATAAAGAGTAAAAAAGCTAACATTTTGAGTGTTAGCCTTGATGAAGGGCTAATGCTTGAAACATCATTACCCTTTATGGTGGCCAATTTACCTTTTCAACTCAGTTGTTAACACTAAATTACCTACTTATCCATCAGTCATTCAGACAGTCAGTCAGTCTGTCTGACTGTTGATCTGCCAGTACAATTTAAGACAATCCACAATATGGAGTCATCAATCATCAACTTACCTCTCTAGTTTCCAAGACCAGTTCACTTACACAGGACATGAAGAGGTCTTCTCCCTGTGGTCCGTTCATTCCTCTACAATAGATATAAATATCAATCAGTTATGATGAAAAATTTGTAAAATGTGAACAATAAAATTTACTTTTCCTCTACAAATATGCAAATGAAATCTTGGTGTGAACACTGTAACACAAGGATTAGCACGTTTTGTTGTTGTTTTTTTTACATGTTTGAGAGCTGAAAAAATAATTGCTGCTTATAAGAGAAGGCTTTTCAAAATTGAAAAGAATACCACTTTTATCAACAAAATATGTTGATTTAGAAAATGGATATCACTAGAATGAAAGAATTTCATGCAAAAAAGAAAGCATTACTTTAAGTTGGAGAACCCTTCAGGATAATGATCCTTTCTTATTTCAATGAAGAGTGAAATCAAAACTCTAATTTGAACTCACCTCAACAAAAAGAAATATTGAAGAGCTTCTCTTGGATCAGTAACCTCAAATTTCCGTGTGTATGACATGATCAGACGTGCAAAGTTCAATCTTCTGTTGGGTTGAGGATCTCTAGGACTGGAAGTCACTGAAATAAACCCACCATAGTTGAAAAATTGTCAGTAACACATGCGTATTATTAACAAGGAGTCAACTGATGATTTCCAGACTCTTTGATGCATAACATTAGGAATATCAAAAGGCCAATGTAAGGGGGGAATAAAATAAAGCACTATGAAATTCATGGAACCATAAAAGGGGCCAGTCTGCTGAAAGAAAAGTGCAGTAGTGGTGCCCAAAAATTTTGGGCCCACTCCATGGTTTAGGGCTATTCATACAAAAAGGGATACAAAGTACTTTTGAAGCTATCACATGTTGCACGAGAGGAAAATTATCTATCCATGCTTGAAATAGCTTTAAAAATTTATCTCATCATCTTTTAAATCACTGTACTTACAAAGTTGTGCTTGGATTGACTCAGGCAACAAAATAACATGCATCTTAAAGAGTGCAATGGCGAAGTGCACAGCATGACTTCTAAAGGCTTCCGCCCGTGACAAGAATTCTATGGCCTGTTCAAAGTGAAAGTAAATCATCTGATGAGTTACATGTACAGGTTTAACACTGTTACCCTGTTCCTCATTTGATGTGCAACTTCTAGCATCACAAGAAAATGCTCTTTATTCCTTGACTGTGCATTTTCCACCCACAAAAATACAACGGTGTGTTGCTAGTACTTACAGCAACAACAGTAAGACAGAAAGTATACTTAAGTTACAAAATGATGATAGCACCTTCAAGAGTCTGACAACTCTGAGATAGGAAAAACAACAGGAAGTAAGTAAAGTATTTAGGTGTAAAGGAAACCTCATACCATGGGTGGTTATCATTTACGCCAATCGTCTGAGTCCAGTTGTTCAAAGACTAGGTGGATAATGCTATCCAATGGATAAATTGCTATTCAGCCGAAAGTATTGTTGTTTGTCAGTTTCTAGCAAACCAATCTTTTGACTTTCTAGCCACAAACAAATCGTATCATTTTGCCCCACCTGCTCCTAAGATTTTTCATTATTCCTGTCTATACTTGTTATACTTGTTGTTATACCTGTTTCATACTTGTTACAGGTATGAAAAACCATGGTATAAAAAAGAACAGGACATTAAAAAACTAGTAGGTAGACTGTTAGAGTGGAATTTTGACAAAGTTATTAGAATGAAAACAACTTACTGCTTCAAACTGTCCGGTCAAAAACAAAACTTGAAAGTACAACAAAGGCTTTTGATATGCATTAAAGTGTGCTTCACCTAACCAGAAGAAAACAGCAATGACTACTTACTTCATTAGAAAATTATCAGAAAACACTAGAACACAACAAGACTTCTGACAGGAAAATAATAGAGAACTTAAAACTGTTGTTGGAAATGAGAATGTTAGGAGATCAAAATGTGTTACTGATCCGATTTTGAAGTAAAGCAATACAGTAAAGCAATCTCATTTTGATGGCGTTGCCTGATCGTCAAGGTGAGGGAAGTCCTGAGAAGGACTGTTGTCATATGTGGTGAATGATGTTTTGACAACCTGAGTGCAAGTTGTGAGTTGTTGTTAGTTGAGTGTTGAAAGTCTGGTTTGTGTTGACTGAATGGTAGGTTTAGCTTTGATTTTATTGGCTCTAAGACTCAACTTATGCAACTCAGGGGAATCAAAGGTTGTGAAATTTGCCACCTTAATTTCTATGGTTTAAGTTATTTCATATTCAGACATGGAGCTCTGATGTAGAATATTCCCCTTCCACTTTACACAACTCTAATGTAACACTAATTAATACTTCATAATGAAAACTGTGCATACCAAACTCTTCCAATAACATGGTCTGCAGCCTTTGGAAGGTAACACTATTGTTATTCCCTTCTTCCTCTTTAACAGTCACTTGACAGAGCTGTAAGATAATGACATTATAATTACGATGTGTGTTAACCAGCATAACAATCTTATGAAACATTAATAAAACCAATTTCTTGCAAACAATGTGTAACATGATGTACATGTAGTTTAGAACAAAGTTTAGCTCAAAATGGTTTCATACCAGTTCTGTTTCATCTTTCTTTGTTACAGACACATTTTCATAATCCTCAATTCTCAAAGAGCAATCAAGAAAAAAATATAAACAAAGCAATCATTGTAAACAATATATTTGTTTTGACATGATGTCTCTAATATTGCCTTTTCATAATCCTTTGGGCTACACTCTTCATTAATATCTGTCCAGTTTGTCAAGGAAAATACTTCACATGAACTGTGAAACATAAAATTTGGCCTCTCAAAGCATCTGTCATTTCTCCCATTTCTTACAATACAATGCACCAGTATACCTTAAGCCACAGGTAGTCTTCAGTTTTGTTGGCAACTTCTTGATGAGAATCTGTTTGTACATCACACTGACCAATCAGACAGTAGACGGCCCTGTCAAGCAATGTAACCCAACAAACACTCATACTTATTTCAACAACTGGTCCACTAAACTGCTCTATTTATGCAAATAAATCTTATCCAATTGGATGACTAAAGGTCATTAGCCAAGTGTTAAGGTTGATGTATTTCAGAAACTGTAATCAAGAAGAGTTTCCATTTTGCTGATTTTATACATCACTAAGCCAAAAATTTACCTTTTAAAGGGATCCTGACTTGTACGAATAGATCTTTTATACTGAAGCCGTAGTTTGCTTTCCGAGCTGGGACTGAGCCTAAGGAGAGATGACAACTTCCAAGATTAGGTTAATCTTTTACTCAAAGCACTCTCTATGTTAACAGGCACAATGTGGCAGGTCTGCATATCATCATTTACCTGCTCTCTTCGCTGTTCAAATATTCCACAAAAAAGTCTCGAAATTCTGCCAAATGCTGTCTGGAGTTCAAAGAAAAAAATGTGATTGCACATAGATTAAAGAGCCAACATACATTACTATAAGTCTATAAGCTTTGAATCACAAATGTTGCAAACTGATTGGCTACTCTCCTTGTCATCTATTTTGCAATAGAAACTGAGGAAAGCAACACATTTTTGTTAATAAATAAAAACCTGAGCCTATCATTTTAGAATTGGAGTGACTACAGAATAGGAGACTTGTACTAAAACAATGAGATTATTTGCCCTGGTCATATAATAATATCTATATATGTATATGATTTAAAAAAAAAATCCTACTTACGGCACATGTTGCACTGCTTGTAAAGCTGCTTTAGGGTCTCCACATCGCAGACAGTAATAAATTAATGGCCACAGAGGAGCACCATCAACATCACCATCCTGTGGGGCAAAGCAAAAATTACAAATTTGGCTGTCTCCTTGGTTCAGATCATACATCTAATACATTTTGCAATAACAACCCTGATAACATGTTATATGTTAAACCAGAAACCTGCAGGGGAACTGACCTCAAGTCCTTGTACAACTGGAGGAAGTTTAATTTTCAAAAAACTCTTGACCAGTTGCAGAGTGCCTGGAACTCCTCCCAACTTTGCTCGAGGCAAATTGCTATATACACTGTCTTGAACAAATTGCAAGTATCTAAAATAATAAGACACATGATAAGTCAGGCTCTTCAGCCAAATTAACAAATAAATAATAACAAGAGAATGTGCTCTTCAAAAAGTATAACACAATTTATATATTCACCTTCTTTCCAAGAAACTTCTGGCCATTTTAATAAATGCCACTTGAAAATCTAAGGAAAACCTGTCAGCAAGGAGGAAAACAGAAAGAAAAGAATAAAAGAGGAATTTTAGGTGTAACCTAAATTACTTCTTGTGCACAACCTTCTTCTTCAAAGTGATCTACCCTCTCTCAAAAGTTTAAAGTTAACAAGAGGGGTTTTCCAGAGACTTAATGAGGCTTATGCTTTAACCTGCAAACACCTTGTTAAGACAAAATCAAGCTTACAGCAACAAAGACCTTTGTGTAAGTTTGTTTGTTAACTTTGCTTTATTTCAATTTAGCTGTAACCATATTGATTTTACTGTGAGAATTTTGATTTCCCAGATTAACTTTTCAATTTTAAGTTGAATTTTGTGTTGTGATGGGCTAGGTACTTTGAAATTAGCCATTTTCAACGCCTTGAGATTTAGCCCTTCACACTTTTACATCACTATGTATATTCTCCATACTGTTCTCTATACATTTCCTCAGCAGCTGAAAAGGAGGATTTATTTAACAATCAAGAATTTCTTTGTGATCATTTCCTTTACTCTCATGACCTCAAAGTGTGATACAAGGGTTATATTGTAAGGAGAAATTAGGTGCTAGACACACCTGGGGATCTTATTGCTCATACTGTTCAAAGTTTTACACTATTTAAGCAGTTACTTCACCCAGAAACAAATAGCTGTTATTGCCCATGAAGTAATTTAACTGCTCATTAAAAAAAAAACTTACCTAACTTCCTCTGCCAGAATATGCGAGGAACCATGAGACCTATGAAGTTCTTCTCCAAGTTCTTTGATAAACATCCACATGCCCTTGATGATCTAATAAATGGAGAAAAATCAGATTGACTCAGCTTGTAGATTAGTGATAATAAGCTAGTCATCCAATCAATATGGTTGGCAAGTAGTATTCACCGGATCTTCAAATCTGTCAATAAGCGCTGTAAATCCATCCACTATGTTGTGTCTTGCTGACTGAATGAAGGCTTCATTATGGATATAAACCTGTAATGAAATTCAAGATAAAAAATTAGTTCAATTGAAAGATGTGTTTGAATGCAATTGCTTTAACCCTTTAACTGCCAAGTCAAATTTGTAATTCTTGTTACTGTCAACCATAAAATTCTTATAATGTTAGTTCAATTAATATTTTCCTTCATTCTCATCACTTATCTGGTTGATATTGTATTGATAATGTGAAGAAATTCTGTCTTGGTCACTCATGGGAGTTAAAGGGTAAAGATTGATAGGAAATTAAAATAATAAACTCCTTGGGTAGGTAATCACTAGGGTGATAAAAACAAACCACCAAAGACTATGGGTCAGAATAGTTTAAAGATGGAGTACTGTTTGACAAGACTGCAAATAGTAAGATCAAATTAAGAAGTGTATGAAACCTTAGAAGGGCAAGTCAACAACAATCTATATACTTGAGTGCTTTCTTGCATCAGCACTTACAGATCATTACTTGCTATTTTATACTTCACCTGTCTGGCATATGCTTGTTCTGTGGCATCAAGGGCACTTCTACCTTGTAAACTCAAAGAACTTGTTGTGAACACCTTAGCATAGAACAAAAATAATTAATAAAAAAAAATTGTAGGAAGAGTACATCACAGTCAGTCAAGTGCAGTGCATCCCAGTTCAAAGCAGCATTACTAGCACACAGTATTACAACTAAAGATGATTATTTCAAAACAAACCTCTGTTTCTCCTGAGAAATCTAGTGTCTCCTGCCCAGCTCCTAGTAGCGAGTTGAGAATTTTCTCCTTTTCTTTCTCCCATTCACTCTCCATACAGGACCACTGATGTCTTTCAGCCTGATTAAATGTCTGATTGAAGAAATGGTAAAAGGAATATTTTAAGAGAAGGGTTCAGTATCAATAAACTGTTGATTGAAAAATTACTGAGTCCATACAATAATGAAGCTCACATTTTCTCTTGCTTCCTCTATGGCAGCCAAAATTGCATTTTCTCTCTCATTCCGAAGGAAACCCTGCGAGATAATTGTCAAATGAAAATTATAAGGATAATTTACACAAAGGAGTGAGTATCATACGAAACAGAAATCCACTAAAAACACAAAACAATTAGCAGCAGACAGTACCAAGCTTTACCTGAATATCAGTCTCTCTAACAGGCTCAAGAGGTTCAAATGTCTTTGTGGTGTCAAGACGATCTAGTTTTTCTGAAAGGCGTGGGACATCAAAGCCTTTGGTGCCAAGTAAAATGGAACTGAGAAGGCAAAAAAAAATTTTTCTAGAGAGAAATTTTCAACTGAGTATCAAAAGTCACAAGTTGCATTGTTTTTGTTTTACTACCTTGTGATTGGACTAGAAAACTTACACCACTATTTTCACTAATCTGTTGTAACTAGCCTTTGTTACCATTTTGGTTTTATTTTCACACAATTTCATTTACAAAGAATTTTTGGGCAGCAGGTGTTACCTACATACATGAGACACTTGTGCACTTTATACCAAGCAGTACATATACATTCCATTTTCCTATTTGAACCACCTTTCTTCCCATGGAAGGCAATGTTTGGGACAAGGCCTACCCCTTGCATGCAACTTTTACAGGTGTCAACAACAAGATATAGTGAGCTACAAATTTGGCCTCCCTTTGAGAAGAGGGATGGGGGATTGATTACAAAAAAACTGGAATGTCCATTACTGTGCAAAACATCATTGAGAATTACTGGTGGCATTAATGAAGTGGAAAAAATAAGATGATTGTGTGTTAATCTCCCTCTGGACCAGTGACAAAGAGAAGGAGTATTGAATACTATAACAATGACCCCTCAAGCATATAATGCTTTCATTTTTCATCATGTTCAATAAACAAATGATCCTACTTACTTACTTCCTAACCTAACAAATAACAATGCCTCAGTATTATCTGATGTGGACAAAAACCAGATGTAATGTGAGTAGGACCTGGACAATCAATGAAATTATTGATCAATGAAAATTGATGACAATCGATGACAATTGATAACAATCAAGTGATTGATATTGATAATCAATGAACAGTTAATGCAAAAGTTTCTGAAACTTTTTATTCTCGTTGATTGTCAATAATCATTGAAGATCGATTGAAATCGATCAATTAGATAGCACAGCTTTTCGATTATCAATAATCATCGAAAATCGTTTGAAATCGATCAATTGGATAGCATCGAAATTTCATCTTCAATCGATGGTAATCGATAAACATAAATTACTACTACGTGATCATCGATTGTTCATCGATTGGCCGATACAAATCGATAACAATGAACTAATATGAATAGAATGAAATCGATTAATCGATCAGATTCCCGATCATGATTTCATCGATTGTTCAAGTCCTGTGTGAGGCACTGACTCGGATCGATAAGGAAGTGTCATTAGTTTATTTGAAGCCCAGTTTTGTTTGATTGTTTAGCATATAATGAACACACTTACGCCTTCACTTGAACATCAGCTCCAGAAACACCAGTCGTTTGAGACCATAACCTCTGACCAGCCTCTGCGAGTTGATGGAGGTTTCTCTCGACCCTAGGCAATTCCCAACCACTGTCCATATCGGCAGTCAATTGCTCTGCCTGCTGCAGCAAATCTCCAAAACTCGAAGACATGATTGAAAACGAAACGCGCCAGAATACTAAATTTAAGCTCTAAAATAACTATATCTTCTGGGCTTCCAGAAAAATTCGCGCAAATGATGGCTTAGTTTGTAATTTTCGTAAAGCCCGCCATGTTTCCTTTCCATGTGCTTTGCACGAAAGCGCATGTCCACCATGGCACCGATTTAACCGCTGGTCACGCAGCTCGAGGGAAGCACGTAGGACTATTGCTACTTAGAAATTAACCATTAGAAATTAAGGACCATTGCTACTTAGAAATTAAATTACAATTTTGAATGACACGTAAATTTATGAAGAACTCTAGAAGCACGAACCCACCATGCAATAAGCTAGCGCGCTATAGTTAGCTAGCATTTCTGTGGTGGACTTCGCCATAACAAAGGAGAAAATCTTCAGTTTTTTGGAGGCGAGGTTGAGAACATACACAGTCGTTGTTGTAGGATCTAATTTTTTCGTACGGGATTTCCTCTTCTGTCACTACGTTACGAAGAATTTCCCGGAGGGCGGTGGGGGGACACTTTTATTTAGCTTAAGATATTGGGAAGCGCCGCCAAATGAATATGAGGTCATTCTCACTTCTTGGTGCACAGCCTGGGGTATCTATCTGGGAATGGTGACCTTAAATGGAAATAAAACAGTATTTCGGTTGATAATTTCAGGCTCGTTTAACAAGTATTACCAAATAAGGAATATTGGTGAAGGAAAAAACGGTGTTAATCACGTGATTGAAGAGTATCCCATCAAGCGTGTGTTGTTATTGTCCATAATCAGTTCGCAAGGGAAAGGTCATCGGTAATATTAAGTTCCCTATACGCATTTTCCGATCTCTTATCCAAGTTTGTTTTTCAATTTTACTGTACGTCCACCATAAATTCAAGATGCCTGTAACACCCGAAGACCTTGTGGGTCTTTTGGCCCTGATCACGAGCGAGAGGAATTATCAGATCACAAATAGCCAGCGCCTGAAAGGAGGATTTCTGACAGGCATTGGAGCCACTGTTGGCGGTGTGTGTGGTGGACCTTTTGGTGTTGTTGTGGGAGGCCTAGTCGGCGGATCACTAGCTGCTTGGAAAGGAAAATCGACCACAATACCATTAGACCAATACTTGATGGATATGGACAAAGAACAGAGGCAAGCGATGTTTGCGTATATGAATTACCTTATAGAAGATAGCCATGTTCAAAACTTTGTTGCCCTGAACGCTAAAGTTGCCACCGACCCCGATCTCAAACGACGATTTTTGGATGTGCTGTTGTGCTATTTGAAGGTAGAACTGAGGCTCAATGTGATCGAATGAATGAAGAGAATGAAGGAAAGAAGCTTGTCGTCACTAGAACAAGAACTTGGTTGAAATTGGAAAGGTTCAATTGAATTCAGAAAAACAGGAAACCTGAAAACCATGTGGAAAATTTCACAAAACTGGCAAGGATAACAGTAAAAATTTTCCAGTAATTTATTGTCTATCACTATTTCCATTTTGCTCTATTGTTTAGGAAAGATTTGAAATACGCATTGACACTAGATTTTCTACAGAGCCGCACAAACATATGCAAATAACCGTGCATGATAAAATGATTGAAGTTATTCTTGTTTTCACGACATAAAACAGTTTAAGACTTTTTCATCTAAAAAAACTGTGATGCTTTGTCTTTTAGTATACTTGAATGATTCTTGTTCAATTTATCGTCTTTATTTCCCGTCAGGTTGTAGTTTTGAGGGTAGCTTTTATTCAAATAAGAAACATTTTTGGCAAAAATCTACCATTGCCATGGCGAGTTTTAACCCATTGATCACATTTTATGAATTTTAAGAACTGACAACAGAACAATGCGATTTCGATGAAATTATACTTTTATTGAAATAACGAATATATATTGATGCAAAAATATCAGGAAAGTGTATCTTGTTTGACCGTGATTCTGAATGATTTTTACTCGAGCGAAACATATTAGCAAGGAGGAAGAGTCAGTTTCACTTAGCCTGCACTCTCGTAAATGGACAAACTCGCGAAAATTTAGCTAGCGGAAAACCTGTCATTTTTCTGTTTCTTTTTTACTTTCTTCCGTTTTTGATTACCTTTTTTTCTCGGGGGGGATGGGAGGGGGTGGAAGGGGGTGACGGGATTGATCTTTCAGGCCAGCGGACGCAAGTCACGTGGTCAATGAAGAAGCTCATTCTCGCCCTCTGCGTCACCCTCGATTCTTCATTCACTCAAGAAAAAAATCACTAAATTAAAAAATAAATAGTCTAATTAGATAGATGACTAAGTTTCTTTGTTCTTTTTGCAAAATGAACATCTAAAGCGTGTGTAAAAGAGACAATGCACAAGAAATCATCTGGGTTCTGGTCTAATCACAAGAGGTCTGTATCTCTCGAACGTTCGCAATCTTCCAAACTGTCTGTGTTGATAGATGTATCTGGACAAAATCAAACATGCCAATGAAGTCTTATTATTCTCGCACAAACGACGCTTTTAACATGTTTAATCTGGAACCGAAGATATATGCAATCCATCAACTTTTTCTATAGATAATGTTCTCATTCAAGAAATGGCCTTTTTTAGGTTTAATTATAGACGCGCAAACCTTAGAATAAACGACTGAGGGCTAGTAATCAGTACTAACTAATGTGGAGGTTAATATATTCATCCATTGTAGCTGAAGTGATTTGATAACTTGGCACAGGCGCCGGTTATAACGGCGTGCGAAGGATTCACGCGAAGAAAAATTAAAGAACTTGCCATTCGGCATAATTATTTTACTCCTTTCTCCTTAACTTTGCTCTCGATAAAGGATTTTCTGTATATTATTTACGTATTAGAGGTGAGTTAGAAGATATTTTTTTATTGTTATATTGCACGCGTTGCATACCTATTGCTATAATTAGACACCTGATGACCTCATGTCTACTCAAACATAGAAATGAGGCTAACAACAATGGGGAAAGTCCCAGCCGTCTACCGGAACTGATCTTTCATTTTGTTTCCTTATTATCAGTACTTTCGCTTTCCTTCAGTCGACATGCCGGTTTCCGTGACTGATTTGCAGCGTGTTATGGCCATTCTGGCCGATGAAGATGAACTTAAAGTAACCGTCAGAGGTGCTGCCTATGGCGGTGTTATCGCAGGAATTACTACGACTGTTGGAGGACTTCTTGGTGGACCGGCTGGGTTGCTCGTTGGAGGCGCTGTTGGCGGAGCATTAGCCTATGGCACTTCGGGAGATTTCAAGCCTGCTTCCCAAGTGATCAAAGACATGAACGCTCACGACAGGCAACTTCTTTACGACAGTGTTAAAGAAATCCTCGAAAACTTGGCGATCGACGATTACCTAGCTCTTATGGCCTTCCTGAGTGGTCCTGGATTGGTGGTTCGACAACAACTCATGGACAGACTGGTTTTATTTCTGAGGAATAATATGCGACTTCAAGTGCCTCAAAGTTAAATCCTCTGTTTGTAAAAGAAATACCTACAGTGTCATACAGAATGACATTTAACAACGATTTATACTGGTGTAACTGACTGAAGAAGAAAATAGAAATATTACTCACTAGAGACAATTATAGAATTTGACGTTGTTATTTAGGATAGAAAGTCATATGAAAAGAACACATGCACGAGATAAAATGATTATATTGACTAGTTAAATGTGACCACGATATAGACAAGAAATTTTTTTTGACTACCATAAGACAAAGAAAAACTAGTTCGTGTTAATTTTCAGTTCCCTTTATCTCTTCAAGTTATCTCTGTAACATTTGTAATACTTTTTCACACCTTATATTTAACTTATTGTATTGAATAAATATATTTAGGGACAATGTGGAACTTAATTGTTTAGAGCTTGGGGCCAGGTTACCTGAGATAAGACGTTGGCTTGATAAGTTGTCATTGTGGCTTTTATAAAGTGCACTCTGTTTACGTATTTGATCACGCAAGTTATTGGCTGAAACATTGAAGTTGAAGTTAGGCTGATTCAGATATAATTTTGTAAAACAAACCTTTTCAACTCAGGCTGACATGGGACAAAACCACTAGTATACCACCAGTGGTAGAGCAGCAGTGCAGGAAATGTGCAGTTTTTGGGATCAATTCCTGATAGGGCACCCACATGTTTTTCTTGTCTTAGACTCTTGTGCTAATCAAATGATATTTATGGTCAATCCATGAACAAGCTAAGAGCTAGCCACTTTTCTTTTTCTATTTACACACAATGCTTTTGACAAACAGCGGAGCCCAGCAGTATGCCAGATGCATACTCTGCGAGTTGCCTTTGGCTGGTGGACAATCTATGCTTCAATTCTAAATGGGAAAGTCAGATTTTTTTCTTTCTCCTTGTCTTTTATCTAACTATTAACATCTTAATTAGATAGCTCCTTAATAGTCATAAGGTTGATCTGTAAAACCTGCTATCACAATAAAAAAGGAAGAGTGAGTGCCACAAATTATTGTTCAGCAGTTTAGTGGAAGTTTTGTTTCCAAGGGTTATCCTGAAATCCCAGTGAGCAAGCTGGCTCTCTTTAAGAACAGTTGCATTAGTCTTTATTGGCACTGTTAGGGCCACAGTGCTAATAAAGGTCTTTTCCCAGGCTAAAGCTGTTCCTTTTTTGGGCTAATGACAATTTCCTATTTTGAGGTGTTCTCTTGCATCATTAACTAACCAGATACAATACTCTATCAAATTAAGCCATAACATCCAAATATCATAACTCAAACCTATATTTAGCAGAAAGCTAAGATTTATTAATTTTGTGAAATACTATGGACAGGGTTACAGTGGCTGCACAGTGAGGTCCAGGTTCAAGCCCAGGTCTGATTTAATGCTTTGGATTCTTGGAAAAAAACTTGCAGTTTCTAGACCCATCCAAAAGCTTGTGAAGGTACAGGTGAACTGTCAATCTGGGTCATTTGAGCATTGCCAGGCAGTAATTCCAAAGGACTGGCCCCACATCAAAGAGGTGCGAGATAAAAATTCTACCTCTGCCCTCTCTCTTACCCGCCTTAGTAATTTAAATTTGATTACCAAGCAGTACTTTGGCCCTTTCTTGTTCTTCCACTTCTGTAAATGTAGACAGACCTGACATCATTTCCCTGATCAAAGATTCAACATGAATTGTCAGTGACTCTTTACTACATGGGCATCAAGGGGTTACAAAATAATTCTATAAGAAAAAGAAGTGAATGCATATCACTCCTCAATTACAACTATTCATGCAATTCTTTGAGGGCATCCTTTCTCTTGAAAGTTGTAGCCAACCATAGTTTATAAATGCTGATCATGTTTGCATGTTTATTACAAAACTTAGAACTCTCACATAATCAAATGTCTATTTTTAAATAAATATAAATATCCTCTGATTGGTGCATTTTGCACTGCGGCATTAAGTGAGTATCAATTATTCCTTGATTATAAAGTTAATTTATTGCAAGTAACCTTACTTTCTACATCGGGTTTGACAAACAATATAAATAAAAACAAACTTAGAATAAGTCAATCTGTTGTTACAATGTAATCTTAACTAAACAATTTTATGTAACTTTAAACTTACTAATTTCAATCTAATTAATGACACTAATAATTTATTTATTAAAATCTAAATTTCTCCTCCTTTGAACTGGAAATAAGAGAGGAAACTTTTCTTCCCCAAAAAATTGTAAAATTTTAGAATGAGATAAAAACTTTCTTTTACATCATGCTACAAAAGGTGTAGAAGGCCTCAAAAAGTCTTTAACACAGTACCTTAGTTCAAGAGTTTTCATTATCAGAAAACTCAATACTTAAATAAAAATATCATTGTACTTATCACTATCTTACAACTTTTATTTTTTATCTTTCTTTGCTAAAACCATCTCTATATAACATTTAGCCTGTGCAACAAGCATAATTTCAAGGGAGTGACTGCAAAATTTTTATGATTGAGAGTTCCAGTGGCCATTGGACTGGTGAGACTGAAAATGCATGGAATTGGTATCAAAATGACAAATTAGACCAGTGAGTGAGGATGAGGTGTAGCCTCCCTCTTCACTCACTTGTCACTTCTATTACCACCTCTGGCCTAGGAACGTTTTTTTTTTTAAATGCTTTTTAAAACCACAAGAAAAAAACATTCAAAATGGTGCATCAAAAAATCTCCAACAGTGCAAATCATTTACTACTTATTTTCAAGATATTTGGTACAACCCATACACCCCACAAAAATTGTTACAAACTGTAATATTTTAAAGGTTTACAGAGGGTGCTGGTAAAAATTTCCAGTGTAGTTCAATATCATATAAACTTTAATTTTCATCTTCTATTTTGGAAGGGAGGTCTGTGAAAAAATAGCTTAACAGTCTCCTTTCTTATATCTCCATGTCAAATGAGCTAGTTTAAATCATCAACAGTATATTACAAGGCATCTTCGTCATCATCATCATCATTGAACAGATGCAGACGCTCATGTTTTCTGTTGCCATTAAAACTGACAGCTTTCTTTGTAGCTTGATTACAGGCCAGATATATCAGAAATAGGTTGGCTAATAAGCTGACGGCACAGAGACTGATCACTGCCACAAACCATACAAAGAACTTACTGAAAAAAGAAATAATGAAATCAACACTCATGGAAGAGTTCTACACAATGGAATAAACTATAGACTGTACAGAAGTTCTTGTTAGATTTCTGAGTCTGGTTTCCTGAACTTAAAAACCTCAAGGATGCAAAAGCTGGACACAGAATCAAACTTTAAACAGTAGGAGGAATAACTATTAATGGCAATACAAAAATCAAAGCTTACTGATGATAAAATATTTAAGAAAGGAAGGTCACGACACAAATTTACCCAGAAAATCTTTCTGGAAATTCTCAGAGAATGTTAGAAATATCACAAAACTGGTTTCTTAATGTGTAATATATAAAGAGAGGAAGCTTATCTTAGGCTTTGTTGTCATGTGAATTAAAAAAAAAAAAACATGATTTCTTGGCTTTTACCTGAATTCCTCTTCTGTAATTGCACCCTTTTCAGTATTTGATTGCAGCACAGTTTCCTTTGTTGAAACTCCCTTCATCTTCAAATCCAATTCACAATGCAGCCCTATAACATAAAAATTTATTAATTTGACTCAGTATAGCTTACCAGTAGTCTGTGGTTTCAAACACGGTTTATTTTCCTTAATTTTTAATACCGCAGCCACACCTTTAGTAATAACCCCTTAGGTGTTACAAAAAAGGCTGCTCATGCCTTACAGCACCTCCACCATAATTTATCAATTACGAGAAATTTCAAAGGTCTGTTGAACTTGGTTCATGGCAGCCGGGACCTTTTCATTCCTAGGATTTAAATTTAAGTTTTCTGCTTTGTCTGTATACAATCCTCTGGATTCTTGTTCTGAGAATTTGTAGTTTGTCAAATGAATCTCCTAGTTGACAACCCCCTTATTGAGGTGATTAACAACTAACTTCTCTCTATAATATCCATTCATTATCCAGCAAAAAGGTAATGAGAATGCTCAAACTTATCAGGTGGAAGTTGTAACTAACTACAAGGGAAATATTTAGTAGCTGAAAGGGAGAATTGACAATTAGATCATGGGAGTTAAAGGGTTAAAGATCCATCTCAAAACTGACTGGGAAAACTACTGTTGCCTTAGTAAGAATAATGTAAGTGTATCCCCTAAATCTCTTTGAAAGGATCAAACTTACATCTTTGAGTAGAATTTAGCATACTATGGTTGCTTGCAGAAGAGCACTCTCCAGTTACTGGATCACAATCACATGTATCAGGGCACTTGCAAATCTTCATACAATTCTGTCCATAACTACCATGAAAACAGCCTGAAACATCATTTGAGAGATTACAGCATTGAATTACGCAGAAATAACATCATTCTGGTACTTGTAATCTATTATCAAAATAATGGCTGATCTTTAGTCAATTTTGCATGATTATGACAATTTATCTATGCCCACACCACTGTTCACTTGACTATAAAGTAATTTATTAAAATCTGTGATTAAATGGAAGTGAATGACCTTAAGAATGACATAGTTATAATGTAACACTAATAAAATTGTTATTGAAAGTAATAACCATGGTCACAAGACGTTAAGAGTTGCATTGTGTGTTATACAGACAATGATCTGAAGCGCAAGCTAACGCTAATCTATGATTAAATTGATTCCATAATAAATTTTACATTACGTTATAGTTTAATGATTTTGATTTCACCCATGGTTTTAATTTGTTGAACAAGCTGTGTTTTATATAGAACAATTCATTTCTTCAGAGATGATAGTTTTGGATCTTTTGAGGTCAGAATTATTACAGGATGTGGAACTTCTGTAATAAAGCTTTTAGACACTTAACTCTTTACTCCCAAGATCTCATTTGTAATTCTCCTTACTATCTACCATACAATTCTTATCATGTTAATTTGGAGAATTTGGGATTGGGTCAACTAAAATCCCCTAACTGCTATTTTTCTTTATTCTCATCACTTGTCTGCTTGATATTGCATTGACACTGTAAGGAGAAATTCTCTTTTGGTCATTCATGGGAGTTAAAGGGTTACTGGAGGATATGTCATTTTGGTTATAGCCTTGAAAAAGACATTCAATTCATTGCACTCTGCTTTATATTAAACATTTTATTTATTGCTTTCAAAATTTTATTTTGATCAAAAAATTTATGCAAGAGTTTTATCAAAACTTTAGGCAAGTTGACACTTTTCCTTTATAAGATAACAAGCACTCAAAAGTTGGGTTATTTAGTCCTTAGAAATAGTCAAAGAGTGGTTCAAGTTTAAAGAGGAAGCATTTTTAATTAGCATTTATTCAGGTTTATTCAAATAGTCTCAATCAGTGCAAATCAGAATGCTAAGAGGTTTAGCTGTAGATTAAACAGGGATATCCACATACCTACATTTTAATCATTATTTTCTTGTTTTAAAGCTTTGTTACAAGTATTTCAACTTGTTTATTCATTTATGTATGTATTCTCTCAAATTAAAGCACATTTAAAATGTAAATAAGTTTAATGCTTGATTGCAAGCAAAGAAATGTTTGATTGCTCTTTGACTTTTGAGTTACTTTTAAGTGTTTGGGAACTCTAGACTGAATGCTGCTAATTATCTTTCTCTCTCTACATTTCCAGTTTCATAGCTAGAGGCTACAGAACTTTTAGAATGGTTTCACATTATTTCATACATGTAGGTACATGTAAAAATATCCAGGTCCATGCCTCTCTTTGCAAAATCAGCATCTGACAGGAAAGCACTTACGCTGCTGACAGAATGTTCCCATCCACCCAAGGGTACAGGTACAGTGACCATCGACTGGGTCACATGTTCCACCATTTTGACATAGGCATTCTCTACTGCAGTTCAATCCAAAGAATCCCGATGCACAACCTGTTACAAGGTGAGAATATTATATAAAAACTGCCACAAAAAAATTTGAAAATATTACTGCAGTCTTTCTTGGCATTAGCTACTCACTATTTCAGGTTAAAAAAAACGGAACTAAACAGAAGTATCAGGGTATAGTTTCAGGATTGAGAAAGAATGAAAATATATATTCTTTTAATCAAATTAGCACTCTTTAATTCAATTAGGAAAACGTTTGAGTCTATATGTTGGTCAATATGTGGCTTACTCATTTCACTCTCAGTAATGACTAAAATCAACTTTCTCCTTACAATAGTGATACATTTTCAAGCAAAAAGGTTACAAGAAAAAAAGAAAAGGTTAACTATGGTGTATTGTTTCAACTTTGATTGAGACAAAATCTTCAGTCTGAGCAAAAAAATCAAAAGAAATAACTTAAAGGTATTGAAGACTGTTAGGAGAATAGATATTATGAAGCTCAAACTAAGATGTCTTTGTTTAACAAAGACTGCATTAAAAAAAATTTTCTTTCAATTCCTCCTTTAGTTCTTTTTCTGATTCCTTATACCAACCTTCATTACATTCCTCTCCTTTCCAACCAGGAAAACATGAGCAACCATCTGTGAAAAAAAACAACACACTGATTTATTCCTGTTTGCTCAATTGTTCCTCAGTCAAATATCATTTAAAATATCAGTCCAGTCCCCACCCCCCCTCCAAAAAAAAATTACCTTTAACAAATATATTCCAAGTTACTGAGCGTTTGTTTAGTATACAAATAAATCACATATGATGCCAAAATGTGGCAAAATGTGATGAGTGTGTCACTGCATTGATGTGTGTCACTGATATTCTTTCAGGCAAACAAGGCCTGTGATCTCACCTTCAGTAGTGCAATTTCCATTTGAAGAACAGTTATGTTGTCTGCATTTTAATACATTGCATGAACCTCCAGTCCAATGACTGTCGCAAAGACACTCCCCCATCACACACTGTCCATGGCCATGACAATCCTTAGGTATGCAGTCAGGCTTGTGTGCACACACAACTGTTGATACCTTTCTGGAGCATGTGAAAAGACCACTAGAGTTTAAGTAAAAAAAAGAAAATTTTTAAACCTGTTTGAAGAAAATGAAATAATTTTGGGATGGGCGAGTATATGGGTGCTCGGTTTTTAATTTTCCTGATTTAAAAATTTTGGGTATACTCAGGTTGAGGAGAAAATCCAGATATCATCTGTGGTTTCATTTTGTACTCAATTTTCTTTTGAGTTTGAAATAATTTGAACTATGAATAAAATTGAACTACAATAAAGACCAAAACATAATGTCCCCACTCCCTCCCTGCACTGAAAAAAAAAAAAAAAAAAAAAAAGGAAAAGAATGTGCTTCTTATAAAAAGAATCAAACACTTCTGTTATGTTGTAGGTAAGCATGGAATTTAGATTGAATGGTTTCAAAATATGTTGATTGGTATTAATTAGCTTAGATTTCCTTGAACAAAGGACAGTTCAAATCAAATTAGGAAAATTAACTGAACTAATTAAAAATAATTTCAAATTACAATATACATATTATTTTGTAAAACTATACAGTGTCAACACCTACAAATTACTTCTACAAAGAATTTATGAATTCCATTTGTAAGAAAGAAATAAAAAAAAGCAAAAAATTTTGGGAAACTCAAATTATTGCCCTAAAAATACATCTGATTTGTGCTCCCAAATCAAAAAACAGAGTAATAGACTCACCATTCATCTGAAGGGTAGTTTACCAGTGTGTTATTCACTACCATTGTAGCTGAGCCTCCACCATCAAGGTTTATTGCATTCACCAGACCAAGTTTCAATAAAAGACTAGCAAAGCTGTACAGATCAATCCTAATTGAACCAAACACATCATCAGCTCCTGTTCACATTAACCCATAAGTCAACATGTTTGACTGCACTATTGTTCTAACATACTTCAAGTTGTAGGTCTTATTGATCACTTATCACAAAATAATAACATAGTAGAGAAACAAAATGATAAAAGAACACAAAGAAATGCATTTTGATGACATACTTCTACATAGGCTTGGTTACAAGCTGCTCTCAGGGAAAGGACACTGAACATGGCATCCACAGAGGGTAGCAAAGGGTTTGAATGTGTTCATACTTAAGGTCAAAACTGATACATGACGCGAGAATTTTACGGAAAGGCAAGCATGATTTGTAAATTTATGGACCAGGCTCAGGTAGTTTGAAGGGTGGATAATGCTATCCACTGGATAAAGGATAATGTACTGTATAATATGTATGTACAACTGGGCCCTGGATGAGGCATGATTTGCCTCCAGAAATATACAGTACATTTCCTGTGAATTTTTTCTTTTGTTTCATGAAAACCTTAAGATTTCCCTGAAAGATTTGAAATTTTTCTTTTAAATTTATGACAGATCAAATGAATTTATCTCACATTCATACATTTAACAGGATCAGGATCCCTGCTTTGCTATCCTCTACAAAAGTTCCAAAAACAGACCCCAAGCAAAAATATGCCTAACTATGCCTTGAAACAGCTGTGTTTGTTGTATCAAGTAGCACAATTACATTAATATTCAACATTCTGCTCTTAACAAGGTCAAAGGTACAAAAATCCTTCTAATACAAAAGCAAATGGCAGTCAGTAAAGAATAAAAACAATCTAATACGTGGCGAAGAATGGTTACAGCTCCATGGAAATGGATCAGGGGAATGTGTACTCTCAAGTCATGTGATATGTGACAACAGACTTCCTGAAAAAAATTCTCCATCTTCTAATAGGCAAATGATCAGCAAAGATAAGATCAAGCAACGAAGTTTAACACTTGCCCTCTGTGATTTGTCTTTCCATCAATCTGAACAATCATAACCCTTCCTTCTATGTCGTGTCCCAACGCTGTTCTTGCGGACATAACATCGGCAAACAAGTCCATAGAACCCGTTTCCTCAGTGTCGCGACATTCCGCAGTTTTGCTTTCATTTATGTACACCATGCCATTTCTTAGTATCCAAATCACACCAGATACGAGCTGCACAAAGGGATTTTCTTTGTCATCAACCATCTCCTCGGATAAGTACCCCACAAGTATAGAACCATCTCTGCGAATACCGAAATTTGCATTTTGCACTCCACCAGAATCCTGGACTTTTCTTCCATCACTGAAAACATTTCCATAACACTTGCCGTCATTAGTTTTAAAAAAACCTGCATTTGTAGCTACCCAGCATTTTCGCTGTTTCGCAGATTCTGCTACAGTAGCTCGTTTGTAAGGATTGCTACAACCCCCGACTTCCCTCGGTTCAAGAACCGAAAATGTCCGAAAAGGATCTTCTATAGAAACAACGTGACCGACAACGTCCGTTTCCACATTATTTCTTGTGTATCTGTGATAAAAATTCTTCACCTGGACGAAAGGTTGACCCGGTTTTATGCGGCTCAGAATCTTAAGCGTCTCGTGTGTTCTATTACCATATAAAATAGGTTGGCATTCACGAACATGTCTGTGTGTTCTCTTCGTTTTGTAATAATCCTTGTACGGCGTCAGAATGTCATTTGGGAAAGGGTCGCTGGTTGTTTCAATGGATGCATGCTCCAAAGCTAAAATTTGCAGAAGAGCAGTGGAAAAACAAGCGAACAACCTCATCGTTTGCAAGTGTCTCTCAAAAAGTACCTGCTATGTTTCCCGCAAGTTCGTGTTTTGCCTAAGACTCTGCGCCTACAGTGTTGGAAAGTAAATCAGCGGATTACTACATGTACAAGACAATATTCATATCATAATTTTGGTTTTAACGACGACACAATAACTCATCTTTCGGAAAAATGTTACCCACAAAGTTTGTCGTCCAGCCGTCGGAGTCTCTAAAATGCCCCATTTGCAGGGAACTTTTCAAAGATCCGGTTATTTCAACTCAATGCGGACATACGTTTTGCAGAAATTGCATTCGAAATGGAGTTTCTCTTACCGGAAATGCGACAACGAAATGTCCTCTTGATGGAACAATTTTACAACGAACTCACTTAGTGTCGAACTTAGCAGTACGAGGCCAGATAGAAGACTTGTTGATACACTGTAGGCACGGTTTAACACGATCTGATTCGGAAGAAGACTTTGATATAGACAGTAGTGGTTGTCAAGAGAGAATTTCATTTGGTCGACGGCGAGAACATGAAGATCTCTGCGGATTCGCTTTGGTCCCTTGTCCAAACAGCTCAAATCAATGCGGAAAGTTTCGTCGTAAATGCTTGGAGGAACACTTGAAAGTTTGTGCTCAGTACCGCTGTCAGTATAGTGTCAAGGGTATGTAATTTGGTCGGTCTTGTCAGTTATACTCTGAATATATTTTGGGAAAAACTTGAAAAATTAAAATTTAATTCAGTTTGTCGTTTCCCTGTCATTAGATTCGCAGTTCATCATAATTTAGTAGGTAATTAAAAAAACATGGAATGTGTTATGCATAATTTTAACAGATTGCGTACTTTAAGGTCCTCTATCAATATCAGAAAGGCAGTTAACTGTCTTTTTCTCATGATAGCCTACTGGGCCCTGGCCAAGAAATTGTAATTTAGGTAATTTGGTTTTATAGGCTAGAGCAGCAACTTGCACCTTTCAGATTACACTTTGGAAATGTGAGTTTGTACAGTTTCAATGTAGTCGTCTGTAATGATATTATAACTCCTCCAAGGTTGTGAACATGTTGGAACTAAACAGAATGTGGAAGAACATGCAGAAGAATGTAAATTTAAACACAGCTCAGACCTGATTAAGTGCCAAGCTCTCCATTCTGAGGTACAGTATGGCAACTTCATTTTGTCAACTCATTAATGATTAAATATGAATTCCATCCCTTTGGTGATCTTTATTCAAACCTTTATTAGAAATTTTTACAATCCTACAACAAGGAGCCATCATGTGAGACAAAATATCCTACTTTAAGAACTGGTAAAAATGCTGTTTACATCAAATTCAGAAATGATGCTAACTACTGAAATATTTAAATGATGCCATTTTGAATTTCTCACTGGAATCAATGCCAACAATTTTATGTGGTAATGAGCTCCAGTTGTTGACAGTTCTGTAAAGAGGGGGGCATTGGGGCCTACTAGAAACCCCAAAAACTGTAGAGAAAAATTCAATCCAAAACCAGAAAACTGAAAAAAAAATCTGATCAAAACCGAAAACTGCATATTAAACCATCAAAACTGATACATTTTCACATCCTAGTTAAATCATCCTGATCAATCTGATACAGTGGTGACAAGTGGAGCATACAGAGTAAACTACACTAATTTCATTACAGTATTTGTGAATACCATGGACTTAGCATTCATATATTCTAGTACCTGCTTAAATTATATGGTCTATTTTAGCTGCTCTCTTGAGGTCTCTGCGGACTCAGCGGCTGGTAATGGAGCCCAGTTAAATTAGAGAAATTTGCACCAAAGTCTTCTAGAGTCCTCTATGGGATTGCAATTTTTACTTTGCATCTAACCTTGTTTTTCTTTCTGAAATTCTTGCTGTCTTTCCCCTCTTCATAAAAAAAAAGTGACCTTCTTCCCTTGCTAGCACGTTTGGCAGGTAGGAAGACATGGTTCGCAAACTGATCAACCTTGAACTAAGTGCTCCACATTGCAAGGTCAAAGTCTTGGCCATCATTCAAGATGCATGAACCCCTAGGGATGGTCAGAGTCTTGGGTGTTATTCAAGATGCTTGAACCCCCTTAGGGATCCCTGGGATATTTCACGCATTTTTCTCAACATTTGCATTTAGCAAGATCAGTGGAGGTGCATAATTGCCACTCAGATCAAAGAGAAACTGGTACCTAAATTGGTCAAATAGGAAAAATGGAAACCGTATCAGATATCAAATCCGAAAACCCATTATTTTCGTAAAAACCAAATACTAAAAAATGGAAAATCCATAAACTGTGACAAACACCAAAGCTGAAAAACCAAAGATTTTTGACACAAAAATGGAAAAAACGATCTAAAAAAATAGCAAAAACCTCAAAATGGAAAATCCCAATGCCCCCCTCTACAAAGGCAAATATGCGAAATGAATCATTTGCTATTCTGAATGGTGATGTTGTGGTCTAATTGTGAGAGTGAAATGTTTCAGTCCTAAAGAAGACTTTTCCATGACAGTGACTGCCGTTTTTACCACATGAGTGGAAGGAAACATGTAACTCTGACAATTAGAACACATCTTGTTCAGATTTTACTACCCTGACTGGGTTTAAGCAATTTATTGTTTACTTTAAATGTTGTACCCACCAGGTGGATGTGTTATAGGGAATATTTGACTGATATACGTTTCTAGAAATTCAAAACTTTTTTTATCAAAGATTTGTTTTGCCATCAAATTACATTTACTTTGTTCAAGTGGATTTGCTTCTTTTTGAGGAAGTTCCCTACAACTGTGCATTGTATTTCAGATTGTGATTTTAATAGTCTTGATACATAAACACAATAAAACTAAGTTTCTAATTGTAAACAGAATGATAACTTGTCCTGTTATTAGTCTGAAAGTAGCACAAAGGGTGACCCTGATGTTTTGATGCAGTGTTATGATCAAGAATGATGAGTGTGCCTAATTAAATTTGTTGCAGTATCAATCATCTAATCTTTGTTGCACTGATTTCAGTCCTCTGAAGAACTAAGATCATCAATAAAGGTCCTTTCAGATAGAGTGTCATGGCTAGAGAGCCATCAGGATGCTTTAGTGACACAAGTTGAACAATGCAATAGGTTGGTAAATTAGAAGAGCAATTATCATGGTTATTATTTTTCCTGTTCAGCATTTAATTTATGGTGGTAGTAGTTTACAAAAAGTTAAAAAATAATGACCATAAAAAATTAAAAGGGGGGAGGTGTGGTGAGAAAGCTTTATCCATTGAAAGTTATTATGGAATTGAGTCTCTATAATTTTTCCAGTTTTGTCATTGGTATCTCCATGCAGATTCACAGCAAATACCACCTCTAACCTCATAAGTTACTCACAGTCTAAATGACTTAAGCATAGAAAGTCATGTATCCGAGTGATGTGTTCAAGTATGATAAAATCATTCTCTTTGTTTTCTATCAGTGCTGTTTCCAGATTGTCAGAAACAGTAGAAGACCTAGCATTTCAAGTGGAACAACTTTCAGTTATTCTGAAGCGATCATCACTTTATCGTGAAACATCAATTACCTCCATCCCTGAAACAATCAACAGTTCTCAGAGTACAAGCCCTGATGATACCACTTCATATTCTCATGCACATAAATCACTCGTCAGACTCAAGACATCACCAGCAGCACACCAAGATGTTTGGGGCATACCTTGCGTCTTCAAGTGTATTGGCACCTTGAGGTGTTTTACAGTAATTTTTAGTCACTGATAAAGTTGTCTGTGAACAGTGAATTGTTTCAACTTGGAGTAATGTTTGATCATGTAGAGTGATTGTCTGTCTGGATCCCCCAATTGAGATTTTTCTTTATTCTCATTACCTTTTTGCTTGATTTTGTATTGTTATTGTAAGGAGAAATTCTGTCATGGTTTGAGAAAATAGAAAATTATTAATTATTGATAATTATCTATGGTGATATTCATGTTTGATAAGTTTTTTCGCTAAGCTGGGAAATGTCAACAAGTTTTTATTACTTTTTTTGACTACATTGAAATCCTGGTGTTTGCCAGAAATTTCCCAGGGGAGCATATCTCCAAATCCCTCTAGTTTCTTGTGCCTTTGGCACTTATCATCGCGGCTATTGCACCACCATTACACATATTCTCAGTTATGCCTCACCAAGGAAAAAAATTCCTGATGCTGCCCTGGTGAAGAGAGTAATTATCTAATGATTTTTGCATTTCTCAGTGAAAAAAGTATCAAATGTCAGGTTTTGTCATTACTTTGTTTAAAGAACAAGAAGATTATCAGAAATAAATTTATAGGTGTTAATACTATCTGTGTGTTTGTTAACTAATTAGGAGATGATATGAGTAAGTTTATATTCTTGAGTAAAAATTTCAAATTAGGAAGTAAGGGTTTTTCTAGTTAGGAGGAGGTACTGTGGTGTTGGTTTTGATTACATCCTAACTCAAACTTTTTTCAGGGGTCATCGTGGTACTATCTGGTCCATGGTGTCAAAAGGCCATCGTCTTTTTAGTGCTGGTGGAGATCAAGTTATCAAGGTTTGGAACATGGAGAATGTGCGGCTAGCAAAATGTACAGAAGTCCTGGAAGGGCACGCTGATGATGTAAGTAAGGAGTGCTTTTTCTAACAATATATTTATGATCATCAACCATGAACTTGTTGGTGACACCTAGATCTTGGTTAAAATTTTATGGTGATCATGCTTTTTTGATCTGCACCCCTAAATTTTGGAAAAATCTTCCAGAGCATTTAAAATGTAGTCTAAATCTTACATCTTTTAAGAGCAGCCTTAAAACGTATCTTTTGAAGCTCTATTTTAATTTGTAGTTTTGCTCTAGTATTTTTCTGATTTATTTACTAAGTTACTGCTTTAGACATTTTATTGTAAAGCACCTTAAAGCTCTATAATAGGGTGTTATAGAAATTGTTTTATTATTGTTATTATTATTATATTATATGATTGCACCTGTAATCACAATCAGTGGGTAATGTTACTTTTATTTGTCTTTGGTTATGATCATGATGTATGATAACTACTGTAAAACTACACTGTAAGTGAAATACACTGTAAGTGTTTGTTCTGGTCAGGGGATAATTCATTGCTTTCAGGTTGACAGACAGCAATTATATGACTGGTGAAGGATTAAATGAAAGTGCTGCCTAAATATTATTTTCTTAGGCTTTAAACTTATACTGTGTTGAAATTTTTTTTTTCTTCTCTCTCTTAAGATTCACACCATGTGTGTTGGAGGTGGAAAACTATATAGTGCAGGATCTGATCAGGCAATTATTTCATGGAACTTGGAAAATTTAACTCTACATAAAAAAATAGAGGTTTGTTATCATATATTGTTACATATACCTGATACTTTTGCATATTGGTGAGACTTTTTGTTTTATTTCTTTTGTAGGTGTGGTGGGTTTTGACTTTATTCTCTTATTTTCTAATTTTTTTTTCAGAATGCCCATGACAATATTATATGTGCTATTGTTTACAATGGGCAGTACCTCTTCACATCTTCACATTCTTGCATTAAGGTAGCCCTGTTGAATCTTATTAAATCATTTGATTTTATAAATTTCTCACTTCTGCTTTTACCTGTAATGGTCGTTATTTGATAAAATGTCCCATCTTTAGGTGAAAGACTTCTCTAATAGATAAATTTTTGGCTATCCAACTGGCCAATGGATTCCATGTTGTTGTGAAACTGTTCAGTATAATTATAATAGATGATTGATTACATAAGATGAGACAAGAACAAAAAAGTTACACATGAGGCACAGCCAAAAGTGTTAGTATCATTGTCAACATGGAGTCTATCGATATTTGTTTTATTTACTAAAGAAGCAAAATGATGTCAATAGTGATGTTGATCATGGATGATAACCAATCAAAATGTACGTATAAACCAGCTTATTGTATAATCTGAAAATTTTACAGGTTTGGGATGCTTCTAGTCTGGAAGAAGTACATGAGATGACAGACCTTCATCACTGGGTCCGAGCGCTGGCTTTGGACGCTAAAAGAGTTAGTTTTTTCTTATTTTTGTTGCATATAGAGCGTATTTTGACCGAGAGTCTTGAATACAGAACGGAAGTAATCACGACAGCCAATCAGAACAAAGAAAAATATTGCAAAAAGCCTATGAGAACTCAAAGTTAAAACAAGCAAATTACTTGAAGCAGGGGAAAACGCAGGTAGCCAAATCGTAATCCGTTTTGGTTTTGAATCTGATTGGTTAAGAAAGTGGGAAAGTCAGTGTGGACCAATCACATTATTACGTGATATTTCTTGGTCGGCGTGTTTTAAGAATTTTTTAGTTCGATCCGAGTAGTATATAAACTAAAGCATATTACTTTCTCAATTCTCATAACAACTTTGCTTGTCACTGTACTGGAAATGAGAGGAGACTTTTCATGCCGATCATTCCTTGGTTTCAAGTGTACTTCAATTTAAGTGAAAAGTTCAGTCTCAATTGTCAAGTTGATGTTTTCTGTTTATGTTTTCAGGAGAAGCTTTACAGTGGATCTCACAATGTAGTCCACATATGGGATGCCACAGGCTCGTTTGATCTCCGAGGAACCATCGATCACTCTCTGGGCTCTGTGTATTCGTTGGCTGTCACTAAGCACTTTATTCTTGTTGGTGAGTTTCCCACACTCGTTATGGTGGTATATAATCGTAATTTTAGTCTTAAGTTCGGACGTGGAAAATTACCTTCAACGTGAAAAAAAGCAAGAAAATATTAATTTGGCAATATAAAAAAAACAAAGAATGGAAAGAAGGATTAAAATAGGGATGAGAATTGCAAACGAAAAGATGTCTAATTATACAGTTATAAAGGAATCTGTAACTTTTGGGGGAAAGGAAATGAACCCAGCTCTCCTTTTTTTCTCTCTTCTAGTCCCAGGCTGGTAATTTACTGATCAAACTTTGTTCATGTTAAAGGTCGATAATGCATAAAATGTTTTTATTATGGAAGACATTACTCCCAGTCAATAATTGCCATTAAAAGCGTATCTTCTCTGCATAAACACTACTATAGTTCCTAGAGGAACCACCGTCCCTTTCACTCTCTCTCTCTTAGGTACGTACAACCAGAACATTCACGTTTATGATGTAAACACCTACCAGTCCATCAAGGCTCTTGTTGGTCATATTGGCACAGTCACGGGACTGGCGCCAGCAGTGACGGGAAAGCTGTTGTTCTCGGCCTCCTATGACACAACAGTACAGGTACAGTCACGTGGTATCATTTCGTTTGTTTAGCTATAAAGAGAATGATTCGCTCTATTCCTCACTCGTCAGACTTGGGCGCATGCTCCTAACTGGCAGGATCAGGAGCTGTCACATGCCCTCGTGAAAGGAACTCCCTTAATAACCAGTCTCAACCCACTCACTCCCAAGATCTGATTATTAATTCTCTCCATAGCTGCTACTCAATTACCTCTAAATTAGTTGTGAGAATGTGGTGTTGGAGGAAGATAACAACTTCTACCTGATATCTTTGAGTATTCTCATTTCCTGTTTGCTGGATAATGTATGATATTATAGGCAGAAATTACATGTTAATCAATACTTGGAACTAAGGCTAGGTTTAAAATATTCTCAGTTCAAGATTCCTGGAGTTTCGGGGTAATTTTTGTTTTCTATCAGGTGTGGAATCTGGATACTATGTTACCAATGCAAACACTCTCAAGACACGAAGGGAGCGTCAACTGTGTTGTTATTCATAAAGATATGCTTCTGTCAGGCTCAGAGGATATGGAGATAAAGGTATGTTCATTAGTACTATTATTTTGAGACTCCGTTTGAGAAGGGGCTCTTCTATCAGTTACAGGTGATATAGAGTTTGCATACATCACAGTTGAGATGTGACTCAAGAAACATTTTATAAGCTGTTCGCATCACTGCTCTGCCTGTATGCAACGCTGATCTATCGCGGGCTACTTCCCAGCATTTCGTTAGATCCCTTCGTCAGGTCGCTGGTGACCTCTTACTACAGGCTGGAGAAATGTGCTATCATAGTTTGGTGTATTGCGAAGATACATGTAAACAACCGCAGTAACCACCCCAAACACTCAAGCCACAGTTCAGTCCCTTTCCAGTAATTCGCAACTGTTTTAATTTTTCTTTCTCAAGGTGTTCAAGTACTTCAAAGCGGAATAAACTCTCGACTCGTCTTCATTGTAGTCACCATCATCAGCAACAACAACTGAAACAAACGTAACCCTTCACTGCCAAGATCTCATTAATAATTTTCCTTACTGTCTGTCGCACAATTCTTGTGCTGTTAGTTCGGGGAATTTGATATTAGCTCAACTAATAATCCCCCAATTGAAATTCTTCTCACCTGTCTACCTGATATTGTATCGACATTGCAAGGAGAAATTATGCCTTGGTCAGTCATGGGAGTCATAGCGTTCATATAACTTGACAATATTATTTTCATAATTTATTGTTGTAACAGTAAGACACAACGTCGCTTTAAACGCGAAATGAATTATTACAGTCCCGTTAGTGCTTGGAAAATCGAAGATGAGACCAAAGACGGGAGCTTCCGTCAACACCGTTCACAATCTTTTGTTTTTGCGTTCAAACATTCTTGAAAAAATCAACGGGAAAGTTTCCTGGCCAGTCATTTTAGATGGATTTTGATAAAATCGTTAGGACCAAAACATTTAAAAAAGAAGTATGTCGGGTTCTTTAACCAGTATCTTCCAACAACAAAGGTTTTAATTTTAATTCAGGCCTGTTTTAACAAAGAGATTTCGGTGACTATCAGAAAAGATGATGAAAACTGTTCACCGAAAGTTACTCGATGCGTTTTATATGAATAGCATCTTTTATGTTATTTTTTTAATAAATCTGAATTTTGTGTGAGTTATTTGTATTGCGTGTCTTGATTTATCTTTTTAGCTCAAAGGACGGCCCAAAATAACGTTAAAGGTTACGGAAAAGATTCAAATGACCGTCTTGAATAATCTTTCCTCGCTCGCCTCATCTGTTTATCCCAGACTTCGCGCGGACATTGAGACAATAAGGGGCACTCAGGACTAGGCATAAAGTAATCAAAATCAAACTATGGGAACCTGAAGAGTAACCATGAAAACCGTAACTTGGAAACACAAAGGGCGTCTTTGCATGGGTTTAACATTCACGTGATGTCGAGGTAGCATTTCATATCTCGAGTGTTTGGGTCTCCTTGTTGTAACAAAGTGCGTTTGGAATGAGAGTAAAATCTTGTAGAAAAACTCATCAAATTCCAAGACCATTGCAAAGAAGCTTAAAATTTGATCCAGTTTGAGAAACGCAAAGTCAACTAAACAATGACAACACAAGCAGCTAATTGACTTCTTTTGATATCGATCTTTTCGACATTAAGAGCTCTTTCTGTGACATCAAAAAACATGCCTTCAAACAATTGAAGTTCTGTGCGTAGAGCCGTACTACTTTGAAATGCTTGTAACTCACTGAGACCCTAATAATAAACTCTGCTTGAAACTGTCGTTAATTTACGGAAAACTGCGTAGGTTTAAATTCTGATGTATGGCTCGACAGCGGATGTGGCATTTCTTTTATTCGTTTTCCAAACGGGTGAGAAAAAACAAACGAAACTTGGATCAGTGCTAATTGTAAGAGATAAATATTCATTTTAGGAGTCCCTTTGTTCTTTTGCCTTGCCTTGACACATTCCGTAATACAACTGAGGGTTTTCCTGTCATGGGAAAGACGGAAACAGTCCTTAATACTGTTCGCTTCCAATTGTCAGTTAACCTATTAGCTTCGTGCTAAGTGTTATATTTATACTTTTCAGAACGGCCTGTTTACAGATGCTCACTTAATTAGTTTGCCCTGTCTATTGAGTGAAGGCAGTTCGTATTCAAGTGATTGTTTCCTCAAAAAGAGTGTTAATCCATTTTCCTTTAATGTAGGAAAAGCGAGTAAAGGCCTCTGTGCGTTCATCTCTAAAAACCGACTACTGGTTCATGGTTGCATAGTTGGTAAGATTTGATGATTCTGCTGACAACATTTCCAAAGAAATTTCGGCAGGAATCGTCCGACGCTAAGCTTTCAGATCGTTGTGTCTATTAAATAAAGCCAAACGTGATGTGTAAACGAACTTTGAATAGAAGGCAGTAGAATAAGCACCCCCTCGAGAGGTCGCTCTGTTGGCACTATTACTTCAGTTAATTAAAATAGTGCTTAGTTTGTACAACGATTTAAAAGACAAATACTAGAGCACGCTAAATATGCGGGACTTTTGAATTCGTCGATTACGTTTCACTTGGGAATACACCCATCCAAACATGCTTAATAGCGACACCTTTTGTTGACGTGGCAACCAGGAGTTTATGAATCGTAACCGGTCCCTGAGCTCTTTCAGTTTGAATCTGTGAGCCGTATAGAGCACTCTAACATCTAAGACATTACTTAAGAGAGGTAATCGAGACTAAAACACTTTCAAAATGCGTGAAATTGTTCATATGCAAGCGGGCCAGTGTGGAAATCAAATTGGCGCCAAAGTAAGTACTGAGACTCGCCTTTTGAAAAAATTTTGTAGATCTAAGGCTTTGTAGTCACTCAATCAATGCAGTTTCTGATAAGGTCTGGCTCTATTTCAGTTCTGGGAGGTCATCTCGGATGAGCACGGCATCGATCCAACCGGAACCTACCACGGAGATTCCGACCTCCAGTTGGAGAGAATTAATGTTTATTACAACGAAGCTACAGGTAGGGAATGCTAAATTTACTTTGAATTCTTTTGTTTAATTTGCCCGCTACATCGTGTTCACGATAGCTGATTTCTATCTGTCTTCTCTTTCTAGGTGGAAAATATGTCCCGCGCGCTGTTTTAGTCGATTTAGAACCAGGTACTATGGATTCTGTGAGATCTGGTCCATTTGGGCAAATATTTAGACCAGACAACTTTGTCTTTGGTAAGTTCCGTTTTAAGTAATGTAACAAGCTTAGTATAACAACTTCTCGGGGCCAGTCTCAGAAATCGTATGCATGACACTCATTGGAGAGTGAAAAATATCAACCTGAGGTCGAATTTCAATTTCATGCAACACAATGATACACCAAACCCTTTTCTAGTTTAGCAAAGTTCATACTTGAGAGACTTAAACTGAAAAAAATTAATCTTTTTTTAGGCCAATCTGGAGCAGGGAATAACTGGGCAAAAGGACATTACACCGAAGGAGCGGAATTAGTTGATTCAGTTCTGGACGTTGTTCGCAAAGAGGCCGAGGGTTGCGATTGCGTTCAAGGCTTCCAGCTTACACACTCTTTGGGCGGCGGAACGGGCTCGGGTATGGGAACCCTTCTTATCTCGAAGATTAGAGAAGAATATCCTGACAGAATCATGAATACATTCAGCGTCGTACCATCACCAAAAGTATCAGACACCGTTGTGGAGCCTTACAACGCCACACTGTCCGTCCATCAGTTGGTTGAGAACACCGATGAAACATACTGCATCGACAATGAAGCACTCTACGATATCTGCTTCAGAACTCTGAAGCTTACCACACCAACCTATGGCGACTTAAATCACCTTGTATCAGCTACCATGAGCGGTGTAACAACTTGCCTTCGATTCCCTGGCCAGGTAAATGTTAATTCATCCTCTCTAAAAATGATGAAAAAGGCTTGAAAATACTTTAATTTTGGATTACAAGCTATAACTTTAACGTCACAATTATACTATGATACAAAAATTGGCGCCAAGAACAATTTTCAAGCATTTAGCGGTGGTTGTTTGCTTTTGTAAATCATCTGCGTCGCTTTTTGTTGTTTCGCAACAAGACTGTAAAGGATGTGCTAATGAGTAATGAGGCAAAAACTAAACGTAAATTTCTTACATTTCATCACATCATTTTCAAAAAGTTGCTCGAGCGTAGTGTTACGTCACCATGGAAACCATATTTGATAAGTGACATACCAAGCTGAGATGATGATTTGAATGTTTCGAGAACAAAACAAACTCAACTGCTTACAGGTAATACCAGTGCAAATAAAGCACTGGTAAACTACATTTTAATTACCTGTTGTCGTAAAATATTTGCTTAAGTTTTAAAACATTTCATGAGCGTCTCGGCAGGTTTCCTGTGGGTAAAATTAGTCTCGTACCCAGACCTTACACGGCCAAGCGGTTGTAAGTACATTTCAGTTACATTTACACAGTAGGACTGAGTACGAGATTAAGGTGAAATAGCACAGTTTTCCATTATCCTTTAACACTTTTGATTTCTAAGGCTGATTAGCATCTAATTTCTCCCTACAATAACTCCCAGAGCCCTTAAACATAAAGGTCATGAAAATAAGGGATATGGTCACTGACTAGAGAAGTAAAGTCTCCTTGTTACAGCATCTTCGGAAATGTTTAGTGAACAGTATGGAGAATATGCATACTGATTTATAAAGGATTAAGTGTTAGACTTGGGCGAATCCGAGTTCGAAGACTCTATAATCATTAACTTGAACATAAATTCAATTTTTTTCGTTATCTTTTCCCAGTTGAATGCTGATCTCAGAAAATTGGCTGTGAACATGGTTCCTTTCCCTCGTCTTCACTTCTTCATGCCTGGATTTGCTCCACTCACCAGCAGAGGATCCCAGCAGTACCGTGCACTCACAGTACCAGAACTTACCCAGCAGATGTTTGATTCTAAAAACATGATGGCTGCCTGTGATCCAAGGCACGGACGATACCTGACGGTTGCGGCCATGTTCCGTGGCCGTATGTCCATGAAGGAAGTTGATGAACAGATGTTGAACGTGCAGAACAAGAACAGCTCCTACTTTGTGGAATGGATCCCCAACAACGTGAAGACCGCTGTCTGTGATATCCCTCCCCGTGGACTGAAAATGTCCTCTACCTTCATCGGCAACAGCACAGCCATCCAGGAACTGTTCAAACGCATTAGCGAACAGTTTACTGCTATGTTCAGGCGCAAAGCTTTCTTGCATTGGTACACTGGAGAGGGTATGGATGAGATGGAGTTCACTGAGGTAGGCACATCTCTTTTTCAAGATAATTTGGTTTTATTAACCGAATTGATGATGTAAATTAGCCACCGAGAAGAATTTCTTTAGCTAACTGTGCGAGCATTACTTTACCTTACGTCATTTGCATGCCCTGACTAAGGATCAACGCTCGAGACGTCAGCTTAAGAAACTCTTTACGATGGCCAGTTTATATCATCAACTTGTTTGATAAAATAAAATTATCTTTAAATTAATAACTCTCACTGACACAAACCAACATTTTGTCTTGTAGCTCACCTCCTTTATTTATTTGTCTTTTTTCCCTCTGATTCAACTTGAAAAGCCACTTTATAAGATTTAAAGTCAATTTCTGCTCAAGTAATATTTCCTTGCTTGTGAGGAAAAAAAAGCAAAGTATACTTTGACGATTAGGTAAGAAAAGGACGAGGTTGGTTAAAAACTAAATAGATCAATGTAGATTAGGTACTAAAAATTCTAGTCTGACATTAAAGAAATGCGCGAACTATGACCCATAGCATCCTGATCTTTTGGAGGAGTTTGTAAGCATGAGCTTCAGCGTATGAAAAGTTATGTCACTTTCGTAGACTGACACTGAAGTCTATATATTTTTTCTCTAGGCCGAATCCAACATGAACGATCTTGTGTCTGAATATCAGCAATACCAAGATGCCACAGCAGAAGACGAAGGAGAGTTTGACGAGGAAGAAGAGGAAGGAGAGGGCGAAGCTGCATAAATCAGAGAATCGCTTGTTAAACACAGTCGTAATATTTTAATTCATCGACAGGAAGAAACTATTATATATCAGTCCTTTATAATGAGTCTGTTGTATCGGAACTCTCCCTATAGAAATGTGTACATACAATCATATATCGTACTATCGGGGAGAACTTTATTTTAGATTGAAGACAACTTTCTTTTTGTTGTCATTTGCGTCTTTCTCTCTTGACATAGCCCTCCTAAACTCCTCTCACATAAAGCATAGGAGATTCGCAAAGTGTGAAGGGAATCTACAGCGGAATTTTCCCTGCAAAATCTTATTGATCAGTTGATTTCTTGGCATTCATACCGCGATAACCCGCTACAAAATCTTATTATATGATAAATAGGCCACAAAATCTTGCAACTAATGACGTGGTATATTTTTCATCGGCATTTGTCATTTTGTACTCACACTCTGTTAATAAAATAAAGATCAGCCGAAGTGTTGATTGTAGGTGTTTATGTCAAGTACAGCGTTGAACACAGACTTATGGGCGGTACCCACATAAAAACAAATTTTCCTGGAGATTTTCTCTTTTATCTAAATGAAATGGTCTCAATAAATGCCGGTTGCAAGCAATCTACCGTCGCCTTAGCTTCGTTCCTAGAACTTTCACCGCCAAGCGGTTATATTGGCGACAGTAATCTCGTACCCAGATCCTACCGAGTACCTGTAACTGAAATGTTATTGTTAAAGGAAAGAATTGGCATCCAGCAAGAATTTTCTGTATATGTGTTTTAACTTTTTTAAGCATTGGAAAATTAATAGAAATAATATATTACCTTAAGCCATTCAGTAAAAATTATAATAAGCCAGTTGATCATTTCTCATTCCTTTTGGCGGTCTTATCTTACAGGTAGAATTTTGGTCACCTTTTTCTTATTGTGGTCGTGAATTTGACATGGAGACAGATGTTTTTACGTAAACTACAATTTTCGGCTAAATATTGGTACATTGCCATTATGTTGCAAAAAGGTGTTTAATTACGAAGGAAAATGACTTCAGTAAGCGTCACCTTTATAAGCGGTGACACACACTTTCCCTGAGAGATCTGAGCTAGTAGCCGCAGAAAGGTATGAAAAAAAAAACCCTACAGGAAGGGTAACTCTCGTGCGTAGACAACCATGGCGTACGTGGTCTAAAACAAAGATGAGAAATTTATAGGACTTGGACATTCGTGCCTTGCATGGACAAGACCACAGGCACTCTAAATTCTCGCGCGCGGAGAGACTTTCCGCACGCAGCGAAGAAGAACGAAATGTTATCGTGTGTGGACAGTCATCTCCGCACTTGGACTACACCTATGGACAGAGACAAAACACCGTGCGTGGAAAAGACCAGAAGAACGAAATGTTACCGAACGTGGACAAGAATCTTTGGCTAGTAGAGAACCTATGGACATCGACCAGCACCGTACACGCAAACGACGTCAGGACAATATGTAACTGAATGAACTAGACGTACCTTGCTTTATTTTACTCATTCATTTATTTCTTACTGTCCTACACCAGCCTGGTAGATGTTATTTCTAACACTCGTTCTATTGACTATTTCTTTATTCTCTCCTTTACTACACAAGTCACTATAACGGGTACTAACTCAGATCTCTCAGGGAAAGTGTGTGTGTCAAATTGTAGTTTACGTAAAAACATCTGTCTCCATGTCAAATTCACGACCACGATTTGAAAAGGGTGACTGAAATTCTACCTGTAAGATAAGACCGCCAAAAGGAATAAGAAATGATCAACTGGCTTATTATAATTTTTACTGAATGGCTTATTGTAATATATTTTTTCCATTAATTCTCCAACACTTAGATAAGTTAAAACACATGTGCCGAAAATTCTTGCTAGATGCCAATTTTCTCCTTTAACAATAACATTTCAGTTACAGTTACTCAGTAGGACCTGGGTACGAGATTACTGCCGCCAATAGGGTCCTATAAGACATCTTTAGCCGTCTGCTTAGCCTCCAGGCAGGCTCTCGGCCCCTTTTCGGGCACAGCCATTATCACACTACCGACAGCCGCTGGTGGAAGGAGTTCTCGAACCTCCGCTGAATATAGGGTTTTGAAACAAAAGTGTGATTGGAAAAATTATTGTTCTAGATTTGAAGAAAAGAAATAGAAATTATTGGACCAGTTGTAGCCGTGTAAGTTGAAGAATTCATATTGGATGATAAGTCTGATACAATGACAGCCTATTGTTCCAATGAGGGTGCGCGAAAACGGAAAGTACTATCAGTGCATTCTGTTGTATATCACGCTACATTACAAATTAAACAAACACAATCCGGAACTGAAAATCGTGTCACTCTCTACCTCTGTTAGTTGTGGCAGCTGCAACTTTTTTTGCATCAAATTTTCATGGAATAGTTTTCTAACTTTTTGATTGTCAATGACATCGGTGCGTGAGAATGGAAGGGACTACAGCCCCTTCTCTCCCCTTCCCTCCCCTCCCCCCATTCACAATCTTCCTTCCGCGCGGTCTGAGTCACGTCGGCTTGTCTCTTGCCATCTGAAATACAGATACAGTTGTGTTGTAGTTTTTTTTGCTACCGATATCCTCCAAAGATCACGAACCTTTTCGGTAGTTTTCAAGATTCATCAGGGGTGGATCAATGGTTCGACACGGGTCTTGAAATGAGAACTTAAAGTTATAGATAAATTATAACAAATAGAAAGAGCACTTATATGAAAAAGATTTTATTTATTTGTTAAACTAGTGTGATCGAAAAGGAAATATTACGTTACTCATAAACGCCAAATACTACAGTTGTCATGAACGCCAAATATGGCGCCTCATGCCTTAAATGCAAAAATAAGGCAAACCAAAGCAATCTTTATTAGTTAAACAGTCACTGACCGGCTGTCACGAGAGGCAAATTGTTCGCGCGACCGTTCACGTGACCATCTAAACAGTCCCATGATTCGAGAGAATCCTCAAACTCTTCTAAGTCCGTAATTTCTAAGTTATCAAGACTTGTATCGACTTTAAGATCCTGACATTGTTGATACGTAGAAATTACGTCCAACATACAAGACTCCGCCTGCAAAGAGAAAAAGCGACATTGAAGAAATTGAAAATTAAGTCCGTCCATTCTTCAAAATCTTAATCATGCATCAAAAACATGAAGCAGTTTCGAGTATCTCTTGCTCATACAAATCAGCTGAACGCAATAATCAATATGTCACCACACCTTCCACTGGTTAAGCTCTTCCTAGGGAAAGGGAAAAGTCCATGTGACCGTCCTTGAGGGGACAAAAGTTGCGCTTTGTTTAAAGTGCAAAATTTATCCAGACCTCTAAATTACAGTAGAGCGTCTCTTCGGGACTCATAAAAGTGTTCCCTAAACGTGGAGTATCTCCTTAATTAGGTAACAGATGAAACGAAAACTCCAATCAGGACACACTCAGGATTAGAAAAAGTTCCCTCTTTATAGAATGTCCCTTCGATGACGGTGATAGTAAAATGGAACCTTCATTCGTGACACACCCAAAGCCAGAAGAAATGTGTCCCTAAATAGAGATGTTCCGACCACAGAGAGTGTCCGTGCAATATTTTTCCCCCTCGGAACGGTAACTCAAAAATATTCCCAACACATCAGCGATAGCAATTTAATCAAGAAAAAATTTCTCACCTGTTTAAATTGCATCTCGTCCATTCCCTCCTCAGTGAACCAATGCAAAAATGCTCTCCTGCGATACATAACCTTAAACTGCAGATTGAGTCGTTTAAAAAGTTCTTGTATAGCTGTGTTATTCGCGATGAATGTGGCCGACATTTTCATTCCGTGTGGAGGAACATTGCAAACCGCAACTTTAGCATTATGCGGAATCCACTCCACAAAATGTCCGCAGTTCTTGTCCTGAACGCTTTTCATTTGGTCTTCAACTTCCTTCATTGATAACTTTTTGCCGCGAAACATAGCGGCATAGGTAAGGTATCTACCATTTCTAGGATCACATGCAATCATGATGTTCTTAGCGTCAAAAATTTGCTGTGTCAGTTCACTAACTGTCAGATTGCGGAAAATCTGTGACTGCCTGCTGGTCAGCGGTGCGAAGCCAGGCATAAAGAAATGAAGGCGTGGATAAGGAATCATGTTCACGGCCAATTTGCGCATGTCCGCGTTCAACTGGAAAAACAAGTCGAGTTAGGCTTATTCTACAACCTGAATTCAAAGGGAGACGCACTGTGAGGATTAAAATTTCTTTTGTATTACGTCATTGCGTCAGTTTTGCTCCACTCTACCAATTAATTGATCAATAACATTCAAGTCACTTTCTCAATCAATCAGAACGAAATTAAAACCATCTGTGACCAGACAACTCACGCTCTAGGGGCGGTAGGAGGTTTATGTAAGTTCTCATTGGTTCCGCGTGATTTACACAGTACGATAATTTGGTTTGGTTTTACTTCACTCTACCGCAAGGCACTCCTTGATCAAAGTAATTACAAAGATCGATCAGAACTAGGGTGAACTTCACATGGTGAAGCTGGTGAGAATCCAAAGCAAATATATGTGAACGAGCAAGGTAACAATCCAGTAATGGGTAGCCATTATTTTAATATGGTGTGACTGACTGGCTGAGAAAGTGGCGCCAGTATTCTTTACCAATCACAGAACGTAGTAGAAAAAAAAAACTAGCAATTCAATCCCGGATTACTTTTGACGCTTAAGGGAACCTAACTTTCTCTATTTGAAGACCTCTTTACACCTTGAACTCACCTGTCCAGGAAAACGAAGACAGGTGGTAACCCCACTCATGGTCGTCGATATGATATGATTCAGATCCGAGTACGTTGTGGTGCCAAGTTTAAGCGTCCTAAAACAAATATCGTACAGTGCTTCATTATCAAACGAGAACACTTCATCAGTGGTCTCAATCAGCTGGTGAACAGCTAGAGTGGCATTATAAGGTTCAATAACAATCTCAGAAACTTTCGGCGAAGGAAAAACACTGATGGCGCTCAGAATGCGATCTGGATATTCCTCTTGTAGATGGTAAAGTATCAGAGTACCGAGCCCAGATCCCGTGCCGCCGCCCAGGGAATGGGCAATTTGGAAGCCCTGGATCGAGTCACATCCCTCGGCTTCTTTTCGCACCGCGTCCAAGACCTCTTCCAAGAGATTGCATCCATTTGTGTAAAAACCTTTCGCCCAGTTATTTCCTGCTCCACATTCCCCTGTGTTAAAAAAAATTAACTTTAGGTTTCTGTATACTCTGTCTACTCTGGGGATAAACGGTGTGTGGGGCACTTCACTATACGAACTACTTACATTAATCCTTTAACTCCCAAGATCTCATTAGTAATTCTCCTTACTGTCTACCACACAGTTCTTGTGATGTTAGTTTGGAGAATTCGGTATTGCATCAACTTATAATCCCCTAATTGATATTTTTATTTATTCTCATCTCTTATCTGGTTGATATTGTATCGATGTTGTACGGAGAAATTCTGTATTGGTCACTCATAGGAGTTAAACGGTTAAGGGATCGGTCATTATTTATCGCCGGGGGGGGGGGAGAGGGAGAGAATCGGAGGATTTTGATTGTGTCACGATAAAATTTTCCTGATCCCCTCATAAGGCTCTGTGATATTTTATGACCCCCCCTTCTTGTTGGCAGTTAAGTCTGTTGGCGACGACTGATCCCTCCCTATTTCCCCCCTGAAAACCATGTGACCCCCCCCCCACACCAAAATCATCCTCCCCTGAGGTGACAAATGATAAAGATGGGTCCTTAAGCGCCATTGTCACTTGAATCTGATTTCCCAGCCGAATAGAAATAGCTTTTATTTTTAAGAGAATCGCAAAGGAAAAACCGGTCGTCGTAAAGAAGATAAACTTGGAAAGAGGAATCAGGAACCCAAAGGATTATTACACAAGACTTAAGCTTTCCGCACTTCTAAAAAAAAAAACAACAACAAAACTAAAAAAAAAAAAACAAAACAGGACGGTGGATTATGTAGAATTGAATAGTGGCTCCAGTAAGTCGAGAGGTGTGTTCTGACATTGTTACTCATCTCATTTGAGATACGATTAATTTTGATGTCATTTTTGTAACGAGCGTGGGAAAAAAGGAAAACAGAAAATTCTGAGCCCCCCTACGAGGAATCGAGCCGTAGACCTTGGGATTTCACGGCCCGACGCTCTACCACTGAGCTACAGTGAACATAGTTTGACGGGGTATTCCCACTTTCACCACGCTTTCATGAAAAATGTCCTGCCTACTGTTAGGACAGTAATAACGAAAGGAAGCACAGAAATAATCAACTGGGCCCGTTTAACAGTGTCACAATTGTAACGCGAAATGGCTTGGAATATATTTGTGAAAAAAGGCGTTATGTTATACAATCTAAATATATCTTCTCTAACAGAGCTTTGAAACTGGAAATCGTACAAACAGCACAATGAAAGAGGTCGTAATACTCAAACCACGGGTCAAATGGAGACCATAATTAGTTTTAAAGATAAGGATGACTGAATTCTTCCTTGGTTCGCAAGGCATTGAACGAGAGGCATGCATGATTTGTTAACACGAGTGTAAAATTTTATTCTGCCGATTGGCTAGTGCCTGTTGTTTCTATATCCAAAAACTGGTTTGGCAAGATAAGCTGCCAAAAGCAGAAGACAACTGTTTTAGCCTCTAAGGTTTATGCCGACATCGTTCAATAAATCTGGATCAGCTGGGTCAATTAGCATTTTCTTTTTCTTTGTTAATAAGTTATTAAACAACAGTTTATTGATGGGGCAAGACTCCGGGGTATTTAATATCTGTGTTCAATTGGCCGTATGCGTCTAAGCCACAGCTGATTTGTGTTGAAATTTGGCAAGTACTAAATTTCTCAAAGCAGTTGATCCTATAGAGAAAAAGAAATATTGATACGAAGCTTTTAAAATCGGACGTTTTCTAAAGGATGACCAAGGTTATTAAATATTCTTTCAAAAAGTCTGTACAACAAAAGGTGTCGTGAAGTCTAATAAATTTCCCTACATACTAGCATGTTCTTCGCGAGCTCGTGATGTCATGTCGTGCGTTGCAAAACAAAATGCAAATTGCGTCTTTTCTGAAAAAGCTAGTGGTGCGGATGAGAAACAAATTAGCGTACTCCTCTGAAGATTTTGACAGGTGAACAAAGACAAGTTCTGTAAGAAAACCGCTAATTTGAAGCGATTATTAAACGCTTTTTGTTTATGTAGTTTTTTCAAGAAAATTGAGTGAGGAGGAAATGTCAAATGTGCCTATTTGCGAAAAAAAATTTGGCTGTAGGCGTTTTAGGAATAGTAACGATAGCAAAATAACAATGCCGGTTAGGAAGCAATAATTAAACGAGACTAACATGATCGTTGCATTCTCACTTCGGAAAGAAATGTATGTATAATATTGAATAAAATGAAGTTTACTGTGAAAAATAACCAAATTTCTCAAAATAAACTAAATTATATTTGTTTTATCATAATACGCTGAGTTTTCGTTCGATAATTCTGAATGAGTTTCTTGCGTCAGCTGGGTCACGCACAGAAAGGCATGAAATACAGAAAGGTTAGCTGCAATTCAACGCACAAAACAGCTGAAGATAGTGGAAAGTTATAAATACGTGATTTAATTTTGATCTTATTCCTTCAAGTAGTCGATGAAGTCTCAAATTTTAATAACGCAAGAATAAGAGGGGCAATATTGATTCAAAAATGTTTTATCTCTTCGATGAAGTTCCCGTTAATTACACAATCTACTCACATATTGTAAAAGTGAAAACCAAACTTACCGAAAACAAAGTTATCGGGTCGGAAAACTTTTCCAAACGGCGCAGAGCGAAGCGAGTCCATCGTACCTGACTCCAAGTCGACAAGAACAGACCGTGGTACATATCTACTTTCTACCCGGAAAAAATGAAAGACTCAAAATTAAATACAGCACTATTCAGACTTTTACAGCATGCATCACAGTACGAATTCGACTTGACCACGATAAGGGAACTTAATATGAAGTTTTTGATAGCAGAATTACCATTCACTACTCACCAGCACCCTCAGCAAAATAAACATCAATTTTCTCCAACTGGGAATTACAGTTCCCTATGTAGCGTCCTTCTTCGTCTATTCCATGTTCAGAGCAAATGATTTCCCAAAGCTGCGACAAGAGCGGACATTTAGGATTACGAAGTGTAAAATTAAACCACAGACAAAAGAAATAAAGCCCCTTTAAATTTCGTAGCAACACGCAAATTAGTGCCAGAACATCAAACCACCTTGTAACCAATTTGGTTTCCACACTGACCGACTTGGACGTTGATAATTTCCCGCATTACATTGAGAAGCACGAGGCGTCTTTCCCTCGCATGAACCCACAGTTTGGGCTCATTTCGTTGTCGGAAATCAGCCTCTATCTAGCCCGTTCGACCGGACTATTGATAAATCTGCGTCTTGTGCGATAATATCAATAATTAATGTTTTCCTCTATCTGTTCTTTCAAAATCTGTGCGTGAACTAAAACAGGAACCAGAAACCGGTAGGTTTGTTGAATTTTGTCGAAACCCTCGTTTCCATGCCCTTGACACTTCCGGCTGGTTGTTTTCACCCGGGTCTCTTACACTACCTTATGTACACTTTGTTTTCCTGCTCCCTCTTTCAATCAAAGTCAAACCAACTCAAATATTTAAGAAGAATGTGATAAAAGAAGAGAAAAAAATACTCTCCGCGAGAAGTTCTCTCATCCTTTGTCAAAAGCTCGAATGGAAATTCTGGTTCTAACTAGGAGAATTCAGCAACTCGGGTGCATCCTTACTTAAACCAGCGGGTGATATTATATTTTTGCGGGCAACTTCGCTGACGTATGAAATTATATTGCAGTCAGTCGCGAATCGAGTCAAATCTTGGCATTCCTCCGTTCATTCCGTGTATTGGCTCGACTCTCATTCTGTCGATGTTATTGTAAAACGTTTTTGACTTCCTTGCTTTAGTGACTCGTAATTGATTGCGAGCTTACTCTCCTAAATTTCAGGCGCAAGTCAAGACCCGGCCCCTGTGTCCAGAAAATTGAGAGCGACTGATGTCCAAACTACCGCGCGCTGCTATTGGAGAAAGGATGGGCAGTTCTTTTTTTTTTTTTTTTTTTTGCTCAGTTTATTCTTTCCTCAGCTCAGTCTTCTTCTTTTTGTCAAATATTAAAATTTTTATCAGAGAAAATGTGAGAAAAAAAGGGTCTCGTTAACTCTTCAGAGGATGAATAGCCATCCCTGAAAACATACGAACGCAGAAATGCAAACGTTTGGAACTATGCAAGATATCTTCAGCTCCTCTCTGTTCAACTGGAGTCATCCACATCATTCCTCGCGACAGATTAAAAAGTGACTCTTTTTCTGGAATATTTTCCTATACTTTCAGGTTTTCAGGCATTTATCCATAAAAAGAAGCCCAATATCTAGGCTTTTGACATAATCATGAAAATTCTAATATCGCACGAAAACGTATGTTTTCTTTAGTGCTATTGCCACTACTAAGTTTTAACAAATACAGATTCTCTAAGAGTTTCACATGTTACAATAACGGCAATATCTGGCAAATCACGCTATACTCAAATATACAAAAATTTAATTTTCCACAGCCATTAAGGTCCTACCGAAACATCTCGTTTATTCTTTTACGGAAGAGCTGCTCTTAACTTTCCTGGCACATTTGTTTCCAATTCAAATATATTGGACTATATTTACTTTTGCCTCGATGAATCAATACCACAAAAACGCAATTCAAAAATACATCAAACTTTAATAACAGCCCTTTAAGCAATATTCTTTACAGTGAAAACGATCTCAAGAAATAAGAGGAGTTCTTATGCTGCCTCTCCCTCTTCTTCTTCCTCATCAAACTCCCCTTCCTCTTCTGCTGTGGCATCCTGGTACTGCTGATACTCCGACACAAGATCATTCATGTTCGATTCAGCCTAAAGAGAGTTGAAATGTTTGTGGCAATCAAATCCAATTCTCAGAACATGCATTTTAATCTCAGAGCATGCATCAAGTTGTTAAGCTATGATATTTGACTCCTGGATAGAAGGAAACTTTGACAAGTACATGAATGAAATAAGGATGATGACGCATTCTCAGATGATTATACTACACGCACATTGAACTAATTCAAAACGAGTGGCAACTGCTTCGAGAATTTTGGTCTCAAAACGGAGCTCAAACTTTTTTTTCCGTTAAGTCCTTCTTCTCTCTTGATATGATATTTTTCACCCAATTCAGGGCAAAAATGCACATTATTTACTTAAGCTCACTATATCGAATAGGCCCAAAACTAGAAGGTTGCAAACGGGTTTGAAAATCTAAACTATCCAGGAAATGAATACTACAAAAAACCATTGAATATCCCCTTATATAGCGAAATATTGTCATATCACCTCAGTGAACTCCATCTCATCCATACCCTCTCCAGTGTACCAATGCAAGAAAGCTTTACGCCTGAACATAGCGGTAAACTGCTCACTAATGCGTTTGAATAATTCTTGAATGGCTGTGCTGTTACCGACAAAGGTAGCAGACATTTTCAGACCGCGAGGAGGAATGTCGCAGACGGCTGTTTTGACATTGTTGGGAATCCATTCCACGAAGTAGGAGCTGTTCTTGTTCTGCACGTTCAACATCTGCTCATCAACTTCCTTCATGGACATACGGCCACGGAACATCGCTGCAACCGTCAAATAACGTCCATGCCTTGGATCACAGGCAGCCATCATGTTTTTAGCATCAAACATCTGCTGGGTAAGCTCTGGTACTGTGAGTGCACGGTACTGCTGGGATCCTCTGCTGGTGAGAGGAGCAAATCCAGGCATGAAGAAGTGAAGACGCGGGAAAGGAACCATGTTCACTGCTAATTTCCTAAGATCGGCATTCAGCTGGAAAATGTAAGAGAAAAATTCGTTGAAAACTGAAGGTCTTAAGCTGGTTCTGATTTTATAGATGGAGAATTTTACCTGGCCAGGAAATCGCAAGCAGGTTGTGACGCCGCTCATCGTAGCTGACACAAGATGGTTCAAATCTCCGTACGTTGGTGTGGTGAGCTTCAGAGTTCTGAAGCAGATATCGTACAGGGCCTCATTGTCGATGCAGTAGGTTTCATCCGTATTCTCTACCAATTGGTGAACTGACAACGTAGCATTGTAAGGCTCCACAACGGTGTCTGATACTTTTGGTGATGGTACGACGCTGAATGTGTTCATGATTCTGTCAGGATATTCTTCTCTGATCTTCGAAATAAGAAGGGTTCCCATGCCTGAGCCGGTGCCACCGCCCAGTGAGTGTGTGAGCTGAAAGCCTTGAAGGCAGTCACAACTCTCGGCTTCCTTACGAACAACATCGAGTACAGAGTCTACCAACTCAGCTCCTTCGGTATAATGGCCCTTTGCCCAGTTGTTTCCAGCTCCGCTTTGACCTGTTAAGAACAGAAAAAAAAATACAGCATTATTCTTAATTCATCGTTAGTAATAAAAGTTTGGTTATTACTTTGCTGCTAATGTTACTCAGTTGACTGAACTTTAGATGCTGACATATGCATCCAAGAACGGTACGTTTCCTAAAATAGCGACGTAATAACAGGAAAAAAAAGCTTTATTTTTCGTCTTAAAAACTTGCCTCAGTCACTCATATGGCTAGAGACTTTGTACCCTAAACAGGTTAGGGCGTGAGAAGAGAAGTTTTCGTATTGTTTACCCTTTGCAAATATTTCTATTACAGCATTCTTTGATATTATTATTCTTTCCCCCGTGCGCAGATTTAGATAAAGCCTGCTTCAATCTCTTGGCAAAATGTTTTGCAAAATGGCGCCCAAGTTTTAGTCTCAACATTAAAACTTTAAGTGTGTAAGTAAAATGCTGAGAATCTAGCATCAAAATTTTAAAGGCTTCACCTTTTGTTCTTGCAGATTTAAAAGCTAGATAAATACAATGTCATAATCGCAGTTGGTGGGTCAGAATTGGAAGGAATTTTATTTATAAACTAAATACCTGTTTGGCGACTCAGCGGGCTTAACAGGTCGCCATAAATTTTACATGAGATTGAATGAAGTTATTTCCTTAGAGACCACATTTTACTCACCGAAAACAAAATTGTCGGGTCGGAAAATCTGTCCGAATGGACCAGAACGGACTGAATCCATTGTACCAGGCTCCAAATCGACAAGAACCGCTCTGGGCACATATTTCCCTCCTGGAGTTTTGAAAACAAGCAAGTAGTACCAGACTCTGTGTTCAAATGATCAATCTTCAAGGTTCTTAGTGAATGAAAAGCGACAGTTTTCTGTTTTTTACCTGATTCTAAGTAAAAATTGGAAACAATACCTGTAGCTTCGTTGTAATAAACGTTGATCCTTTCCAACTGGAGGTCAGAATCTCCATGGTAGGTTCCTGTTGGATCGATGCCGTGCTCGTCCGAGATGACCTCCCAGAACTGAATTGAAAGAAAGGCGCAAAAAAGTGACGAGTGAGCGTCTTAAATAAACATGACCATGAATTTACCTCTCCTAACCTTTGCACCAATTTGGTTGCCACATTGGCCAGCTTGAAGATGTACAATTTCACGCATTTTTGGTTTCTCTCGCCTTCACGACACACACTTCAAAGAAAAACTGGTTGTCTTTTGATGTTGTAAAACGCGTCAGTGGTTTCTGACGTATTACATTACCATGGAGATTTGTAATGGCTGGCGAATAAACGAAAAGCGCGCGAAAACAGCGCGAGCCGCGTTAAACACGGCGCTAAAAATTAAAGTGAACTTGGAGGGGTTTTCCTGCTCAAATTTTTTCGCCCGATCAAACGTTCTCTTCATGTTAAGCCATTTTTCCTTCTTTACAAATTCCTACAGTTCTCGATTTAAGTATATTCCCAGCTACTTACAGCGTATGACCATGACTGTAATAACTTTAATTGCGCTGTATTGCGAGGATAGTAAACTCTCAAATCGTTTCTACACCGGGTTTGCTTTATTACAAGCCATGGCATATGGGGCGCCAAATCAGTCAATATTCCCTCTGTGTTTCTGTGACTCAGTTTACTTTCTATATGGTGAGTTCGACTTTTTATAAGGTCAACTTTTTTTTTATATGGTCAACTTTTTACTTTTTATACGGTCAACTTTTTTACTTTTTATATCGGTCAGTGTCAAGGGTAGACTGCAGATTTCAGACTGCAGACTGTAGACCGGGGGTAAAATGCTGACTCGGTTCAAAAACGACCCGCTTCCCCGGAAAAACTTTAAGAGTGAGCTGGGATCGAGGCCGCGTAAGTTGTAAGAGGCTGGGGATTGATGTTTCGAACTTCACGTCCTGGTTTTGGCGTTGACATATTGTTCTTGAGGTAAGAACAATTAGAAACGCAAGTGTTGGAATATGCAGTTCACAGTTAGCTAAACACATTTCCTCTTTTCATCATATAAGGAATAAACAGTTCTGCTGAGTAACATTAGGTTACTTTAACATACATGTAGCTCATGTATACTTTGTGCGGCCTTAAAAGTAGTAGCGATAGACTTTCATTGCACATGGGCAATTTCGATTACTTGGACGATAAAAACCTGTTTCTCGTACCTTTGTTTTGTGCTGCGAAGGTAGGCGTGATTTTGGAATGGTGCTTTGTATCAGAAGCTTCAAGACATTCAACGCTTCGCTCTTGCGCTTCACGATCAGGTCGATACCGCGGTCATAAAAGGTTGATTGTTTTAGAACAGACTCTGCATTTTACCCTCAGTCTGCGGTCTGCAGTCTAAATTTAACACTGACCGATATAAAAAGGAAAAAGTTGACCATATAAAATTTGAGTTGACCATCTATGAAGTAAAAAGTTGACCGTATAAAAAGTCGAATTGACCACAAAAAGTAAACTGGGACACAGAAATACAAAGAGAATATTGACTGGTTTGGCGCCCCTAGCACGCGATAAGGCTGTTTCAGGGCATGAAGATGTTTTTAAGATATTCTTGTATTTTGAAAAGGAATATTACACAGGATAAACCTAGAGTAGCCTCTTGCAACGAGTTTTGCTCCCTTTCTACCCTATTACCCCTAGGATTTTTATCAGGGTGGCAATGCACTTTTGGAATGGGCCACAGGAATCCTTCACAAGAACTTATGGGGCACTCCACCCATTGAGCGGCGTGAATGTCGTAGTGGAGCAATTTATTTTGCGCTTCAAAGTGTTACCGTGCCCTACATGATACCTTTCTTCCTCTATCTCGTATGACGCAGGTCGCAAACGCAAATATTCAGAAAATTTAGAGAAAGGACGAAGATAATTATGTTGCAGGAATTTGTTGTCTTTATTGACCAAAAACCGTTCACAATTTAAAATACGGAAAGACCAGTTTAAATTCGGTTACTACGGAATCAAATTTTCAGAGTGTTTCAAGGTTCTATCTACATTTTATGAAAAAAAAAAAAAAAAAGCTGAAAAGAGGTTTTCAAGTTTAGTTATTTGATAGAACAAAACCAGTGGTTCTACTGAAACAAGGTAAGCAGTTAGAACTTCCTGTTTACTTTCTAGATAAGAAAAAGTTCATGTGTTTCCTGCGAATTGTTACTTTATGTCTTCACACAGTTTATGCAGCATCTTCATCTCCAGCCTCTTCCTCCTCGTCAAACTCTCCTTCGTCTTCTGCTGTGGCATCCTGGTACTGTTGGTACTCAGAAACAAGATCGTTCATGTTGGATTCAGCCTGTAAAAGAATTACGCCTCATTAATTGAAGGGAACATTGGTTGTAATATGTTGAAGATCCACGCACAACAGTCGCTCAATTCATTCTCGATCAGCTTGAAAAACAAGATCTTTACCTCAGTGAACTCCATCTCATCCATACCCTCTCCAGTGTACCAATGCAGGAAAGCTTTACGCCTGAACATAGCGGTAAACTGTTCGCTAATTCGCTTGAACAGTTCCTGGATGGCTGTGCTGTTGCCGATGAAGGTAGAGGACATTTTCAGTCCACGGGGAGGGATATCACAGACAGCGGTCTTTACGTTGTTGGGGATCCATTCCACAAAGTAGGAGCTGTTCTTGTTCTGAACGTTCAACATCTGCTCATCAACTTCCTTCATGGACATACGGCCACGGAACATTGTTGCCACAGTTAGGTAACGTCCATGCCTTGGGTCACAAGCAGCCATCATGTTCTTGGCGTCAAACATCTGCTGGGTAAGCTCTGGTACTGTGAGTGCACGGTACTGCTGGGATCCTCTGCTGGTGAGAGGAGCAAATCCAGGCATGAAGAAGTGAAGACGCGGGAAAGGAACCATGTTCACTGCCAACTTCCTGAGATCAGCATTCAACTGTGAAATATAATAGGAGTAAAATTAGCTTTGAAACCTACGTTGCTTCAGTTCCTATCTCTTTCTGAAGCGAACAATTTAAGATAGGTAACTTTTAAATAAAACTTTCAAAAAGGAAAAAGGTGAGGGAAAAACTCACAATAAAAAGTAAGATTGTAATTTATTGCTAGAGCACTTGCTGGGATTGTGTGTTCGTGGTATGTTTATTTTTCTCGTTAATGCAAAGAGGTGGAAAAACACAGGCGTTGTACTATTCAATCAGTTCATAATTGAAAGAGTGAACAGTTTAATCCTATTACAGCTCTTGCTGATCTTATGCAGACTGCGTGTGGCATTTATTCAAGGATTTTTTAAACACCGATCGCAAACTGCTTGATAAAATCGAAACAACTGTCACCTCTTGCTGTGTTCCGTCCACAGCGCTACAACTTGCTTAAGGCATTGCTCACGCAACATGACCAGAATGTAAAAAAAAAAAAAGAACCCCACAAGAACAAAACGTTTAACCAGATTCTGTATGAATATGGTTTTAATTATCACTCGTAAGAATTTTGTTTGTGTTTGTTGACATGGAAAGATTTGCTCGACTGATTTTCGGTTCGCTTGGCGACGCTTTAGTTTACAGTATAGCGGCTTGTTGTTATGCTGTACAGATCTTTGAGAGCAAACGGCAAAATCAGCACTTTTTTTTGGAAGAAATAAGCTCGCCAGAAATTACAAACAGAACATAAATCGCTTTGAAAAAGGGAGGTTTCAATAATCTTCAGAGATATTTTAGACCTTACATGCGAATCTACAAAACGATTTCTGCTTTTCGTAACATGGCTTGGTTCGTGTCACAATAAATTTTTTCCAGGCGATTTAAACTTTCGATTTTATTTTTTGCCTCCTCACTGTTAAGCATCTTCCTAAACTTATTGTCATGAAAGGCTTGAAGATGGTATCCTTTCGTTGCCGTAATCAATAATTTAGAGCAATCTAGTCTTGTATTCTTAAAGGACGCGTTCCTGAATAGGCCCTTTCTTTCCCAATTCAACAAACCAATAAATTATTCTACCATAATTTTTCATAACCTTATTGCTGACGTTGAAAGAAAATGGACAGAATCTGTTGTTATCATCCCCTAGAATAAGAAATTTTACTAAAAAGTTTTTGAGGATGAAAGTATTAAAAGAGGTTTTCAGACAAGAAGAGCAGCTGCTTGTCGGAGACAAGTCGCCAAACTAAGCCGCTTATCATAATCATAGTTTGTTTGAGTAGTCAAAGCAGTAATCAAAGTTGTCTTTCCACGGCGTGGTTTAAAGCAGAGACTGCACACGTTTTGCTTACGCTCAGCTTGTAACTGCACTTTAATCTTAATTGATTTTTTTTTCTCGAAAAAACGAGGGGACAAAGGTAATGGCAATTTGGAACGCATGACAATCACTGCCGTTTACGACCCTTCCACGAATGACAAAATTAATGCGTAGCTGTTCCTTGAAGAGTCTTTCTTGAGCCCGATGATATCAGTCCCAAACGTTAAATATCGCTAAATAAGCGCGTTTTTCCCAATAAATCTAGCTTTCCTAAAACTAGAAACATTTTCTGATAGTGTGCGCGCGATTTATAGTTTCGACTGATAATCGATAACCACTGGCTGCGCGCCCATTTCTTAACCGTTAAGAATACTGCTTTCTTCGTTAAAATTTCGTCAGTGATCGATTTTGGAGAATAAATCGACATTTACCTGGCCAGGGAATCGAAGGCAAGTTGTTACACCGCTCATGGTAGCTGATACAAGGTGGTTCAAGTCACCATAGGTTGGTGTGGTAAGCTTCAGAGTTCTGAAGCAGATATCGTAGAGTGCTTCATTGTCGATGCAGTATGTTTCATCGGTGTTCTCAACCAACTGATGGACGGACAGTGTGGCGTTGTAAGGCTCCACAACGGTGTCTGATACTTTCGGTGATGGCACGACGCTGAATGTGTTCATGATTCTGTCTGGATATTCTTCTCTGATCTTCGAAATAAGAAGAGTTCCCATACCCGAGCCGGTTCCGCCGCCAAGCGAGTGTGTGAGTTGAAAACCTTGCAGACAGTCACAGCCTTCTGCTTCTTTGCGAACCACATCGAGTACAGAGTCTACCAATTCGGCTCCTTCGGTGTAGTGTCCTTTAGCCCAGTTATTTCCAGCTCCGCTTTGACCTACGATGAAACGTGGCGATGTGTCAATTCGTTATACAGATATTAGGGTGTAGCTGTCGAACGAGTCTTACGATTAATTATTTTTAACTGTGAAATCGAAACTTGAACTTACCGAAGACGAAGTTGTCTGGCCTGAAGATTTGTCCAAAGGGACCTGAACGGACGGAATCCATCGTACCAGGTTCCAAATCGACAAGACAGGCTCTGGGAACATACTTTCCACCTAAAATATTTGATGAGTCGACAACAATGGTTAGCAAGGCCGAACGTTAAAATATAGAGCCAAAGCGGCCACAAAATGGTTTGAAAAGAGGATCTAGATGATCGAACATCACAATTTGACAGTTACCTGTAGCTTCATTATAATAAACGTTGATCCTTTCCAACTGGAGGTCGGAATCACCGTGGTAAGTGCCAGTTGGATCAATGCCGTGCTCATCCGAGATTACCTCCCAGAACTGAAAAGCGAGAGTAAACTTGAGCGCAAACGAACGAAAATCTTATATTTATGATTTTAGATATGTTCTAACCTTAGCTCCGATTTGGTTACCGCACTGGCCAGCCTGAAGATGAACAATTTCTCGCATCTTTGAAAATTTTTTCAGCGAACGTTGAAGGTTCTACTTTCCCTTGTCTTAAGTTTGCAAAATGTCGTCGGGGAGATTGTGGCGCGGTTTTATCTAACGACTAATTTATGCGAGGCTTCGTGTGCCAACAATAGGCTCACATCCATATACAGTAGTGCTTTTGTGACGTCATTAAGGCTAGCCATCGAATGTTGTTGATGGTGTTTATTGGTGATCATGGTAAAACTCGACACCTGAAAGCTATTGTGCGAAAGACAAAGCTAAATAAAAGCTTAACCAATAAAAATCCTGCTGCGGTAACACATGATTTCTCTGAACAGGGAAAATGCAAATTTCAGTGGCGTTAGTGACAACAGTTTTTCTTGAGGAGACCGCAATAAACCGCACTTAAACATCATTGCATGATATTCCCTGATTACAATTTCTCACTCTGTGGCTCTACGAAGGTTGTCACGGTGTCTGCCGCTGCGATACTCAACAGGACATCTTAAGATGAATTTATGCGATACTGAACTCATGCGGCGTCATAAATTTATGTCATCTGGAACGTGTCATATCATAGCAACGGAAGGGGTGCGGCTCATTAAATTCGCTCTAGTATCTTGAGCATTCCGTTCTGGCATAGCAGCCGCCCCCTTTCCTCCCCTTCCCGTCCCAGATTTTTTTTGCGGGGGGAGGGGGTGTTTGTACACCGGCTGGTCGAGATAGGACATCTTTTCATAACTTTTTTACCCATCATTTCGAACACCAGATGGAAAAAAATAAGGTTTCTTTGGTGTACTTTTCTCTGATTTTACATTCCGGAGAGCAGTGTAGTATGAAATTATTTACGAGGGCCGTCGCGAGTATTTTAATTAACGATAGTAGACTGCCGGTAATGCTAAATTAATCGTGCTCGATATCACACTTGTTAACTACCATTTTTTTTCCTAAGAATCAATATATTTGTTTTTCAGGAGATCTTATCATTGAGAGGAAAAGTTTTAATTTTTCATTTTTCGTGCGGCGACCACAGGAACTGCACTGCACGTCATAACCCTTTTGACTACTTTGACTACATTATTCGAACAAGTCCGATTGAAATAAATCACTTGTACTAAAACAACTGATGCAATATTCGTTACTGTTTCTAACATAGCATAAATTTAATATAAATTAACCAACCATACAATTTTAGAGTGTCAAAAATCGTTATATCATGCCGCGAACTCTTGACTGTGAAATGAGAAACAATGTCAAATTATCAGTGTTCACAGTGTATGGCAATAGCCAAGTCTCCAGATTTTAATAGTTTAGACGCGATAATTTCCTTTCAAGTTGTTTTCTTCTTCACATTCGTTTTCCATCAAGCTCTACTGAATTCGTCTGGCACTTCAGCGACGTACATTGAGAAATTTTTTTCTCCCCAACGTTTAGTGAGAAAAGGAACGAGCTGAATCGAAGGTTAGCACTACGTAATTTGAATGAATATATCAAACGAGTTCCATCGTCTTATCATCGACAGTCGACAGTAACAAAGGCTCGAAAGGAGACTAATACAGCTGTACTATCGGTCGGGATATTGGCTCATTAAAAAGTGCCCTTTGTCGAGTGTCAGCTAGAAATTCATTCGTCGCATGCACGTCACAGGAATTTTTGGTACGGCCTTCACCTCAGAAAGAGATCCAACATACAGTAGCCACTAAGCTACACGTTTTGTTATTTGAAGGAGATTGTATGATCATTTTCATGCCATTTTTATCTTCGCCTTGCTCTTCCTGAACTTTCTACCTCCATATCACTTCCATGATATTTGGCAATTTGTCACCGTCCCAGACTGCCTCCTCGTTCGAAATCTCTGTGAGAGTCTGGTGAGAAGATCACGATGGAGTCTCTTCGTCCAAATCGGCAACTATTGAATCCAAAATTTGAAGGTTATAAACTAGCTTTGGACCCCCTGACACTGTCGTCCACTAGATTACTTTCTTCACTGAATAATGTACCGCTCAGAGAGGAGTCGTTTTCCCTTCAACACATTCGAGCCTTTGGAAATCATAACCATCTGGTGATTGACTCTTGGACTGATGGCGGGAAAACTGAAGTTGTTTATTTCGTTAATGAAAACTACGAAGTTCAAAGGGCAGTTGTCAAAGTAAGTGAACCAATAAGTAAAATCGTGAGATACGATGAAAAACATCGAAAGGTGAAAATAATGTTAAATTGTTTCCTTGAACGTTTGTGAAACGTGAAGCTCTTTGTCAGTTTCCTCTCGTGTGGGTAAGGAGAATTTGATGGAGCATCAGAACCTTTTCCCAATAGTTAACTCTTGAACTCTAAGTAGTGATTAGAGTGTAGCCTCTCTTTGCAACGTCAATGTATTATTCAGCAGACAGACGATGACAACAGACAAAGTTGTCAACTAGATTGTCCTGTTTTGATTATTTATTTTGATGATCTGATTTGACCCATAACCTTTGTTACCGAGATTTTGAAATTGGCATGGAAAACGATTGAAATAAATTTTGAAGTAATACTTAAAAAATGTGCAGTATTTTGAATATTAAATGTTTATTAAATTTACTTTTGTTTTAATACAAGGTTGGAATGCTCATAGAGGGATTGAAAATCTAAATATGCAACTTAAAATGATAAAAAATATCTAACTTGTGTCTCTTTATAATTTTAAGGACACAGATGTTTCATCCATTGATACAGTATTCAAAACACCGGCAGTAGAAAAAACTGAAGAAAGCTTGAACTCAACATTGTTTTTTCCTTCACAATCTCTGGCTTGTTTGTGTGATGGGAGTGGGAAACTCTACTTGCTGCAGACAGGTGACAGAATAGGAGATGTTTCTCAGAATGCAAGTTGGAAGGTAGGCTCAGTTTACCAGTTTGACCAGCCATCTTTGATCCTTCATGCTATTCAAAGCCCAGAAACTGGATGTGTTAGTTGCTTGTTATTGAGTATCACAGAAAATGATGCTTCTATGTCAGTGAAAGATGCTCACAATGTTCATTTGGAGTTGATCACCTTTTCACAAGTGAATTGCTCAGCCACAGGTTCCATAAGTTACAGTTGCGAGATGCTGCAACAGTTCAGAGGTCACAGTGCACCAGTGTATGCTGGCATTGAGTGTGGTGGTACAGCTATTTTGGTGGCAAGTGAAAGACCATTTTCTCTGGTGAAAGGTACCTTATTTATTTGTGGGATTAACATTTGTTTGGAGTAGTGTAACAAGGAATATACCACATAAGAACTCTGCATCTGAATTTAGCGATAGAACTCTGTTTAGAAGCTAAATATAGTTTCTTGTCTTTGAGGCATAATGAACGTAATTTGTGCAGTGATCACAATTGTTAACATCTTCCCTTATCTGTTTGTCAATACCCTATCACCAGTATGAATAATGATCATCTCCATACTGCTTTCTGTATATTTCCCAAGGAGCTGACAAGGAGAGTTCATTTAAAAATCAAAGGCTAATTCAGTTAGCGATTATTTCCTTTATTCTCCTCACCTAAATGCACAATTCAGAGTTGATATTGTTAGGAGAAATTAGAAGCTGGTCACTCTTAGGGGTCAAAGGGTTCAGTTTGGTGAAGATTTTGGAAACAGAGAAGGTTCCTTTTTATCTGACATGACCTGTTTTTTTCTTTTTTTGGAATAGGTGACAGCGAGGAAAAGCCATCAGGGTCATTTCATTCTGCAGATGATGGTATGGCTGAGGTAAAGTCCCGCAGTTCTTCAGCAATAGTATACAAATGGTCACAGGATAGTGAAGATGTCACTGTAAAATTTGTTCTACCAGATGGCACCAAGAAAGATGATATAGCTTGTAATGTAACAGCAGATTCTGTTACCTTCAAATTGGCAAAGAGATTTTGTTGAGTGGTCCTCTTTATGCAAAAGTAAATCCAGAGGAAAGCACATGGACAGTCGAGGAAAATAGGTGACTTGCAGTATTTGTTTTCAGTCTTTATTTTTAAGTCTCTTTTCTCTCTACCCCTTTCCTTTCTCTGTCACAAAATAGTTATGTTTAGAATTCAACTGGCATCACAAGAAACCCTCTGAAGCATCTCAGCCAAGCAAAAAGACTTAAAAATGGCTTGCACTCATTGGGAAGTGACATGTACTGTTCCATAATTATGAGAAATGACATTAGCAATTGATAATGCTTAACACTACTCAGTGTTCTCCTTTTCAGGCAGTAACCAGTAACATTTACTGCCTATAGTACCTCTTATTACTGTTTAAAATTGCTTGGAATTCTTGAAAATTCAACTTGTAAAAGGATTGCTTTACCGGTTTGAAAATTTATTTTACCTGTCATGCTTAAAATAAGGGAGAACACTGCTACTTCTTTTAATTGTACATGTATCTAGAAAAGGAGAGATGGTAAATGTTTAGCTCTGTTGATAAATAAAGAAAGGATGTTACTCATGTTTTCACAATTGGGAGACAATTAAAAAATCTGTGTCCAGCCCACAGGGATTTTAATCTTTGGATTTTAATATATAGATTTAGCCAAGCCTAAAAGCAGAGCTCTTATTAGTTTATTTTCCAGCCCTATGTTACACTGAATAAAAACTGTAATAAAACTATCTACTGGCAAGTCTTTGTATTATATTTCAACCCAACCATTTCCTCAACATATAAACACTTACAAAGTAATTAGCCAGGGAAATGGAAAACTTGGATTTTATAATTGAATGTTCTACCACTTAGCTACAGAGTACTTGTTAGTGAACCGCAAGCATACCGGAAATTACATTGAGCCAGACATGACACAGAATATTTCTAATTATAAGGATAAGTTTGTTTTGTTTCTGAAACCTGTTGTAAACATTTTTAAAAACTTGCTGGTGAGTCACAGGCTTACAGAAAATAATACTTTGAACTAGACATGATACACACTATTTTCAATTACATATAACTGTGTCTTCTTTCTGAAACCTGTAGTAAACCTTTTTTTCTCCTCTGTAGTTTGGAACTGATACTTGTGAAGCAGGTTCAAGAACACCACTGGAGCAGTGTTGTTCAAGGTGATGACCGAGGTGTCTATGAGCTGGTAGGTGAGGAGGCACAGAGAGTGGAGGAGATTCACAATAGACTGGAACACCTCACATCAGACAAAATGGTATGTGAGATTTTCAACGCCTCAGATGTTCAGATGAGCTATAAAATAATATCTTAAATCCCTAAGTGCAGCTCAATCTACAGTTAGCATCAAAATAGTTGGATTGCAACATTCTCAAATAGCACATCACTTTTAAGCTCCAAGGGGTTGCTCTTGATTGAACTCGACTGATGATCTACTTAAATGAGTGATGGGGAATTGCAGTATTGGATTTGGAATGGCTGTATTGTCAAAAGATTTGATAGACTCTAAACTTTATTTTTCAGTGCTGCCATGTAAGGTTTCCTGAGCACTGTGTTTACTATTTGTCCTGCAAATTGCACATTTGATGTTTTTAATGGTATCTAACTGGCCAATTATTTTGGAAAAAAAATCAGTTTTACATTCCTATGTTGCTAAGTTCATCTCACGTAGCAATTTTTAGCAGAAAAAATTTATTGTGAACATCAAAAGTATTGATATCGTGTTGAATTTTTCAATCAATATTTGAAATCCAGGTGGAAAAGTCACGGGCAACTAAGATGTCATTTAGTAATGATGAATTTGAAGAATGCGATGCTTTCCCAGAGGATATTGAATATATTTTTCGGTTGGATGTTAAAACTGGAGAATTAACACACAAGGTATGTATTGGTAGTTTATTTTTTTTTACAGGGCTCCTTCTATCAGATCATCTAATAAATGATTTGCACACCAATTGATGTAAGCTCCTCCAGAACTCTTTACCGACTCACAAAGGTTATGTGTAGAGCAAGTGACAAAAATGGACATCTTGAGAAATTCCTCTCACCTTCACTTTTACCATGAAGCAATATGTTTCTTCAGAATAAACTAGAAAGCTCTGATCAAGGGCCTATGGTGTGCTGGTGCTAACACAAGCTTTAGAAACTCTTCACAGTGGCCTATTTATATTTATCAACTCAGTTTATAAATCCTAATTATCTTTTAATACCCTGGGTGCAGCACTAAAGGCTCTTTAAAAACCCTTTTTAACTAGGTAATCTATTTGTGGTCTAGATTGTGAGCCCACCCAATTCCCTTGATAAGGTCATTCAAGTTCATGGCTGTTTACTTTGCATTTATGGTAATGGGTGATGCACATGTCTGACAAATCTTCTTTTCTTGTCAGGTTTGTTTAGCAAGTCATCAGTGGATCTTCAATGCATCACTTAATAAGAGTCTTCCTCCTGCCTTCTGCATACGTCATGATGTTGATGCCCTTGTGTGGCAGCCCAAGGCACACTCAGACAGTGAGGCTAACTGGATTCACACCGGAACATTTAATGCTTTAGGTTATGTCCAGGCTGCTAAAAGGGATCGCAAGTTCTCCACATGTGCCCCAGATCTGTCCTATGCTGTGATATGTGACAACACAAGACATGTTTATGTTTACCAACAACCTGTAGGGAGTGCTAAACATGCCAATCAACAAGTTGTAACATTGACAACTCCTGACAATGAAATCCTTGGGCTCCAAGCATCTAATAATAGGATTTTTGTCTTGACTAGACAAGCCGTGCATGTTGTGACAGTCAAGTAGAATGCCATGTCAAAATAATATTAAGAAATTTCAAATTAGCTTTATTAATATAATTCACATACTGGTAGTCTGTATTTTCATGAATAAGTGCCCACACTCTAATAAGTGCTCACCCCTCTGCCATAATGTCAAAAAAGCACCACACCCTCTCAATTTTTTAAATAGCAAGGACACACAGAAAGCCTGTTTTCCTTACCACTTAATAACTTTTAAGCTACAACTACAGCGGGAATCAGTAAAAGAGAATAATTTCTTTTATATTAAGTCACTTCCAGTCCTTTCTATTTTCATGTGCTTTCAGAGTTTCTTAATGTGAGTTGTCTTTTTTTTCCTCTTGCGGTGCTAATTTAATAAGTACCCTCCTTGAATAAATGCCCTCCTTCCAATGAGCACCCTCCCTTTTAGCCAAAATTTTAAATAAAAGCCTGGGCACTTATTTGAGGAAATGCACTTTTTTTATTTGGAGTTTTTAGTTCCTTCTATTGTTGGAGGAGACTTGTAAAAATAGAGCCAGGTGACTTATGATGGGAAAATAGTTTTAAAACAATGAAAGTGGAGATTAACAATGAGAAAGGTCAATAGTAATTTTTGTACCAATGGATATTCCATGAGGTGGCTCTTGTTGTCCAGTGTTTCCAAAAAGAATTGGAAATTAGAGTGTTGGTTTTTGTGGAGAGGAAAACCAAAGAACCTAGAGAACAAACCCTAGGAGCAAAGACAAGAACCCTTGACAAACTCAATCCACATGTGGCACAAAGTCTGGGAATGAAACCTGAGCTGCAGCAACGGGAGCAGAGCACACTATCACTACAGCACCACACCCACTTCCTGTTTCTTTGTCAAAATTGTGCAAAATCTTATGACAGCAGAATACCTTTACAAATGAAATGAACAATGTCAACCTCTTTATTTCTTGTATCTCCATTAAAATTGTCTTTCCTTAAATAATTTTAAAATTATCAAAATATTAAAACTGTGTCACTGTGCATGAACAAGTTCAAATGCGAGATATTTTTGATGAACTGATGGTAGCACCAACAAGCAATGACAACCCTTTCATCTCAAGGTGGGATCATTTCATACATTCTCTACAACATTTTAACCCACTTTCAAACAAACAGCAAAAGAGAATTAAGAAAATCATCTCATTGGAACATTGTCTTGATATATATTAAAATTCTCACTAACAACCAATAAAGAAATGTGTGGCTACCAGTAAAGAGAATCTGCTCTAGATACTGGGAGTGAAAAGGTTTACAGAGAAAATCATGGGGCTCTTGATTTTCCCTTCATTATGAACTTTGTAGATATTCAACTTAATGTATTGGAACTTTTTGATACTACATGTGATTATGGTCTCTTGTCTCTTCATAAAGATGACCATAGTATTAATTTCTGGCAAATAATATATACCAATGATACTTAATATCTTTACTACATGATGTAAGTACCTAATTAATCAAATAAACACTTAGTTTTTTTGGCTCCCATCATGCCAATATGTTAACACTAGTCTTTCATTGTGCAAGTGTAACTGATAACAATATTATCATACAGAAAGTAACAAAATGCTGATTTTCTTAAAAGATTACAAGAGACCAATGATGGCCCTAAATATTCTACTAGCAAGATAGCACAGCTCCTACAATAAAGAGTTTTAGGGCTCAAGTCAGGAGAACAATCACAACCTTCTGTTTAATGTTTGGAATTTTAATATGATTAGATGGTGTTCCCTGCAAATACAGCAGCCTGTCATAGCTTGTTTACTAGGCATTAAACAAAATCATTGTAACACTGTTCACATTTTGTGATATAACTAAAAAAATATGTGCAATTTTAATTAGCCAAAGGAAGCTTAAAGAAATTGATGTTCAATTTCTCTTGCTTGACAGCCTCGAGGTGAGATTTGGATAAATTAACTCTTACCCTGCCTTATTTTGTCCAATATCTTAATTTTAAACCCTTACTAGCCAATGTTTTTGTAATGAATGGCTACCACACTTCATAACCTACCCAAGTTTGCAGGATGTAAATTGTACATTGCCAATTTTACCTCGATTCATAAATCCTTAAATTCATATATTTTTACCATGGTATTAATCACTGACTATAGCTAGATATAATTTACACCAAGATATAAAGGGGTGAATTTGTTGATGATTCTAGTCAAACATTTTTGTCCTTTGCTTGAACTTGCACCAGGCGTGGTTGATCAACGTATTCATTGCCGAAATACAGCACCACATACAGTGTCATCATCACAGCACCACCCCAGAACAACACATAAAGAAATTGTACTCCATAATCAGCTGCAAGAAAAAAGGAGAAAGAAATTATTACATCACAGGAATGCCTTTCACACATAGTTGAAGGTGTGCCCCAAAGTTGGCTGATAGTAGGCTCTGTATTTGCATTAGCTCTGATGAAGGGCTAACCCTTGAAACATAAAACTTTTTGAAACTATCTGCATTGGTCAATTTACATTATCAACTCAGGAGATAAAACAAACCCAATTGAAATTTTCTGCATCAAGGAGGCTCAGTTTGAGTTTCAAGCCCTGGCCAGGCTTATTATGTTGTGTTAATCTCTGTGCACACTGCTTCCCTGGGTACCAACTGGTGAACACTAAGGGAAATCTTCTGCAATACTAGGAAAGGACTAGCATGCTGTCTAGGAGAAGTGGACACTTGTGATTCCTTCGTCCTACCATGCAGGCCACAGCATGTACAGGTATGATTACTAGTTTATCATTATGATAGTATTTCTAAAAATTATGGTACATGGAAATGATCTACTTTTAAGTCACAAATGACCATTAGAGAATGATAATTGCTCACTTTGATTGCATGTCCCTAGACACGAATTAAAATTGAGCAATTATTTAAAATTTTGTAGCTGTTTAAGATGTTTAAACCAAACAAAATGTAGCTACAGGTGATGTTAAGTAATGAAAGTTGCAGAAAATCTACCATGACTGAAAGGCAGCCAGGGAAGCAAAACTCACATGCAACAAATATACCCCAAAAAAACAGGAGTGTACTATTTATGTGGTATATCATACTTACTTGATGGAATTAAAACACTGATAACAAACATGGAGAATCCTAGCAAAAGGATCATTGGGAGCTAAAAGAGTGAAGCAGAAAAATAAGATTTTAGTTAAACAAGAGAATGAACTCAAATGTTTTAATTATAAGTTTGAATGGTGATGCTTGCTGTTGCTGCATAGGTAAAAAGGAAAACTAACAACAGAATTCCAGTAACAACAAATGGATGAGCTACACAAAAAGCGTAATCATGAAAATGCTTTTTTTCGGTTACCAAGAAAAATGGAAAACACTGAACTTACAGCCATAAATCTCCAATCTCTGAGAATTTCAAGAGGTGATGGTTTGGAGATTCCTTCATTGGAGTCTACCACATAGTTTCCAAGGAACAAGTCAATTGAATCCTATAAGCATATAAAGTCAAAATTTCTTAACCCTTTACACCATTATACAAGATCAGTATGCATATTCTCCAGACTGTTCTCTATACATTTCCTAAAGAGCTGATAATGAGAATTTGCTTAACAATCAAGAGCTTTTTAATATGTAATCTATTCCCATGATGTTAATGTTTGATTCAGGGGTGATCTTGTGAGGAAAAATTTAGATGCAACTCATTTTTAGGATCAACAGTTAAGGTCATCTGTGAACAGTCTTGAAGCAAAAACATAAGCAGAAAAGAAGAGAAATAAGTTACACACAATTCAACATACTTTGCCCCAAGGAAATATTTGCAAACTGATTTCACTCACTTGTCTAAATCCATCAGCAAAGTTGTTCTTGTAATACCTCACAGCTGAATTAAAACCATCCTTTAATGCTCCAAGTGTTGAACGCTTTCCAGTTCTATACACAGTGTAACACAAAGTTATTACATATGGTAAGCCTTCTCTAGGTCAACAACAACCTACTTAACATTGCACCTGTTACATTCACCTTGAATTCCCACTAAAACATTTATGTACCAAGGGACTAAGGAAATTAGTTTGTTTTATCAAGGGTTTGTTATATCGAATACCTTGATTCAACACATTTGTGGAAAACAACCAAAATGTTTGTTATATCTATGGATGGTTAATAATTACTTTCCTTTTTCTTTTTTCCTCATTTTTTTTTTTTGTGGTGTGATGTTGCTACACTCACTTCCCCCAAGGAATGAAAGCTAAAATTTTTTGATGTGGTGGTATGCCCTTGATAAAATGAAATCATCAAGTGAAATCATTGTTAGTAGCAGTCTTTTGAGGGAATTATCTGGCAATTTATAAGAATTCAAGACCACTCAAGAGAAATTAAGTCTTAGTCTTCCAGGCTCAGGGGTTTCGCACAAGGCTAACAACCCTGTCATGTGAAAAGCTTTTTATTATGGAAACAGCAACATGTAACTTACATGATGCATCTGTTGTTGAGGGAGCATGTTGCTGCCCAAGGGCATGAGTTTGAGTTTGGAATAAGGAAGGGAGTAGAAGTGGCAAATGTCTTTCCCTCACAAGCTAATGTGAAGGAACAAAACATTTTAAACTTTAACAACCTAAAGAGTATTCTGAATCGTATCCTCAGTACCACAATCTGCAGAATTGTTCCCAATTTTTCAGCGAGCCAAAATTAGTTATGATAATCAAATATTACAGATTGAGAAGTTTCTTATTAACATAGCTGAAAATTCATGCTTACTGAGAAGTGTTTTAGCACTGTGAGTAATACCTTGTAAAATCTGTTTTGAGAGCTCCTGTTCCAGCATACTGCACAGAGCATGCATCAGCATTGTCTGCCCAGACTGTGACAAAATCAATATTTGCAAAACAATGAGAGAGAGAATGACAAAAACTAGATAACAAACTTTATAATTATAGTGTTATGCTTGAGGAAAGTCACCAGCCTCTCTTCTTGTGTACATTCATCTCATTTTTTCTCACAAATAAAGTTTTACATAAGAATTACCAAGTGGTGCAGAAAGTACAAGTGGGAAACAGAATATAGTGGACATTCCATGAGGTCACTCTTCTTGACCTCTGTTTCCAGGTTAAATTGGAATTTAGAATATTAGTTTTTGTGGAGGGAGGAAAACCCTTTGAGCACAGACAAGAACCAAGAACAAACTCAACCCACATGTGATGCCAGGAATTGAACCTGGGCAAAAGCAGTGGGAGGTAAGCACTCTCATCACTGAGCCATCCCCACTCCCTGTAAATGTTAACCTACCATTCTTGAATGCCTTCTCCATTCCTGCATAACTCTCTATTCTCTCTCCTGGGCTTAGAATTTCAAATCGCTATAATGGAAGTCACATTTCTGTTGTGAGTTTCACACAAAGAAAACACTAACATTGATTTTTCTTTACATTTACCATTAATACAGAATTTTCAATTTTACTTGACCAAGTGTGACGTCATGGAGCTGAGATTTATCCATAAAGACCAGGGCGTGAAATTGATTTTTTTTTCTGATAGCCACTTGGCTCCTAAATTATTCAAAGTGGTAGCCAATTCAAAAAAAATTGGTTGCCATTTTCAAAGACAAACAAACCCTTTTTTTACGCTGTCATCATTCTAGAAATTAAGTTAGGGAAAAGATCATTAACGTGCTACAAAGTGGACAATAGAATGGATGATATGCAACATTCAAGCTCTCCTAAATCCATCCTAAATCTAGTTATCGATTGAGATGCATGTTCAAGTTAATGAGGAAGTTTGCCAAGAATTTATCTTTGAAATTTTTTAATTTACTATATTTCTAGGTAAGGTTATGATGAAACATTCTAGTCGCCTTTGGCAACTAATATTCAGGATTTGGTGCCAAGAAAAATTTAGTCACATTGGCGTAGGACTATTTCATGCCCTGAAGACATTTAAAGAAAAGAATCTGATTTTCCTGTATTGAGTGCCTTAGTAAACTTTTTCTCTTTTAGAAAAAAGTTGTTTGGAGGTTAGGTACTATGTAACCTGGCTAAAACACTTTTTTTCTTTTTGAGGGACCATGGTGGGTAATTCATGGCCCATCTTGCACTCTTGGGTAGTGGATGTGGAAATAAGATTTGCTTCAACCTACTTCTTAGTCACAAAACCAGCCATGCATATAAAAAAGGAATACTATTAACATGCTCAAAGAGATGCACCAACTGTTTATCAGCCTTTCCAGATTGTGTGTCAACTTCAAGAAAAAGTACAACTCTGCTATCAATTGACTTCTAATGCTAAAATACATGTGAGTATGAAAGAGGAGACAGGCTTTACCTCGCACTGTGCTTGAAGACTTCTCCGTGCGAACAAGCTCTGAACAACATTAGTTCTTCAACAAAATAAGAAACAAGCAAACAAATGTCATCACTCTAAAACCCTTACATTTATTTTGTAACTTCTATGACAATTGCAACAATTGAAGGAAGAAATAGAGATTTGAATTCTATTCGTATAACCTTGGGTATGGTTATTTACCTGTCAAGTGAGTCAATGCAATTTGTTCTGAACACTCCCTTTTGCTCAGTGTCAATTTGACTATCTTTTCCTCTGACAGAGAAAAATCTAGTACAGGAATAAAACAAAATCACAACACATGTAATGATAATAACATAACATTTAATTTAGTAACAAGCATCAATTGAACAACTGTGGACTGATGTAAAACTTCTTCAGTAAACTGTTTAGTACACATGGTACTTTTCGTTCCTGCATCTTGTTCCATGCTGGGGGCATGAGACATCTCAGTGCTGCTTCTCTTTTAGACTTGAATATTTCTGTTTGCCAGAGCTATGGCTCCTGCTCTTGAATACAGTAGTTACTAACAGATATATCTTTGCAAATAAATGTATTTTCAAAATAAAAATGATCAAACATGTCACAAAAATGGTGAGCAACACAGCACATGTATCCTGTACTTCATTATTATTGCCTCCATACCCAGTGTTCTCTCTTATTTTAAGTGCAACAGGTAAAAGAAATTATCAAACTCTTAGAGTAATATTTTTACTAATTCAATTTTAAGAATTTCAAGTGATTTTAGGTGGTAAAAAGAGATACTAGTGGTGGTAAATTTTACTGGTTACCACCTGAAAAGAAGAACAGTGCATGCGTACCACACCAATTCTTTTTTAAATAGAGTGAGAGCTACTGAGGACATACCCAAACTTCTCTTGATCTCCTTTTAATCTGTCTGTTAGAATGGACAATCTTTCCCATCTCATCTTACTGCACTCTTTATGGAAATCAAATGGCTCATATCTACAATTTCAAAAATAATAACAAAGAAAAGACACTAGTCTAATACACTGTCTTTACCCTTTACACCCTGACATCAGTACGCATATTCTCAATACTGTTCTGTATAAATTTCCCAAGGTGCTGACAAAGATGAATTTGTTTAACAATCAAGAGCCTCTTTGGGTGGTGATCCTTTTCTTCATTCTCATGACCTTAATGTGTAATTCAGGCGTGATATTGTAAGGAGAAATTAGATGCAAGTCACTCATAGAGGTCCAAAGAACCACCATCATAGGTGCCTTTGCTCTGATCAGAGGCTCATGGTTGACTCATCAGCTTTTCAACAATCCCTTCCACCATTTACCTAATTTTCATCAAGTATTGCCTTGTTGAGAATGAACAAAGTGTTGCACTTGCCTACGATTTTACCACAACAAGTTCTTTAGAACACGATAACATAAATGCTGAATGATGTGTTGAAAGAGTTGATGATCCCAAAATTACTTTGTTGACATGCTGGAGAAGATTTTAAAACTCAAAAAAATGTTCTAATACTCAAGTTAAATTTCATGTTCTACATTTTACCTCAAGAAGTTGTCAGTTAACCCTGCCTTACTGACAGTCTCAGTGTATCGATCACCTAAAATCTTCTCCGGGCCTTTCTGATCAATCTGTTAAAAAGAAGGAGAGTGATGACATCTAAATGCTCTTGAGAATTATTATGCTAAAAATCAACTTTTCTTCCTGACAAAAAGTTTGATTCAACCTTGATAATTTTTATAGAATATTAACAAGGACCTTCTGCAAAGTGAAACCGCCATGATAATAATGACATCACCCAAGACAACATAGTTGTCTTTGCATGCTTTTGAAATAAGAGAAATTCTAATATTAATTTAATACTTACAAGGTTTATTAAAACATGTTCTCCATAGTACACTCTTTCTTTGTCTAGATGGAGAGCAAATCCTCCTCTCTGCCAAAATGATAAATCAAAGAACTTCTCATCCCGTGCAATACAAAATTTGCTCAACTAGACATATTGTTCTTGAACACATTTAATTTGATTTTGTTTAACCTTTTAACTCTCAAGACCTGACTGTCAATTCTCCCCTCTACATGTAACTGCGACACATTTCCTTGTAAATTGATTATGAGAATTAGGTGTTCAATCAAGGTGATAAATTGTACCTGATGAGTTCGAGTGTTCTCAATACCTGTTTGCTGTATAATGTATGGATATTATAGGGAGAAGTTACATGCTAATCACTTCTGGGAGTTAAGGGCTAAGGTAAAGGAGCAATCTGCAAGCTCCCACAAGTGGTCTTTCTGACAGACAACAAGGGTTTCTGGGGGCAGAATTAACCTTATGAAACAACATTGCAAGCTTTGTCTCATGTCCTCTCTTAATTCTTTCCCCATACACAGCCCCCACCCCCCTCCCCCCAAAGAGAGCTTGTGTGCAGGCTTAACCCCTTAATACTCCCAAAATCTGATTGTTAATTCTCCCCTCTGATGGCTTCATGTACACATATGCTACCTTGTAAATTAGTTATGAGAATTTGGCTTAAGGTCAAGATAGCACCTTGCACCTCAAGAGTTTGATGACTCTCGTTACTGATTTGTTGGATAATGTATGGACATTATAGGGAGAAGTTGCGTTTTAATCACTTTTAGGAGTTAAAGGGCAAATAGTTAGTTAGTTGGTTAGTTAATTAGTTAGTCAGCTAGTTAGTTAGTTAGTTAGTTCATTAGTTAGTGAATTAGTTCTATTATAAGTTTCACAGTTTTTACTCTCATCATTACAGATTTTTTATTAGCTGGTTTTTTACTCATATTTTAGTGATGTTTACGTTTTTATAAATTTTATCAATGTCCTTTATAAATGAATTGTAAAGCGCTATTGAATAGCAATAGAAATAGCGCTATATAAATACTGTATTATTAGTATTATTATGGTGTACTGGGTACAAACCTCTTATCTATGGGTCTTAATCACTAATTCTTTATCTTTTTTTCCTCCGCTCTTTTCTGCCCCAAAGAGTTTGCACAAAATGTACATATAATAGAGGAGATCTTCAACACTTACATGGTCAGCTGATGGATTTAGCAGTGGTACTGGTTTGTATCTAAGGTTGGGTCTCTGAGACCAAAACAGTGGAATAGATCCTCTTGTCTATGACAAAGAAAAACAGTCATGAGCAAAGAGGACACAGTTTTTTTTTAAAAATTCTTTGACTGCACCTAACAGGGGACTGAATGCTTTCATACCTGTACAAAAGAACATGCTCCAGATTCAAACTGAGTAATCTGCTCAGTTTCGACATAATTTGCAGCATTTCCTTCAGCATCAAGTCCTCGAATGAAGTAACGTGTACCTGAGGGAGACAGAAATCATATAAATCATAATTTTTGTATTGACAAGATAATTGGCCCACTGAACTCCAATTATACAAAACTTACCAGACATCTGGGTTGATGATGTAAATTGGCCATCATAAAGAGTTTTAAAGCTGAGTCAGACATTTCAAGCATTAGGCCCTTTGTCAGAGTAAATGGAGCCATGTTAGCCCATTTGCTCTGTAAAGGGCTAGAAACATCAGCTTTAAAAAACTCTTTATGGTGGTCAGTTTTTCTTATCAACTTAGTTGATAATACTAAATTATCCTGTTATACTCTCCCACCAATGCAGCACCACAGTTTCTTTAGAAAATTGCCCCTCCACCATATATCTGGCCCAAGGATGTAACCAAAATTACAAAAACAAACTCACACATACCTGCCCTGAAACAACTTCTTCTTGATATAAGGATGAAATCAAATGTGTTCTGCTTAATAACACAGGAATTGATGGAGATGACTTGGCAGTGTTAAGGGAAACAATCAATATTCAGATTTTCAGTGAATCGACAGTCAGGCTGAAGACAGTTACCATATTACTTACAACTAACAAGCCAGACTGACAAATAGACCAAGAAAACTTTGTTGCGAATTAGAGTTGCTTACTAGAGCAATAGAATCTATCATTTGTTTGTTTTCCATTTTGTTTTCCATTTTTAATGAAAGAAAACCTCAAAAGGAGGAGTAGTATCATTACATTGTCAGGTCTAGTTGGTATGTTCTGACTAATGCTGAGGCTGAAAAGAAAACTTTTGAAAAAGAGCAGATTTCAAGTACCATCATTTAGTAGAAAACTTAAATGAAGCAGAAAAGAAAATCTTTTGAAAAGACATAAAGCAGATTTCAAAGTACCAACTCATTTTAGTAAAAGAAAACTTAAAACTGGTTTGAATCCTTTTACTCCGAGGAGTGACCAGGACAGAATTTCTCCATATAGTATCAATACAATAATCAATAGTAAATATATTTTCTGGAATAAGACAACACCAAATTCTCACAACAAAATTTACATATATGGCTGAAAGTACCAACTTTTGTCAAGAAACCAGGAGAAAGACTTTCTTTAATGACAATAAGACAATGAACGGAAGAAAAACTGACAAGACTAACATATATAGGATTCACAGTTGTACATAGCATTTTATTTTAAAAAAGGATACAGCCATGCATAACTGGAAGTATAAATTTGTAAAGCTGTAAGAGAAGATCAAGACAACAAAAAGGTATATTATGCATGTGTTGGACTATTTGAAAATCAATCAGTGAATCGAGGAAGTAACAAATGATTACCGGTATTCTGGTTGAAAGTCAATTAGTTAGTATAAACTAAGCACTAGTCATTCAGTCAATCTCAGATGATCAAAAATCATTCCTCTCTTCAACAACTAGATGTAATCATGTGGAGTACTCCTGGGAATGTAACTCCCACTGTTTTGGTCTGGCCTTGTTTCCAAAAATTCCTAAATTGGGGAAAACCTGTAAAAATTTCATCTATAAATCGTAAACTTCTTGATGCTGTCTGGCCAAAGTCTCCCACAAAGTGATAAAATAATTTTGATATGGAGAATGCACTGTATAAATGCCTCATCATCATTAACAATTTAAATAACACTCAAGTAGTATTTGAGAGACAGTTACCTCTGGTTGCACAACTAAAGGTCTTAGAAGGTGACCATTCCATACAAATCGAGGATCAGCCTAATGGGAAAAATTGGGAAAATTTTCATCAGTGAAAATGGAATTAGGATGTTCTCTAGTGGGCATTAGGTTGGTTGTTTCTGATCCAGTAAGTAAGTGGGAGTAGGTCATCTCGACTAACCTCCCTGCTATTTGTCAGTTTTCCTTATACTTTGTAATTAATTTCTCATTTATACTCCTGGTGCAGGGTTGTCTTAAGGAAATACAACAGATGTGTGATCTGAACTGAGTAAGCAGATGAACTGAATTATGCTTACATAGCAGCATGACATGATGCAAAGAAAAATTCTCTTGTATGGGGGGTCTAGGTGCATGCACCTTCTGCAAAATTTGAAATATTTGGATTCTTTGAGACATGAATTCTAGCATTCTGGAATACACTTGAGTAACTTTTTTCAGCCAGACATTGATGCTAGAATCAGTTCAAAATTACTCATTTCTGTCTTTGATCACAATTCACAGAGTAGACACCTAGAGATGGTCTAACAACAGAAGGTTTCTGCTGTGTTCCTACCAGTAATCACAACCCTGTGGGTAGGGAGGGGTACTGAGGAGTGATGTGTCTTGCTCAAGAACAATCACAATAACTGCTTAACCTTTAACTCCCAGACCAAATTTGTCATTCTCATTACTGTCAAGTATACAATTCTTATAATGTTAGTTCAGAGAATTAAGTATTGAATCAACTAATTATCCCCAAATTGATATTTTTCTTTATTCTCATCACTTATCCCGTTGATAATGAATTTATATTGTAAGGAGATATTCTTCATATTCCTCTTATCTTATTGCTGTATTTATAATGAATGTGACTTTTAATGTGCTCATACCCTTTCAAAGAGAGGCATCTGAAGGAAGTCTGGGCTGGTTCTTGAGAGGCGTTGCAGAGTGTGCGTTAGATCATATGTACAAGAGAAGTAAAAGCTGCTGGTCTGAAGAACTGACTGCACCATTGATAAGTAGATATTGTTGTTCCGTTGCTGTCAAATTGATGAGAGGAATTTTTTTTCATCATTGTTATTTTTGTTATTATACTTATTATTACTATCATCATCATCAGTACTAATATAATTTCACACATAGAAATAATTCAGTCAAAACCCATCTCCATGTACCTGACTCTCTGTGAGATGCAATGTTGCTCTTGGAAAAGCCAGAATATCTGTTCCTTTGATTACCCATACTTCATGACCCCTGACATGACCTACAAGAGTCTTCTTAGTGACTACAACCAAGTATGGTCCTATGGGAAAATAGTAGCAGACATGTAAAGTAACTTAGGAAAAAATACTGTGGCAAGTTTAATGATTGTTATTAAACATTAGACTCACAATGAGAGAGAGATTGGTTGAGAGCATACAATCAATATACAATAGCATGTGAAGTTGACACGATAACCCAATTATCTGGCTCATCATGTCTAATTCAAGGTCTTCTCAGTTTGCAAGCCCCTCATCCAGAGAGTTTTCTCAAACTTTTGCAAACTTAGAGAGAAGTGTCATCTTTTGCAGATTGTTCAAAAATGTAAAATAAAATAATTATTGAATTTGGTTTCCGCGTGATATTATAAATTCACAAATCTCATGTATGTGCTACCCGCCTCAGCCTTTGGCTTCCACCCATAACTCAGACCCTGCCATTGATAATTTGTAATATCATGCCCCACCTTATCCATTAATTGCTCATTATACGGTTGAACATCCCAGATACCAACAGGAAGGTTCCCTTTTAGGGTACTTGGATTTTCATCTTCATCGAATAAAAGAGTTGAGCTGGGATTGCAAGTATCTTACCTCTTACATAACATGCTATAGACAAGCCTTCAAGAAAGGGTACGAATATAATTTCAAAGTTGTAGAATAAAGAATATGCGTGTAGATATACACTGTATTTCCCATGCTCTTCAAGTGCACAAGTCTCATACTTATCATCAAAAACAATTCCAGGCTAACAACAAAGAATTACATGAAGTACTACTGCAATTAGTTTCAAGGTTACCTGCCAACAAATTTATGATTCCCAAAATTCCAAATATATCTCTACTCTCAGCTGATGGTGGGATTTGACCCTCATTGTCTATAATGGGGATGATAAAAATCACAAATTACTACCTGTTTCTACAAACAGAATACATCTAAGAAAACTGAACTCATAGCAGAATATTTTTAGTCAACATGTTGGCCTGCCAGCTGTGAATAACAAGTATTAATATTGTTTCCTAACAATGTGATAGAAGAAAATGGATTTTTGAATACATGACATTAATGGGGTGATCTCAATTTTTTTCAAGGTAAGATTTCTGCACACCCGATGCTGTTGTAAAACAAAGCTGTAGTCCAAAAGGCAATCTTTTGTTTTCCCCAATTTTTTTTCCCAGAACTGTTTGCATAGTGAAGTCTGGGGCTGTGCAAAAATCTTACCTTTTTCATTCAGTACACGCTCTAGTTTATATGTAAAAACAACAATGTTTACGTTTCAGCAGATATCGGGAGGTACAATGTCTCAGATGTTAAACTATATAACATATAATTTTAGAAGAATATGACATGTTTAAGGACGCACTCAGATAAAACTTGGCGAAATACTTGGACTTTGTAGCTTTTTTGTAGTCTATTTACGCCAGCATCTGATAACCTCGTTAAAACTCCCACGATACGCTTTAAAGTAACACTAACAAATGTTTGATAATTTAACAAAAAACTGATCTTTAATTTCACGCAAAAATCAACGAATCGTAACTACTGATAGGTTAAAATGTTCTTTCCAAGGTCTGCGAGAAGGTAAACAAAGAAGAATCACGTCGTGATAATGACTGTTTCTTAATAGGGTAATGCTTAATGAAACTTATTACTCGGTTAGAACGAAATCATTTTCACTAGTCAAAAACACGCCTTAAATTTAAGACGATGATTGTCATACAACCGCCTGTGAAGTGACCCTTTGAAAATCTAATTAGACACAATTTTTACCTGCTAGACTTAACTCTTGTGTAACACGGTCTATTTCGAGTATTTGATCACCAACTGATTGCTGGTCCCTCGGCTCGATATAAAACTTGTCAGGCGCGATGTGGCTGAAGAAAAAGGAAAAAATGGAAATTAAGGCAACTGGGAGAAATTAGTAGCTCATAGATACAGAGAACAGACATCAGAAGAGCCATCAGTAAAGAAAAGAACATACAGCCTCAACGCTCGGTAGACGGCGTTATCCGCCATGTTGGCATCAAGGTTGAGTCTACAATCTCATGAATCAGCGGTTAGCAGAGAAAGAACGTAAATATCCAAGTTCTTCTGCGGTACCCATATCAGCGGCTTCAGCTCCAACTCGAGGCAAACTCATATCCAGGTTTCACTCAAACAGGACTTTGGGATCGAAGTGTGTTTTACTGTTTTTATTTCGCTGGTGTCACGAATTTCCGTGAAAATGACGTCTTTTTCATCAGCAACTTTGGAGAAGAAATTATCTGATCTTTCCAACACTCAACACAGTGTCCAGACGCTTTCGCTGTGGCTTATTCACCACAGAAAACACGCTAAAGCGATCGTACAGTCCTGGTACAAAGAACTGACTAAAGGTGAGTAAAACCGTGCATGGTGTAATTGTTTGAACTTGTTGTGGGTTGTGGAGAAACTGATCTCCATTGACAGATCTTGCATTGCATTTGCTCAGCTGGTGCGAAAGAATCACTTCAACATGCCTTTCACATATCTCATATATATGTTACATGTGGCGTGCGTTGCCATACCATATTTACGAATGAGGCAAAGGTCTCTAATCAAGTTCTGTTCTGCATTAGAGGGGTTGAACGATCTAATTATAACGTGGTGCACATTCTTGGCATTTTCATTATCTTATGCTAAGGCGATCGACTCAGATGCTTATAGCTTTTGCTGAATATATGTCAAATAGCTTTTAAGATTTCCCATGCAGCTAACTCACTTTCCTCAACTCCTAATTGATTATTAATGAAAAGATTTGGAGGAAATATGTGTGATATTTTTATTTGATTTGCCTAATTCTAAGTTTATTTTGGCGGACTCTTGTCATCCAGTGATATCTATCAGAAAACTGATGCATGATCTTTTTTAATATTTTGTTTAACTGATGACTTATTTATCTATTTAATGCAATTGATTAACAACAATGGTTAAAGCCATAAGGACATTTTTTAAAAGAGTTACAATGAATCCATATAAAAATACTCAGATTTTATCAAGTGCAGAGTATCCAGTAAGTAAATTTCTATTCCTGTAGATACCAAAACATAGAAGGGACCTTAATAGCTCACCTCCTTGAAGCTCATTGGGCCAATTGATTTGTTCATTTCACATTTTCCCACTAACTGTGTTGTGTACAAATGACAAGAAACCCTTTATGTTCAGTTTTGTTAATTATCTTGTAAGCTTTAACATTCTCCATTTTTATTTGCAGCAAGGACAAGCAAAAAGCTTACCTTCATGTTCCTGGCTAATGATGTACTCCAAAATGGAAAAAGGAAAGGCACAGAGTTTTTAAATGAATTTAAACATGTCTTACCAGCTGCGTTTCAGCATTGTGCACAGTAAGTAGTTATCTGCATTCTTAAAATAATTTAAGTTGTACTAGCAACCAGAAAAGGTCTCTTTGTTTTTTACATGTACCCCTTAAACCTTTAACTCCCATGAGTGACCAAGACAGAATTTCTCCTTAAAATATCAATACAATATCAAGCAGACAAGTGATAAGAATTAAGAAAAATATCAATTAGGGGATTATAAGTTGATCCAATACCAAATTCTCCAAACTAACATCACAAGAACTGTATGGCAGATAGTAAGGAGAATTACTAATGATATCTTGGGAGTTAAAAGGTTAAATCCTCCTGTATGTCCAATGGAGTAATGCTGTGATCCAGATTGATGAAGTTTTGAATTCAGTTTTTGATACACCTAAATATTTTGGTTGTTCGTTTGAATTTGTGTGAATATGAAGTTCCTTCGATTCAATGTAGCTGTTATTTGTTTTTAATCCAGGGGCGGATCAGTGGAAGCTATACGTGGTCTTGAAAGGCTGATATCAATATGGACTGAGAGAAATGTGTATGAAGCAACTTTCTTAGTGAAGCTACACAAGTGTTTGGGTGAGTTTCTGTATACAGTGCTGGGGAAAACAGTTTTTTTCTTTGCTTTATTAGGAGAGGTGGGAGAGTGCTTAATATTTACAGGTTAATAACAAGTGGATGCAAACATTTTGGCTGAGGCAGGCTATGAAAATGCTGTTAGTATAAACTTTTGTCCTGTAACCCTTTCACTCCCAAGATATCGTTATTTATTCTCCTTACTGTCTGATATATCATCTTCGTTATATTCAGTCTTCATCACACATGGATGTCTTTGGGATGTTAGTCCATCGCAGGTACATGTAACCTACTCTCCTCCCCCCTTCCCCTTCCCCCTTCACTCTCCCTTAGCACTGTTTGTGGGTTTCTGGGACAGTTCATCAGTACTTGTTTGTAATCACTTTCAAATTATGATAAACTTTACTTGTACATAGGTCAAGTATCAGATTCACCTCCACCTGAGAAGAAACAAAAGACCGATGATGAAAAACAAGCTCCACTGATGGAGCCACCAGATGTAAGGCACCAGGTTTTGTTTGAAATTATCGTTATTATCCTAGAAACTGTAGAGGGTATCTGGTCAATTCAAATATTTGATAAACTCTGCAGATGAAGTTAGTGTATAGTTTTACACATAATGAAATTGTGTACACTGGATTGGATAGTGCCACTGTCAGGGTGAGGGTAATCTTTACCCTTTACTCCTAAGATATTAATAGTAATTCTCTTTATTGCATACCATACATTCCTACCAATTTGGTTCCAAGAAATTATTGTTTCATAGGTTAGCATCCCCACAATGATGTTCTTTCTTCACTCTCATCACCTATCAGGGTCATAACATCCCGCATGCGTTCAATGAGATATGAAGCACGCAGGAGGTTTGGAGAGCACGAAAGACGTGTAAGAGTTGCTCGAGGCGTAGCTAAGAGCAGCTCTAACTTCTTGTGTGCTCTCCAAACTTCTAAAGTGCTTCATATCTTGATGAACACACAGCTGACGTATGAACCAATTGTTTGATAACATTTTCAACCTGATGGAAATTTTTTTTCTCAAGGGATTTGTTTGCTGACGTCATGAGTGTGCACAGTAGGAATATGAAGCATGCTCGCGCAATTGAATTTGATTAGACAAATTTACTAGCTATGTTATAATACTTCTTGGTCATTTGTGGGTGTGAAAGAGTTAAAAAGGACAACGACAATGACAATGACTGGCATTTTAAAAACCTGAATCAGTATGAGAGACAAGTGAGGAGTTAGATTTTAAAAAACAGTTGATAAACTGTACTTGAGCCTTACAGCCATGAACATGAGGGCAAAAGTAACAAATTAGCTGTCATGCATGAACCAATTAATAACATCAAACTTACAGTGAGCTCTTCCCTTGGTACTGATGAAAACATCCTTTAGATTAACTCAACACTTTTCTACTATCACTTGATTAATAACAGGAAATCCTGGTAAACTGATCATGCAGTCTATAGCAGTTTTGCTTGTGAGATTAGTCCCATTAATAAGTTGTTTTTATGACAGTGTTGGATGTTGCCACAGCCTGAGTGAAGTTATTATTAGAGCCTAATGTTATAGAAATTATTAACCACAATGTTTACTTGACTTTGTGATCAGTCATTTTCTAATGAATGTTGTTGTTTTGGTCTTAGCCGGAGGATTTAATTAAAGCATTAATGGAGCTTGAAAACTCAGCTTCACAAGATGCTGCTGTCAGAGAAAAGATTGCTAATTTACCAGCTGAAGTCCAAGATGTGTCACTTTTAGAAAAAATTGAAGGTAAAGGCAGTACATTATGTGTAGTTTGTCCATTCCCATTTTAGCAAACAATGTTTGTAAGAAGTAGTCTTTTAACAGAATTTACATGTCGCATGATTTAGATAAAGAAACTGGCGATCGTCTCTCCAAAATTGTCGATGAAGCTTGTTTATTATTGGCGGACTATAATGGTAGACTTGCTGCCGAGCTAGAAGATAGAACAACAATATCCAAAATGCTGGCTGCATTTATACAGCTCCAGAAAGATAAACTAGCAGAATCAGAGAAAAAACTTGAGGTAAGTATTCCGAAGGAAGAGCTTTCTTAACACACTATGTGCTAAGCAAGAAGTAGGATTAGGGAGGTTAGGCACAGATCTATTCAAATGCAAAAGGCAACTGGAAGGTTTGAATTCCTTCCTCTGATGTTTGCTACAAATCTTTTGTCTTTACTGTTTGGTATATAATAATAAACAAAGGTTTTTAAGCTGGTTTTTTTTATGTCAAAGTACGCCAGGTGTGGCTGTAATGTACTTCTACTTGCCACTATGCTGTACCTCGTGCAAAGGTCAAGCATTGCTGAGAAGGCTGCCTTTACATTGAATTCCAGTTTGACACAAATTACGAAAAATTAAAGGTAAACCAAACTATAGATCAAACACAAAATCTCTCAGATTCTGTAACAGAGACAGTTTTATCCTCAGATAACTGTCGTAAACCACCATTGTTTTTTACAAGGGAGTTGCTTATCTATGTATTTCTTTCAGGAATACAAGGCCAAACAGGAAAAAGTTCAACTTGTCAGACAAGAGCTCAAATCCCATTTAGAAAATCTTCCAGACCTAACGAAGCTTCCAGATCTAGCAGGAGGTTTAGCCCCGTTGCCTTCTGCAGGAGATTTATTTGCTTCCGGAAATAAGTCATGAGAGTAACGAACTTTGTTAAAATGTTTGACTGGTATATAATTTATTAATGTCTTTAGTACATTTAAACAAAAAAAATTAACTCCTGGGCTTTTAAATATCTGTTACGTGGATGGTACATGTATGTATATAAGGCTGGTAAAATGTCTCGAGAGTGGTGAAGAATTAAGAAAACAAAGAATCACAGGTTTTGTAGGAAAAATAGAATTACTCAATCTGAATATTGTTGAATAATAAACAGTGACCGGAGGGAAAATGATTTCTCGATAGAAATGATTGTTAAACGTATACATTTCCTTCACTTTACATTTTCTTCTTCAGAGAAGAGAAATTGTGATCGGTCATTTTAAATGTTTTATTTTCTCACTGTTTCTTGTTTCTTGTCATCAGCGAAATGAGAATGTGTTTAGAAGAGGCGACTGCCCAAATTTGATCAAATTACCTTTTAATGCGCAGAATTTGTCCCCGATATAGAAAAAGAGAGTAAGAGAGGTTGTTGCTCAAACGTTTCCCTGGAATGTGAGGTGTTGTTCATTTCACCCAGCTGTATCGTTTTGACTCTGTGACTGAAGCAGGTAGTCTTTGAGGTTTTTGTTTCTAAACAACCAATTTTGAGAGCCTTAATGTAAAGCTGACAACAAGTCATCTGAAGATTGAAGAAAGATACCCTTTCGATTCCTGATTGAAACAATGCTTATCTACAGTGACCTGAGTCAATATTTATGTCAGTGTTAAATAACATTTAGGTGTTTTCGGGTTTCTTTTGTTACGTAACCATGATTTACAAACGTTCTTTTCCAAGTATGCTTAATTCGAGGGATGCAGAATTTTTTTTTCTGAGAACACATATATTTCTCTAGAACTCAATTCTGTAAGAAGTTAAAGGTTTTGATAGTCTTTCAAGAAGGAACGTCTGGACGTTATATGTCAATGTCTATTTTTCTCATTCCTGTGGGAAAAGTTTGTTTAGTTTCATTGATCGGAATTGTCTGTGTTTATCACTTATCGATCGGAAGAAAGGTTAACATCATCATTAACCAATAAAAACTCAAAGTAAAAACAGGCAATCTACTTGAAGCGCGGGAAAACGCGAGTGACCAATTGCAAGTTGAGATTGGTTCTAGTTTTGTATTTGATCGGTTGTTATGATGGCGCGATTTTTCTAGACCAATCACAGAGTGAAGTAACGCAAGGCAATCCATAATTACTTCCCGTCACTCCCTCCCCTTTATAGGCCTTTTTATAGGTAAAACACGGCGTGGAGATCGCGTGTTTTGCTGGGAGAGAACGATCTGTGACGAGACCAAGCAAAGACTGCGAAGGAGACTAGCAGCAACGACGAACCAAAAATCCCACATCTCTGATGACTAACAAGGCCTTGATATGAATTATTTAGAGAACATTTATTTAGTGGCAAGGTCATCATTGTCGCTCTTTACAGTTCAGGCTACTAAAATAAGTTTCCACATGAAGTTGATAAACCTCTGGCTCAGAAGTTGTGCTTGAAGCACTTTTGCGTCCAAGCCTTCATAACGTCAACTTGATGTCATAACTTTCCTCCTACACAGGCCATGCCACAAGAGCTTCCTAGTTTAAATATACTTCTCATTCTTTGATTTCAGTTCAACTAAGATTCATTTTTTAGCCATCGTATTGCTGATATATCGATTTGACGTAACCTTTTTTACTACCAAGTGATCACAGCTTATCTTCTCCTGACAATTTGGCTACACAGTTAAGAAGACAGGTCATGAAAATATAAAAAGAAAATTGGTAATATTAAGAGACATTGTTTTGATATAACACCAGATTCTCTAGACAAACCAACAAGAAGATGTGCCAACATAAGTTAGATGAATAAATAATCAGATCTCAAAAGTCAAGGGGCTAAAGATTGGAAGTATGACTCGCGTTGAAAATACTTCCTGATTCGTTAAATTTCCCCTTTTGCAGTCATTTTCAATTTAATCAGGCAGGGACCTGTCATTTATTGGAGATGAGAGAGGAAGGAGGGGGGAGATTTCTTCTTTTTTTTTTCTACACCGGATGCAGTTTTTTATATCCCTTAAATTACTTCTTGCAGAAAAAAACTGTAACCCTTCCCCTAATTTGATCCAAAAGAGATATGGCCATCCCTAAAGCCCTTAAATATTTGTGGCTCTGCCCTTTTGGGTTGCATAAAATATAATGACTTTCCCCATATTGAACGGTCCCTCTCCCTTCCTCCATCCTCTAACAAAAAAAGATCTTTTAATCCTCATACCCCATCGGTTATGTCGTGTCTCGTTGGTGTTTTTCCTATCATTTCAAACTGTTAGCTACAGATTTCTTTTCAATCATTAACTAGGAATTCTAATATTGTCATGCGCTTCTTCCTGGTATAAAATTAGTAACGCAATATTTCCAATTTTTCCGTCTATAAAATTGACTAATTTTCACCTTATTATGTAGCAGTCTCTTAACATCTGGACATATCAATTCGATCGGTTTTTGCTGTAGCTTAAGGAACTTGGTAGTCTTCGCCTTTTCCCCAATAATACCAGCAAATACTTAAGCCATTGTGAACATAAACAAATTTTGAGGGGAAACGAGTATTGAACCATAGGAAATGATAGTAATGTGTTAAATATCTACAACTCTGAATACGATTGCTAAATAAAATATTAACCTCTTAATTTTTTCGAAATCCGAGAAATAAGTCATGGCTAGTTTTCACGCCAAACTACTAATCCGTCTTGAAGCAGTTTTAAAAGCTAACTGCTCATATTTAAAACCTACAGCACTCTTAGAACCCCTTACAGAGAGGATACAGACCAGAGGAACGATTGACCAGCGCAGGGCGAAAACCCGCAGAGCTCGGAGTTTCGCTACCCCGATAAATGACTCTTCTTTGAGCAACAATTTTTCCCGTTCAAATTGCCCCTTGAGAAATTTCCTTTCTGTGAAAATAATAATGATAATAGTAATAATCTTAATAATATCAATAATATTAATAATGATGACGATTATAATAATAAATTTCCTGAAATATGCAATTCGAGAACGACATTTGATGACAAGGAGACTTGAAATGTTTAAAACAAATTCTTGCTCTAGCAAGGTTTCCTTCTCATATCGTGGTGTAACAAGGATTTTTTGCTTAAGTCTATCACGTAAACCTTTTGAATTTTTGACAATTGCACTTGGCAAGTAAGACTCGACGGTATAAATATAGTTTTTTTGGTACCGTTCTCGTTTCCTACTTTCCGGTCATTCTAGGAAAGGCTCGCCCCACTATTGATTGGATAATTATAATCGGATAGAATTTCTGAGATGGGCTATCGTTCCTCTGGGCACAAACTCTTTTGATTCACACTATTAAACGAGCCATGACTGGCTGTTTAAAATATATACTCCACATTTAACGACGTTCGTTTGGTAGCTGCATCATTCTCCTCGCGCTTTACTTGAGAGCTTTCCAGCGTAATTCTCCAGCCAAGCTCTTACTTCATTTACATTGTATGACATGGGCCCGGGCCCTCCCTGGTAGACTATTTTACTGTCCCGGATGATATAAAATCTTTCTGGGCTTGCGCCATAAGCTAGGTTAGCGGCGTCTAGCATTGTGTCCACTGTGACGGTGCACGGTGGATTATGGGATAGAAGAAGCTGGGCTGCCGCGCATCTTTCAGCTTGCGTTCGATGCTTCGGAATGTTATAGTTGTTCTAGGAGAAAAGAAAAGAGTAAATCCAGTAATAAGTGCATCCCGCATTTTATACGGATACTGCTAGTCCACTGTCAATAAAATAATAAAGTTCCTTGTTCTTTGCTAAACTTAGGGGTGAGAAGAGGTTTCCGCGCAACTTTTTCCCAGACTTCACAGCAAAGATTCATTATTGAACAATTCCTACTCGACTACTCGGTTAGAAGAAAAATTGTGCTGAAATTTCAATTTTCGGCTCCATCGAATTAAAACCCCTTGTGCTTTCAGAAGTGATTGACATTTAGGTTCTCCACGCAATTTCGTACATTTCCCGGGCGATGAAAAGAAGGCAAACCATTCATCAGCCAAAAGGTAACATTTCCATTTAACATGAAATTCTCCTAACTCGTCAAAAAAGAAATGTGTAGCACTTACAGGGCCGAATTACTAATCACAAAAATCTTGAAAGTTCAAGGGTCGTATAAACCTCGATGCTTCATTTCTTTCTTTAAGTTAATTTTCCAGAGCACTGGAAAAATACAAGTTAAGCTTTGTGCAGTCGAACTTGTATTAAACGGTCACTCATGGGGAATGATAAGGTGACCGCTCAATACGGTTAGGGGTTACTACAGAAAAACGATAAACAACGCCACCTTACGCCACTTAGTGTTCAGAATCTCGCTCAAAAATACTACTTACAGTTTGATTTTGGGAAAAAACATGGTCAAAAATTACTTGAAAGATTATTCTTAGTTTTATTTGAGTGGTTCGGCTTTAATTGACCGTTCAATACAGGTGAAAGATAAGAGAAAAAGGCCGTTTGGACTCAGCGAAGTGTAACGCGACCGCATAATAGAGGTGACCGTTTAATAGAAGTGAAAATTACAGTGATCAAGGAGAAACAAACTCGGGACTTTGGCAACCGACTGCTTAAAACAGAATGGCCGCTTAATACGCTGCCACTTATTGCAGGTGCGACTATATTCATGTCAAGAACAGAACTGATGATATTGACTCAGCAAGATATGAAATCCGCGTAATTTTCGTGATAAATCAATTTGTATACATATTTTTTCGCTTTTGTTTCAAGAGGCACACTTAAACAATGACTACGCATGAGATAAAACTATACGTATGTTCACTGTCAACTTAAAATGTACGTGATGTTTGACTTTTCTATAGAAAGGCGGAAAACCGAAACTGGCCGGTTTTTTCATCCAAGTTCGTGGTAGAATAAGATTATCTTCGTTCTACACTAATGGCATACGCGAGTGAGGATCTTTCCAACTAGTTTCCAACTATTTTCTCAACAGATATTTAGGATATTTTTTTGCTTTGGAATCTTTGGTAATTTTGTAAAAGGCCCTCTATAAGGGGATGAAGTGTCGAGGGTTCAAGTAAGATTTCCGCTCTCTAATTTTGACCCCAAAATCTCCCTCCCTAAGTTCTGTCTAATGCTACAAGTGGATTTTGGTTCAGGATTGAGTATAGTCGTCAAGTTCTCATCACTGAGCCTAAGTCAGCCTTTCAAACATCGCAGTTGAAGATTTTGTTAACCAGTGCGGAAATATCTGTCAGTATAAACATAGTGTTGAAGAGACTTTTTTTCAAATTGTGAACCCGACTAAGAATCCTAAGTTATCTTTGGGAAAGGGCTTGGTTACAATGTTCTACGAATCTAACAGCACGTAATATCAACAAAGAAAGATGTCTTTTGTTTTACTGTAAGAGTGGGAGAAAGAAAAGATCTTGTCTTATAGCATATGGCCTAATTTTCCATCGAGTTCTCTGTGGCTCAGTGATAGCTAGACTCGGAGCGCTATGTTTTTCACTTACTTACCAGAGCCATCTTTCTTATTCAACAATTGAGCTTAAAATCTTCCATAGTTCTTCTCTTGAACCAACTGAGCCCATAAAAATTCATGAGTATGGTTTTAATTCCGCTTGTTATCTACGATAGATCTTAAATCATAAACGCCCTTAGATTGCGTGTAAACGATAAACAACAGGGTGTTTATCTTTCGGGCTAATCGAGCTGCACGTTAGCCGAAAAGTTCCGTTTTTGCGTCCAATCCTCTTTGATCTTTGATCTACCTCTCAAAGCCTAATTTCATACATCTCTTTTATGCGGAGGAAGACAAAAGAAATGATATTTTTAGGGGCGTTCATACCATAAGCACTCTTCTGTAGCTTTGAGACAGAGAAGGCCTTGCTTAATATTTCTTAGTTAAAGAATCTCTTGTTCAAGTGGGATATCCTGTAATGGTCTGTGGGAAGCTATGTAATCCCTGCTGGTGAGTACGAGGTCCAATTCACCGTTACATGCATATGAAGTAACTTTCAAAAGCAACCACTCATAACACTTGAATGCCGAAAAAGTAATTAATTAATTCAAGTTTTCGAGCCTACTGGGCAATTGATTGTCGCGGTTTCTCGTTCTCTGTCGCATAAGGTGAGTGATATCATTGGCATCCCTCTTGGAGAGTATGTTAATCCATTGAACGTAAATCTGGTATTTTGTCTGTCGGGTTTTACAGGCAGTCAAAAGCTTTTTTAAAAACTCATTGTCTTTTCCGTGAGCAGAACTCAACCGACCAGCCAAGACTCGTTCCCAGCAGGTCTCGAACCTAAACCAGCAGGCGCAAATCACTAGAGCAACTGCGATTGCCGTGGATTAGCCAATTAATGATTGTTTTCATTAATTAAACGCCCCGGCACGAAAGAGTTTATTTTTCCTAAGGATTAGTCATAATTCTTCTACTTTTGCTTATAATGTGGTCTGGTAAATTTTTTTCAAAGCTGTTATTCTATTTCAACTTTTACAAACCGCAGACAAAACACAATAGCTTTACCAGCCATTTTAAAAAAAACTTAAAACTCCTCTTGGGCACAATCACGCCAGTTTCCTGTGAATGAGCTATAGTTGTCAATGCTTATGTAATAGCAATTATTAGGGTTAGGGTTACTGTGCACTGTGTTCGGTAAAAAAAAAAGCCTCAGTGATTCAAGTTTGACCTTAAAGCACTGAGGAAAGTATGAGCTTTGCAGCCGTGGAAATATGTCTTATATCAGTATAAACTCTGATTGGCCAATCAAACTCCGAATATCCTTTGGTATCCACCTCCAAATAACTCGCACGGGATTCGCATCCGAAACAGCGTGATAATCGTTGCAGGAGTATACGAGTTAAAATCATGCTTTTGCGCTACGTTATCGCAGCATTTTGATGTATACAAAAACAATTATTCACCTCTGTATCGGTGGCTATCAGTGAATGTTTACCTGGCCGCCTAGCGGTTCGGTGAATATCAACCACTAACCACCTCCACTTCGGTGGATATTTGTTGACTATTTCTCCATCCTTTTAAAACTCTTTTCGACCATTTTATTCTCCCATCGACAACCTTTTTCTCCTTTTTTTTTTTGCTTCTCTGGTGCTACGTTTGGGGGATTTTTCTCCCCTCCTGCTCCTTGTGTTCTCCTTGTCTCTGTCAATTTGCATCATCAATAAATGCCGAAGCTCGAAAACATACAGCTTAACTATGAAAGCTTTTCCAGACAGATAAACTCTGAAAGAAATTTGCAACAAGATAACCTGGCATCGATCTGTCTCTTACAAATGGCCACCCAAAAGGAAAGAGGGGCGTCAAAACTTTACGACTAGAAAGAGTTGCGTAATAAAGGGCAAGGTTACTTTGGCATTTCTTAACATAGACATCATGAACATGGGAGTGGAATGCTGATTTAAACTCTGAATTGGGAAATCGCGAGCATGGTTCGTGATAAACCTCTATCATTTGAGCGCGAGATAAGATTCGCAGCCATATCGCAAATCTCTCCAAAAACTGTTCAAGATAATTGGAGCTGGGGGTATAAATTCTTTTACCAATGTCATTGATAACGAGAGCGGTGAGGGGCTAAGATAAACTGTAAGATTAGCAAAAGAAAATTGCGATAACCCTAGCAGAGGGCTTTAAGGCAGAAACCACGAAAAATGGAGTCTTTAGCAGATCGTAGGTAACTGTTAGTTATAGAGTGTTTTTATTTAATAGGCCTAAATTATCTTCCTAGATATCAAGTTTGTTAATTATCATTATTGTCTTTCATCCTTTTAATATTATTTTTTTTTTAATCGGGGTGATCTAATACCAAAAATATTTGAATATTATTATTGTTTAAATAACGTCACGTGTCATGTCGCCAAGCATTCTGGTCGCCTCACTGCATTTTAATACACAAGTATTCACAGTTTTCTAATGCACACTTAAGTCACCGTTTTCAATCCATTTATGAATGTTTGAACACCGAGCAATTAATTTTGTCATTAGAATACTTTTCTTGATCTACACCGAATTAGGTCATCTTGAACTGACACATGACAAATGAAATCATTACATGTCTTCCTGAAAACCAATCAAATTTCAAACTATCGATGTCGAGCTTGGTTAAAGAGAATTTCCCAAAAGGCGCTAATTAGTTGAAAATCCTGACTGACAGAGAGTCGGTTACAATAAAGAGAATCATCGATCCTAATTTGAGATGACCAGAAGTTCGGTTTACGCAACGAGATCGTATCGCCGTCGGAGATTTAGTTGATGGAGAATACCTTTTCAAAATATTAGCATTTGAGAAATTTTAAGTCGCTCTCAGTAAGACGTAAGGAAAACATGCACGTTCGGACACAGAAAAGCCGCAAAGACAGTGTCTGTATATGCAAACTTAGTTCCGATTTTACAAAAGCAATCGCCAACTTCATAGTTTTGGTAGAGAACGACAAGAAATCAACCAAAAAGGAGTTTCGTATTAGAGTTGTGGAGCTTTCGTGAATCAGATGTACCCAGAGAATTTTTCCATATTTAAGAGCGAGACGGAAACAGGATTAGCGGAACTATGATTACGGACAACGGATGTCTTTATCACTAGTTCGGCGAATTGTAAGATTTCGAGAAACCGGTAAAAATATTTGAGACATACTTCCGATTTTAATCAACTGAGTACCACTGAGAAAGGTAGCAAGGAACCGGTATAAAACTCGACGTTGAATTTCCACTGCAGAACGCAGTATGTTTCACTGGAAATAAGCCACATTATTTAGTTCATACCGCTATGTTATGACCACATTTTGAAATAGTACCAACTATTTTCCAAGTTTATCGTTAAAATATTTGAGGATAAACACTTATACACCAACCTTGAGCGCCCAGCCATCCGACGGATGCGCTTCCTCGATGTACACAATAACGAAGTCAGCGATATCGGCAAAATCGCGAACAATTTCACCAAAATCGCGTAACTTCGTCAGAAATGGTTGTCAGCTTGAGCTTCCAAAATTAACAACGAGTGGGCGACCAAGCTTTGATTTTTCAAAAAGACGGAAACAGTCCTTGCCATCCACGGAGAAAAGGGGAGAGTTGTAGGCCTTCGCTCCAAGTTTTGTCTTCTTGTTGATGTCTAGTAGGATGAACCTCCATAACCCTCTGAGCATTTGCCGACTGAACATCGAGTCCCAATAATCGTCCTGAGGAATCTTTAGTCCGAACATTCTGTCAATTGCGTTGGAGATAAAACGCTTGAAAAAAGGGAACACCCTCAATATGGTTCCCAGGCAGAAGACCACGACAAGGAGCGAATAAATAAAGAAAGATCGCAACTTTTGAACAATGATCATCATCTTGGCGCAGTCTTCGTCGACGTGATAGTTGTGCCAGCTAAATGGATTTGTGACCTGTGGCTTTCTGCTTTTATATTTGTATTTATATCTTTCAAATTCAGGAAAAGGTCAACAACTTTCAATCACATGGCAGTTGGAAAAATAACAGCCCTGACAGTGATTTCCGCACAATAACTTACAATTGAATAGGGAACAATTTTTGGACAGTCTTATGTCTCGTTTGCATTTCCAAATGTTCCTCTAAGCTCCAAATGTGGCTAACCAAAATTCAAGGGCTGGTTTTTTGATCAACTGTAGTGCAATGTTGTAAGGTGGTCTGTTGAAAATCGATGAGCGTATCATTAATTGATGGTTTAAAATCCTTCAGATAAACAGCCTTTCTCGTAATCCGTGTGAACACAACACGTGACATCCGAAGGAAACGTCAGCTCGCTTACTCTCAAACATGCTTTGACGTCCTCTCGAGTGTACAAGCTATATGTTCTCAGAGAAGAGCGAATAGGGTTTTTACTTTGTTTTTGTAACAGACGTAATTATTACAGTGTTGAAAGCTGGCCGCATGATGTTCGTGAGAGGCAAATAGATTTACAAATGACATGGTTAGTGAATGGGTTTATAAGGTCATCGACAATTGCATATTGAATTTCTGCCATGATTCGACCACAACTCAGCCAAAGTGTGTTTTGATTAGTTATCAAGAAACAAGAAAAGCCAAAAAGCTGCGAATACTTCGAAAAAGTTGCATAACATCGCGAAAACGAACAGCTGTCATGACTCACGCCGATAGTTGGTTTTTGGCCCTCGCTATGCATGTCACTTAAACTTTATCACCTGTGGTATTGTAGTTTACAAAACGTGTGACATCTACTAGAAATGTTTTTTATTTTCTCAAACCAATTTCGCCTGCTATCTTCAGGATTAAGGAAGTAATTTGAAGTTTGCTTATAGGTTTCGTGTTGTCAGCAGTAGATTAGTGAAGACAGCTTACCAAAACATAGCCTGCACGTGAATCATAAGCATCGAACCTTCCAGAAGAGGCTTGATCACTTCGATTTGAAACTGGGCCCGCTGTACTTCAACACGATTCTTCATGAAGCAGTCTATTTGTTATATACCTATATTTAAATAAATGATTGTCGTGATGGACAGTTTTCGTGCCAGACAAGCCGTTTTATGTGCGGAAGGGAACGATTATTAAAATTAAGTTATACTGACGTGGTAAGAAGCACAGGTCATTAGGAAGCCACAAACCCTTCCGCACAAGACATGTTAAAAAATACTCTTTACTAACAGATCGCTGCGGGAACTAGATAACAGAAGTGGCAAATGTTGGCAGCAATTTTTTGTGTCAACCGGATCTAAAATAAAACTTTAGTACCGAAAATATGTTTGAATTTGAAAGACGCCTACTTCCTGTGAGTGTTTTGATATCAGTGTTATATTTTCTTCAGAGATATTGAAAGAAGTGCTGAGAAAAATGCTTTAGAAAACAAGATTATTGGAAAATAATCAATTTATTTAAGTTAAAGATTACTTTTCCTCCTGTCTGTGGGCATGAACATTTACGCAGGAGAGTTTTTCGTTCAAATGTCATGCGATCTATGGGAGAAAGGTATCTATTGGTTAAGCTTGTATATTTGCTCCTGTTTCGTTTTTTTAACTGAATTTTCGTACCAAGACAAACCACACAAGACAAACATTTTGCCATTACGATGAATGTTTGAACGAATTGGGAAAGGTAGGTATTTTATGGCTCAAGTGGACAAATTTGAGATTGTTAAAGGAATCTGAGAAAATTAATTACTTGATTATTAATTAATTACTAAAGCTTTGAAATCAGAGCAAAATTTTTCATAGAAATCATATCTGGTTAAATCGTTCATAAAATATCATGTAGTTGAAACATATATAGCGGATACTGAATCATCGTGATATCATCGCTCATCAAAGCACAATTTCCAGAAAATTACATCTGACTTAAAAGTAAAGATTCGTTGGGGAAAATTTGAGCGATGAGATAAGTAAAGTTGAAAACGACAAAATTGAAAACGCACAAATTGTTTGACCTGTTTTAAGAGAAATATAATGTTATTTTTTATTCAGTTAATGATAAACGAATATAGAGACCAAAGTATTGATCTGAATCACCGTGGTTCACTTTCACGACTTCCAAAGATCAGAATTACCGAGTTGCCCCCAAATTTGCCCATTTCGACCATTAAAAAAATCCAATTACACCGATGATCTTGGTCAGTTGCAAACGTTAACCTTTCTTCGTGTATAAAATCGTTGCATTGCGTCCCAACATATACTCCTGCTATGAAGCTCGCTCCATTTTCAAGTCATCGAGTCAGCAGGGTTAAAAAGTTGCCTTTCGTTTGCCATCGATAGTCAACGCAGTTGTCAAATTAACTCCAAAGAGCGGTACATATCCACTGATCTAAAAATAGGTAATTACCTGGGCCGCTTTGCCTGAAATTCTGCATGCACGTCCAATTAAATTATGTCCCTCGTAATTCCCTTACGGAGTTGTGTCATGAATCTTAAGTAAGCCAATAAGGCAAATTATGGTGGTCTCCTCCGAATGCAAGGAGACCACCATAATAATGGATCGATAAGACAGAGAAGCTATAGAGCGAGTCTCAATGGCTTTGGCCGTTAGCCGTAAGACTGCAGAAAGATTAAGCCGTTAGACGTAAAAATTGACAAGTTTCAACAGTCAGTCATGAAAAAGTTAACTGTGAAAATTTTTCTCCTAACAACATTTGAAAAGAAGTAACCATGATCTGTAACATGGCCAAATTTTTAACGTTAGCCGTAAAAGTCATCACCTCAGTCCTTCGAAAGAGGCAATGGTACAGCGCTAGATGAACTACAGCTGATGAGCAACATGAAAATTTTCAGGTTTAATTAATTTGTGAAAGCTTTAATGTATCGTCAAACTCTAAAATACCTTCCCATCATGCAGAGTGATTAGCTTTTATTTTTCTGAATCCATGCTAAGTCTATTTCTGAGACAAATTTTGCATCCGGCGAAGCACTTTCCCAAAATAGCGTACCTCACAGTAATCTAAGTTTCCGTAGGAGTGATCCAGTACGTATTGTTACAACGCCGCAAGAATCACGCTTACAGCCGCAAATTTCGTGTCTATTTCTCTATCTACCTTCTTCAGAAAGAATCCGTTGTTATTCTAAAAAAAATCACGTATTGTTTTGTATTTAATGACGTTTTAGGTTCTTTTAAGCTATTTTTTTTATTGCTGAACGAAACATCCAAGCGAAGCTTCCGCGCTGGAAAACCAAACCCGTTCAAAAATAGTTCGCGGAAATAAGGGATTTATGTAATGTACTCGGATTAAGCTGTCAGTCAATCGTCTAAGCTGGAGACCACTTCCTCTTACTCAATTAGACGGATGAAATTGAAGTCCAAGATTATCTCGCATTTGAACCATCCCTGTCGTCATCCTCTTCAAACTCTTTTCGGAACTCATGACGAGTGATGAAATTTTGTTTGTATATTTAAAACAGAAGGGCTGTATCATTACACTGTAAATTATAGCTTGTTTCGAATAATACGAAGCATTGATAACGTTTCGCTAAGTAACCTTAAAGCAATAAATCTACATCTCTACATGGCCAAGTTGTCGGTCAGGGTTCAAGCAGCTCGTCTCTCGAGCTACTGCATGCCTCGGCGTTTAATTATTCAGACACTGGATGCTTATGATCCTTTCTCCGAACTGATCAGGTTTTCAGAAGCCTTAACTTGTATTCGTCTAGTTGTTGCGATAAAGTGGTTTTCAGCTAAAAACTCTTGTTGCACCTTCTCGACGTAGCCTTTGGGGCAACTGCGAACGGCAAGAATAAACTCATCATTTATGTGAATTCTGTAATCAAAACGTAAAGGAAATGGTCTAATCAAAACTCCTTTGCCCAAAGTGAATACAACTGTGTGAACTTTAGCGTAAGAACGGCTGAAGGTGAGTAGTCTAACTAGAATCACTGCTTCTATGCACGTCTCTCACCACTTCCGTTACAGGCCATGTTCCGAGTCTCAAAATAACCTTACTTGACTAAACTTGATTTCACTGGGGTTCATTGTCTCATTTTTTTAACAGTCTGCTTCCCAAATTATGATCAATCGGCAACCTTATCACAAATTTTGAACTGCTAACGGAAAGAAACTATTTCTTGGCAGCTTCCGGAACGCATTAAACTGGGTTTCTTCACGACGTCAACTATTCTTCGACCGCAAGAGAATTGATAAAAAAATTGATGTAAGGACACTTAAAATTCTCAAGAGTTTATCCATTCCTCACCAATTTAAAGACGATTATCAAACTTGGCAAATCAGAGGAGTTTCAAATGTTTTATACGTAGTAACGAGACATTTGTACATGCTTATGTTTTGGACGTGAAAAAATCGCAAAAATCGTAAGAATTAAAGTCTGGCAACATTTTACTTAATTCCTCAACACCCCTACAGCTAATTGGATTATAATTTCCGAAGATCAGCACCACACAAATACAGCCTGTTTGGGGCACTTGAGAGGATCACTTGAAGACTGCAGGAGGTTGCTTAGCCTATCATGACTGGGTTTTCGTAAACAAAATGTCTGCGTTTTGTCAACTGAGGGGACCGTAAATTCGCAAAGCACTTTACCGTGTCAATCATTATAAGCTATTTTTTACCGAATTTAAACTTTTCATCATTCAGTGAACTTATATTTTGTTCACGACGCTAGGGATGGTTTATCATTAACGTGACCGTGAAGAAAAGAATGGCTGCCATCTGTTTTCCCGCGCAGTCAAGAAGAGTGCCGAGCTCTTCCCTGATTCGAAAAAGGCGGGAAAGAAAACCCCGTGATGCTCAGCCTGACAGCATCGAGAACCTCCACTGAATCGGCTGCAAAGAGAGAACAAAATCAAATGACCTGCGCTGCACTCCGTTGAACTCTCATAATTGGATTAAAATTCTCTTTTCTACTGTTCAATTAGGGCTCTTAGAAAATGCAATTAAAAGGTCACAAAGCGTCAGAATAACGTTCAAGTAAACTTTGGATCTTTCACAGACGAGATTTCGTTGCCTCTTTTATTTCCTTAATCAGCACCAGACCTTTTTTCCCATTAAGTTGCCAGGCCTTTTTTTTTTTTTTTTTTTTCCATCGAGTACCCAGGCTTTTTTTTTTTTCATTTATTTGCCAGGTAAAGGTGTGTCTGTATAACAGTTGCGGAAAATGCCTACCTAGCCCTCGACTACGCATGCGCGCGTGGAATGAATTAATTTGGTCAATTTGACCATCTAGAACCTTAGTGTTTTTTTTTTCGACTTGCCTCGTTAAATTAAATTGCCTGTCGGAATTGATTATAATTTATTCAAATGTCGAACTAGACTTCTCATAAGCTCAAGTGAAAGATCTGATACGGCACATGAGAAGAGTGATGTTTTAACAAGGCCTGACCGATATGATAATTCCTTGCAAGCGATTATAAATTGTTTATATCCGCTTGTACTTTGGTATATCGAGTGGAGCGTGATTATTTGCCAGATAAATGAAAAAATGGTGAGATTTAATTTTGATTTTCATATTGAATTTAACGTTTATAATAATAAATGTAAACAAAATTTTCCATTTTGAGGCATTCAATAAAGGCCACTGAACCGTTCAACAAAAGAGCAATATGTCTTAAATTGATATTTTAATAATAGTTGTATTCCAGACAGGTTATTTCTTAGCAAGCATGATCAAATAAGGTGCCGCTATTTCATTGTCGTTTTCGGCTCGTTTAACATCATAAATAGCGTCACTTTCGTGTGGTTCACAAAAGAAGTAATGCCTTGATTCCGAAAACGGCGGCTAACTCGAGAGCTATAATTCTAAAATCTGCCACCAAAACTCGAACTCTTTCAAATCTTCGATCAAATACCAAACAAGTCAGGTTTTGACGTTCTGGTAGCGAGGTTTGTAAAAAAGAAATTCATTTAATAATGATGAAAAGGAGTAAATTTTTAGAAGGTTCATTTTTTTGGAAGAATTTCTCTTTATTGACTCTGATCAGTTTTAATTTCTTTGGAAGATATTTTCTTGCCATGGCCAATGCTAACCTCACGTTCGCTGTAGAACTACCACTTGTAATGATGATGGTGATTATTTATAGCAGAGGCACGAACTCAGGTAAACTTCTCCTCCATCGAGCCTTTACTTTCGAGTTTCTCTTAAGGTACATACACGGTTAGTTAATGATTGCATGTTTCACAGCTCTCTAATCTAGGCGTATTTTGCCAGTTCTTTGAAAAAATTCGAGAAGGATAAATTCTGCTTATTCCATTGTCAACGAGTCAAATAAAACTGAAAGTTAGTCATTCAAATCGTATCAAATCATCTGCTAAATACCTTTACTTATTACAACTCAAGTGGGTTAATCTTGAAGACTGTTTTCTGAGACAAAGGCTATTAGGTTTTTATTAAGACTTGTTACATACATAAGTAATCTCGAATGATCTGAAAGACGCCTGAACCCCCTTTCTGGATTTCTAATTTTGTCGAAAATGTCAATATTTAACAATTATTCATAGAAGTGGAGGTGAATAGTGAACGCTAATCACTTTCGAACCAGCCAATCAACGCGCGAGAAGAGTACTATTTGTATAAGTAGTATATACTAATCTGATATAATTCTTCTTCTATGTACAGCGCTTCAAAAATGCGGAGTTTCTTATAGCAAGGTAGGATGCTTTGTAGATAAACGTCGACCATTTAGAAACATGCTTCTCGACCAAAGGAAAAACATAGATTGGCAAAACTGGAACGATTTTCTTGAGCGGTAAGAAGCAGATAATTCAGAAAAATAATCATGTCATCTATATTATTGTCCTAAATCGTTCCTCAAGGGTAAATAATTGTTTGGGTTTCAAAGTATCTGGTGTTGAACAGAAAATAAGAAGTTGCTATAAAAGTATGCTTCTTGCGTAAGGTGTCTTTGTGTTTTCCGAACATTTTCTCTTAGTTTGCCCCATGTGGTTCCCTGCGGTCGGTGTGTCCTTTCCCCGCTCCAATTGCAAGGTTTATTCAACTGAAAATACAGTTAACTCTAATTCATTTGCTCCCTGTAATACCGAATTATTTACAATCAAGATTGACTAAAATTTTATTGAAATCAAGCACCCCTTAATTTTTCTTTCCTTCTTCAGCTTTGTGTGCGCATGCGCGAACAAGACTGTCACTGATGGTTGTGCATATTTCGGAATTCAATTTTGGGCAGAGTGCTGGGCTGGTGAGAACCCGGATGTTGCCTACAATTCTGATGGTCAATCAAATTCCTGCTTCGGTCACGACTTTTTGCCATGCGTAAGAGTTTCATCAAGCTGTGCGGGTGCCAAGGATGTTAACTTCGTGTACAAAATTGAAGTGGATCAGCCTCCAGATGGTAATAAGAGAAGTACATATGTTACATCATTATTCCAAATAGACCATACTTGTCCAAAATGGTAGCTGAAAATTTTAAACATCATTCTACAAGAATGCTATACCAACCCTCGGAGGACCTTTATTTGGTCAAGCCTGAGTAGTTAATCAGTCGAGAAATATGTATAATGACTAGTCGACTCTTGACCAGTCGTTATGTTACCATTGGAAAAGTTTCGAAGTCCCATACAAAGTGGAGAAATATTTCTTACAAGCTAAGCTTAAACTTTACAGTTTTATCGACTTAGTATTTCGCTCCTAACCTGTATTTTCCTTTCGCACTCTTTTTTCAGGGGGGGTGGAGGAGGGTTGGAAGAGAGACAATAGAAACGAGTTTAATGATAAGTGTTATGTTTTGGTCGACATTTTGGATAATAGCTTCCTTGCAATGCCACCTTCTTGACATAAAGACTATTTAATTCCTGTTGGTTTGTGTTAATTTATGTGCATTTTATTTCCTTTGCAGCTTGCCGAGACCAGGATCCTGTAATGTGTCAAAAACATCTTGAATTTTGTGACAGTTATGTACATATGGCCAAAATGTGCCCTCGGACTTGTAATTTGTGTCGAGACTGAAGACTGAAATAAAGGTTTTATCGTAAAATGTAACCGAGCCTTGGTATGAAATAGAGGCTTGGAGTGACTGAAGAGTGACTGGGAATGAGTGAGTGCGATGCTGGGTAATTAGCTTATGAAAAGTAAGGGGTTTTTCTTAAGCCTTAACGATCATCGCATCTGTTAAGAAAGTCTCTTTCTCACAACACCTTATAAGCAAAGGTTACGAGTTAATTTCCGTCCCCAAACGTTACTTCAAAGCATGGCACGGTTTTGGTTTTGTAAAACTACAACTGACCACAGATACAGCAATTGAAAGAAAAATTCACACGCACTTGTAATGTTTTTTGTACCGATACTGCGTTTTGTGGATTAGGGTAACATTTTATCTTCCAGTTAAACTTTCCAAAACTCCCAGCTTGAATTTAAACTTGTGTATTAAAATAAGATTTTAAAGAGATGTAAACTTCACTTGTATAGGAAACGGCTTAAAATTCTTGTTTATATCCCTATATTTTTAACAGAAGAGTAGCATCTTTAATTCAAAATGATTAATAATTTGCCTCTCAGTTCAGTTCGTTCCTTTTAATTTTCGGTTGTACATTGCAAACAGTGAAACAGAATTGAAATAACGGAGAATAATGGCTCATTCTCTTTTTATTCCATTATTAAACACCTTAAATGTAAGTTTTAAAATTGATAATCGAGCCTTTGTTTAGCCCGTGTACGTGAGATTATCTTGCAGTAGTGAATATGGGAGACAGTCAAAAGTGTGAAAGTCTGTAAACAGCCCAAAGCATTGTTGAACTTCCAGTAATTAAAAGGAAATAATGCTTGTGATTTTTAATGTTAGATTATATCTTAGACTGAATCATGAAGTAGCATGAATTAGGTGATGTGAGTTTTTCATGAAGCATTTATTGTTAGTCAGCCAAAATGAAGTGCCGCAAAATTACGACTCGAACCGCTTCTAGAAAATCGCCTTTTCGTAATAACGTTTTCACGTGATTGAGTATGGTTTGCTACTCAAGAAAACTCCGCAGCTCCAACTGCTTGTACCAACGGTTTATCACTGTGATGGTGACTTGGCAAACAGGAAATAGCATTTTGGCACTTGGCTAAAAGCTCTATGATATCGCTCACAAGCGGTTGTATTATCTTCTGACGCATTACGAAAGCTTTTCGCGATGACGTACATTTGTGATTTGATTTCACGACACTCGCCATGTTAGCTTCATTTAATTTCCGAGGGATTTACTGAAATCAGCAGTTGTTTAAACAACTTTTCCTGTAAAATTGATTTTAATGAAAGACAGGTTGAAAACTGTCTCCTTCTTCTTATCATCGTGTGAAAAGGTTAGAAAAACCACCTGAAAACTGGTCCAGATGAACAGATACGCAAACGAACCCTCATGAAAAGGAACAAAAGAGATCAAGAGCTGTTTCGTAATTAATGTAGATTTTGCCTGTACTGAAATGACAACTTAATTTTCGAGGGTATTCTTCGCAAAATGAAATTACCTCTGAGAGAAAAATATAAAGCTAGAGTAAATCCCGAAGATATAGATATCTTTCAAGAAAAAAAACTGTTTATTTTTGAGAGCGTAGCAGCTCGTGAAACTGCGAATAAGTTATTTAAGATGAATCCAGTGTTTTAAACTTGTGTACGTGAATGTGTTTTTTAAACTTCGGTTCCTCAGCTGTATTTTTGTATTTACATTTGAGACAAAAGTTTAATTTTTTTTACAGCTTCTCTGTAAAGTTTACCTTACCAGCGAAAGACAAACTTTGAGAATTAATTAACAAGACTTCTTAATTACTTGGATAATAAAAAGAGAATCTTTTTGAGGATGCTGATCGAGTCTAGAATTTGGAAACTCAAATGGAAAGTAAAACAATGAAAATGCATATGAGTGAATTTCTGTCAACTAGTAGTGGAAGCGTGCCCCTATTGTCACTTTTTGCGCACAAATTAAGCGTAATGTTTACTTTTTATGAGTAAACACTCCAGATTTGAAGATACGACGAGATTGCGAAAAACGTTTTAGAACGATTTTCAATTAACAAAATCCGCATAACATTGTATGTCGATATTGCAGACAGGAGCAAGCAAGTGAAAGTGATAAACCAAGATAGGCATAGAGTTATCATTTCTAACCGTTGGAATCATTTGTAAGTAAATCTTCATTGTTAGTTATCTATTCCCATACGGAATCAGAACCGGTTTTATCTATAAACAATTTTAAGCCAGGATCAATTTGACAAATCTTTGTGTGCCAGTTTTAAGAAACAAGTTGTTGAATTTTTCAATCTTAAATCTTGTGCAGCAGAAAAAATTATTTTTGCCCCATATAGGAAATGTCGCAGGATAAGTTAACAAAATATTTTCCGTAACTGGCCTCCTAAATTTCTTTCGAAAGCAATTTTAGGCAGGGGTTGAACAACATGTTAATGCAGATACTTTCGCAAAGCTTGCGTTTTTCTATTTTCTCAGAATTGTCTACACCCTATTTTCATCTTTGGGATGAAAAAAAAGTTCAAGACGTTATTATCTAAACCAGGTTCAAACGACTAAAAAAAAAAACATTTCGTGTGACAGAGCGAACCTATTCGACCCAATTTAAATGATAAACGGTAAGCTTTTAGTTTATATAAGGTTTTTATATAAGGTTTGAAAAAAAAAGGTTTTTTCTTTATATTTTCCAAATCTAAGTTTGCTGAACCGATTTTCAAAGAGGCTCGAAGCGCCACTTCATTTTCTAAGAGATTTAAGAAATTCAGTTAAAAATGGAGAATATGCAAAACAGCTTTTTCAGAATTAAGTTTTCTCAGTGTCGAAAATTTCTCTTTGAATGTATCGTCTTTCAGTACAACTTCAAGTACGCCCTTAATTATTAAGCCGTATGAAATGAGATCATCATTATTCTGTTATTTTTTTAACATATAAAAATCAGCGAAAATGGCCCAGAGTTTGAGATGCAGTTTACCCTTGGAAAATGATGTAAAGATGTATGGCAACTGATCAAATATGACGTCAAAGCATAAGTTTTCGTTTATAAGGGAAATAAGTATAATTGAAAGTGCTTCTGTTTTCCACAACTTTCGATCTCGATCAATCTGATCCATGCCATGACATAAAGTAGATAAAACGTCTCATTTTTAGCTTTGTTTTAATCTTAGACTCGATCAAAATCTGATTTATCAAAGACCCACGTATTTTTTGTCACTATACGAGCCCGTTGCTTATCTTCTGCACTTGGAAAGTGACCTTGGCAACTGAGATAGAGAGTGGATAGACAGCGGGAACGTTATTTTTTTTTAATCAGCTCTATGGACGACCATTTGATAAAAATGTACATTTACAAGAATACTAGCTACCTGTGTTGAGAGCATACGAATTCATATCTCATGAAACGGCCACCTCGTTCCCAGGGTCGTCTCTCTTCCTCGTTCGAGAAGGTTTCTTTACCGAAGCAAGAGGAGAGTGAACCATGGAAACAGGTTGATGAGGTGGTGGGGTCCACTTGAACTGCTTCTAACTATGTATGACGATATCGTTTCAACTTGAGCATAAGCTCTGTTTTTTTTTTTTCTCATTCTTCATATAAACACAACAGGTCGGTTTGTTCCTAAATCTTCTTTATTTTCGGCGACCATTTTCATCGAATACGAGTTGGGCTAAGCCACAAAAAGAAAGAAAGTGAGCTTTACTCAGTTTGGAATTAAAAAAAGATTCGCTTTATGCTTATTTTTTAATCAAGAAGATCTCAAAGGGATTTACCGAAAGCCGTCAAAATTGACAAATTTTAAACGATAGTCGAAAAAAAAATTATTTGAATTTTAACCGTTAGCCTTAAAAGCCACCCTCTATCAAATGCGACACATAAAGCACTCAAGTGTCTTCATGAGCTGAAGACCTAGGTGCTTTATATAATTTCCCTAGATATATGCATTATGCTATCATTCAAGGCTTGAGCGAACACAAAACGCTAATACCGAGTAAAAATTTTAGCATAAACTTAAAAAAAAAACACGAAAGTTAATGTGATGTAACCAACAACCTTCATAATTTAGTTTTGCACACCAAAATTTCAATCTATTACTGGTGGCACTTTTGTCCAGTTTTTTCTTTTACACGCAAATTTACGAGTTTTTAATAAAAGATGTAGTAAGAAATTATAATTTAAATGAAATAGTTGGCACCGTCAACCTGTAGGTGTGCAGTGAATGCACTAATATTTTAATTATCTGTTTGTCGTGGTGTTAAGGAAATTGCTCCATCACTCGTAAAGACAAGTGAATAACAAACAGTTTCAAAGGTAAGGTGTTTTAAAAAACTAATCGTGATACAAACTAACTATCTATCTGTTGAGATGTCCTACCAATATCACACCGTGAGTATCACTGATGCCCGGTAAAAAATTATTTAGGCCAGCAGAGATATATTTCTGAATTTCCAAATCGACTGAGTGAAGTTGAAATGGTTAAAAGGTGAAGTAAGTCTTTTTTTTTATCGTTTTTGTTTGTCTTCTTCTAGAATGAAAAGATCTGTTAAGTTTTATCTCGCCTGACGAAACTGATAAACGCAGCTTTTTAACAACGTTACGTGCAGCTTTTTAATTGAGGCTCCAGAAGATCTAGCCAGTAAACCCCATAACTGACTTACATTCCTTTTGCGGTTTTCGGTGTCTTCATTTTATTTTCTTACATGCAGTTGTACTGTACTGGTGAAAAAAAAACAAAAAAACAAAAAAAAAAAAAAAGAAAATTCCCCCATACGAAGTCGAAAAGATTATTCAAAACTATTTACTGAGCCTGAGGCGAGTGAATGTTTTAGTATAACTGCTCAGGTGCTTTGGAGAAGTGTTACACCAACTTAATGGTATCTTTTGTTCTCTTCGGAATTAAATTTTCTACGATCGCGTTTATCACCTCCTCGGTAACAATAGCAAAACGCGAGGTAACCATTTTGAAATTTAGCGCCACTGCTATAATCACCTCGCACGAGGTGATTTTAAGGA